AACATAAGATGCGCAATTACATGCAATTCATTTCATTGCAACTTTTTTCCCCCAACCAACATAACTTTTAAGTTTGCTTGTTTCCACCAAGGGAGATGGTTGTAACGAACTGACGAAAACTAAATGAAATCCATTTCCAGCGTGAAATTCACTTCTCCATAGTGTTTCTGTTTCCTTTTTCTGATACGATACGGAGAAGTTGTGAGAACTTCAAATGCGATTATTTTCACGTAGCTGAAACATCAGTGACATGAAAAAGGTGCAATGGTTGGAAAAAATATTAAAGTTTTAAACTTTAGAAATGAAAATTAAGGGAGAGATCCTTGAACGAAAAGATAGTCTCGGGTGTTTCCTTGAATGCATCATTGTGGTCTCACCAGAGTGTGGTTAAAGTGTAATTTTTTTTCTGTAGAAACTTCATTATTCTCTTGCAAGGCAAAAAACCAAAAACACACAAAATGAAATAGAAACCCAAATGAGCGGAGAGAAAGCAACATAAAAATGGTCATTGCAAATGTCTTAATGTTTTTATTTACGGGGTTGCCATTGAGGGAGTATTATAAAGTCATTACGTGCAAGGACTTTCTCAATATGCATTCAGCTATTGGGACTTCTGATAACTACATGCATGAAACTTACATGAACGTCATGAATACGAAATTGCTTGGAAACTTATCAAGTCGTATTGTAACTCTTTTAAATTACTTACCAAGTTGATCTCATATAACGTTGTAATCTTCCAGCATTCCATAAATAAATTAAAAACAAATTTTTGACGTTCAATAACATTTGAAACTATCAAATTTGCTTCACTTTTTGTGATCAAAATTATGCATAAAAGTCACGTTTCATTAAACGAATGTTTCAATTTATCGCACTCAACTCGATTTATTCATAATTTTTGTTTTCCAATTTGAATCTTTTTTTCTTCTGATTTCATTTCAAATATTATAAGAGAGGTTGAAACAAGGAAACGAGTTGAATTGTAATTTAAATCCTTTGTCATGCTTCTGTAGACCGAGATAAATGGATTATGCGAGACTTTTCCATTTCTCTTCTTTCGAGGAAACATATTTTTGTTTCTGCACTTTTCTACATCGTCGTTGGAATTATGAAAAATATGAAAATATGGTAGTGGAAAAAATAAAAGGATTGAAAAGGCAATGAGTCAATAAAGACGAGACTTAGAATACGATAATGAGATTACAAAGTCAAAACAAAAGGCGAAAGGATTGTCAGATTTGTTGAGTTTTACGGTAGCAGAAAGGAGTAAAATCCTGAACAAATTATAATTGAATTATGCACTTAGTTTAACCCTTTCTCAGCTCAAATAGCCACCAGCTAATTCCACCTCATATATAACAGCAGGTTTTATTGGATTGACTGGCGAGATGATCATTTAAAGGATTAAGAAACATTTTTATTGTTCCATTCAATCTCTTTGTTTTTCAACCTGTGCTGTGCCATGTTTGTATGCTTTTCGAATGAAGACAGGAGTTAATCCTTTACTTAATCCTTTAACACTGACAAACCTTTATTGCTTTGCTTTTCATCTCTTCATCTTTGTCTTTCTGTTTAGTTAAATTTTATCTAATTATGAAAGTCACCACGTGCCTTCTTCTTTTTCCCTTCAATTACTCATATTGAAAAAGTTTAAGCTTTTAATAATTTCTCGTAAATTGTGAATTATTTCTTTAAAAAAAAGTAAAGTTTCGTGGCCACATCATCGTTTACTCGTGTTTTCTCGAAGGAAAATGTTCGCCTTCAACGTTACATTACAGCGACAGCGAAAATTTTATTTTCCTCGCCAGGCGACTAAACAAAACTTTGCAGTCAAAACTTTTTCTGCAGATATTTTTTACTCATTTTACCGTTCGACGATGTTTTATTGTACATTTTTCGTTTTTTTGCAAACTCAACAACATAACAGGAAAGTTTTGTTTGCAATTTAAACCTAAGGCAACGAAATGAAGCGAATTCCTTGCAAATAATTCCAATGCCAAAAGGATAGAAAGAAATTGTCAAACTCAACACTTCTTTAACTTTGTCGTCTTCAAACTCAATTTTATGAACGATAATTTGAGCATAAATAAAAGTTAAGGAAATTTACGTCTATTCACATTTTTATCTGTTGATGTCTTGTGTCCTTAAAATATCCTTTTCTTAACCCAAATGCCTGCGACGAACTTTCATCAATATTCAACACCCTTTACTAACTCTCTTAAGCCTCCTCAAACCGCCATAAAACTTTAATAGACACATAAAATTCTTGTACCTCTAATCCTTGCCCTTTACATCGACACACACACACACTCTCTCCCCTTTCACTCAGAAGTTTTTACTGTCAACCCCGTCAATAAACGCATAAAATATAAACAAAAAGAGAAAACTCTTTCGGATGGGTTAAAAGAAAGAACATCCAACATTATAAAACCATTAGAGTTCCATATTCTTTTATCACTTTACTTCTTCTACTCCTTTTTATTGTCAGTGACAAAGACTGCAAATGATTTGCAAGTTCTTGAATGTGTCAACCAAGCCAGTGAACAAATATAAAGAAAAGGTAAAAATTCAAAAATTATTATTGTGCAGTTTCAAGTGAAAAAGGTTAAGGATGGAAGCAGTCATGACAATTCTTCCCTTCTACGGCAGTTCTAAGTAGTTCAAGCAGAAGACGTCATAATCATTTTTTGTACTCTTTTAATTCTGACATTTGCAAACTTTAAAATCAAAAGCTTGACATTCAATTTAAATTTGATTCAAAAGTTTCTTTTCGTTGTTTTGTTGCGTCCTTGCAACTCGTTCTCTTAGTTTGCATTTTCGGTTCTTTTTTCTTTGTTATATAACATTCGATGTTTATATGATGTGAAACATAAAAAAAGGATGGATTTGCGAACAAAGAAATAAAATTTGCGAATTGCTGCACTCTTTGAGATTGTTAACCAGGCAATCCGTTACCTTCATACATTTCTCCGTTAGTTTATGGCAGTAAAAGAACAGCAAGGATTGTGGGAGTTTCTTCCCGTTAGTATAACCGCTTAACAACTTTCTTTACGCAAAACATGCCTTTTTCCTTCTCGTCCTATGTTATAGATACCATAACTCAATCCGTTACAATCCTTTTATAGCTCTCCTTACAATTCAACTGTTCTCTCTATTTTAGATACTTGCAATTTGATGATAAAGAATTTTTACTGTTTTACGTTTCCGAAACAACCCTGAAATGAGATTTCGAAGAAAGCGCTTCTCGTTAAATGCATTTTTTAAAGCAAATAAAATCTTGAGAAAATATTTGCGGATGGAACTCGTCTAAGTATGGAAAATTGCAGCGAAGTGAAAGCAATAAACTGGTTTTAAATCACCTCAAAGCGATTTCATTAAACAATGTCTGGAAAGTTGTACATCACAAAAAAATTGAAGTTTAACTGCAACTGAATGTATTTTGAAAAGTTACTTCATTTTAATCGCTTTTTTGTTTTTTTTTTTGATTGAGTGTTTGTTTCTTTCTTTTCCCCTTGCGCCAGATTGAACACGAAAACCAGAAAAGTTTTTTTTCTCATTGCAAGCAAATAAAAGTTTGATGGAAAGGTAAACATTAGAGAAGGCACAGAAGAATTTTACAGCGTGAATAAATGAAAATTTTTCATGAAATTCCAAAAGTCAACTGATGAAATTGAAATTATCTTGCTCATCTGAAGAAGCAACCTCCACAGCAGCTTCCTTTCAAAGGAGAAGAAGAAATTAAATATTTGACTTTCCGATGACTTTTCTTCTCTAATCAGTTTTGGTTTAAATCGAAGCAGAAATGTTTACGAAGGTAGAGATAGGAATGTTATACATAACGATCCCTTCTGAACACAAATTAATTTACTTTTCTGAGAAGGTTTCCTCAGCAGAAGATGAAAAAGTTTCTTTTTTACGTGTGAAATGGTTTTCTATGCAAATACTGGCAATTGAAGGGTTACTGTGAGTAAAGAAATGAAAAGTTTTTAATTTTCGTTCTCATTCTTCCCCTTTAGCGGCTTTACGTTAAAAGTTACAACATATAACAGAGGCTCGCTCATCTCTTTGATTGTTTCACTTTCAAACAACAACTGTTAAAGGATTTTCAACACTTCAAAGATTTCAAGGAAACCGAGAAAGTGAATTTTTAGCTGAGATATGTCCATTGAGGTTGTTTATAGGTTTGAAATATTGTTAGACAAATAAAGCGGAGCGAGGAAAACACAAAATATTAATGTCGATTCCTGGAAGCTATTTGTTGCTCAAACAAAGCTTACTTTTTACAGATCTTTCTGTTTGGCATCGACAGCCATAAAAAAATTTTGACTTCACAATCTTCGATGCTGGATTTTTGTAGGTTGCTTCAAATAAAATACAAGAAATGGAAACCCTTGGGTTAAACAGTAATGAAATCTTGAGTAAATAAAAAATATTTTCTTGATGTCTCATTATCGCTCATCATTTGCGCTTCTTGTTAGTTGAGCTGTAAATTAAATCGCGCTCTTTGTCAGTGACATTAACACAGTCTAGTTGAAGTAACATTAAAAAAGATTTGAAAAGTGAAGGAAAAACATAAAATGTGATCATTATTTATGACTCTCCCAGGAGAATGAATATGACACAACACAAAAAACATTTAACTGCAAGAAATCCAAATCTTACGCTTTTTACGAGCTTCTTATTTTGGTTCAATGTCGCAGAATCATAAAACAAGAATTTGTCGTAAATTCATGACGCTTTTGTAATTTCTCTTCGAGTTGTATGTACAAACAATGTTCAAGCTGCCTTCCTCAATAAAGTTACAGAAACAAGCACTGGGAGATATTCAGAAAATTGTCAGATGTTTGGATTCAAGCCACAAATATTTAAATCTGGCTGATGATTTGATTTGCTAGTTTAATAATTGTTATTTATAGCCCTCATTAAAACCTTAAAATCATGTTCTATTCCAATACCTTCAAGCATTACGCAACTCTCAAAACATACATTCTTGATTCACTTATCAAAAGACATTCAAGATAGCTCTGCAGTTTGTAAAGCAAATTGAAGAATTAATTGATTTATGGAAACGACAAATAAACTTCCAACACGACTGAAAAGGGTTGTTTAGAAAGAAACTTCCTTCAAAAGTTACAAAAGCTAATAAACTAACATGATAAAGTATTACAAAGTGTTTTAGAAATTGATTAACTTGAAAGGTTACTTGACAATTTGACATTTCATCTTTGAAGAAACTTCAGCATTCCCTCATTTATTTATTTATTTATCATAGCACAATCACAGTCATAAATAAATTAACAAAACATTCACGACCTATAAACATTGTCATATTTTACAGCCATCGTCAATGGCGAAAAACTGGCCGCTTGTTAAACAAATTACTATGGTAGAAGATTGACCAAAAACACCATGAAAAATGGGAAATAAATAAGCTCCGAGAATGGTTTTCTGTGTTAATGAATAATGGTCAGAAATCCAGAAATAATAATTCATTCCCAGAAAAGTTTATGGATCTTGTTTGAAAGCGAAAATATCATTTCTTTCTATATTTGACCTCCACAAGGCTTCTTCTCTTTCCTTTCAGCATGCCGAAAACAATTTTTTTATGCTTCGTCTGTTATGAGTAATTATTTAATAACGACTCTCTGAACAAACATGTTTCCCTCAACATACAACATTTTTTTTTGTTTATTTAGTATTTCACTTTTTTGCAGCCTTCTTCTTCAACTTGAATCTTCAAGAAAGGTTTTTGTTTCGTTTTCTTTGGAGTCGTCATAACCAACTGAACTGAAAGTTGTCAGATTAAGATTCAACTCAGAAGTAGGTAGAATACTTCTCGATGTTCCTTATTTTATTGCTTCGCTTACATAATAATAAAACAATTAAACTGAATTTCAATTGAATGAAACGAATATAAATGTAATTTCAGTAAATTATCTTGCCGGTAAATAAACTTTTATTTTGCATTTTAAACGCGTGCAATTTTACTTTCATTATTCTACTTCTTGAATATAAAAAGCAGCCAATTGAAGATTCAAGAATAAAACTACATAATAAAAATATTTTTTTCCATTTACTTCACTAGAAACAACACAAATCGATTTATTTTTTCATCCAGCATCATCCGACCACGTTTGAAGCAGATTTTTTTTCGTAATTTTCATTTGTTCTCTTCGACTTCTTGAATAATTTTCTCAAATCTTTGTTGACGTGAAATGAAAAGATTAATTCAAATGGAATGCAGCCAATGCGATGAAGATGTCTTAAAGTATTCTGCATTGGAATTTGTTGCATGCTTGGATAATGTATTACTATTTGAATTTTAAATGAAAATTGCTACTCGTGTAGCAAAAACAAGACATAAATCAAAGATGAAGAGATCAGAAGAAGGTCATTGGGAGAAGAATTTCCCCGAGATTTTATTTCACCAGCCACAAGCTCGTGATAAATGGGAAAAAATCTTTCATTCCTTCAATTATTCAACAAAAGTTGTTTTTATTGAAAAGCTTTATTCAAATCGTCACGTGGTTATCATCGATAAAAGAAGAAGTTTCTTCGATGATCTCGAAACTGAAGGGTGTGAATAATATTCGATTAGAATTTAATGTGAATCTAACATAAGTCAATTGGAATTTGTAAGTCGAATTGAATGTATGAAACCACATGTACAATTAGCAATTTATATCATTGTCGTAAATTAAACGTTACAATGATTTATTCATTAAATTCTGACTTTTTGTTCAAACTAAAATGATTTCTGATATTCTGTAAAATTCATCGACGTAAGAAAATCAGATCGCGACTCTTTTGCGTGCACCTCAAAAATCGCATTATAATCAAAGACATTAATTATTTTAAACCGTTTCTTGTCACTTAATTAAACCATAAAGTCGTGGATGCACTTAAACTTTTATTTCCTTAACCGCTTAAAATCACTTCAAGTGAACTTTCATATTTGCAAATTGAAATAAATAGTCGAGTGAAGGCTTTCTGATCATCAAGCGACAACTCTCTTACTTAATTAACGGCAAAACATTTCGAGTTTCATAAACGACAGTTTTAATTGATAAAACTGTTAACAGCTTTTTAAATTTTCTTACATCTTGTTTCTTTCTTCTGAATTGCTTCATAACAACAACGTGAAGTTGTACCACGTAAATCTACAACTTCTTATAAACGAGATCAAGGAATAAAAAGAAGTTCACTAAAGTTTTATTTTTATTTCATTGCAAACATTTAAGATATTCATTGATTAAACTTGTAATTTCTCATCCTTTTTTTTATCTTTCAAAAACTTTTCCTTCTCTAAGTATTCAAATGAAGACATAATTTAAAATATTTAACATTAGAACTCCAATTAAAGTTAATTTTCTGAAAATAAAAGCGACAATACCCTTCCAATAAAGAAGAGTGAAAGTCCTTGAAATTGTTTTCAAATTTTCGAATAATAAAAGCTAACACATTCAACCCAAACTTACCCTTTTTTTTTCTAGGTAAATGGTAAATTTGGTCCCCGGTAAATCCATATTTGCTCTAGTTTAACCATATCAACAGAAAACAGAGCATTATAATCTCACAAAAGCACATTGAAAGTCTTCAAATAATCATAAATTTTACAACTTGTTTTACTTTTCTTGGCCGTAAAATACAAAAGAAATCTAATTTTAATCCTTTTCCAAAAAAACAACATTGAGGCTTGCCTTGCAAAACATGCCCGAAGACAAATTGTTGCAAAAAGTTAATTATCCATGCTCCAATAAATCCTGCCTTTCTCTCGTCTCTATTCAGAAAAAGGCTTTTTACTGCACTCTCGTATCATTGTTGTCTATGTCGTTGTTGAATATAAAAGAATTTTTATCTTTCCCTCATTTGGATCAGCCTGAAGAAAACTAAACTAAAGGCAATGAAATCTAATTGGCCGAGAAATATCCAAAATAACCCAACATAGGACAATGGACGAATCCTTCCAAGGATATTGGCTATAAACATAAATTTGATGAACTTTTCCTCTTAAAAAACTTCACAAGAATTTTATGCAACAAGAATTCTATGTAAAAAATCTTTAAAAGATTCAGCGAATGATTGAAGAAAAAACATTTTTTAATTCAATTTACGATTGAAGTTTGAAATTTGTTTATTTAGCACAATTTAACGAAAGCCAGAAAATGAATTTCATTGAAAAGTTTTCAATTTTCAGTACAAGTGAAGTGTGTGGTGAAAGTATTTAAATAACTTATTGAATTACATTTCTAAACAAAATATTTAATTAGAATAGAAATAATGTAGACGAGTTAATACGTAAGAACTTCACATTAAATCTTATCAATGGTGTTCTTGGGAAATATTCAAAGTTTAAAGTTTTACTTTCAAAATACCACATAATGAGTGGTTAGAAAACATTGTTAATTAATCTCAGTGAACATGAAGTTTAATATCTTTTGGGTTTTGGTGAAATAATGATATGAACTGACTTAATTTTAAATGCAATCAAAGCAAACTTACGAGTTTTGACTTTTGTGATTTCTTCATTTATTCGCGAGTTGTTCTACTGATCAGACGAAATTTCAATTTAGAAAAGTTAATTAAAGATGCCTTTTGATAATGATTTGAGTATTGTAGAAAGTCGTGAAATCAGTCAATTGATAACGGGAATTATTAAATTCATGCAATCTCTCTCTGCAAGTTTTCCATCAAGTAAAAATTGTCAAAATTTAATTAAATTTCGATTAAGTTGAATTTTTCTTTTATAGTTCCAGAAAGCGCTCGATTGTCAAATGCTGAAGTCACTGAAATCACACAAACTTTTGGCATGAAAAAATCTAAACCTCGATCTGGCAAAACTTCCAGTAGCCCAACAAAAACTTCTTCAAATTTATGTTGCCCACCATGTCCAATGCCTTCTCAGTCAAAGCTTGCTAAAAAACCGTCAAAATCGTCAACTCTAAAAAGCCGTAAAAGTGTGAAATCAAAACGAAAGTCGAGTAAGAAGGGAAAAAATTCGAAAAGCAAAGCAGCATCACGACCAATGAAGAAGCGCAAGGGTTCAAAGTCTAACGTAAAACGTACCAAGAAAGCCCACAAATCCTCTGGAAAGAAAGCAAGCAAAATAAAATGCGAATGTTAGTGAATCTATGCTTGACTTCAAGCCTTTAAGCAAATATTTATTCTGATCTGTGCTTCTAAATTTCTAAAAAATAAACAAAATTCTTGTTGAAATCTACTCAATGTCTCGAACTAACATTTTCAAACATTCTTCTAATGTCAATGTCACAACATTTCTTCTCGCATTTCACTCATCGTCAACTCCAATAAATCAGTTTTATCAAAGAATTCTACGTTAACGTTTCAGATGAATTTTTTCAGCTCTTGTTGCTGAGATAAAATTTGCTATCAAGTTGATGTTGAATATTTATTATTAAAGTCTGATATCAAGAAGCGTATTTATTTCCAAGAAGAGGCAAATTTTAAAGACGAGAAACTTGATTGTAAGACTAATCCATTGAAGGATCCATCATATTTAATCATACAATGACTTTAAAGCAGCCAGCAGTTTGTTTTTAATTTTTTTCAGTTATTCATTATTATTTCTTATGTGCAACATCCAGATTTATCTCATTGCTGCAGGTACATTAAGTTCCATAAACATTATTAATTTAACTCGATTTAATCTCCAGAAAAAAAAAATGTTTTTATCCGCTTTTAATATCGTTCGTGTAAGAGTGAAGGGGAAGAGAAGGAAATCTGAGGATGGAAGGGAGTTAAATTAAAGCTTTAATGCTTAAGCACATTTCCAAAGTACCGAAAAGAAATGAAAGTAGATTGGCGAGATTTTCGGAATGTTTATTATTTGGATTATTAATTTTACGGTATTTACGGCATGAGCAAAATAATAACAACTTGCAATTCCACTTAAGGCATCTCGCTCGCTTCGATCGATTGTTTCAACATTTTTTTTTTAAATTGGAAAGAATTTTAAATTTATATTCACAAGCATTTTCAGATTGGAGATGAGTCCATTGAACAATGTAGTTATAAATAAAGTTACTTGACTTGAAAAATTCTTCAGGTTTGCACGCTTTCAGAAGCAAAAAAAAAAAAAAACAAAAGTCCTTCGAAACAGCAGAGGGCAAACATAAGGTGGGCGTACGAATCTTTGACTTTCAATGTTTTCTGATTTTTTATTTAAAATTTGCTTCTTTTTTTCATGTTTCGCAATTATCCGCATTGAGATGAAAATAAATTTCTTCACTTAAAAGATGTTGAATTTCCTTCTCTTGCAGCATTTCCTGTTTCTAACGCATTTTGTATTCATTCTATTGTTGTCATTAATTAAATATTCTTTCAATTATTTCGTTTTAAACTTCCAACATGTTTCAAGTTTAAACATTGCTAAAATGAAAGCAAAAACACTTTTCAGCCAACATATGTAATCGCTCTTCATATCACTTACTTATTTACATTAACTGCCATTCGAGTTGAGAACGAAAAGAACTTTCGCGTTCAAAAATAAACTTGTTATGCCGTAAAAGATTCAATCTCGCATGTGGTGTTGATGGAAGACCACATTAAATGAATTAAAAACTTTTTATTACGATATGTGCTTTCATTTTGTATACCAAGTTAACGAATGACTGTATGAAGCGTCGTCGTTTCGAGTACAAACATTAAATGTGAAACAGAAATAAAATTATTTGAAAAGTTTTCCCATCGTAGAAGAGAAAAGTCAAAATATCTGAATATTCAAAATGAAACTTGAAGTGTTTTCAACTCAACAAAAGCTCTTAAAACAAAGAAGAAAAAAATGCTTCAAAATCAATTTTAATTCTGTAATGCAGCCGACATTGTCATGCGTGGTAAATAAAATCATTTAATGCAGTAAATCTGAGAATTAAAGCTGCTGCTGGTTGTTTCTTACAATGCATGACAATTTTTCATCAGTAATTTCAATTTACCAAAAATTTATGTCCTTTTCCAAAACCATTTATAAAAGTTTGTAATCTCTGCGTGGAGAGCAAGTTTAATTCACAATCAAATATTGTATGGGAGTTTATTTTAAATATTGTGTTATGGTTTCATGGAATTATAATCTGTTAATTTATGCATTACATATTCAGATGACAGTTTTGGTGAACCGTGAAGTATCGTGTGATGCGTGTAAGAAATTTCATTTTATTAGTTTGTTTAAGGGAAGTTGAGTAAGGAAATTTCATCAGAACATTTGTTGTCAGCCCAAAACCGAATGTTGAGTGAGGCAAACTTAAAAGTTAAAATCGTGTGGAAATATTTACGTGGTTTGTAGGCGTATTGCGGTTTCGTTTTTATTAGATATTTCAAGCGCGTGATTATATGCGATGATGCTTGAGGATAAAAAGAGCTGAGAATCATCGAGGGATTAACATTGACAGATCGACTACAGAAAAACGACACAATACGACCATAAAAAAGCTTCGCGAAAATCGTATGAATTTCAAATGAAACTCGTTTTTGAGAAATGTCAATAAGCAAAAAGATCGATGAAACATGTCGTTGGCTTGACATTCGGTCAGGAAAAAAAGATATAAAAGAAGAAGAAAAAGGTTTTCTATTTAAGGACAGTTGTGAGTGATGTCGGGGGAGTTCGTTTCATGGAGATCAGTAAATCTCATTCGTCACTTAAATGTTGGCTTTATATGCAAAATCTAACCCATTTCAAAACTAATACGAGTATTGATTTGAAGACAAATTGATTAAGGGAAGTTATCAGACAGAATATTGTCAGATTGATGATAATCATGGGAAATATTTCGTACGCATTAAATCTCGAATAAATATTTATTGACCTATCGATAGGTCAAATTTATTTTCAATTTGAGTTCAAATTCCTGTAGGAATTTTTTCGGACGTTCATGTTTATGTTGAGCATTAACCGAGCATAAACAAGAGTTTATGTTTAATGTTGATGATCACTTTTTTGATTTATGTTTGAAAATAAAGAAAACTATTTTATGACGTCATGAAGTAATCTCAACAGTTAAAACCTGTTTGTCAAACATCATTCAAAGGAAAGCCTGTAGTTGCTGACAAAAATCTGTCACTGTTGATGCTTCTGGTTGGAATGATTTCCAAAGTGGAGTATTTTCATGAATATTTGTTATAACTTGGAATAGGACGATACCACATATGGTAATCTCAGCTTGATTTGTGTACAGTGTACACATGTTTCCATTGATTTTAAATTGTTTGTGTTCTTACAATGTCAACGATGTTCGTCATTCAGAAAGAAACAAGAATAATCTACAGTTTATGTGTCTATCAACTCGTGTTGTGTCGATGTTTGAACAACAAGCCTTTTGCAAAATCGATTCGAGTTGAAAATGAAAATAAATTTTACATGGTTCACAGATAATGTGCCATGCTGCTGAATAATTTTTGAATCACTCAGTGATGCACATGTGAGAGATGAATTCAAGTATTTAATTTAATCTCCCATAATCCGCACTGTTTGATGTAAATACTTTAATAGTTTAGAGATGCCTTCAGGTTATTTAAATCACCACCTCTTTAAGTATGCTTTGCATTCAAATTAATTTCCGACAGAAATTTACAAAAGAATGCTTCCAATATGTGAAGCGAGCAGTTGGTAATTTATACATATTGGGATGGAGATGAATGCGCATTAATCGCTCTTTTCATCTTTCACACTGACTTCTTTAAATGAATCAGAAGCTCATGACACAATAGAACTTTTTTCTTCTTTAGAAATCATCTCAATAGATTTAAAGAAAGATTTTAAAGCCTGTTTAAATCCTTTGTAACTTCCACAAAAGTCAGAAATACATAGCCCAAAATTGCTTGCAAACAAATTTAATTGTACAAATTGAGAGATGAATTAAGAATTCATGGAAAGCTTTATCCTGTGTTAGTTTCAGTTATATTAATTATGGTTATTTATTTACCGAATTAGAAAATATTTAATAAAACTTCAAAGGATAATAAGATATGCTTCTAAATATAGAAGCTCAACTAGGTAATTTAGTTTTAAGCGAAAATATTCAAATGCTATGTCAGAAAATAGATTTTCGCGTGAGTGAAATTAATTAACAGAAAATTTCCTTTGTTCCATTCTTTGATGTCGATAACTTTGCTTAAACTCTTTAAATTTCAATCAATTGCCATCGGCAAGCTGCAGATAACTTGTTAACCCATCCCATTCTCTTTTCATTGTTGTCCGCTCACGCTTTCTTATCCAAAGAAGTTATTCAATGTTCGATGATAAAAGTAAAAGAAAATTTGTTTCAAATCAAAAAAAAAATCTTTTTTTGTTATTCCGCATCATTAGATTCGTTCTCCCCCTTTTCTCTGTTATTCTTTCTTTTTAACAAAGATCAAAATGATCTTTTGATTGATCCCGAAAACAACACATAATGTGTGAATTTCGAATTAACATTTCACATGCTTAACTTCTAATATTTAGAAAGAAGAACAAGGCGATAGCTATAATAACCACTTTCGATGATTTTGCTTTTATAAATTTTTATTATCGGCTTTTGTATCCTTTTTTTTATTTCGTCTAACACATTTTGTTATTTTGTTAAAGAGATTGCTGCTGTTGCCGCTGATGATGCTTGTTGATGATGATCATATCAAGTGGAAATAATAGAAGAGTAAAGAGAAGGGTGAGAATATGATTCATTATCGGGTTTGATCTAATCAAAGAGCGACGAAGAAGGAAGGTTATTTTAAATTCATTTTATATATTTTAAGATGATACGAATAGGTATCATAAGGCGTACGAATAAAGCTGGCATTAATCTTGATACGTCTTCACCGACACGTAAATATGTTTTTAAATCATAATGATGATGCCCATCGGACGCATGTTGGCTCTTTAACAAAGCGCTGAAGAGTGCTAATAAGATAATAAGAAATATGATTTTAAGCATTGCTTGAAGGGGGGACTTTCGAAAGAAGACGAGATATAAAGCACATGACTTCAATATGAAAATGTCTAATCGCATTTACAGATTCACAGGAACGAGAATCATCCAAAGGCTAATCGCTGAAAATATTCTAACTTCGTCATATTTTTTTAGAAATAAATCGTTCAGTTTTTGTTTTGGGGAATCAAGCGAACCGCTAATTGCAGGTTTTGTTGGACACGACAGGAAACAGGTCGAAAGCGAGACGTGTAAAAAGCAACATTACGATCGATAATCGGACTAATGAATATGTTCCATCGTCATATAACATCATTAAAGATATTCTTCGAAAGATCATAAATTCTTGTGATTTTCTTGCCGACCGTACTGCAGAGAGCAGCAGCAGCATAAATCATATCAGAAAGCCATAAACACCACACATATGGGTTCAATTAAATCCCGCACATAATTTTAAAGTATCGCATCGTGAACATTATCGAAGCAAATGTCTGTGAAATTGTACATTGTGAGGCGAGGGCGCAATAAATAAATTCCATTTAACTAATTTTCTTACGCAAGATTCAGAAACGAGAAATCGTTTTTCATGACTTCAAAGAATTCTTGTCACAGAACGTCGTAAAAAATTTAATTGCGTTCACAGTGATACAATGTCATGAAAGTTAGTTTCGAAGGTTTCTTTTTAAATGCACAATTCCGTTCTCTTTTTGATTTTTTATTGAATTATCTAAAACATTTCAACATGATGTGGGCGTTTTTTTTCCTTCAGGATCCAATAAAATGAAACGAAAGTATTTTTGTGGAGTAAAAAATGAGTTCGACGAGATGTTGAGAAGGATAAGTTCAGAGAGTGATTAGGAGGGGCATTGTCAATATTGTTGTCAACTTAAACTTCTCTGTTTTCTCTTGTCCCTTTTATTAACTTACCTTCAGTTGACAAAAAATCTGCTTAAAAAAGAGTCTCGAAGAGAAACCTTCGTCTGCCTTTTTTTAAAGTATTTTTACCAAGCAAAAATGTGCACAAAAGAAGCCTATAAGTAACGACAATAAAAACTAATTACCTTAAATGGCTTTACACTTATACGATAGTTGGTTGTTGAAGGAAAAATGGTCGGATTATGTTAAACACAAAGTTTTGTCATCTTGTAACGACAATCTCTTTACCTGGAAGAGAAACTATCGCTTGCGAAGTGAATAAAATAAATTATTTTATAATTTTATTGAGTTGCCTCTGCCTTCGAAAAGTGCAATGAATGTTAAAGCAATCTTTTATAAAAATCACTTTAGCGTAAGAATTCTTTTTTATTTTTTATTATATTGGCGAGTGTATTGCCGAGAAGCGTGTCTGAAAAAATGCGCAGCCTTCAAGCAATGATATTTATCTTCCTAATGCTTTGGATGGCTGGCTAATGCATGTGTTGAACGCGAGCGAAGCGTTTATGATTTGCGTTACAAGTTATAACTCAAAAATTTCTCGCTTGGTTATCGCTTTTTGATACCGTGGCAAATCGATTTTTAACTACACAATGAGCAGAGAATCGTCATTGCCTTCAGCCTCCGACATCGTAATTATTCATCAATTCTTGTTTAATAAAAACTTACATTGTGAAGTAATCAACGTAATCTTCCGACAAAAAAATCTTTAGTGACTTGAAATACATCCAAAACGCAAAAGTTATTGTCGATTTCCGTATTCGAATTTATTAAAGAATTCCTTTCACGATTGTGACGATTGACATTGTCATTCCAACCTATTGACACTCGAACTCATATTGTGAACTCGTTTCGATGTGTTTTGCATATAAATCTGCATAACATTCCTCTCAACAATTCTTTTTTATGTATGAAGTTCTGATCACAACAACACAAACCATGAGGATCATCTGTTTTCACTTTTCATTGCCTTTTAAATTATGTACGAAACAGAAAAAGAATGGTTCAATGAAATGAAAACAGAAACCAAATTTGAATTCATTCTTCTTGACTTCTTCTCATTCATTCAAGATAGGCGTGAAGAATTTTCTGAGCGAAACTCAGCGAATTGAAATAAAATATTTTTCAGTTTTTCATTCTTTTCATGATTAAGGAAGCGAACTAAGAAGTTTCAGACTATTTTCGTAATATCTCACCACCATGAAGTTATTTGAAACCCCATGGAATTCATCTTAATAAATTATGGCTCAATGAATCGGCGCAAATTCTCTTCTTGGCGTTAAAGGAGTATAAGAAAGTATCTAATTCATTTCTTCCTCCAAGCATTGTGTTGCCTGTCAAAAAAGTTCTTACTCGAGAAGAGAAAGGAAGAAAATATAAAATAAAACTTTGTCACTTTCACTTCAAGACAAACAACTTGTTTTTATGCTGTGTTGAAAAAGAAGAATGGAAAGAACCACGCAAGATGTATGAACAAAAAATAAACTTAACGAGGTGAAGATAAAGTTTGTGGAGAGTCATAGGGAGGAAAGTGTAAAACATTTCAGTCGTGAATAATCTATCGTACTTGAAAGCCACACAGAGAGTGATTCAACAAGATTGCCTTTGCGCCTTTTTTTTTCTTCTCCTTTCAAAGCCTCAGCGGACAACATCAGGCGAGATATACAAAACAGAGATGAAAAGATGAAGAAGAAAAAGTGATGAATTTGAAGTCGTTGAGATGATACAAGTTTCTGTTGTTTAATAATTTGACACCTTGTTTCCTGAACCAGCAAGAGATGCGCAAGTTAATATCATGCAGCGTTAGATGGGCGCACATTTCATGATCATATTTATCTCTCAGTCAATAGTTGAATATTTACTTTGTAGATATAACAGCACGAATTTATTATTCAGCAAAGTGCTGATTACCATCCGACAACAATGTCTCTTTAATCAAGCGTTGAGGGATTTTTTCTAGTTGAACTTCCATCCAAACATATCATGAAGAATGAAGAAGAGTCAACAAAATCCGAAATTCCAATGGCATTTCGTTTCTCTCGAGACAATTTCGACTTCTTTTCAGTATTTACACAATGCCATCTTCGTTGTCATGTTCCGAAGAGATGTTTAAACCAAAAATAATTTTCTGGAAAGTAAGAAGCGTCGTTTCTTCTTCAAATTTGAATACAAAAGCTACCTCGGGTGCATTTCGATGCACTTGAAGACAATAAGTGAGTATTTCATGAAAGAAAAAACAATTAAAGTTTCGTTAACAGACGCTTTTGTGTATCTTGTGTCTGAATGGTTTCATGGAAGCATAACATGAAATGTTAAGCATGTTTTCATACGATGCATCTAATATTTTGTAATGACATTGAACAGTCATCGTCGTAGAGCGTTCACAACCAAACTGTATGATTTTTAAAGCTTAAAGTGTGAGCAGGAGAAGCGAAAAACGAAGGAAGATGATATGCACAGCACGAAAGCAAATAATATTCTTAGTTCAAGGCACTGCTAACCTTCTAACCGAGACAAAACAAGAAATGCGCTTCATAGTTGCTGAAGAAATATGACGTCTTCCAATTTATTTGTTAGTTTCCCACAGAACTAATCTCCCGCAGTCACATCGGGACAAAATAAAAAAGAAATTGGATACGATTTAACTTGTCAGGAGAGAAGGCAAAAATAGACGAAGCTGGAGTGAAAAATTACGTGTGAAAAATACTTAAATGCTCAAGACACGATTCTACGGTTGATGATATCATTTCAATGTTTTTCCTCCTTCTTTCTCTTTTAACAAACTGCAAAATTCATCTCTTTAAACATGTTAGGTATACAAATTGCAGAAAAGCGTGAAATAAATAAATTTAAAGAATTTTATAAATGTGAAAATCACTTTCATCGTTTTAAAACTTTCATTTCAATTATTTAAATTTTTCTTTATCTCGTCATCAGTAAACATTTGATGAACCAAATTTAAAAAATTTCCCAACAGGAAATTCAATATTAATTTATGACTATCTAATTAACATTTAAAAAACAACAATTTTGTGATTTGTCTTGAAATAAATCACTCGCGACACATTTAAATATTTATTTTCACATTAGCATAATGATGCAAGATCAACGTGGAAAGAAACTCTGAAGCTCAACCAGTAATTGCTAGTTTTTTTTCCCTTTACTCTTCTTCTTCATCATCTTTCCATAGTCGAGATGAAAGCGTGTGATGTTTAGGCCCACCAGTGGAACGATGGAAATGTAAGAAAATGATTAATCACTTAATTCCTATCCACCATAATCACCCTGAGAGAAGTGAAAGAAAAGAAATGTGTGGCACACACACGAAACGCGTCAAATCGCTCATTGTAAGTTCATTTGAGAAGACGAGCGAGAGAGAATGAAAGGAAAAAAAAAGCATTTCGATGGTTTAATAAATTACATTTTCCTTCAGATGGGAGTAATGGACAAAAAATAACATCACAAACTTGAACACCAAAGGCCATTACAACAAGAAACTCAGGCGGGGGAATATTTAACCGAATATAGAGACATATGTGAAAATAAATATCCAAAATCATTATAATTTGTATAATTTCTTCGTGAACAGACAGTTAATAATAATGGGCGATGATTTTTTGTTCGACCACACAGACTTTGTGTAAACATCTATTGGCCTATGGTCGTCTTCGTCTTGGCCTCACAATTGTTCAATGTCTTCGAACTTTGTCAAAGATATATGAGATAAATAATGAAATAACAAAGTTAAATCGACACTTTTCCTTATAAATTTGATGTTTACATTAGTGGACAAGTGATTATCTTAATTAATTGCCGCATTCATTGGTTGCTTTATTCGTGTGACTTTATGGGTAAAGAAGAAACATCTGATTTAAAGCGCAGCTTAAACTGACAAATTGAGGATAAATTAAGCTCGCCAATATGTCAGCATTATCACTGATTTGTGACTCGCAAAGATAAACGAGAAATCATAATAAAAATTTAGAAATGAATTAAAATGTTTGTTCCAAAATATTCACTCACCATTTAATTATAAATACATGTGAAACAGTTAGTCAGAAACAGATCATGACAATGATATTTCAAACTGCTAGCTCGTGGCTTTCCAACTTCTGAAAAACAAAAAAATGTTTCTTTGTTGTTCTTTCAATTTGCGTCAATCGAAAGCAAACAAAACACAGAAACTTTACTTTCAATATAGTTTTAATAAAAGATATGATTGAACAGACTATTGGTTTACCTTCATTGAACTTATTTTTATCTTATTTTACTTCATTTAACCTGGAGCGTGTCGTCAAACTTTGTAATTGTGAAACTTTGAACAATTTTTATCGATGAGAAATGACCGCGAAGCGATACTTTATAAAAAATGACTACAAAGTTTGTTACTCACTCACTAATATCTTTAAAAGCAAAATTCCTCACAATTTGAGGCACCCACTTGTGAATTCGTGTTGAAACTAGAGCAGTGATACTATTTAGTGTGGTAGCTTTTCGGAATGCCATTCATTATAAAGACTTTATTCGAAATAAATCTGCGAAGGAGGATTTGAGTATGGACATTGAGGAAATTAAATATTCTCGTTGTGGCATTAGCCACACATTTTTATAGCATCAAAATACATTTTCTCGGTCATAAACTCATATGTGTATAGCTTTTTGGTGGAATTTTTCCCCTTTTTGAACTTCCAGAAGCTCTCACATAAAAGCGAAAATGTGTTGTTAAAGTTTGAATGGAATGATATCGTTAAGAATACGACGTCGCTTTCTAAGACGAGCTTTCAATGGGATTAGCTTCCGTTGATGAGAAGAAAAGCAAGTCAAATATAAATTGAAGACAGAATGATTTTAAAAATCAATAAAATTAATTCAAGATTTACTACCCAACTTGGAGTTTCAATTTAAATTCAATTTTTTAAAATTTATTTCGGTCACATTGCATTTTGAATGCATCAGAAATGGAAATTTTTATGTGAAAATAAATCAAAATTTAGCTTCGAATGTCATCAGCCTGACTCGCAGCTTCAGTAATAATAAACTTAGTCTTAAGATTATGACACCGTCGAAATGATTTTATAATGCAATAAAAATGAAATGAAAATATCTTAATTCATTTGTTACGATAATGAAGGAAAGCGCATTCTTCATAAATAATTTATAGCTTGAATCTCCCGCTTGCTCGCTCTTTCACTCGCCTTTTAATTGAAACATCAATTTGCGAAGCGAATGTACATTTGGCAATTAAATCGTTAAAGTTCTTGTGTGGTCGTCGCTCGAGAGTTTCTCTTTCTTCTCATCACGATGTCTTCAAAAAAATCTTAATTGACTCAAGAATTGATACAGAAAATCATCCCACTGAAAGTATTGACATTTCCATTTGATTTACCGACATAATCTTGATCCAAATTTGGTCGACAGCCGCATGGAGTTGGACACTGACGAAATAACAAATCGAGGTCCCGTTGTGATTTAACTACAAAAACACGAATCAAATCTCCCACAGCTTTAAGTCGCCTTCATTTTTGTCGTCAAGGCATATAACATATGTCGTCGGTTGAGTAAACTGTAACCTAATCACGGCTGCTGATGTACGGTGGGAAAGTTGAACATGTTAAACTATCATGAACCTTACTAAACGAAATCTTTTCCCGGGGTGGGTGGATCAAAGTGGACCTTCTTCTCGATCTTCTCCACCTTTATTTAATTATAGTTTCATTCGGATATATCTTCGGACGACAATAAATTTCATCTTGGGAATGAATCTTCCTTCACTATTTTATTTTGATGTTGTTTCTTAAATACAGACGAATAAATATAAAATTAATAATGATTCGAGAAGTCTTCCCACAGCCTCTTAAGGATGAATTCAATTTACTATTTTTATGGTTGCATTTCCTCACAGCGGGATACAAACGATCTAAGCATACTTGTTGCTTCCTTTCGGTTCGATTATAAAAAGGCAATAATATTTTTTTATTTACTCACATGACAACAACCTGACTCAATTCTCTTGCCCGCATCAACTTCACGACGAATAAACATTTTATTCGTCTAAGTTTGGAGCAAGTAGTCATGAGAAAGTAAGACCACCCTTAGCAAGCTCAAGAGACAAAACATAAAAATAAATAAATGTTAGCCATCCCATCATTTCATCACGTGAAGTTAATTTGAATCAATGATTATTTCCCCATACATAAAAACTGTCAGCACATTTGTTTGAACATTTTTCGAACCTTTCAATTCTCGTTTCTTCAAGAACTTCTCTGTGTTGAGATTGATTCATTTCTGATTATTTAAACACTCTGATTTATATTTGTCTTTCGTTAAATAACTATAATTATTCCTCTCGCTCTTTTATTTATTTATTTATTGGCTGTTTTGTTGTTTTACAGATCGAAGTCGATTAAAAGATATTTAATTGACGGTAATTAATATTTTTTCTGTTTTCCTTTCTCTCACGGCATCACGACAAGCAACGTTCGTTTATTTTGTCAAATCAGTTATCCTTATCGTACACACCAAGCATTGGTTAAGGAAAGTGAATAACAACAAATGGCTTGAAGGTATAATCGATGAATATGGATCGAAATGGTGGGTCGGTCTGAAGTTTTCCTTTTTTAAGTTGCTCAAATAACGAAATTGCTTTGAAGTTCAGATTTCTATTCAGACCACCATCGTATGTATAAAACATTGTATTTACATTTCTTCTGTTGCTTAATGTCTCGCCGGTCCATACGATTATATATCTCGTGGCGTGTCAAGAGATCGGAAAAAAAATCCCCGTCCTAGTCGAAGCAATGTCCCAGTTGTTTATTCAATTCCAAGGTAGTCGTCAATCTTTTACTTTCCGTCTTCTCGACTCTTGCTTTCTACCTTTATCTGTTTTCAGCACAGACATTTACTTTTGCTGTTTATTCCAATGTTTTTTTTTTCTGTTTCAGATGAAAACAAGAGAAATGAAGGATGGTAAACGAAAAGCACGTACGAGTAAATATTGAGAGCTCACTTTTTATAATTTTTATATTTTATTTTATTTTTTTAACATCGCAGATTCTCCTTTGATTTCTTTTGTTGATTTAAGACGCAGACGAATACCTTTTCATCACGCGCTTTTTCTTTGTTATTTATTTTTATGGTCGATTGGAGACAATTTTCTTTATCTTTTTGTTATTCAAGAAGAGTTACTCGAGAAAATAAATCTGACGTGCTTTTAAGATATTCAAACTTTTCAAACCGAAATTATGTAAGGACGCAAGGTTTGAAGGAAAAAAAACGAAAAACTTTCTTCTTCCCTAAGTCAATTATCTATTCAAGGTGAGTAGCTTCTCCTAAAACTTAATCCGATGCTCTACAAATGTCTTCGTTCCTTTTCCCAAACACATTTTGATTTAATCAAATTACTTCAACTCACTTTAATACAGAAAAGGACGATGTCGCATGGGAGAAAAGCTGGAAGATATGATTGTAAAAGCCTCCGATGAGTCCAAAACCTCATTTCTTACGTCTTTTTACCGAGCATCACGTTCCAATGCTAAGAAGACCCTTTTTGAATTCAATATTTTATTGAATCTGTCGGTGTTGTTAATTTTTTTTTCCCATCGTCTTTCTCATTCTTCTTTTCCACTTTCCATCCATTAATGTCGTGACGAAAGTGAATTCTTTAAAGAAGAAACAAAAATTTAGATGCGAAGTTAACTTTTCGAGGACATTTTCGTGTTTTTGTTACAGACAAGAGAGAAAAAAAGAAATTTAAGACTAAAATAATCCCAGTTTATTAAACGTAATTTCTTCAATGAACTTCAAGTTTGTTACTTGCCTTCACTTCTTTAAACGTGATACTTTTGATTATTTATATTTCCTTTGCAACTTTCGCGAAATGAGATCGTCCCAGAAAAAAAGAACAGAAAAATTGGTAATTACTTGAAAATATGTTGGGCTGCAAGGAAGCGGGACAGTTCATCACCAATAAACGCGGTAAAGTGAACGATAAAAGACGGTCGTTATAACGATTTGCTGCGCCAAAAATTCAATATTTCATGAGAATAATTTGGAATATCACGTTTCAATTTTTAGCTTCTGCCATCGGCTTTTCGAGCGAAATGTTTGTGTGAGAATTTCACTGCCATCCTGTCGAATCACGACTTAGCTTTAAGGCTTTTTAGACAAGCAATATTTGACACGAGATTACCGTTCCAAAAATATTTTAAAGTACCTTGATTGATATTCCGCAGTCACCGAACGTAATTCTCTATCGCTCTCGAAAAGTTTTTGAAGTTAAAAAACTTATAATTTGATGAAGCTTCAATTTATTTCAAGATAATTTGATGTGATGCACTTGCACGAGTCAGTAAACCCACTTGATGCGAACTTTCATCAACCAGATTTCCTTCGAAATTTGAAATTCCCAAAAACCTTTCATTGTGATATTCTTCCGGGTATAATTTAATACTGAAAGGTTTAAGGGCAATCAGGAGAAAGATTATTGATCGTGACATGTTTATAAAATGTATATTGAAGTCATCTGAACGAAATTTAAGTATGTTGATCTCTTTTGCGAGATGAATGAACTAAACAAAGAAGGTCATCGACAGATGGGATGACGGACCGCTCTCAAAAAAGTTACCAATTGTGAAGATTATGCAAAAACAAAGCTACGTAGACATTTAATGACATTTTCAGAAGAAAGACAACATTTGGAATGGAATTATATCATTAATTTTCATCTTTTGATGTCACAATGGTCATGACTTTATGACGTGACAGACCAACCAGTCGCGTCAACTTAACAACAAGCCAGACCCATAAAGTAAGGTTAATGATACAAAAGAGATGAAAATTCCCTCTTCGAAGAAAAGAAAGAAAATCATTTCATCATAAAGTCCACCACCAGCAGCAGCAGGAGATATCCGATACTTTGTTAGAAATGGTTTTTCGTTCATGTGTCATCCGATACGATGATAATGTCAATATTTTTCCGAATGAATTAATAACGAACATTATACTCTTATGTATGGATATCTCATCATAATGAAATTATTTCCTTCGTGTGAGTTTGTTGTTTGTTGCTTTTGAGATCTTTCATATGAGCATATATGCAGCTTTCTTCTTCGATGATAACCGAATTGTAAGATGAACAGCATAACGAATAAGTTCATTAATTATAATCATCCGACCGCCTTGATGTTGCTGATTCTTTTATGAAGTTTGCTCTTTGTTTCTTCTTTTTTTCATTACATTAAGTTACATCACAATACAATTATTTTTGCCTTTCTTATTATTCGTTGAAGCATCTTGCAAATACTCGAAATTACTTTCATAAGAAAACAGCAGAACTTTTGCACTTGTTTGTGTTTAACATAATTTCGTAAGTGCATAATCAAAACTACATTGACTTTTATACTTATGTACATATATTTAATCTAAATGTTTAAGGACTTATTGATATTGCAGACGGTAAACATGAAGATGAGCAAAACATTTTAATTTTGTTTTCTTGGAATTTATTTATTTGAATTTGTGGGGAAATTTATCTAAATTTAAAAACATGCTAAATGACTCTTTAAGAAGTAGTTAGAAAATCATTTAATTACTATCAGGGTAGAAACCTGATGTTGCATCTCATAAATCTTTTCTCTTATTAATTTCCAGATGTGATATTTACCGGAGACGAGAACGAACCAATTGCATATCATTAAAATTCACTTGCGATGGAAGACGAGAGTAAATAACAACATCTCAAGCAGATTGCGATTATAAAGCTTGCAATTCCTTAATACTTAAAAAGGAATGAAATGAAGAGTCATGGGAACAGATTCAATTTCGATGTCGAGATGTTTCTCTTTACTTGTTAATGTCACGCCATTTCCCGTTGATTGGATTGTTTCTACCTTGCCATGCAATTGCTGCAGATTTCCTTTTGTTGCATGATGTTAGTTTGGTAGGAAAGGATGTCAATTCAATGTGTGTATGCTTATGTAAGCGAAATCATGATGATTGCATGCTATTCTCACCATCACTTCAGCAATGAAAGTTAGATCACAATTCACAAGGCATACACATTTTTTATGTGTATCCTGTCTCAAAAACTAGTCAAATATATTTTCATAATAAAAGAAAGGAATTCACAATCACATTCTTTTCTCTTTCACAAGTTGCAATTGATGCGACCGCATCCGTCAACGGCTCGCTCTCGACTGATATCGTCGTCTCTCTCGCGCCCAAATGAGCCGGCTCAACAATCAGTCTAATCCCACCGGATCAGCAATCAGCAAAAAAAAAAGAAATCTTCAGCAAAAAACATCCTTTCCCTTCACTTCAACCTTTACAAACCCCGTTATGACGGTTGAAAGTGTTCTTCAGCCATTCACCTCAGGTTTTGTGTTTTTATATTAAAGATTCCTTTTAATAAAACAGCATATGTGATACGATCAAGTATCAAAACCAAAGTAGAAAGGATGAAGATTCATTTCACTGCCAGCAGGCTTTCAATAGAATTAAGAATGAAAAATATGAAAAAGATTTTTACGCAAGTGAGTTGTGAAAATATTTCTTTCTCTTCCATTTATTTATTATTATCAAAGGATTATTTTTATTCCACTATTCATCTCAGCTAACATTTATTTTGCAAAGAAAGCAGTTTGACAATGCTGAAAGAGAAATTACATTAAATAGTGAACGCACGCAACAGCACAAAAAATTGTTATTTACGGAATGAAATAAAAAAGAAGCGGCAGAGCGAAAACAAAAGAAAATTATTGCGACTCATATTTCATTGTGAATCAACGAACGAGCCAGTGCTTGAGAGTTAATGATATAGATGAAGGGAAAAAGTTTTTTTTTGTTTGCGTATCTAAGACTCAGACTCAGTGGAATGTAACATTCGGGATATTGACATACATTACAAGGATAATTATGTTCTCGTCTCTCTTTTATTCAGATAAAAATAGATATTTAGGCTAAGTGGTTTTACTATCATCTCACATTTCATTGAACTTCTATTCATGATCAATTTATGTTGTCATTGATACTTAAATCAGTTTGATTACGTACATAAATAAATCAACATTTTGAATGAAAAGTTCAACATGACTTCCATGGATTAAAGAAATTAATTAACTCTTAAACATCATGAAACAACTTTTGACTTCAAAGACTTTTAAAAATGTTTTTTAGGCCAAGTTTTGAAGAAATTTTCACGAGAGTTGATCCAAAATTACCTTACGAAAAAAGGATTTTCATCTATCTACACGAAATACGTGCTTTTGAATTGCAATGAACGACATCAAAGAGATTGAAAATCAGAAAAAGGAAGACGAAAACCTCACCTCACTTCAACGCTGTAATTACCGCTACATAGGAAAGGTTGTTCGATGCAAAAAAAAAACATGTGCGGGAAGATTTTTTTCGTGCTTCTCTAACATTTCTAACGGGTCTTGTAAAACAATAAAGAAAGGATTTAAGATAATTGTAAACACGAAGAAAAAAAGGCTTTACCGTTAAAGCCGTCGACATTTGCTTTGCTTGAGTGCCAGAAGGAGAATACAAAACACAATTTTTCTCTCTTCTTACCTAACTGGAGATGTGAAAGGAAAAATTCAATCTCATTCAAAACAATTAGGACTTTTTTTATGAACTTTCTTCTTCGCTCTTACCGTCGTTTACAAACTTCTTCCGGTAATTTCACTGGCACTCTCAATCCGTTACTTTCCTTCTTTTCCATGTCTTTCTTCCTACGCAACAATCATCTTTACTCTGAAACTGTAAAGTGTTAATAACATTTGAAGCCTTTTTTCTATCTACATACGGCTACCGCATCTCGAAACAGATTTCAATCGCTGTAAGGTAATCATTAGTCAATGTTTCCACCCTTTTCCTTTTTCTATCTCATGGCAGGTCGAAACATTGCGAGAATATTTTTATGTAGAAGAATTTTCAATCGCTTTTACGTGCCAGCGGTCGAATTTCGAATTTCTAAAGTAAAATCAGCTCTGAAAGTGGAAATGTCCCGTTGGAAATTGTAATTTAATTTTAAGCAACGCCGAAACGTGGAACCTGCGGGGATTAAAATTGCTTTTCAATCTTCATTCGAATTTTTGGGGTGATAAAAGAAGAAGCATGAAAAAAATTGTTGAAGAAGGAAATCATTAAAATTCTCTCAAGACAAAAACGATTAAAATTAGAAGAAGAAGAAGACCAGGTTGAAAGGGTTTGCTGCTGGTTGGCGAAGATATTTGAACCATTTCAATCTTCATTTTCGAGCACATTTCAAATTGAAATATTTTCTTCAATATCTATAAAAGGTATAAAAGGAGAATCTCATTCGATAACAATTTAAAACCACGCGTTTATTTTATTATCGGGAGTTGAAAGCGCTTGAAGACTTTTTCTTGTGTGAACCCACATGCACAAATAACTCTTTTTTATTTGCTTCGCCCGATATTTTTATTAGGATTAAATAACATCCCGAACGAATGAGAGAAAGGTCGTAGACAGGCAGGCAAATAAAACGAAACGAAGCACCGTAAAATCTCGAGAGATATCGTATAGCAGGTGTAAAGTTGAATTTTTTTTTTTTGTGTTTTCATATTAAACAGAATTAAACGTTTGAAGCTGGATGAAGCAATTTGGGATTGTGCAATTTATTCTCTTCGGGTTGAGAACAAAAGAAACACAAAATGATCCATGAAGTATAAAAAAACCTTTTCTTGCTTTGTTTTTCTTTTTCTGTTCGGTAATATTACGTACGGTTCATGATTGTGAGAAAATGACAGCAGCCAACCAACTTCTTTTCAGTGGTTTCGAGTTTTAAAAATATTTATCAAGAAGATTTATTTGTAAGTTAAACTTTCCGCTGGCGATTAAAGAAGCGAAATATTTTACAAATTAACAAATAATACTTGCGGCTTGCCTTAGCTTGGTGGTTTTATATTGAAGCTTTAAAATATTTTTATTGCTTCATTTTTTTATCCCTTTTGGTAAAGGAAATTTGACATTCCTTCAAAGATGTTGAATGCTTGAAAATCATGAAAGCTTATGAAGAAATATTTGCAATTGTCATTGAGATATTTTCACATGGAATTCACTTCAATGCGGGTTGAAATGAAATAATAACAATAAAAATACTTATCAACTTGCTTAAGTATTTCTTTATGGTGAATCGTCTTGCTTAACTCGTCTCATAAGAAACATGAATTATTTATTCAATTTCAATTCTTTCTTGCTAGTAAGTAGATACTTCCATTCAAATCTAATGTAAGTAAGAACTCTTCTCGACAAACCAATGAAGTGAATCATTATTTATTATATAAAAGATTGTAAACACTGCACATTTGCATTCGACAATATAAGAAGGTCGTAGTTGAGCGAATAAAACTTTGCAATGCTTTCAAGTAGAGAAAAGAAAGCAATAAAAAGTAATTTGATTGAGCATAAATTTTAAAAGAAGCGGAAAGAATTTTCATAAATGTTGTAACTGACGTAATGCGATTCTTGTGTAATCATTTGAAATTGATGGCAGATAATAGTCGTCGTTGATTTGTAAATTCGCTTTAAAAGCTGTGAGAAAAATCTTTTAAAATCAATCAATAGTAATGATAATCCTCGAAAGAAATAGAAGCAAATAGCTCGACAATGATTATTACAATGTAACAACATCTGGACGATTAACATCGCTGAATTTTAATAACTTTGATCCCTTGCTAAGCCGTCTTTCTAAAAACATCGTCTTTAAAAGCTAATCATCAGCTTTTTATGAGTGCCATGAACGACCAACAGATATCATCATGCCAGACAATTGTGCGTGATTTAAAACGTGAGGGGATTCAACATTTAAGAAGCAAACTCATTACATTAAAGTTTATGTTTCTCTAGAAAAACACTTCAAGTCACTGCTGTAAAGTGAGAAGTTTATTACTCAAGAAGCTTAATTGGACGTCTAATTTCTTCATTTCGCTCGCTAATAATTGCTTTGCTATCGTTTTAAGGCACTTTAATGATGTGCTTCGGAATGGGAGGCTTCATTTCGTTTTCATTTCTCAATTATTTTTGCCCTTTCAAATCTGAAACATAGAAAATTAATTTTTTTGTGTCTTTGTCTTTGATAGCCTCGAGGGAAGAAATCGAAAGTTGGAGTCACGAATATTTGACCATCACGTAATTGTTTATTTATTTTAATTTGTGAATAAAATTTCATGGGATTAAATTAAGGATTTAATGAAACCAAAATCGGGCTATGACGACAATTTTTGAAGCAAACAGCGAGTGATGATGAGTCGAGTGTTGTGGCATTTGTGAATGAAGATATAATCGCATGATTATTTAATAACCCGAGCGATTTACACTCAGTTTTTATGAGTCGGCGCACATGATGTGCCGCTTCTTTAAGTATTCCATATTTCATCTCGGAATTTATTTTACATAAATGTGTTTGAATTTCAGGAGAGTTTTAAAGCGCAAATGGAATTCTTAGGATGAGTTATGTTGCCAACATGTTTAGTATTTTGATGATAATTTTTCTTCCCGCTTTTTTTTCTCTGTGGTTTTCATGATTTTCTGGATTTACATTTCAAGTGTTGGTTGTTAGGAAAACTTATTTGTTTAGAACATACCACAATTCATCTCAAGCATCATATCGTTTCAATACTTCCTTCTGCAATTTCTCATTCACATTCAGATGTGCAGTTTCAGACGCAAAAACCTCAATACGAATGTGTAGAAATTAAATTTAGATAAGTGAAGAGGCTTAGAACAGCGGAAACAAAAATTTATGCTTTAAATTAATGCTGAATGTGATCTTTTATTTTTAGAATATTGAATAAGTCTTGGACATGAACGATAAAGGGATGAAAGGACATTTGTGTGGTCTCGGACGACTGTTAAGTCATGAAAACACCAGAAACTTATCGAATAATCAACAGATGGAAAGAAATGTTGAATGAAAGGATTACACAAATGTTAGGAAAATGATTACAAAACTTAAAGTTTCAAATGAAAACTTGAAGTCTACACTTTTGGAGTACTTCTGGGGATTCACGTAAACTTGATTAAGTTATCTCAGGAAACAATAACAGACGAAATTTATCTTTTAAGGAAAGTACTCGAGTTAATCATCCACTTACGCAATATTAATCGAATTAAATAATTCCTTTCTTATCAAATATTAAGTGATAACGATAAGATAAACAGTCAAGCATAAACAAGTATAAAAGCAGCAAGTAATCGACAAGAATTTTCAATTAGTTTCTATTACTTCGTGGATAAAGTGTTTGTTAAAAGTTTTAAGTACTGCAATGGATTTTAAAGTACTTTTAATGGTTATCGCAATTTTCGCTGTTGGCGAAGGAAGTTCAAAGTCTCAAGTTAGTCGTGGAAATATTTTACCAAGAGATGAACCGTCGTTTCGTCTGCCGTTCAACACTCTTCCATTACATTATGATCTATCATTGACAACTGATATTCATCGAGGAGATTTTGATTTTTCTGGAGTTGTTCGGATAAAGTTTGTTGCTTTCATCGACACAAGTCAAATTACGCTTCACTATCGTCAACTTTCCATCAATAATATTGATTTGTTTGATGATTCTGACCCTCCTGAACTTCTTGAATCCAATTTGGAGTTCACATTAGATCCTGAATATGAGTTTATAAGAATTGTTACGAGCCCAGGTTTGAATGAGAATCAAAATTACACTGTGAGCCTTTCTTACAATGGAACTTTAAGAGAAGACAATTACGGATTCTATCGAACCTTCTATAAAAATGAACTAGGAGAAACAGTTTGGGTTGCATCAACTCACTTCCAACAAATCGATGCTAGACACGCTTTTCCTTGCTACGATGAACCTCAATTTCGAACGACATACTCGATTGACATTCGTCATGATGCCAGCTATTTCGCACTCTCAAACATGCCAGTTGAATCTGAAGTTTTAGAAGATGAGACAAATTATGTGACAACTCGATTTGAAATGACGCCACTTATGCAAACATATTTTGTTGCTTTCGTTGTGTCAGATTATGCAAGCATTGAGAATAATGCAACATTAAGGCAAAGAGTTTTCGCAAGAGCAGCTGCAATTGAACGTGGTGAAGGCAATTTTGCTTTGGAAGTTGGTGAAGTGATTTTAGACGCTTACGAAGAATATTTGGGCGTTCCTTACAATCTTCCGAAGCTTGATCAAGTCGCTGTGTCTGATTTCGATTGGGGTGGCTTATGGGGTGGCTTGTGCATCTACCGAGAAGACAATTTACTGTTCAATGAAACAATCACCACGACACGCCAACGTGAAAATATTTTGAGATTGATTTCGCACGAATATTTGGTGAGATAAGTGAAAAGTCAAGTGCCAATCAAATTTTTATCTTGAGAAATTTTCCAGCATAAATGGTTTGGTAATCTTGTTTCGCCGCTTTGGTGGAGTTATATCTGGTGAGTTGTTGCGAATAATAATCCACAAAGAACATTTCTTATCTTATCGATTTCAGGCTTAACGAAGGTTTCGCAGCACTTTACGAAAGATTACTCACAAGTGCTGTTTATCCTGAACATCGATTTATGGATCTTTTTGTGATTTATGCTATTCAAGGAATGCTTGAGACTGATGCCGATCCAAATATCCGACCAATGACATTCTACATTGAGAGACCTGAAGAGATCTTACAAATCTTTGATAACGTTGCTTATGCCAAAGCTGGTGGCGTTCTTCAAATGTTGAGAGTTGCCATAGGACCATCGACATTCACAAAGGGAATTTCAAATTATTTAGAATTAATGGCAGAACTTTCAGCGATTCCTGAAGATCTTTACGCTTCAATTCAATTTGCTGTTAATGAAGATTATCCTGTAGATCCACCAAATGTCGGTGTAATCATGAACAGTTGGGAATTTCAATCTGGATTTCCATTAATTACAGTAACACGTGAAGGAAATCGTTTAGTTTTCACTCAGAGTCGATTCTATTATGGAAATGAAACATCAGACGAGCTTTGGTGGGTCCCAATAAATTATGTTGTGGCATCAAATCCCGATTTTACAGAATCACTGCCTGACTTGTGGATGGATCAACAGCCAACTGTCATATTGAACAGTGCCAACGCTACAAAACCTTGGACTCAAAACGATTGGATTGTCGTAAACATTCAGGAAACTTTCTATTATCGTGTTAACTATGAAGAAGATTTATGGAACTTACTTATCAATCAATTAAATGGAAATGACTCCAACGTGATCCATTTATTGAATCGTGCGCAATTAATCGATGACTCGTTGAATATTGCACGTGCTGGCATGATCAGCTATGAAATTCCATTCGCCATTCTTGAGTATTTGCAGAGGGAAGTGGATTATGTCCCATGGTCAGCGGTAAGTTTAATGACTCTTTAAACAGAGTTAGAAACTTTAATTGAAAATTTTCATTCAGGCAAATCGTGGGTTGACTTTACTTAATCGATGGCTTGAAGGAACATCAGCTTATCCAAATTACCAAAGCTTTGTTCGTCGAATTGTCGAGCCACTTTTCATTGAATATGGAATGGAAGTGATTGCCAATGAACCAGAACTCAATCGTTATGCTCGTTCACTTGCCATCAACTTAGCGTGTGAATCTGGAATTGAGTCATGTCTTTCAGGAACCTCTCAGAGACTAGTGGACTTAGTTGAGAATGGCGTCTTCATTGCGCCAGATTTACAAAGTGAAATTTACTGTAATGGACTGCGACAAGGAAATCAAGATGCTTTTAATTTCTTACTTAATAGAATGCGAACATCAGAATATCTTTCCGAAAGGACTTTGATTCAAAACGCATTGGGATGTGTGCAAGATGCTCAAAGTTTGGAGTTTTTATTGAATTATGCTTTATATTTTGGAACTACTTTACGTTTGCATGAACGTTTTAATATTTTGCAAGTTCCTTTGAATGGTGGTGCAGTTGGACTTCAAACTATGATGAGTTTCATCAGTGAGAACTTTATTGCAATAAACGGAATCGCTTCTGATCGAGTCAACGCAATGCTTTCCAGTATCGCTCCTCGTATAACTTCAGAAGCTCTTTTTGAACAATTCCAAAGTCTTTTAGTGACTTTGGAAGAAGCTGAAGTTATTACAAACAGTTTTGGCTTAAGTCTCAGGTCGACAGTCGCCACAATATTCGAATGGCAAGCAGCATATGTCAGTGTAATCGAACAACTCTTGTCTTCGTGAATAAATCATTTCCAATGTTAAATAAATTCAATGGTAGCGATGTAGGAAGAAGCATTAAACAACAAAAGAATTTAAAATTGAATAAAGTCTCGTTGACCTCAAACGTTCGTTCATAGCTTTCCTTCTTCCTTTCTCACAATAACTTTTTTAGTTTTTCACATAAAAACATAAAATTCTGCACATATCATTCATGCACTTTACACAAAGAAGATCAAAAATTGCTTTTTTCGATTTTCTTTCATAGATATCTTCAATGACATGACAACAAATGCCAATGTTTGTTTAGGATTTTTATTCTTATTTTTCTTTCTCCTTCTCATAAAACTTCTGTCTTTTTGTTGTGAAAATATTTTTCTTTGTAACTTTAACTTGAACTGAAATGAGTTAAGTTAAATGGACACATAAAAATAGAATCATTTTTGCAATGATGTTGAGGGAAGTCGAGCAGAGTTAAAGTAGAAACGAGACAAAAATGGATTTATTTCTAAACTTTGATGATTTGAACATAGAAATGGAAATTCTTTGAAGAAAATCTTCATAAATGTCTCTTTAATCTCATCCATAACATGTCAACAATCCTTCAAAGACAGGGTCTTCATTTCTACCTTTTCTAAAACAAACAACAAGGACATTATGCTTAAATTAATTTCCATTATCTATTCGACAAAACAGCTATAAGATAATGGAAAAACTTATTCACTTTGATGTTACAATTTTCGTTTTTCTTTTCATGACGATGAGAAAAAAAAGAGAAAAATTGAAAAGGATTAAATAAGAAAGACAAAGGAAGAAAAAGAAAGGTTTTTCGTCGCTTCCAAAAAGATGCTGTAATTGAAAGCGGGGGTGGTTAATTTTCCGCAAGCCTAAACTTAGAACAAAAGGTGGTTGAAAGGCTTCTGTCGCGTGATTCAATTATGAGTCAAAATTGATTATTTTTTTTCTTTACTTATTCTGATGTGCCGTGGCAAGTGTTACAAATAGCACGACTTCATTTATAATCAATAAACACCCCCGCAACCAAAAAATTTTCATTGTCAATTAAGCTATTGGACCAATAAAATTTTTTTTTAAACAATCATTTTAAGGGTAATTATGTGTTCGAGCAACCTTTATTTAATGGCTCTTGATTAACAGTTTAGGGTGGAAGGAAATTTTTGAAGCGTGAGAATGACTCAAGAATTTTATTATGTCGCACAATGTAAAGCATCTTTAAGAAAAGTGGCACTTTTCTATGGCATGAACATCGCTTGTTACACGCTCAACAATTATGAAGTCACGAGATCTACCCAACCGATTCCGTTTGTTTAATCTTGATTGATGATTGATTGCAGAACACAACTTGAAGTAGAAATAAATTTCACGTTCTTTCTTCTCGTCCTTGGTTTCTTTTTCTTTTATCATTCCATGTTAAATTAAATTCATTCTCAAACGAAAATGACTACATTTAAGTCGCGAAGTTTATAGTTGGCTTTGTGTAATTAAAGTAATTTATTTGATTCAGTTGATTCATCTACCAAATGTTGCAACTGTTTCAGAAGTTGCGAGTTATATCTGAAGAGAATAGTTGAAGAGATTACGATGTGTTGATTTGTCAGTATGAAAAGAAGTTCGTTAAAAAAATATTACTTGAAGATTGTTTCCAGTTTTATCGTTTTTATATATTTTTTATTATCTTTAAGGTTTGAAAGTGCTTTTCGAAGCTTTCACAGAACTTTTGAAAGATTATAAAGATAGAAAAAAACTTGTGGAAGCTTTCAGAAAATTGAAACAACAGCTGACAAAATATCAAAGAATTTTGATCATTGTGAGTTTAATTCGTCATACTAATGAGGTTGATGTAAGGTATGGCAAAAATAAGAATTAATAATGATAAAAACTTACTGAAGAACAGACGTGAAATGAAGTTGAGCATTTTTATATTAATCGTTTACATTTTTTCATCTCAAGGTAAGCAAAATATAATTCTGAAGTTGATCTATTCATTTATTACTGAATTTTTAAACATAAAATTAGCTTTCCCGATTGTTGATTTGATTGAGGGTATCGTGGAAGATTTAGCAGATATTTCTAAATCAGCAGTAGACAATTTTGGTGCCTTTTTGGATGATGCGTCAGAAAGAATTCAGGAAAATATTGACCAAGGAAGTCAAGTGATTGATCCAAACAATGGGAATGATAATAGTGGGAGTGGTACTAATGGACTTATAGACATTATTGATGGTGCAATCAATGGAGATATAGTAAATGACGTAGTTGTCGATCCAAATGCGATAAATGATCAAGTTGTAGATGTTATACCTGATCAAGATCCTACTAATGGAACTGACGAAACAAACATAGATCCAAATTCAAATAATGATAATAATTCAGCGGTTGACAATCAAGAACCTACACGAAGACGAGGATTTGGACAACGTGCTAGAAAACGAATAAGATCGTTCTTTGATTTTGGACGACGAACTTTTAATGATTTCTTTTCATTGTTTTAATTTAATGAGATTAGAAAAATTGCTTTTTAATCATGATTTTATAAAATGTAATTTATTCGGAAATAAATTTAAAAGTAATGAAACGACACACGAAAATATTTACTTAAGTCGAAACAGAACTGCTGAGAACAATCATCAAAATTCAAATGAAATTAAGTTTTTATTCGATTGAAACAGACTTTCGCAACATGAAACTCATGAGGTAATATTTTGTATCATTTCAACTGGTTTGTTGATTGTGGGCTTTGGCTAAATCCTAAATTCATAGATCATGTCTAATGATATTCATTTCGCGATATTTTTTTTGTATACATTCGTCTTCTTCATTAATCATTCAAGTGCTTGTGAAAGAACAAACATAATTTATTTTCATGTTTCACATGATGCTGAAATGCATTATGGAATTTAATATTGTGATGCGATGCTTTGCTGTTGTCTTACAAACTTATTCTCTTTCTTTCGTTTCTCCATTCTTTCTTCATATTCTCATGTTGTGAGTAAATAAACAATTATTCAAATGATTTTTTTCGGTATTTGTCTTTTGATGGTGCATGTGGTGCGCTGTACAATGATTCAAGACATGACTTTTACTAATGTTTGTGATTCATTTTCCATAGCACTCCGCTCGTTAAACTCTTATTCTCACTCTTAAATTTTAAATAGGACAGACATCAGATAAATATATGGAAAATTAAATTTTAAAGTCATGATCAAGTCAAGTTTGCTATTGGCACCGGCATTTCTTCATGCCATATCATGTTTTCTGTTTACATATCTAAATATTTCTTTTCTTTCTCCATCATTTCTTCAAGAAGACTTAAGAAGTCAAAAGAAATCATTTTCAAGGGTTAAATGCGTCTCAGTCTCAGAACATCCTAAAGAAATATTTACAAAACACTTTGCAATTGAAGAAAAAAAGAAAGAAAAATGACGAAGAATCAACAGATTTGTCGGATGTGAGCCTGCGGTGAGATGCATGTAGGGCAACATTAATCCTGTCTTTGATGTTCCTTTCTTCTATAATTGTGTGTCTTTTGCAAATTCACAAGAAGAAAATTTGTAAATCGTGTGTAAAATTTGCTTTTGACCAGTAACCCATTGCTACTTAAGAGGCAACTGTTCGACTAATTTAAAGATTTCTTTAAAAGTGCAAATATCTACTTTAGACAAATATTGCAATATGTTTTTTAAAACAGATTTAAAAAGCGCATTGGAAGCATTTGGAAAATGTGCATGGTCATCAAAAAAACAGAAAATACCAAACTCTTCATGCTTCTCTTTCAAAAATGTTATGCAATGGAAATATTTACATATTTGAATCTTGTTTTTTATATAATGGATTAAGTAGTATAAGACCATCTGAAGTCATATTTTAGTCTCTGAATATAAAATGAAAATTTCAAAACGACTTTTAAATTCAATTTTGAATTTACATAACTTTTGTGATTCCTTAAATTACTGGAGGATTTTCACCTTCAATTTAACGAATTTTTTCGATTCGAACGAACTGAAATGAAATGAAAAATCGGCAAAAAGGGTATGAAAGTACTAAGTAAAAATAAAAAAATTCTAAATTTTCTGGGATGTAATTTTTCAAGCTTAAATTCCAATATCCAAGCTTAAACGTGAGTTAAAGTTACATCTAAAGTATACAGCTGTTAATGCCTGGCCGTAGAAACGCTGAAATATCTTTACAAACCTTTCAAATATTTCATCCCGAAATTATTGTAAGTAACAACAATTTACGCAAAAAATCACAAAAGTAATTATACCGTAATCTTAAGGTTAATCTTCCAATTTCAATGACAACAGTTTTTCAAACATCCTGACTCTAAGAAAGTTCAGAATTTTCTAATAACTTTGTTCATCTAACCTTCATCGAATTTTTTTTCCTTCTCGAAAATAAAATTTTGTTTATCAAAACAACATGAAAGACCTTGAAGTCGATTCCATCACCATTTGTAGATGTCCACTTTAAACATTGATAATTGTAGCAAATAAACATGCAAAGACATCATTTCAAAGACTGATGAGAAGACTTAATGTAAAAAAATCACAATTGCTCAAGTGATTAGTCATACGACGTTCATCCACAACTTGATTTCTTTCATATAGTTTTGAAACTATTTTCTCTCCTTCTAGATTCCAAAGCGTTAATTTATCAATCGTTGCCGGCATCTTAACTCGATTAACTTGATATCTCAACAGTCAACAAAGATCAAGGAGTTTACATTTCATAATTCCAAAAAAAAAGAAAAAAAAAGATTTTTTTTACCATTTGTTGCTGTGTTCATTTTCTGATAACAACAATAAGAAAATAGAAAAAAAAAGTAGAAAGAAAGAACGTGATAGGTTTAGATAGGAATTCGATAGACTTTTCGCTTAATCATATTTAGTGATAAAAGCCGGTAAATGCATTAATTACAAGTGAGTAGAATCATATAAGATTGCGCGGTGATCCCTCATGTCGAGAGCACTCAGCAGAACAATGAAATTGCCCAATACTGAAAAGCCATTTCAGTGCAACGTTTGTGAGAAACAGGTGAGGAACATTGAGTCAATAATTCTTCAAATGACGTCATAACAACAACATAAATGAAACAAAATATTCTTGTTTCCCTTTCGTTTGCAGTTTCGTCAATTAAGTACGCTAGCGAACCACATGAAGATACATACAGGGGAAAAGCCATTTAGTGAGTTTCTTTAAATGCTTACAAATCAGTAAGATTAAAGTTCATTTATTTAATTACAGAATGCCATGTGTGCAGTCGAGAATTTAGGCAGAGTTCAACATTGACGAATCATATAAAGATTCATACGGGAGAGAAACCATACAGTGAGTTAATAACAAATCTCATTTAATTATGTCGTTAATTGAAGTGTTTAATTAAAGATTGTACCTTCTGTGGTAAGCAGTTCCGACAACTTAGCACGTTAAGTAATCATGTTAAAATACATACGGGTAAGAAGACATTCAATTTACAAAGTTGCGTAATGAGTTTTTCATTTCTTTTTTGTCAATTAGGTGAGAAGCCGTTTGAATGTGTTGTTTGTAAGAAACAATTTAGGTAAAGAGAAATTTTTTAATTGTAACTAAAATTAATTAAATTTCTTAATTTTTGTGTTTTTTCTTTTCAACTCAGGCAATCGTCGACGCTAAATAACCACATTAAGATTCATACTGGTGACAAATTCGTTATCTGATCTACGGTGAAAGTAGAGCTGGTAATGCCAGCTGATCCTAACAGCACTGATCAACCATGAAGATAATCTCAACAAAAAGAAGAAGAAAAAAAAGAAAAAAAAATCTTTTAATATTATTTGATTAATTTAATTTATTCGAAACAAAAGTTATTCTCTGCAAAAACAAAAAACAAACACACAACAACAGACATAATTCCTTAGTTTATAGAATTCTCTAAAGTTGCTTTCCTTTTATTTAAAAATACTTATGATTAGGTGAAGAGTAATGATTATCGATATAAAAAAATAATTGACGAGAAATCAATGATGAAAAGTGAAGATGCTAGAGTAGAAATTGTACTTAAAAGAAAGGCAAGAAAACAATCGCAAATTGTTCATGTGAAGAATTTATCGACTTGAGAATGATGAAAGAACAGAAAGAAGAAATTTTCCTTGCGTTTTATTCTTTCATAACTCAAAACACTTTTTATGAAAGAAATTTTTTCGAAAAATAATGCAAGAAATTAGAACTGAAGAAATAATTTAATTAACTTTCATCCTCAAACATAAACACATACAGTAAAAGTCAAACTGCTTATGTTTGCATAAAAACATTGAATTAAATATTTGAAGTATTTATTTTAAAAAAATATTATTAACAAAATCTTTTTGAAAAAAGAGAAAAGGAAAGAAATGTTTGTGATAAAGAAAAGGAAGGGAAGTAGCAACAACAGATCAGATGTCGTACTGAGACTTGAAACTACACACGTGTCGTCGTATTTTTGTTTAATGTTCAAGAAGAAAATTTGGTCAAATTTTTGCAACAAAACCAAGACAAACTTTGTCTTTATCATGAAACATTTTCTTTCAAAAACACTTTTTAACCTTCTCGAAAGAGAAAAGCAAGCAAGTGATGACTTGTTAAGCACTTCGTGATGTGTCGCAGAGAATTGTCAATTATGAAAATCTTATTGCGATCAAAACTTATTCTCCTTGTTTAAGTTGCCTAAAACATTGGATTAAAAATTCAAGAAAAAAGATGAAAAATTAACGAAAAGATGAAAATATTTTTACATGTGACTCAATATTGTTGCAGTTGTGCGTGGTGGTGTGAAAAGTGAATCATGGATTCATGAAATCTAAGAAGAAAAACGTGCAACTTAAAAAAAAAGAATGAAAGAAAATGAAAATATACTTTGATACGAATTTTTTAAGAAAGAAAATAAATTAAAGAATTAAGCGGCATTTGAAGCCAATTAAAACTTTTCCTAAGACATTTTTCTTGGTATCTCATCGAAAGTTCTCATCTTTCAATCATTTATTGAGTTGTTGTCTTAACAAATGAGAAACTTCCGACAAGAACCGACAAGTTCTGATCAATATTACTGAATGGGTAAATTGTATGATGAAAAAATAATAAAAATAAAAATCTTTAATGTTAAATAATTATATGAAAGAAAAAAAAACTTTGAAGATGAAATTATATGTTTTAGGAAACCAACTTAATCTTACAGGGCCATACTTTTTATTTAATTATAAACTGAATGGAAAACGCATGAATAAAAAATTCTAGGAATTAATAATTAAACGTCAATGATTGATAAGCGAAAGAGAAAGCAAAAGCGATGAAGTAAAACTTCGAGATAAGTTGCATGAGAAATGTAAGATTGAGCAGCTTCGACGTTGCATGTAAAGAGCTTTGTGGGTGATGAATGAATCGATGCAAATCGATTTCCTCATTTCTCTCTCTATCTCTTTAAGTGATTCCGTGGAAATGTCAAAAATTTTCCATGTTTTGATGAATGTTTGATATTTTTAATAAGGAATGAATAAAAAAAAACTATATTAATACTTAAGAAAAGGGAACTTGAGGATAAATCACGTTTTTTATTAGAAAATCAATTCACGAAATAAAATTAAAAAGAAAAAAATGAAAACACGTTTTATAAATTCGGAAAATCGCGTGAGGTGGCTTTGGGGATTGATTCGTTAATCTCTTAAGTATGAAACGGAATTAATCAAATGTATTAATTAAATAATAAGAATTTGGAAGGAAAGATGAAAAACCACACATACACACACATACACAAGAAAAGAGTAATGGAAAATGTGAATATATTAAATGTTTTATATTAAAGAAATCATTAAAACTCAAAAATCTGTCGTTGTTTTGATCTTCTTTCTTCACTTCCTGTTACGAAATTCCAAAAAGTTATTTTTGTTGTTATTATTTTTTCACTTCCTTCTTTGCAAATTAGCATCACGAATAAGAGATGAGAAGCAATCAATGTTGTTACTTCAACTTAACAGTTCCCATGGTCAAAAGAACAGGAAACAAAGTCAAGGAACACCTCGTGTCGTTTCGTTTCGGTTTTCGCATTTCTTGAACTTCCTTCTTGACCTTTTTTATGTATCTATCTTGATTCTAAATATATATGTGTTGCAAAATGATCCTTTTTCTTTTTATTTCTCATAAAGATTCATTGGCGAAACATGTTGAACGACTCACAATTTCGATATTTCTACTTTTCTTTGTCCAATAATGATGACAACATAATGAAGCATTGCTCAAGCACGGGACATTGTCAGCGAAGACTCACACGAGAAATGTGATAATAATGGATGAAGAAGAGATGCAGGAAGTCACAGATTATTAAGCAAGTTAGCACGAAAATTGAAATCCGTTTTGAAGCAATAACAAAAAATTGTCAGTTTCGAATAAAAAAGAAATCTTATCTCGTGTGTCCACTACAGAACGTTGTTCGCCAAATTGCCGCCCGCCCTTACCTGCTTGTTACATCATGATTCTTTCATTTAAACGGCAGAGGGAACTAACTTGTAATTTCCTTTCTTTTATTACCTCATCGAGTTATTTTCGGGAGAAAAGGTGAATGAAGCATTGAGAACAGCACATGTTGGACGATGAATGAACGTCGAATGTACCTTTTCTTTCTTTTTTTATTTTTCCTTTTTCATCCATTGATAGTGCCTGGCAAAGAAGTAATTTTGAGATCATTTATTTTTATGACGAGAAAGATTTTAAGGTTTCATAAGATAAAATAAGATTAAAGTTGAAAAACTTTCAATCTGTGAAACTCTCTTGTTGGTGTTGCGAAATTGAAATAGTTTTAATAGAATTTCCTTTTACATGTATGAAGATTTCATTTCGTTTAAGTTTTGCACTGCTTGCAATGTTCATTCAGGTAGAAGAAGTCGATGGGATCAAGACATGAGCCTTAGGCGGCAAAACAATTATTGCAAATCGATTCTCATTTCTTTCCAATCCAATTGGGACTTTGAGTGGCAAAACATTAGCACTTGAGGTTGGATATCTCTTAAAACGTGCAGCAGACGCATCAATTTTCTCATAAATAATAAATATTTCTTGTTGTTCTAAGCTATAATTTGTTCTCTCAGTTGGATATTAAATAAGAAATGACTTTCAATGGAAAGATTTGTGGATTTTTGAAACGATAATGAGTTTTGAAATTTCGCATGAAGTTGCAGCAGCGCACGAATTTTCAAATAACCATTAATTAAATATCGAGAAAATTTGTGGCATTTAACAATTTTGAGGAGTGATTTTGTTTTAGTTTCTGTTAAAATCCAATCAAAGTGTAAAAAGAAACAAATTTGATCATCAAACAATTTATTCCTTTTTTAACAGCATCTCGCCATTGAAAATTTTAATCAATCATCATAAAATTTAATCTCTGTTTGTTCACGGACATGAGTAATCATCATAATAACCTCCACTTGCACATCAATGAATTTTATTTGTGAAGGGAAAAGTGGAATTTTGTAATTTAAATGGAGATTGAAGCAGGTGATGGTCGAGAAACGTTCGCACTTATCATGCAAATTCTTTCACTTTTATTTTCCTTGTGAGAAGTGAGAATCATCGTTGTTCGTCTTTGATTTTAAGACCATCGATCGTTTGATAAAACAAATAAATTAAGCACGAATTATTCTCTCAAATATCTTATACAGCCGGTGTTTAGACCTTAATTAAACACTGCTGTTCATCGTTATTTCATGTTCAGCCCAGTCAGCTTGTTTATTTCATGTAAATTTCGTTCATCATTCTTGTGTTATTAAAATTTTGAATCAAAGCTCTCGTTTGTTTACTAATGAAACAGCAGAAAAAAATAAAAATGAAATTGCAGAGGCAACCGTGCAGCTACTCTTAATAAAAAAAATAACAAAATTCCTATTAAGAGCTGTTTTATGCATATAAACAAAATGTAAACAAAGAAGACATGTAAAAGGGGAAGCGATTGATAATAATTTTATGTGTTTGTTTTGTTGCAGATTTTAAGCTGCATGCTTCGGGATAAGTTTGGATAAATTGTGATCGTTAAGTCAAATTTTAGGAATTCAATGGAAGAAAAATAATAAATGAAGATATCAAAGGATAAATGGCAGAATTTATAGCCTTCATTATTCAAACATAAACGATTTCATCCATTTTTATATGCAGCATAACAAATAACATATGTTTCATATGCAATCTTGATTTGATGTCATTTTCGTTCATCCCCAATCACTTTTCTTTAATAACAATTTTAAACAAACGACTTTTCTTGCTCCTCGCGCGTTGTGTTTTCTCGCAGAAGCTGTTTAAAAAATCACTTGCCATTTATTATTCTCATCTCTCATGTAATCATTGATTGCTGATTTGTTATTCAAGTTTTGTCGTCTTGTTGTGGCTGGTGATTTCATTATTTGCCTTTAAGCGTCTAAATAATTTTCGGAAAGCTGTTTTTGTTAATTTTTAAAACATACACGCAAATTGTTATTTGCAATTTTCTTTTTATGACTTGCTTGTATTTATAGACGGTTGCTTCTGATGATTTTGCTTGTTGTTAAATTTGTGATCTTTTTTTTATCTCTTCTTGATTCTGTTGACAACATCAATTTGATGAGCTTATGTTTGCTAAAAACTCTTATCGAATTAAATTCTGTAATTACGTAATTGAAGGTATTGTTCAATGTTTCGATGATTGCTGAAAGAAAAAAAACTACAATGTCACATGTCTGCAAACATTTCCGTTCGCTTTCGTTTCTTCCTGCATTGAAAAGTTTCGTAATTATCAATGCCATTGAAAACGAATTTTTGTTCAATATTTGATAACATTTTAGAGTGAGAAACTTTGTAAAGAATATTTCTAATTATGGAATGAACTTTTCAAGAAAATCTCATATGAACTGTGAACGTGTTTACGTCTGTTGAAGGAAATTAAATTTCTATCAAGCTATGACTGGAGATATTTGCAATTTCATGGTGAGATTAAACATTGAACTAATTATTTAATAAAACTTTTAATTGAACTTCTCGATAATCTTCCATCTGATTTTTCCAACTCACGAAAGTATAAGAAAAATGAAAGTTCATTGAAATAAGAAATGTAAACAAAAAATCTTGAGATATTAAAGAATGTTCATTTTTATTCATGTTGCTTAGCACGTTAAAAGATTTAATTAATAAAATATATTTGGAATTTATGAAGTTATTTTCTCAGCTTCTTGAAATGAATAATTCTGACACAAACGATCGAATTCAGTTTCTTTCTTTGCTAATTCTTCGACCAATTCACTGTTCTTACAAGTTTCTCTTAACATTGACAAATAGCGATTGATGACTTGTTCAGCATTTTTGTCGGTTTGTTGAGAGTAGAAAATGAAGTTTACGAGAAGATCGTAATTATTGGATTCTTTATCAAGGCCATCACGTAAATATCCATTGGTATCTTCATCAAACTTTTGTTGACCAAGTGCACAAACCGCGAGATTATTCAAAAGCAACACCGATGGAGCGAATTTATCTTTGAAGTCGTCGAAGATGTAATGAGCGTCTTGAAGTTTCTCACCTCCAAGCTCTAAATTGAACCAAGCCTGTGCCAGCTGAGTCAAAGTATCGTCATCATTTTTCTCAGTCATTGATGCAAGAATCTTTTTAGCGAGATCCAATCGACTGATACGAAGAAAAATATAAACTTGAATGGCTTGACATTCCAAATCAGTTGTGCCATTTAAGATTCTTAGAGCTTCTTCATATTGATTTTCATGTATATACATGATTGCTGCAATAACACGATAGATTATGTGACAATCGTCATCACTTTGAATTTTCTTTTCAAGAATTTCGATTAAATCGGCGAATTTGTTTTTGTTAAGCAAATAATCAGCAAAGAAACGTATTGGAAGTAATTCGCCTGAAGATGGAACTTCATCAAGTACAACTCGATAGCGGTTAGTAGCAAGATAAGAACGATACATGAAGATGTCTTTTTCTAAACTTGGTTTCTGAAATAATTGAAAATATTAGAAACATAATTTTGATGAGGTGGAATTATTTGTGGAAAAGTTAATACCTTAATTTTCTCCGATAAATTGATACATTGTTGATAATTTCCAGTATAAAATGCATTGGAGATATCAATCAAAAGTGGATCAGTGATTCCAGCCATTTTATGGTAGTTGTTTATGTTAAATTATTAGGAAAACTGTTTTTTAGTTCTTCACGAAATTGTTTTGATGTCGTGTACCCCTTTACATGTAGGTAAGTGGCATTTCAAATTTTTAGATTCCGTTAAAGTTAACATGTTTGTTATTTTTCTTTTCAAATAAAGGAACGTTCCGAACAATTGAAAATCCCATAAATCATGAGCGCTTAAAATCTTTTTTCTAATTGATATGAACATTTTTTATAAATCCGAACAAATAAATCAAACGATTATAAATAACCTTCTCGATACAGAAAAATAAGCGAATCTTGAAATGAAACGCAATTTGCATGCATTGTTAATAAAAATTAGAGTGAAATTGTTACAATTATATTTCGCACATGAAAGGCTGCCTAAGATTCAAGGACATCACAAAAGAATTCAACATACGTACTCTTAAAAAAATTAATAATACTATTTCATCCTAGCTTTTATCCAATATAAAAATGATGTATCAGCTTTTATATTAAAACTGACGTTCAAACACGTGTTCATCATGAATTTCTTATGTTGTCTTCAGAAGAAAAATCGGAGGAAACGTTTGTCATTTATCTTCACTTCACAAATGACTGAACTATTGAGTTTCAAAATTTGTCTTAACAAGTGATCACCTCATTATATTAATAGCGGGCGAATTTATAAGTTTAAGCTTCTGTTTGTTAAAAAAGAATAATTGTTTCAGCATTCACAAACGAAACATCATTTGTTATTAAATCTTTTTTTTCGTTTTCATTTTTATTTTTATTACAATAAGTCACAGACGGCTTCGAGATTCTGAGCACATCAGATCGATTTAATAAAACTCGTGAATAAATCTCTAATTGGTTCTTTGTTCAATTAATTGTTATTATGGAGATGGCATTAAAAGGGTAATGACATCTTTTTTCTATCAGATTCATAAAACCGTGACTAAAAGTGCTACCACGTTATCATTTTTTTTTATTTATTTTCCATTTGGTGTAAAGCAGACACTTTTGATTCAATGATTTCATGTGTAATAAAACCGACATCTTAATCATTTCAGTTCAAAAGATTATCAAAGGTCGGAGAATGATCACAATTATTCATTGGAAAAATATATTTCGCTTGGACATGTCCACGGCTTGAAATATTTGGGAAGAAAAGGAAAATTTGAAAGGTAAATGAGAATGTGTAGATAAATAATTTTTTATGTGACGCACTACCATTGTTTGTTTGACAGCTTGACTGAGATAAATTTTTTGATGACCCAGTAAAACCTTCTACAAAAACAAAACATTTAAAATTAAGTCATTAAAATTCTCTGATTTATGCGTTGTTTAAAAGTTTTAAAATAGTTTTTCTCTACGATTGTTTCAGATACTTTTGGATATCAGTTTTACTTGCTATGCTAGCATTTACTGTCTATGTAGTATTCAGTGCAATTACTACAACACCAGTTCATTTAACTCCAAGGCCTTTGAACACGTTACCATTTCCGGCAATAACAATTTGTCCCGAAACTAAAGCCCAAAAGAAGTTTGCTGACTTCACAAAAGCATATCGCATTATTACCAACGATAAGTCAAATGAAACACTTTCTGATGAAGAGTAAGTAGATAATTAATTTAAATCCTTCTCTAAGTTATCAATTATTTCTCTTTAAAATAGAATGCCACGAATCGAAGCTCTGTCACAAATTTGCGATCCGCATATGCTTGAAGACAAGAAACTTAATGAACAACCAACACCTGGAAAAGAATTTTTGGAAATCTTACGTGAAATTTCTTATCCAAATTTCATTTTATTTTGTAAATATCGAGGAATAGTTCAAGGATGTAATGAATTATTTAAAGAAATTGTGACTGATGATGGAATTTGTTACACATTTAATATGCTTGATCTTATCAAGAGTGACAACAACACAAAAGCTTCATGGAGTGTCACAAATGGTTATGAAAATGAAAATTTTGTAACATATCCAAGGAGAGCTTTTTCGGGTTCTGACAATGGAATGAATGTCGTTATTGACATTCCTAAAACAGAAACTGATTATTTATGTCGAGGTCCTGTGCAAGGATATAAATTAAAAATTCATTCAGCAGATGAGTTTCCTGTGTTTGGATATGGATATCAACGTATCCCTCCGCAAAAAGAAGTTCTTGTCAGTGTTACACCTGAAATCACCTCACTCAAGGAAAATTGTATCGACACAAATGAAAAACCTTTAAAACATTTTACTGAGTACACTTATAAGAATTGTATGACGGAATGTTTATCTTCATTTGTCTTATCTAAATGTGGATGCGTAAAATTTTCTATGGTTCATGAGAATGATACAGAAATTTGCAATCAACATCAAACTAGCTGCGTTTCTGATGCATTTCTATCATTTTATACATCAAACAAATTTAAAAATGAATTTTTTTGCGATTGCAAACCGTCTTGTAAAAGTTTAAAGTTCAAAACAAGTGTTTCTCAAAGTGATTACAATCATAATCGCGTTTTCGAAGCTTACGGTGTTGATGTTAATGAAGAATTTCCGAACTCACAGATGAGCAGATTGATAGTTTACTTAGAAGATGATTTCTACATGACATCATCCAACCAAAATTATCCACAAGAAACTTTTATTGATAAAATTGCAAAGATTGGAGGGTTGTTAGCTTTCTTCCTTGGCGCTTCTTTGATTTCCTTTATTGAAATATTTTTCTATTTATTCAAAAGATGTTTCTCTTAATAAATCCAAACGATTTTTTTTCTTCGATTTTTATTTTGGCATCTTTTTAAGTTTGTTTTAAAAATAAATATTTCTATCAAACTATGAGCAAACAGCACAGCACGCTTTGGTGTAACGATATAATTGCCGCATATCATGTTAAATATATTAATTCATGTATAAACACTACAAGAGTGTAAATACCTATGCATTTAAAAAAAACTTAATAAAGATAAGCTTTGCAGTCTTCACATGTTGGAATTTCTTCTACAGAGCAGCCGCTGTTAGAAAAAGGATTAAACCATTAATCAAATGACGACATTCAAATCGATAAATACTTACAAGATTTTCACACAGCCATTGCATAGTTTTTCTTCACAACCAATGCAGTCCACGACACATCTTTCACATGAGTGGAGATTGCAATTTTTACATAAATATTTTCCCTCAACACTCCTCCAGCAATAAACACAATCAACAGATTTTGGTGGCGGCTGAAATCATAAAACGAAAAGATTTATAGCAAAATTTAATAACGAAAATCATAAAAATATATGTTATTACCTTTTCGAATTCCTTATCATAGGAAATTTCTGTAGTTTTCTCAGTTTTCTCAGTTTTTTCACTCGAAGCTCCTTCATAGATCATTTTCAATGTTTTTTCATAAACTTTCTTCATTAAGGCATCGTCCGTTTGATCTACACGTCGTTGGTTTATAAAGCACTTCAACTGCAGACCTAGGTTTTCTTCTTCCGAACGTACTCGTTTACGATTTTCATTCATCGTGCTTCAATTTTCCTCTTTTTCACTTTTTTTAAAAAACTTTTGTTGAAATTTGTTTGGCTTGTTTCAGTTTCACTGTCGTTCTTTCTTTTTTTCATTTACTTTACTGAATACATCGAGATTTGTTATGAAACAAATGTGAAAAAGAAACAATTTTCTCAAAAATTTTAGGAAATTGCGTTAAATATTGTTTAAATTAGAATTACGAAATAAAATAAAGTATGGGATTTATCCAGCGAGCACTTTTCACATGGTTCGTGACGTTAGCATTCCTTATTCTTCTGTGTTTACGACTTGAATCGAGAATACAGTGGTCATTTTTCATCATTTTTATTCCGATTTGGATTTACGATGTAATTTTAATTATTTGGTTGATTCTGGAACTCATCAAAAGACATCAACATCATCGAGTGATTGATTCATTTAAAAAGTATGTGAAAGTTGTAAAGAATCAAACATTTTGACTCAGAAAAATTTTACTTTTGGATATTTCATTTTAGATATCAATTTTACATTTATGGAGTGCTTTTAAAGATCTGTTCACAAATATCGATTTGTTTAAAGTTAGACTACAATCTTTTCAAGCTGTATATCATGATGATTCCAATATGGCTGCTGCTCATCCAATTAATCATTTATGTTAGTTTAAACCTTTTACCAAAACATCCGCCGTCTTCAAGATCTCATCAAAACAGAGCTATGATTCCAACAGCATCCACTTCAATAGCATCCTGATCATGAGTAGACTATTCACGTCTCGACCCTAGTGGATTTGAATTTATAAATGCAACTCTAGAATAAAACTGTGAAGTTATTTAAGATTAAAAGACTTTCAAATATTTCTTTTAAATATTTTTATTTTAAATCCTTCGCTTAATGTTTTTCATCGATTTTTTCTCACTTTTTTTTATTTTTGATTTAATCTACATTAAAACCCATATAATTATTTTTCATCGTTTAATTAGATTCTTTTCTTTTTTAATTTAACAATAGAATTATTTATCGACTTCAATTGTTTTTAAAACTATGTTTTCTATTTTTTTTAACTTTTCCTTGTGTGATTTTTTAGGAATAGATATTAAATTAAGGAAAAATTAAATAAAACATAAATTGTGATTATTATTTGTTAGTTATGAGATTTGAATTTGAATTTCTATTAATGACGTCGAAATAACCATTATAAAGTGACACGAGGCCTCTTTCCCTTTCCAATCTCGATTTATTTATTTATTTATGTCTTTTTCTCGACCGAGATGAAATTTCTTTTTCATTTTCTTGATGAAAATTCTATTTTACATTCATAACTTTGCCTTTTAATATTTTTTTGTTCATTTTCATTTAAATTCAACAACTATCATTTTATATTAAAGTTCTCTTTATTATAAATCGTTTTTCTTCTGTCTATCTTTTAAAAAGTATTTTTTATTATTATTATTAATTAATGTATGTTCAATGCGAAGACAAAATTCGTAGCTAGGAAGTGATAATAATCCTCCCGCTTACACTTAAAAAAATTAACAAATTCGAAAATTAAAAACATTTATGAATGGAAATTGGCACAAAAGACATTTTTTTCACTCTCGAATGCACTGAACTTGTTGATGAAAGAAACAAGAGTCACACACGTCACATTGAAAGTATGAATCGATGTACAGATAACTCAAAATTGTCTTAACAATTACTTTTTAACTTTTTCTCCCTTTAGTTAGTTATTGTAAGCAGCAAATTTCATTGATTATAAAACTTAATAAGTTGCTTGTGTTATTTTATAAAGAAGGAACAAAGATTATTAAAGAAACTAATTATCCTGCTTTTTCCTGTATTTGGTGTCCGTTGAAACTATTTAACTGTACGTATTTAATGGTTTCATTGACTATAGAAACTTCCAACTTATTCAATGAATGGTTAAAAACTTTTAAATTCTTTATCGGGCTTCATTAGTGTCTTCTTTTTATATATATCTAATTATTCTGCAGCCCGGGATAGCTTTGTAAATATCCCGCAGTGCATCAATCACTAAAATTTTCCTTCTTATTATTTGATTTACGTCATGAAAGAGTGTTTGCTGCGTGTGTTTAAAAGGGATATCCTTTAATTGTTTTTCATCAACATTTAGGTTTATGATTTCGTATAGAATGAATGAAGTTTTTTTTTCCTTGCATTAATAGAAGAAAGTTTTGTCCCATCGCTTAATTGGGATAACTTTTTCTGTTCATCTTGCACTTATTTAATATAATTAATAGTTTTTAACGTGTCGATGTGATTTTTTCTTCTTTTGTTTCCTATTTTTATTTATTAAAGTTTGAATTCATAATATGTAAATTATATTTCACTGTTTAATTAGGTTTTTTTAAACTTTTAATTACTTTTTTTTCTTATGTATGCGTGTATAAAGATTGATTAATTTAATGTGTAAGTTTCTCTGCCTCAAAGTGATAACTTTTGTATTTTATTTTATTTTATTCATCAACTGCTTTACAAGCTTTTTGTTTTTGTCGTTTGTCTGTCGGATTACTTAAAAAAGGGTTGGTTGAAAAGTTAACAACATTTTCTCATATCAATGCGTGTGGGTGTTTGTGTGACAAAAATTTTACTAATTATATTTCTTCTTGCTCATCAAATGCAACTTTATTTTATTGCCTAAGGTGCAAAGTGATTCACTTTTCATTTTAGATAACTTCTAATATTTATAAAACATTTCTCCTTCCTTTCCCTACTTTGCTTGGTGTTTATGGAGTGAAATGTTTCGAAACGAGATGAGATTGAAATAGTTTCTTTAAACTTAACATACACTCAATAAAAAAGGAGAAGATATGAAGTGAAATGAAATGAAGGAGAAGCTTTAAGCTTTCAATTCCATGATTGAAGCTTAACAGACATTTTTAATTAAAATAATTAATACTGAGCGCAATCACTTGATTCATTTATTTCCATTTCATTCGATTTGCGAGCTTTCACATTCACACGAATACAAATTGAGCATTTTTTATTCGATTTCATATTTGGCGATCAAATTGCGTTTAAATTCCATCGCAATTCTCTATTATTTGATTATAACCTCCTTGTGAACAAGTTTTCCTTCAGGATCATCAATTTATTTTCCACCACACATAAAATTGTCTACATCAAAGTATAGTTTAGCCTTACTCAATATTCTATCCCTTACTTTATATTTTGCCACTTTGAATGGTTGCTGAACCTCACAAAAATATATATAAAAATAAATAAAATCAAAAAGGGAAAATAAGTTTTCGTGTGAAGGGATTTGACGACAGAGGATAGTGAATTTATTCTCAAAATAAAGAAACATCTTATCAAAAGGAAATCGATTATGATTCGAATGATTCATTTTTCTAACTTTGAAGTTTTCAAACCGAGATTTAGATGATTAAATATTTATTCATTCATTTTTAATGTTGATGTCTCATTTAGAGATTCTTCTCTATAATTTTTCTTTTTAATTCTTCACATCCCTTTGAGGTTCATCATTACATTATTCATTTATTTATTTCTTCGAGTAAAAACTTTTTTTTCTTTTATTTGACTAACTTTTGCTTAAAAAAGTGTTTTTATGATTAAGTTTAGATAATAAATGTTTTTTCTTCCATGCTTAATGAATAGTTTTCTTCTTTTTTTCATTTCATTTTCTTTGGAAAAAAAATTCTTATTTATCGTCTTTTCGTGCTGACGGTCCATCATTCAAATTAATCATGTCTCGTGGTTTCCACACTGGGCTCCCTACATGTATGCGGAAAAAAGAAAGAAGAAGAAAAAAATTAACAAACAGAATTAAAATTAATTTTTTTAAAGGCTTTTTTTCGTATGAATTTGGAAAACACTAAACAGTTTAGTTTAAAGAGAATTTTCGGGAATATTGCGGGGGTGGAGATTTGAAAAATCAATTTTAATCCTACAATTAGATTCATGTTGCTTTCGAATGTTATTTGAGGTTTTATTTAATTTTGTCTGTAATTTTCTTCTTTGTTGTGTTACGATGCTGATTCGATTGTAAAAGAAAATAAATTATAGCTTTCTATTTTAATTTTACCGAAATAAATTATAAACTTCTATCGCCCGACACAGTCAACGACCGACCTATCAGACATGAAGCTTCCAATTTATCTATAAGAGAATTATTTAAAAAAAAAGGAAACTTTATTTAATTTAAATCCCTGTTCACTCAATCTTTCTCTCTCTATCTCTCGGTAACTTTCTCGTTCACTCAACATTCCTGATATTCATGACTTTAAAGCTTTTATCTAAAGACAACCGTCGTCAGAATTAACCCCATCACTAATATACGAGATATTTATCACCCGCCTTCGATCCAATTTCACATTTTCTTCTCTTCTCTTTGATTATCAGCCATGATTAATTGATTTCAATTAAATTATCTTTTCCTAACTAGATAGTTTCTCATTTAAGGCAAAAACTTATCATCAACAACATCGTAAGAGATCAACGTAAATACATTTTCTAAAAGTTCAAAATATTTTCTTTTCCATTTCATTTCTAACTAAAATCAATGAAATTCTAACAACTATTTAGGTTTTTCCTAATAACCACTCGTCCACTTCATGGGGGGTTAATTCTTATGTCTCTAGGAAAGGCTAATAATGGTAGCAGCCTTTTAACTTTCTCTTAATTCTGATTTATCTTTCACAATTTATCAAAAAGAAAAAAAACGAAGAAAAAAGCTAATAAAACCAAAGTAAAAAAAAATGAAAGAAGCAAAAAAAAATGTCTCAAAATATAAAAACGAAACCTTTTACAAAAAAAGGGTGAAAGTGTTTCGAGTTCCAAGAGTTTGTTTGGTGGGAATGAGGGAAGAAATTGGGGAAGATAAGGGCTGGGGACTAATTACTTGTAGAATGGGGAATGAGTTAGCGTAATGAAGGGGGCTTTGTTGAGGGTGTGACAACCATTAGACTAGATTAAATATACAACACAACAACTATCGTACATCATTATGTCATAAGTTGAATGATCCATAATAAGTCAAAAACCATAAAAACAAAGTTTTCTTATTCTCATAATGTTCTTTAAAATATTTCATTAATTATTTATGTTGATAAGAGAGCATCAAACTCCAAAAATATTTCTTTTTTCTTTCTCAACGATCTACACACACAAAACAGAAATCTTTAACTCTCGTAAGTGTAGATATCAAGTATAGATAAATATCGATAAATAAAAATCAAAGCTAATCGAGTTATCAATCATTTTTCTTCTTATCTTCTTCACATTCTCCTTAAGAAGCATTGGATAAATTTAATAAAAAAAACATGTGTCATCGTAAAATTCTCCTTTAAGACGACTGACTCTAAAGGTTAAATTAATTTTTCTTTCTCTCTCTCTCTCTCTTTCTTTTTCCCGTGTGTGTGTGTGTGTTGGTTAGAAATTCTTTCATAACATTATTAAGTGCATTAAGTGAGAGACAATAAACAACATTATAAGTGATAGCGGTGGAAGTTTTGAGTTGAGTTCTATTATTAAAGGTCGAAGATTAAGTAAATATTTATATAGCAACAAGATGATGTTGATGATGATGATGTTGTCATTTTAAACACGAATCTCTTCATTATCATTCGTTTGTTTGCCATCAACTGATGCATGTGCATGAATGTCATCATCGTCAAAGGACTTATTGAAATAATTGGAAGACATTCGGCGTGAAAGTTTTTTACGAGAACGCGATTGACGTTTAATTGATGTTGATGGGCTTTTTTGTTGCGGCTGATTACGTTGTGGCAGAGGCGGAGGAAGTTGGGGAGAATAATGCAAGTGAGGTTGGTGATACGATTGATAATAACAATCGACGCAAGCTGACGGCTGCTCGTAATGTGACATTAAATAATCATCTGGTGACATTGAGTAATAGTGATGGGGAATAGAACGATGTTCGTAGACACTGTGACGACGATTTTGAGGCTCTTCGTAATATCTTTCATACTCCGAAGAGCTTTGACGAGAATAATCGGGACGTTCAAGTGAACGACTTTCACGGCGTTTCTTCTGATGATGATGTTTCGGATATTCGTAGAAAGGTTCATTATAGTAATGGGTTGGATTTGGTGAGCAATAACGAACAGGTGAACGATTCGATTCGATTGATTGTTGGGATGATAAGCCATAATAGCGACTTGGATCATAAATATTAGTCGGAGAACCACTTTCGTAGCTACTTTGATGTTTCATTGCCGATTTCAAATGCTCCAAGCTACTCTCTAATGATCTCGATTTCATTGCTTGATGATGATAATCTTTCGGATCGCGTTCATATTCAGAAAATGAAGCACGATGTGGCTGTTGCGCATCTTTGACAAATAAATTCGGCATAATCTCTGATGATGGTGACAATTTATCACTCTTCGATTCGAAACTACTGAACGGACTTATAAAGCAATCTGGTCTTAAACTATTCGATAGAAGTGATTCGCTTGCTTTACCAAACTTTGGTGATGGCTTTTTGAGAATTCCACCTTCGGGTTTCTTCAATTTCTCCTTCGATGGCGAACGTTCAGTTGAATTGCTACGTGAATTTTCACGTGACGCTTTTCGACTTCCACTAGGTGATGATTTTATTTTTACGATATGAACTTGATTATCGCCTCCAGATGAAGACGAAGCGTATGTGTCCATATCAATAGTTTTTGGCTTTCTCATTGAGCCTTGAGGTGACAATGAAGATTTCCTTAGTTGCTTCACCTGAATTGTATCTTTCTTCACTTCCTTTTCGGATGTTTTAGCTTCCGCTTTTACATCTTTCACTTTCGGAACACTCTCCAACTCCTTCTTCGATTCGGACTCTTTGCGCAATCGTTTTTCAACACCACCAACACTGCTGCTGCTTTCTTCAACCTTCTTCTCCTCATCACCTTCCCCATCCAAAGACTCTGATTGAGTCTTTAACTTCTCCATAAATTTTGCCACATCGCGAGTATCATATGACATACATTTTCGTTTTAAATCAGCCAAATGCTTATCAACAATCTCGTCTGTCAATTGACATACGTCATCATTAACGTCAACACCCGATGTCGAGTCAGATGACTTTTCAGTGTGAAAACTAATTGATTCTGTGGAATCAGTGGATGATGTCTTACCTAAATCTTTCATCAAAACTGGCTGATAATGTGATGGTGCATGAGATGATTGGATCAAACGTGCTTGACTGCCTGTACTTCCAACAGATAACGTCGATGTTGTGCTGGTTCAATAAATGAAAAGTTTTAAATAAAAAAATTATTAAAAATTATATTTTGAGAAGTGAAAACTTTTCTCACCTCAATGTCAAATGATTTGGCGTTCGACCTAAAGATTTAGATCGATGAGCCATTAATGATTCTTCTTCACCTTCCGATTTCACTCCTGGATCTTTCTCTGTTGATAATTCGCTTGTTGTTCGTTTTGGAACTGGTGGTGGTTCGTCACCAACAGTTTTACTTCTGATACGGAATGCTGGTGGTGGAGCTTCATCTTGATAATCATGATGAGTATGTTCATGAGAGCCTGGAAGATTGTCATAATCGATATTACCCGTGCTAAGACGCTGCGATGTCTTCTTCTTTGGCTTTCCAAGCGTATGAGATCCTTGTTGGAAGTTTGATTGTTGTTTGGGTCTCTCAAGTGTCTGAGAGTTTCCTGAATAATGAGGTTGACCAATAGACGACACCGAACTCATACTTCCACGCTCTTTCATTGGAATCGACATATTTCGGACACTTTCGCGAATAATCTGACGAATTGTCTTTAAGAAAGCATTACGGAAGTCAGCTGTGCTATTGGAAAGAACGTAAACCTTCTCTGAACGACGTTGAAGTTGTGAACGTAGATGAATAAGTTCCCACAAGAAATGCGAATCCATGTCCTTGGCTGATGATGCACGAACTTGAACTTCTGTTACCGGAATAAGAACTTGATACCGAATAATTTCTACTTCATTTGGAGTATTTTTGCTAGACACACCCTGCAATAGCGTGATTAGATAGAAGATAAGATAAGAGAAGAAAGACATGACTTCAGTTAGGGGCGGAAAGGAAAACAATGTTTAGCATGAACATTTACCATCAGTTTCTTCTTTTGTCTGAGGCGTTCCTTGCATAGGAAGACAACGGCTGATTTGAATACGAAGCACATTGCATGAAGTTCCAAACCTTTCTTTATTTTACCAAGAAAGTCGGAAATGTTGAGCCACTCAACGCCACCATAATAAAGCAAGTCACCTAAACAAGCGATTGAATCTGAAATTCATTCGTGATTATAAATTATAATAAGTGAAGGCAGGAAGAGAAAGAAGAAAATTTCTATCGTTAGAGAAGAAGATTCGAAAATAAGATTGTGAACTCACCAGGACTTAAATCAAGTGGCTGCTTACACGATTTCTGATGTTGTCGGAAGAGATGATCAAAAATCGCGCCATATTCTTCATGTATTCGTTGCATCTCATTGATGTGTTCAGCGACTTTCTCCATTCCTTTTAAAGCTTCAATTAAATGGTGATGTTCTTCCGCATATGGATCAGTTAAGTTCTTAAGTTGCTGTAGCAACAATGGATATTTTAAAATTCTCTGAATTGGTTTTATTAGATATGACTCAAGGGTGCTACTATGCTCTTGTCTTGGATTTTTGGATAACAAAAATTCCTGTAATGCTTGATTGCCTTCATCTGTTTGTTTGAAATTCAAATTTAAATTGATGTATGAATATTATGCAACAAAATATAATCAAAGATACGCACTTGGATGTAGAACTTTCTGTGCTTTACTATGACTTGCACAGAATGAAGAGTACAACTTGAAATGATTGACGTAATATAAAAATGCCGACCCAATGGCAAAGAGAACATTCTGAAAAGATAATAATTTGTGTTTTCGTTAGCTTATCTTAAATTAAATTTTAATTATTGGAAACTTTTTCAAATTAATTGTTCAAAGCTTCACCACAATGTTGACTTCTCAAAAGCTTAAAACTCGCAACAGAAAAACATGTTTCATGTTAATTAATTGAATATCTTGTTCATTAGCAGAATTATTGCAAACTAAAAATAAATTCTAAAACTAAACATGAATTTAATTACATTTAATTTGATATGTACAATTAAGGCTTTAAACAATTAATTGTAATTGACAATCGACATCTTTTTTAATTCTTTTCAAATGAAAATCAAAAGCTTTCTATAATCTTCAACAAAAGCTGTGAAAGGATTAAAACTTACTTTGAATTGGCTAGAGTGTTCGAATCTATGAAAATCGGGCTCTATCTCTAAGGCTTCTTCTAAGTTTTGTAAAAATTGACGCTGGAATGTGACGATTTCCTGAATGTTGCCAAATAAGGCCGTAATCTCGGCATTGGATAGGAAAGTTTCACGTTTCAACGGTTCCAAGTAGTTCTCGAGAAGATTATTCAAGTGCTGTTGGTGTGGTTAATGAAAATAAATGTTAAATTGCAAATTTTTAATGCTTTCTCACCTTAACATAGGCTCGTTCAGTGTCAACCAACTCTAAAATGACTTTGCGTAATTTCTCAGCGTCGGTGAGCTGACGTGATGGTGTCAGTACAGCATTTGATGCTGATGATGTTACTGATCCTGTGGGACTAGATTTTCTCGTTTCTTGGGGTGAACGACAGTAAGTTGTCACTTGTTCAGCTGTCTTCAACAAATTTTCAATTTCAAAGCTGCTCGTTCGTGATGATTGCTTGGGGCGACTGCTTTCAATGAGTTGCTGATCTGATGTCACTGAATCATGATGTTCAGGCGAATACATGTCTTTGGCAGACATTCCCGGACGTCCTAAATTTTCCAAATGAATGATTTTAATTAAATGAAATGTAATTAAGAAATGAGAATAAATAAGAAAAACTCACTCCAACCAGGTGCTGGTACAATCAAACCAGAAATCATTTCTTCACTAATCATTGGTGGGTCTGATGGTGGGGGTGGACACACCAATGACTCAATGATATCGTCTGTTGAACGTAAAATACCAGCAAGATCTGGTGGCTCGACACGAGATGACCTAAATAAGAAGTTTAAACTTTATCGATCTTTAATTATAAATTCTTAATCTTCACCTCATCATCATGCATAAAGCTTGTTCTTCTTGCAAAACACTTTCCAAATACATCATATCTAGATCCGACACAATGGCACCGTTGATGACAATGATCTCATCTCCTTTTATTATACCTGTTTGTTGTTGTTGAGAAAGACGGAAAAGTTTTAAAAATTCGAAAAGGAAAAGATGGAAAGACGAAAAACATGTTTTCGTCATATTTTCTTTAATTTTTTATAACTTACCGTTCTGAAGAGCGACACTCTTGTCTTCAACACGACTGACATAGCAACACAATTCGTCTTGACGGTCGGCATTCTCAATGAGTTCAGCTTCAACTGAGAATCCCCACATTTGTTCCAAAGTTGATCGTTGTAATTCAACTTGATATAAAATTTTAGCGCAGACTTCAACAACCTCATGAGTGTGCAACTGTGAAAATGGCACAATCAAATAAATGAAATATTTAATAGTAAATGTACTCACGTAAGTTTCAATTAAATCATTTCGGTGAGGTACAAAGTAATTGTGATCCTCCATTTCACGTCGCTTTTTAACTCTTACAAAATGTTCCATTGGATTTAAATTCTTTCGAACGCAAGCACTCGCCAAAAACTCTTCATTTGTCATCGAATCCCTCAAGTAAACAGTAACGTAACTGTTATCGGGTAAGGGAACATTATAACTCTTCTCAGAGTCATCACGAGTACTCATCTAAGTTAAGAATGTTCAGTATAAATGTTTGTGGATTAAGAAAGGAATTTTATGAGCTGAAACAAACCTGCATTGAACGTCGACTTGAACCACTATTTGAACGTGATAATAGCGGTGGTCGTCGTTTCGTTGCACCACGCCCAGCCAATAAATTGTTCAACAACGACGGTGAACGAGCGCAAATAAAAGCGTGGAATGATGAGACAGTGAAAACGCCCAATTTGTTCAAAGTGTTCTTTGTTGGGCGTGACACGTGAGTGAGAAGAGACTGTGTGGATGGATATAATTAAGAAACATTAATTTTCTCTTAGACATTGTGTAGTTGAATAGAAAAGTGTTAGAAATTACTTTAGGATTGGGAAGTTCGCCACATTGCAACGAAGCCATGTAGCATCGTAAGCGAAATTGTTCACAATGAAGTCGCTCCAAATTTTCTTCCCATGTGATTATCTGCTGTTGAATTTGATGACGTGTGTCTTGGTCGGTGACCACACTCTGCTGCAGATCTGCCATATGCTTAAGTTTATGATCCTATGGGATTTATTCATAAATAAATTCAATTAAAATATCTATCCACACATAAAGATATTAAACATAAAAAAGAAATGAAATGAAATGAACGACGATAATCTTCTATGGCTTAAGAGAAAGTGAGAAAGAAAGAAAAGAAAATCCTTTCTGCCTTCATTTCCCAACTCAACTCACCGATTCAATTGCTTTATCCAAACGGAAAATTTCTTCCTGAAGTAAATGTAAAGTTCCCGTTTTGCCACGATGACGTGCAAAAGCTGCAGCACAAGCTGAATGGATGCTGTTGACCCAATTTTCAAGTTCCACCTATGTTTGTTGGTTGGATAGTTAACAGAAAAAATAGAAAAAAAAGGCAAATTGTGATGAATTTAGGAAGAAAATTGTTTTCAAACATCTATCTGGATTGAAAAGTGAAATGAAGTGAAGTGAAATTGCGTTAACGTTAACATTTAAACAAAAAAAAAAAGTTTCATAAGAAGTGCTAAAAGCGTCAACGTCAGAATGGAATCAATTTCAATCTTCGTTTTCATGACTAGCACTTCAACACATTTCCACCTCTTTACTGAAATAAATCAAAATGTGTTTTTACTCACTTGACATGGTGCTTGAAACAAATAAGCATCTCCGAAAGCGGTGCTAAGGCAAAATATGTAATCACGTTTTGGATGTTCGGGAATCGGTTGCATAATAGCGCCATCAACGATGATTAAGTGCTTCGGCGCTGCTTCAACTGAACGTCCCTCGCGTGAATCACAAGGATAGAAGAGTAATGTTGTGCCCTTTAAACAGACCCAATAGCCTTTCCAGCCTCGTTTACGAGCCAATTCAATTTGATGCTTTTTGCGCAATAGCCATTTTTTAACAGATAAAAAGCTGTTTTTTTGGTTGAGAAAAAGAAGAGAAAAGTTTATGGAAAGAAGAAAAATAATCGTAAATTAAAGGTTGTTCAAGTTTATTCTCATTTCTTGTCCTCCCCCGCATTCGTTTTTGGTGTGAAAGGGAAGTAAAATTCAAAGTCCACTTTCGAGAAGGTTGAATCATGACAGGGAAGCGAAACTTTAATATTTATGTTCAATTTTATTTTTTTTATTACAAGGGGGGAGAGATTTTGAAGATTAATACATTTAATTCATGCTTCATCGGAGATTACATGAGTTGGGGAAGATTGTTGGCTTACCCTGCTTTTCGAACAGCTCCAGTGCAATTGAACGATGCAGCAGCTGTACCCGTTGCTTTAGCTTTATATGGTGATGCCATGATACTCTCACCATCATCTTCATCCGAAATGGCAGTCGTTAAGCTCATTCGATCATCGTCGCTGATCTGTCAAGAAGAAAAATTTCCACAAAATATGGAAAATTGTGCAAACATGCGAAACTCAAATTATTAAATTGCTTCAACTTTTCATATAAAATCGTAATTATTCTTATGGAAATAGCATAAATTACTCGATTTATATCAGCAGTTACATTTTTGCATATATTTCGCTTCAAAATATTTATTCTAAAGAGAGTCTAATGATTCGCTTAATGTGAATGAATTTCATAAAACTTCGCAAAAAAAATATCTGATTGGAATGTGTCGTGTTGTGTGAGTGGAAAGTTTGCTTTCCTTTTTCCTAGTTATGATGAATATTTTAATGTTGTGACCATAGATATGGAACAAATAACACTTATGTAACAAAGTTTTTATGATTTTTCATGCTAAGCAATAACTTGAGTTTATTGAAAGAAACTTTAATGAGTCAGACATTATTTTCCGAGTTATAAAAGTAAATACAATAAAGAATCTCTCACAACTCAGTTTTATTCGAAGCATAAACTTTTCATACACATCATAAGTATGTTTTATGTTGCAACATTACGTAATATTTGAGATATTTCTCCCATCATAGAATTCGACTATTTAAAGGCTTTAAAAATGATTAATCAGAATTTTGATTTTGAGGAAACATTGAAATGAAATTTACCTTCCTAAGGAATCGCTCGTTACAGTCTTTGGCAGTGCCACGCCAATGTCGATGGCGATAACGTGAATTACCGAGCTTTAGTGTGCCTTTCAACGAAGCCGCTTCGTTAACGACACGTCTAATTGTTTGCATTCGAGCACGATTGCATCGATGCATAGGCTTTAAAACAGCACCACGTTCGGGCTCTGAATCGGGTCCCGATTTGATATTTTCATCATCTTCTTCATCCACCCAGGCACTCAAAACTCCTTCAACAAAATTATATAACATTTGTATATTTGGCTGCAGAGATGGCGTCGATGAATTGGACGGTTGATCAGTTAACGGTCTTATAAGCTGACGATTTTGGCACACTTCACGCAGCAGATTTTCGCCAAAGTGAACAGTTTTATGTCGTCGACGACGCGAGTGCAACGAGGCAGTTGATGCAGATTTCATGAGCTTATTGTTACCATTACGATGATGACTTTTCGATTTTGTGGTTTTTGGTGGCACAGCATTAGTGACACGAGCAGTCGCTGATGAGAGTGTTGCTGACTTAGGTAGTGATGAATATGATTCATCTTTACTTAATCCTGGGAGAAAAAGATCAGAACGACGTGTCGATTCAACACAACGTGGCAGTGAATTGCTTTTGAATTTATGATGGGCACTAACGCCATTGGCTTTTGATTTTGATCGAGCGATTGTGCCACAACAACGTGGATCTGTACAGAGTGGTAACATTTCGCAACATCGCGGGTCTGTACAAATATCGTTTTGTGGCATTTCGTTTGAATGCGGTGGTAATGAGGCACGTCGTGGCGTATCGTAATATGAATTGGCATTCAAATAACAATTCGGATCCGTACAAATAGGCAGCAGGGGACACATTGGGTCATCACAGCGCTGTAAAGCGAGCGAAGTTGTCGACTGATAAATGGGCTTCGCTTCCGGAACAGGCTGGTGGGGTTGATGATGTTGTTTGTTTTGTAAAATATTGCCCGTTGTTGCTGAGCGTTGTGTTTGTCTGTGACGTGGCTTATCGCGCTTTGTTGAACGTTCAGTCGTCGATGAATGACCATGACCGTGATGACCATGATGACTATGATGTTGCGTTTTCTCACTTTTAGCTGTCGGTTCACGATAACGTTGAACCACTTGATATTGCACTTCCGGTGGCTTGGTCTGTTGAAAGTGATGTGAAGCAGAGGCTTGTTGTGGCTGGTGTTGAATCAGCTGATATTGAATTTGTTGCGGTTGCTGTTGTTGTGTGGGTGGTTGCTGCACTAATTGTTGCTGATTATGTTTTTGATAGTTTCTATCTACATTCGACTGAACAACTTCACTCGCCGAGTGACGTAACTTTCGTTCGGCTGAACGATGATGAACACGCTCATGTTGTGCTTTTTCTTTTCCACTACCTTTTCGTGACATTTCTGTGCAGCTTTTCTGAACTTCACGCATCTTATTGAGCTTATCAATCGGTATTTGTATCCAGTCGGGCACTTCGTGGAAATCGGACGAGGTGTCACTTGGTCCAAGGGAGTGCCTCTTGTGAAGCTTTTGATGAGTTTTTCGAGGCAATGGTGGGGGAGCTGCTGAAGTTTGTTCGCTACTTTGTTTCATATCTACAATGGCACTTTTTAATGGCACCATTTGCTGTTGTTGTTGTTGTTGCTGATGTTGCAACAACCTTTGTTGATTCATTATCTGTTGCTTTGTTAACCATTCTAGAATGTTATTTTTAAGGACACGCAGGTCATCGGCGGATTTTTGACGTTGAAACTGTTTTAATGGGAGTGGGGGTGGCTGTTGTTGTTGCTGTTGTCTCTGCTTTTGTGGCAAAGGTGGACGAATAATATCAGCAAATTCGTTTTTAATTATAGATTTGGGTTTTGTTCCCGTCGATTGAATTTGTTGCTGTTTAAGTTTAGCTGCCGTTTCAATAAGATCCAATAGGGCGGCGTCTTTTTTATAAGGAAGTCTTTCAAGCCAATGTGTGATGTCTTTCTTTAATGCTTCCAAATCTTCAGGTCCGGAAAAATGACGTTGATGATGCTTATGATGCTTTTTTGTAGTATCTTCGGGCTTTGACATTCCAGATACGTCAACAGATCTTGATGATGTACGTTGAAAATGTGAACGATTCAACCATTCATCACTAAATTCTTTTTGCTGTTGAACTGGGTCAATGACGTCACTCTTTCCGAACTTTGAGCCACTGTTGACTTTTCTTGTTTGTAAAATACCTTTGGTCGGTACATCGATGGGCACTGAAGGCGGGGGTGTTGGACCAACATGATTAACAAAGTGAATTTGCTTTGGTTCACCTGATGACTCTTGTCGACTTGCTGGCGCATGTTTTCTTATCGTACCCGTTGCACTTTGTATTGTTTGATGTTGCAATTGATGATGCTGTTGTGCAACAATCGTCTCTGTGTTCTGAAGCAATAATTGAGCTAATTTTTTCTTATCTACAAATTTAAGATCTCCATTTATATCTTTAAGATAATTAAAGAGATCATCAGCAGTAATTTCTCTTCGACCCGTTTGTCTATTCTCTTGTCGTTGAATTGTTTGTGCCGCTAATTGATCTGTTAAGAAGAGGAGTTGATCTAACGAACCCGACCTACTTTTGGCACCGAATGATTGTCCAGTCAGTGATTTACTGGTTGACGGGGTGGCGTTTGTGCCTTCTGTTGATCTACTTACATTGTTCGCCACGGCACTGCTACAACGACAAATCGGTGCAGCGCCGTTAGCTCGGCCACTTATCCCATCTCCAGTTTTCTTCGTTACATCGACTACCGACGAAGGTTGCGATCCTTTTCCCGTTGCCACAGGAGTTATTTGAACAAGTACGCAGCAACAATCAAGTGTTAAAGAATTATTCTTTTCGTTTGATTCACTGTTGTTGATTGAAGATGCAGTTGAAGCTGTTGTTGCTGTATCTTGTAATGCTGAAGCCAGAATGAGTGAATGACTTCAATAATGTATCGCACGATGATCTCTTCTTTGTTTCCGCTCACCTCTTGCTGTTGCTAGATGCTAAGCAAGTGCCACTTCTTATAACTTTGAATACTCTTTTCCCCTTTTGCTATAATAACTTCGCTACTCCATTCGATTTTTTTGATTATTTGCTTTGCTTTTTCTTCTATCCTTTGATAAAGACAATGAATAACAGACGCCTTTGTCATGAGAAAATTATTAACCTTTTTGTTTCCACTTTTAGCACTCTTTTTCAATATATTCCATTTGGTTATTTTGCTTTTTTTTTGTGTTTTTATATCAGTTATTTATTTATATAATTTCTTGTTTTCTCACTTTTATATTTACTACAGAAGAATAATTTTAACGTTTTCCTTTTGTTTCTATGATGATAAGAAAAATATTTATGTGCATGAACTTTTTCCTTTTCACCATTTTATTGCATGGTTGCTTGGCTCTATCGCTCTTTATTCAAACACGAATGAATCTTCTTTTGTTGAAGAAAGTCTTTCATTTTTTTAAAATGACAATCTTTGAAAGAAATCATTAATTTTTAGCTTAGTTTTGTTGATGAAAATTCATCAAGTACTATTCAAAGTTCACTGACTAATCACGAATAGAAATTTTCTTTATTCGACATAAACTTTGCGAGAAAATCATTTCTCCATCCCTCTCACTCTCTCTTTTTCAAACTATGCAATAAAAAAGTGAATTTCCGAGAAATCTAAAAATAGAAAATGTTTTTCCCTTTTCAATTGAATTCAATTCAAACTGATGACATATTTTGTAAGTTCCCCTATGGTTATTTTCGATCGGAGTTTAAAATAATGATGAAAAAAGATGTGATGGAAATCAACAACAGAAGAAAAAAAAAAGTGTTTTTCACGGGCTTGCTGTGGCGTGTTCTGTAATGGTGGTTGAAGAGATGATTGCTCACATTAAACAGCTTGGTTGTGTAAGTGGTTGTAACGGGATTATGTTTGTGATGAATGGAATGAAAGAAAGAAATCAGAACAAAAACTTTCTTTTCCTTCTTTTTAACATAATTATAACATGAAAAATAAAAGAACGAAGACAAAATAGAATGAAAATGCTTTTTTGAATGTTGATAATCATAATATTATTTTCGTCCTCCATAATGGTGGAAAATTCCATATCCGAAAAAAAAGAAAGAAAGAAAGAAAAAAATTGGAAATAGCAGAGAAGAAAATGATTTTGTTGGATTGGTGGTTTGTGTGTGTATTGATGCTGTGTGGTGCGCTAACTCTCATTCCATTACATCTTTCGACATGGGTGTGTGTATGGGATAAAGAAAAGAAAAAAAAACTTTTCGTCAGAGCTTTTCTATCTTCTGTATTCTCTCGTGTCGTTATCTTTAGAATTTATATATTTTTAATTTAAATATCACGATAAGAATATTGATATTTCAGGAAAAGGTAAAACCATGTTGAAAAGAAGAAAACGAAAACTTTTCTTTTCTTTCTGTGGTCTCAAATGTGGGGTTGGTTGTGCTTTTGTTGAAAGCTGAAAAGGGTTTGCCGAATATGTTTTTGAAGAAGCTATTCCTCTGCAATGCAATGAAAAAATAATTTATTGGCATTTAAAAGTGGTTTTTCTTGAATACGCGGAATAAATCATATAAAAAAAATCTTTATTCAAGAGAAGGAAGAAAGTGGTAGGTAGCGATGATAACTGGAATGAGTGAGAGTTCTGGGTCTATTTTTGAATATTTCATCGCTATATCACCCTCAAAGAAGCGCGTTTTTTGGTTCTTTATACATTTTTTCCTTTACAATTCTATTCTCAGCTAAGGAGCGCTGTGCTTTCCCGTCTTACTTCTTCTTTTTCTCATGATTAAGCTATTTTACTTTGTCTTCAATTTTTTTTCTTTCTTTTCTTTCTTACAAGAAAGATATCAATTGTTTGTGTCATTTCTTAAACTCGTAATTTTCAAGCACTTTCTATTAATGGAATATGAGATCTACAATATGGTGCTTGTAGGTTAATTTTAATTTGTTTCTATTTCCAATAATCACACTATAAAAGGAAATTATAAGAAGCATATTGATTACTTAATTATAAATTATTTAAATGATGAAAGAAAAGTGAAATAAAAAGACATTCGGAAAAGAGTGGGAGAGATAATCGCTAAGATACGGGCAGATGAATTTTAAGCTTCTCGACAGTTTTTCTCTTTTTCATTTCTCAATCATACAAATTTCTTGTTTAATATCCGTTATAAATACCATCCCCCAGATTAATCATGATTTCGATTTTGTGTTAACGTTTATTCTACCAGACGCGGGGGCGAAGAAAAGCGAAAAGAAAGAAGAAGAAGGAATAAGAGAGAAAATCTGATGCTGCGTCGTCCTTCACCATGAAGTGTAATTTGAAATACAAATAATATTTCTATAACATCTAGATTTGTTAGATGTGTGACTCTGGTCTCGCTGTCGTCCTTTTTTCCTTTTCTTTCCTTTCATTCGGAACACAATGGAGCACTCGGAGTTAACTTTTTACAGAGCCTGTGTCTATTTTTTCCCGTAATTTTTTTTTCCTTTTTACGAATCGATAAAATCACGTAATTTTTTTTCTCGCTTTTCACTGATTAGATTTCTTTTCTTTATTTTGTTTTTCATAAAGCTCATCTGAAAGTTTTAATTTATTTCCCTTTACACATCCTCATGAAATATTTTAAAACAAAAATTATTCCCGTAGAATTTTTCTTTCCATTCCAAAAAAATTTTGCTGTAAATATTTTTCTTCAAGTTAACTTTTCCATTGCTTGCTGTCGAAGCATTCACATTGAGAGTAGATTTTCAACACCATGAGGCAAATAAAGAAAATTTCAAACATTTTTTCTTGCCCAGCAATTGCAGCTAAATAATCCTTTTTATAATTGATGGCGAGAGCAAACCAAAGCAATAAAAATGGTGAAAGCGATTCAATTACACTAATAATTCCTCAAATTTCTTTTTTTTCTCAGCTCGCGAATTATAATCGAATGAAAATTTTTCCCGTCGCGACTTTTCCTAGCTAGGAAAAACAAGGCGTTTTTAAAAACTTTCTATCTCAAGCGAAAATATCCTGTAGTAAAATTGGGCAATCAGAATAATAATATGTACACTTTTTCTGCTGCCTGCTTTTTTTTCACAAAGAGAACTAGTAACTCGAACGGAGCTACGAAACAACCGCTTTGTTCCGAACTCCCAACCGATATGATATGTGTGGAAAAATGGAAAATTTTCATGTATTTTAAAGAGAAAATGTGTATGTCGATGTGAGGAATCTCCATGAGATAATTTTATGAATGTATGTGAAAAATGGACGAGGCAGGTTTTTCATCCTTTTTTTTCTTCTTTGAGAGAGAAATTGTGAGAGAAAATGAGAGATAATAAAGCTTTTTCCTTCTCAAAAGCTTTTCATAAAAGCTTTCAATGAAGTGAAAAAAGAAAATTCTTAAACTACCTACAAAGCTGAAATCTAATCTTTTTTTCTACAATTAATTTTCCTCTCACTCACCCATTGAGCTTCGTTTAATGAAAAAGAAATCTAACACGAGTACAATGAGACAATGTTGAAATCGTTTGTTGTCAAGTCAATTATTACACAAATCTGTTTAATTTAATTTTTCAAAGCTTTTCATTGCTGTTTTTTATTTTTTCTTCTTACTTTATCGAGCTGCACGGTTATATCGCCATCGTTCTGTCACTCAATTTATTCGAGTGTTAGTTCTGAGCGATTCTTATTTTCTCTTTTCTCAAAAAAGAAAAAAACAAACGAAAAGCTCTCTTTCAAGTTATTCCTTTCTCTGAGGTCGGAAAATTTAAGGAAAAGAAAAACATATTTTCGTCATGCATCGCTGAAGCTTTGAGCTAAATCAGTGATGACAAGAATCGAGAAAATGAATGAGAAGAAAATAGATTTGATAGCTAAGACGTCAGCAAGAATAGAAAATTAAATTTATGACGCAAATCAAAATTTGCGAAAATCTGTGAGAAAATGAGAGATAAATTGAAGATGAGAAAGGAAAGAAAAAAGTTTTTGTCAAATGATACGAAAGGCGCCTGCTTGTCAGAGCCCATTTCAATAAGTTTCGCTCTATTTTGGGTGTGTGAGGTTTTTCCATCACTTCAATGTTGTGTGAATGTGTTGCTGTGAGTACGATCAAATCAAGAGAAACAAGTAAAAAGCTCGCTCAAGGAAAACAAAGTGTTAAATGTCCCCGAAAAATGCTTCAACTTATTTCGTATGTGTTGGCTTCCATTGGAAAATTTCCCAACTGAGAACTCTCGTTGTTGAACTTTTCTCTTCGTTCATGGACTTTGTAGTCAAATCAATTTCCTTACAATATAGAAAAATATGAGAGAAATGTATGGTTGAGGTTGGCTTTGGTGTACGTTGATGCAGGGCAAGATTCTCTTTTTTTTCTCTTATCGCTTCCACAACTGCGCTGTCGAGAGTCGAGTTAATGTAATTTTCTGGGTTAATTTTTTTTCCTTTTTCTCTTTGCATCGAACTTTTTTTTTTGTCGTCGTAAAAATGGGAAAATGTTGGTTCAAGGAATGAGTAAAAATAACGTATAAAAATTCATGTAAATCATCATGTTACGATTTGTTTATCTTATGAGAAAAGAGATTTTTTTAGCAAGCTAGCAAAGGCAGCTGATACCTAAGTAGCTTTAAAGAAAAAAGTTGCCAAGGGAAGAAAAACGCGAGATAAAGTTTCTTATTTCTTTGATGAAAAATGAGGACAGGTCTTGGAACTACAGAAGCTTAAATATTAATTTTTCTCGATTCACATCATCTTCGTCCTTATTTCTATTTTTGAAACATAAATTTGTATTTCAAATTCCCTCTTATATTCAGATATAAAACTTGAAATTTGCTGTTGAATCAATTTTGTTGATAGGAAAATTTAATTCGCTCATAGTTGTTATGTTGTTACGTGTTTCCAACGCTTGATGGCTTCATTAAAATGTTCATTAAATTTCTGTTAATCGAGGAAAAGTATCAAATTACATTCGCTTACGATTCAATTTATTCGTCATCTGAGCCGTTGTGGACAAACTATATCAATAGTTTCTGTTTCAATAAACGAAACTTCCTACTCAGCTCCATTTTGCTATCTTTTATTAGGTCATCCCAAACTATTGTTCTTGTTTTCGTATTGTTAAGCATTTTTTTTTGTATCTACGGCGGCGGTAGAAAAAGTTTTCCACGAATAACATCTCAATCGCTATCCGCTACTAAGGATTGCTTCGTTAATATATACTTTCGTGAAGATTGAACAGTTGACGAGGAATTCTTGTGGTAAATTCGCCATTAATATGGTTGGTTGGTGGGCAATGTTGCCTAGTTACATATTAGAAATTTATTTCTCAACTTCATGCACACAAATATGTACGTATTCGACGTTATGACGAAGTCAAATATGTATAAAATTGGAAAAATATTAATGGAATGATGAGGAGTAAGAAGAAGCTGGAGGGGGTTGAATATCTCGTCATAGCTTTTTGTTGGCTTTATGCTCGTATCAATTTTCATGTAGCATACGTTTAACATAACAAGAAACCTATTATTTTTGGGTTATTTTTACCGCTTTTTGCTGAGCTCATGCAGAATTATTTTTCATTGGAAGCGGCAAAATTTAAAGCTTCATCATGAATTTTGTTAATTCTTATCATCCAGCCTTTTCATTCTTCCATCTCTTCTTTTCTCTGACTCTCATTCACTTTAAAAACATTAATCGTGAATAATTCTTTTCTTCTGTCGCTGATGCTGATGCTTCTTTTACTGCCATGCCATCATTGTTGTAAATATGTAGCTCTTGGATGACTAAATACATTTCATTCTACATCGTGAACAAAGAGCATCTGATTGTAATTGAAATATAAAAATTGCTTGTGCTTGGGAATTACATCAATTGAATGACGTTTATTAGAGCTTATCAAAGTTAATCTCAGACTCTATACATGGTCTGCCTGTTCTTTAGAGAAACAACGTCTAATATATTTATTGTTAAAATCCGCTTTAAACTCCCACGCGATATCTTTTTACGCGCATTTCCAAGCGTTTTTAAACATTCAAAAAGAATCATTTTTAGAAGGAACTTTTCTTTTATCATTGTGTCGTTTAAATTCGAGCGATGCTTTCTTTATTTTCTTAACAAATCGCTCCATAAGCGATGACACAATTTTATTTAGACGTATACACTCAAGCAAGACGACATGGAACACTGAATGTTATTCATTTTTGGTTGTCAACCTTGCAAATCCCACCCTGCAGCTTCATGAGCGTCAAAATAAAATTCTTTACTTTTTTTTATTTATCCACCTCGAAGGAACGGAAAGCATTGGAGAAACGTTTTTCTTTATACTTTGTGAAATTGAAGCAATTTCTTTTTCCTCGATTCTAATATATGTAAGTAAGTATGTACGAATGTATTTATATCTACCCAGGAAAAAAGAAGAAATAAGAATTTTGCTGCCTTCTGGGAAATATTTAAGGGAATAAGATTTGCTTTTTTATTCTTTTAAAACGAAATATGCCATTTTGTCGCGACACAAATATCAACTTCACTCCTTGATGTTTGCATTGAATCTTCACTTTTCCTTTTTCATGATGTTGTTTGTATGATTGTCACATATTTGACAGGAAAAAGGATATTTACTTTTTTTTTACTTCATTTGCCCGTAATTCTTGGCCTTCGTGCCTCATTCCAACAATCTCTTTTCTCACAAGAAAGTTAAAATTTCATTCCTTTTTATAGCAATTCTAAGTATCCGTTCGTTTTTGTACATCTGAAGTTTGAACGATGTAAAGATGGAGAAGTAAAGTTTTTTTCACATTTTTTCACGTTTACATTTCATCGAGTGCTACAAATTAATATTTAATGAAGACATAAGGAAAACAACAATAATAACAAGGAAAGGCAAGGCGAAAATATAATAGATTCGATAGGAATCGCCATAAGAAGCATGACACGAAAGTGAAATGGTTCATTGCCATGGTGAGTCTTTCAAGATGTTAAGGGTGGTCTTAATTGTTACATGAGTTGCTACAAAGGTTAAAACGATTATTATTGGAATTTATGGGCTTGTAAGAAGACTAGGAAGGTGATTACATGAACTTCGGATACTCTACAGAATCACAAACCATGAGACTCTCACGCGATGCTAAATTTTTCCATGGAAATGTTCGCTTGTTACGTCAACTTCAACTTTTCATTATTTTACGATAAGAACGTACGTAATCTTGTGACGTCATTATTAAAATTTTTAATCATCTCTATGGAAAATTTCAAATGAAAATGAAGTATAAATATTAATTGCTTTCCTTTTTCTCATATCGCGTGTGTGTTTATTTATTGCTTATAATGAAAATTCACCAATATCAGCACATTAAATCTGTTTAAGTCGGAAATATTTTACTTCACGAGTTTTCCCATAAAATGACACGTAAATAAATAAATCAAGCACTATGTGAAGCTGTTGATGACGTACACTGCACACATGTTAACAAAAAACAAAAAAATGGAAGGAAATAAATCGCTAAATATTGAAATCCTTCGCGGTTGATTGTCTTATTGATTTAGCCTACTTTTAGACGATGACAAAGTTTAGAAGAGAATTGAGAAAGTTTTTGACAACTTTTCACATGGGAATTTTTTTGTCAGCAAATATAAAATGTTCAGATTTCTTTTGTCATGTTTAAATATACGTCATTGCATAAGTTCCTTGGTTCATTTTTAGACTTCCAAGTTGAGCTTATGTGAAAGCTAAAAATGTCTCAACGAACGACCCAATTTTAATCAACATCATCATCATAACAAACACGTTCTTCATTAAAGAAAAGCTTTTGTTTTTGATATCTTGAGCTACCAAACTTCTGATTTATGTTGGAGAAAATTTCATGTTTGAATCTGATGTTGGCGACTAGTTGGTTGGAAATTAAATTAAATTGATTACTCTTTCAATTGAATCTTTTTCTTGTTGTGGCAGCTTCAACTTTTCTTATATTTCCTTTTTTAGAATCCCAACTTTGGGGATGTGTTTGAGAATTTAAAAGAGCCACATGTGTTGATCCCCATTGCTTCACTACATTGTGGAATTTTTTAAATCAACTTTAGTTGCATTGGGATTTTCTATCTTTTTTTTACATACACACAAAGAGATTCATTTTCCTATTAAAACCTTTCGTTTGGCCCTAAGGCAATATTTTGTGAACATCAACGGGTCGATATTAGGAAATAAACAAAACAGGGAAACAGACAGAACGAGTTTTTTTATTTCGAAACTGGGAAGAACGACGGGAAAAGCGTCGAACATTTCGTAGCACTTCAGTGAATGCCTGACTAAGGCGTAAAGTTTTACGGTTCGAGGGTTTTTCTTTTATCTTCGTTTCACTTCTTCCCAAACTTTTGGTGGGGTAGTGTGATCTTTACATAAATGAATCGAAGGCTAAACGAACATTGAGGGATGAAGAAAATGATGATAAAGGTTTGGCATTTTCAAGCATCACTCGTCGTTAATTAAATCATAAATAAATCGTTTTTTCGTTTATATCGAATAATGTGATTATTTACGAATCATAAAGAGAGAAAGGAAGGATAAGAAGGATAAACATAAGTTGTAATCATAACTAGTTAGATGGATATTTATAAATGAAGAGTAATATCAGGTTAAAGGACGAATTTTTCTTTCTTCTTCCATTCTCCATTAGCTTAACTGCTTCAATTTTCTTTCCGCAAATTATTTAGGTCTGAGATCTTGGCTTGATGAAAACAATACATAAAAGCTTTTCACTAAGCCATTAAAAATTTTAATTAAAATACGTGTGTGTAAGTGTAAATAAAAGTGTCGTTATTTATCATTTAAAGCTTTTCTTTTTATGGAATTTCCACGTTCGTTCCTTAAGTATTGTGTCGGTTACATTAAAATTTTCATTGTTGAGGTGAAGGAAAATTTGCAGTCGTTAGCAGGTATTTAAATAGTTAAATGCATATTAAATTTTCCTCTTTATAAAACTTTGCAAATACTCTTATCATAAAATGTTCATTAATCAACTTGCTTTCGAGTGCAAATGCTTCAACTATGGAATAAGATTTGAATAACTTTAATGCTTTATGAATATCAACTTGTTTCAATTTAATTATGTAGATTCATGTTTAATGAATATTTTAAGATACTTATGTAAAGAAGTTTCTTTGTAAAAGGATAATCTTTACACTTCAAAGGAAACTCAAGTTCGGTTTTAACTGAATTGCACATTTTCTGCATTTGAAAAGAAAGCTCAGAAAGTTTCTTCTGATAACTCTCAATAAATTGTATGCATTTGAATTCTCAATTTAGAATTCAATTTTATTTGAAAAGAGTTTCTAAAAATAAACTTAATTTATTTACATATGAGCATCTAAGGAAAACTTTAAAGTGAAATTGTTTATTTATGTTTGTTGAAAGAATTTCAATTTCAGGTTGATAACATTCACTTCAGCAACTATGTTGAGTTCCTTCATGTCAGTTAACTTTTCTTATCTTCATTGAAACTCTTTCTCTGACTTTTCTTCAATTTATATTTATTATCAAGAGTTGGGAATTGAAATTGAATAACTCAACTTTTGTTTCTCATATTTCAAACTTCTAGAAAACTTTTCATGAAGAAAATTCATTTCTTTGTTTGTATATGCAAAAATGTAACATTTTCTCTCGTCTCAATACTTAAATTAGATATTTATTGATAAGATGATGTGGAGATGAAAAATGAAACTTTCTCCATCATCATAAACATGTAAATAAGTTAAATTTCACTAACCTCGGATGATGTGAGATAACACAATCTGGAATCGGTGCTATCAATGGAAGCTTGCTGAACAATGCCATAACGTGTTTCACGATCACTCAAATAATCAGATCTTAAGCTATCTTGACGGTCAAATACGCCTCTGTTTAATGAAAAATGGAGAAAAGATTTTTCTTTCTGACATTCTTAAGATAAATTAAGAAAATTTTAAGATGAGAAATTTTTTAATTTAAGATTTATGACTCAAGGGAGGCAATGAAGGAATGAAGAAGACTAAAAAGGTAGTTTAAGATTATTTTTTGTTTCTAACCGTTGTTCAAAGGAATCAGCCCGATTGCTTTTATATCCTGAGTCATTAAGCGAGCCATCTTGTTTCAACGATGGCAAAGAATCCCATGGCGAACGACGGTGACCCGTCCCTTGTGATATTAAATTCGTTCCAGATCCAAGTGTTGAACTTCCAGAACGCCATCCATCCGAGTGACGGAACCATTGAGCTCTTGCCGATTCACCAATGCATGAAGCACAACGTGATGTTGAATAACTAAAAGCATTTGTTAATAACAAATTATGAATCTTGAAGCGAACTTACCTAGAATTATGATCACTTAAGTATCCTCTGTCACGCTCTCTTTCACGTTCTCGTTCACGAATCAATTCATTACGATCACTACAATGAGAAGTGTTTATTAAGAAGCTTGTAAAGATATTAAGGAATGTTTATTATTATCACCTGTAATAACCATCTCGTTCACGCTCTTTCGGTACATAAGGACGCTCAACATTCAAGCGATGTGGCAAAGGTAAGGTTGAAGATTTGGCACTTGCGGATGCTCCTAAAAACACAGAAAAAGGAAAACAAGAAAGAAAAGAGAAAATTATGAAAAAAAGTTGATAAATTGAGTAAATAAAAATGTCGAAAAATATGAATTCGTGGTCAAAGATCCCTTACGTCGTCTGGTTGGATAAGGTGACCGCTGAGATGCCGGAAGACTTTCAGCCAATTCTACGAGAAATTGATCAAAATTTTGATGCCGAATGTGCAGGGAGGAATAATTTTTATTTTTTGGATTTTATTTATTTTCGATCGTGTAAGTAATCCACGATGATTGAGTGAGTGTGTGAGAGAGCGAGAAAAAGTTTTTGAAAACAGAATTGAAAAGAATAAAGCACCAATTAACACTCATTGGACGGTCAGGGAACTTTGAATTTACCCAAATTTTCCATACTTTGTGATAGAAGAGCCTCAAAAGTGTGAAGGCTGTAAGACTCAGCATCCATTCCCTTTGCCAATGTGTTGCGTAAATGCATTTCGTACTCCAAAAGAAGGCGAGAAGTAGGCGAGCCGGGTGTGGGCGTCACATTAGTTTGCGGTTGATGTGAGTGATGTTGATGGCGGTTGCCTGTTCTCGTGCCGTAACCGGGCTGATCCTGATCGGAATTCCCATTACTGGAGCTTGAAAAACGAAAATTCGTTGTAATTAATGTGAGTTTAATGAACATTCGACTACCTTGGCGTGGTTGCATAGCATTGATTATCAAACATAACGTTGTCGGATGGCGGAGAACCTTCCAACCCACAACGATCTTTTTCTAATTCTAAGTACAGCCCACGTGGCTGATAACCGCGCCCAATTTCATGTGACGACCTGCAAAGCGAACTTTAACGATTTTCATAGCGCAAATCGAACTTTTTTTTTGAATATTTTTTTCAACATAAAACTTTTCAATTATAATGAAAAAGCTTTTCTTTTTGTTTAAAGAAGTCTAATCTCATTATGTTTAGAAATTAGAATAATTAAATGAAGCAGCAAACTTACCGTGAACCTGAGAATCGTGATGATTGACTTGACTGACGTGACATTGAGTTGTTATTAAGCATATGACTATTGTGAATAATATGTTGATGTCCATGTGGAGCAGTGTTTGTAGCTGCATTGTAATAATTGTAACGTCTTCGACCCATTTCAGGTGACGTAACAGGACTTTCAACACCATGTAATGGTTTCAACATTTTCTTTAATGTTCCCGAATCGACATTCATATCTTCGGTACTTTTTGATTTATTGCGTTTACTGCTGGTTATCTGATGGTCGTGCATGATATTCTCATTGTAGTCTTTTGATCGTGTGCCAGTTCCAGTTGAAATTGATGTCTTCACTGTTTGCTTTTGATGTTGAAGTGTACCACCAGCTTGCGTTCCTTCCGATTTTGACGTCTCTTCACGTTGCGTTTGCTTATCATTCGCATCATCTTGACTTATTTGTAGACCGATGTGATTTTGTTGTGTACCGACAGACGCTGTCACAGTCATTGTACTTGTGTCTGATTTCTGACGTTGCAAAGCTTCTAGAAGGAAAGTAGAAAAACGAAAATTCGCCTTTGCTAAATACTATCAAACAAACAATAATCGGCAAGTCACAATCTGAGGGTTGGTGACCAACTGACCTTGTCCTTGATTGCTTGATGTGACATTGTCGTAAAGCGATGTTGTTGACGCAGCTGTCGTCGGTTTATCTGATCTTATTAAATCAGCTTCGGTTGCTTTTGATGTTGGGCGCGGCAAAGTGGAAGAACCTGTTGTTTGTGAATTTATTTCGCCATTAAATTTCATTCTTACTTATCAAATTTCCTAGACTAAATCTTTTACCTCGATAGCGTGGATCTTGAGCCTTGATACGAGCATATTGTTCAGCCGTCATACACGTGCATTGCGGTTCGCGAACACGCGATGGACTTGCTGGTGTGCTTAAAGGCTTACGCTTTGGCTTCACCTTTCCCTTGCCAGGTGGGTCAAGTTTAAGTGAATAACTTGACGACGCCTTACGTGAGAATTTGAATGATGGCGACTGAAATAAATCAGACTGGTTTTAATTGAATGTAATTAGTGAATGATTTGGTTTTGGTGATAAATTTGAACTTATGAGAATTTAAATTACTTTCTTACTTAATCATTATCGTGTTACTAATTTTTCTTATTTTCTTTTCTACTTTTTTATTTAATCATGCGAAAACTTTGCAAATAGGAATAAAAAAAGAAAGAAAATTTCTTCTTTTTTCTTATCACAAAACGTAACCTAACGTAACATATTCACAATGGCATGTTATGCATATATTTATGAATGTTAAAGAAAGGAAGGAAGGAAGGAAAAGAAGAGAAAGAGAGAAAGAGAGATGGAAAAAGTTTTGTCTACACTTACACAGCATTCCCTAAATTGCTTAGCATCGATGGGTGATGTGAAGTTCAAGCCCCAGGTGTCATTTGTCATTGGATCTTTCCAGTAAACAAAACATTCTGATGCTTGTCCAATGCGTGTGCCTAAAATATGTCAGAAACGGAAGTTGGGGTGAATAAAGAGTGATTAATGACACATGTCTCTGGGTGATTCATAGAAAGAAAGAAAGAGAATTTCAAAGAGAGCTTACCCGGTTGCACAAGTCGAACGTCGAGTATCTTATCAACTTGACTGTTATACGCCGTGATGTGGAACACGCATTCGGGTGAATCTTGTATGCAAGTTATGTTGACGGGCACAAGATCCTCAGAGACTTGTTGCCATTTCACTTGCCCAGCACCACTCGCAGCGACATGGAACACTTCCGCCCACAACCTGAATACACTAATAATATTTAAATCGAACCAAAAAGAAAGAAGAAAGGAAAGAAAGATGCCAGGAGAACAAAAGAAGAAAGAATTTTCTTTGCTTTGTTTCTTTGTAAATGTGATTACAGTTACAGGGAACAGCAGAAAGAAATACTCGTTCACGAAAGCTTTTTAACATTCAACGTTTAAAAATTGAACCTGTCAGCAGCATCAACAATAAACAATTTAAAATATGTTTTGTTATTTATTTGTTTGTTTGGAGGTTCATTTTGATTGGTGAATAAATAATTGACTCGTTGTTTGATATTTATTTACATACCAGAGAATGAAACTGAATGAAATGTAAAGAGAAAATACTTCAGGGCAATCATGTGAGATGTGAGAAAGTTTCAACGACAGAAGATTTCTTAAAACTTCTTGGAAGCATGTCAATAAGAATAATGAAACTACGGGAATCAATTGAATTGAAAATGGAAGTCACGAATCGAAATGTTTTCACGCATCAAGAGATGTCAGAACATCTTTTCGTTCTTTTTCTCAATAATTCAAGAATTAATGATATGCTCTTGAATTTTAATCATTTTAAAAATGTATAAGTTGTGGGTGGAAAAGAAGATCTTCACATCGCATGTGTGGTTGGAAATGAGTGACAGTGGTATAAAATTTGAGGTCACCTCACACAAGCATCACTTAGCAAAAACAATGAAATGTAATCAGAATTGAAATTTGAAAAAGCTCTAAATTTTGAATGAAATGTCGCTTAAGTTGAAGTGATGAAAAATGGTATTGATTCTGACAGTATGAGAGAGTTGGAAACGAATTTTGACGTCAAAACTCTTGAAACTTTAGCTTTCAAAATGAGTTCAACAATCAAAAACAAAAAAAGAGAAAAATTTACCCAAATATTTTCCTAACACAACTTTTGCATTCATTTTCAACCCATTCATGTTGTTTTTCGGTGTTTTCCCTTTCCAAATAGCTTTGCTTGAAATTCTATCCTGTGATGAGTGATTTTCATGACTTAATTAAAAATACATATGTGTTGAGCTTTCATTAATTGGAAGTGGGAAAAGCTGTTTTTGGGTTTTCTTTCTTTTTCGGTGTTTATTTATTCGTCTGTCGATTCTTTTCTTTCTTAAAGCGAAAACTTTTCGCCGTAATGATGAATAAAAGAGCAAATGAATGAAAGCGGGCGCCATTCATGTTTTGAAAGTGATAAAGAGTGAAAAAGCTATTTTCGACTTCATTCTAACAAGAATCACATTGCATAAATAATTAAACTTTTCTTTTTCTTGTTATTTGAGAAAGCAACTAAGAAATCTCTCTTGTGATGCTCTGACAATATATGTTCATTTAAAAACTTCATCATTGAATGAATTAAGTATGAGAAATCATCGATAGAAGGAAAAGAAGCATTGGAAAAGATGAGTTGAAAGTTAAGATTGAATCTCACCTCAGGAGATGGCCATCACGTCGACGACCAGTTTGCCATGGTGAGTCTTCGTAACGATAAGCTTTTCGCATTAATGGTGCACATGAGCAGCTAAGTTTGTTTCCCATTGCACAGCTTGGACAACCCGATTGACCTCCTTCAAAGACACACACATAAGTGACTGAAGATTAATGAAGGGAATGGCTTATTTACCTGAGGAACTTTGGTGTCACCACATTCCACTTCCAACGCCCACGTCAGCACGAGACAGGGCCTGTCCTCTATTTAGCGATTGTGACCGTTGATTGTGACGATATCCGCCGTATTGACTACTTCGGCCTCGCTGTTAACATCAAAGAAAGAGAAATGATGAAAGAAAAGTTAATAAAATACTTTATAATTTAATTTAATGTCATTTGACGATCCTTTGATGATTCTGGAATGATTTCTCATTTTCACATTAACATAAGAATATTTTCCTAGTGAAATCAATCAAGCAGAGTGAAAACTGAAAAAGCGAGCAATAATTCACCGACATGATGGCAATAAATCTATAAGCTCATAGTCTATTAGAACAGCAATACATAAATAAAAATTTTTCTCATGAATTTTACTTTTTACAAGATTTTTAGATGATTATGAGAAAGCAAAAGTAAAAATGTGTGTAGCTGTGATATTTGTTTTCTTTTTAAACAACACATTCATTGTAGGTGTGAAGAGAAAAGATTGAATTAAGAAAAGACAAAAGAGAAGTAAATTTAAGCCGATTATAATTCCAATCTCGATAACACAAAAAAAAGTTTTGTCAGCTTAAGTCAGAAGAAATTTCTTATGACCGTCTTGAAGAAAATCATTTTTAGATTTTAATTTCTTCATCGCATTCTTACATTAAATGAATGAATGTGTGAAACTTTTAATTACATGATTGAAGAGTTTTAAAAGCTTCATTAACAGAGAATAAAAACAACACAAGAAATCGTAGATATTGATGAATGGAAAATGATTAAATAAATAAATAAAAACACAAAACTAATCAGAGCTTTATTTTCATTCATTAGCTATCATGGTTCATGATGAAAAACGAGGAAATTATTTATTTGTTTTGTGATGAAAAACTTTTCGTTTTTCTTTCATTCATCGAAATGTTTTGGTTGATGCGAAAGAAAATTGAGGAAAATTATCGATTGGGAAGTTAAATGAAAAATAAATTGGCGGTAGATGGTGAGTTTCGCTTCGGCGGTTTTTCCTCACTGTTGGCCTATTTTCCGGTCACTTCAGGTTTTTCTGATCGATTTGACTTCTCGCCGTTTTGCAACTCAATAATCCCTTGGGAATTTCATTCTAATTTCCTTAATGGAAAACGTAACCACCGTAGTGCGTGTATACACATTTATGCTGGCAAGTAAAGTATATTCTCCGGCACATCGACTTTTTTTTTCCTTCTTACCCATAATTTGATTTATGGCACTTTAAATTGAATTCTGATGAACACACACTGATGAGAGCAAACTGAAAATTCAATGACGATGATGATGATGATGATGATGATAAAGTTTAAGAAGAAACAAAAAAAAAAAAAAGAAAGCGATAAACACGAAACGAACCAATGTATTTTGCGGTCCACGATAGACTAAGCATCAAAATTTTACGTGTGACGAGAAGAAGAAAAATGATAAAACAAACTGTAAGCAAGCAATAAAAGTCGTTTGAACTACACCTAAAACTATTTCTTCTATTACATCAAAAATCTTCACAACAACAACAGAAACAACATAAAAAAATTATCGTCGTCGTTCGAGCGTTGTTTTATCATTCAAGCATTGCACAACCGTGCGCTTAATTGGAAGACAATCTCATGACAAAGCAACGCCCAATCGACGCTCAAATTCTTATTGAACTTCAGAGTTTATTTCTCTCTTTTGTCAAGGAACGTTTACTCAAAGAAGTAATCTGAAAATAGATTTTTCATCTCATTCATAATTGATGTGTAGTCGTAAACACACAACAATGCATAGCATAGTGAAACGTCTTTGAGATTGCGTGCGTTAAAAAAGAAAGCACGAACGAGTGTCCATCACATGTGGACAAAACCCCCCGTTAGGAGAATGTCAACAGAAAAGAGATTGTCAAAATGACAATAAAAATAGCAAGAGACACACACTGCATATGTGATGATTAAGAGTGGAAAGATGACGACATGAAATAAATGCCCAAGTTTGCTTCTCATTCGGTTGATAGTGGAAGCGGCGCTTCGTCAACATCATCGGAAGTAAATGATTTTCTTTTCGGGGCGAAGTTTATTTTCTTCTGTCTTTTCTTCACCGATGAATGAGACATTTCGTTTCCTCCGCATGAGAAGAAATAAAATAAAAATGTTCGTTTGAGTAAATATTAGATGAAAGACGTAGATTTGATTGCTGATGCCACTGGCGCGCTATATGCAGCTAATCACATTATCTAACGTAAGACTTTATTTGATTTGTTTGATGCAGAATATTTCAGCACGATTTAAAATCATTTTTTATTTAGCACAGATCTGTGCATACATGAAGATAATCACTTCCATAACGTAACAAAGTTTACTTTACACTTTAGCTTAAATAGATGAAACTCATGAGTTTCCTTATGATCAAAAGAATTACAAGTCTAATGCATGATTAAATATGTAAATTTTTTAAATCGACTAAAATGGAATATCAACATTATCTCATCCCAAAGTCTTTGAGGGATTGATTAAGAATAATTTCAAATTCACACGCCAATTTGAAACTCTTTAATTTTCTTCTTCTTTCTTTTTTGATAAAAGTTCATAAAAATTTATTTTATTACAGGATAAGAAAGAAACAAACAAAAATTATTTTTTCTCTTTTGACACAGAAAGAAGTTGAAGAAAAAAAAAGGTGGGCGAGCAAGAAAAGAAACATGTAATAACTTCCAGTCAGTATGCGGGAATGGGTGGAAGATGAAGATTTAGGATGAGAAGAAAAAATAAGGAAAGTAGAAGCTAATCGAAGGTGCAATCGAAGTAGCAAAATATTTATTGAAGGTGCACGGTAAAAGAATCGTGTTTGGGTTTAATGTTGGTAAGAATCCAGACATCACGAGGAATTATGGTTGGGGATTGATACGTACCTCCAAATGTCCCCAGTTATCTGCATTTAATTTAGCTGCCTCCACACTACCTTTAGCTCCCATTTTTCTTTCTTTTTACTATTGCTCTAAATATTCTCCAATGAGTTCTCAACCAGTGAGAAGTTCAATTTTAAGTCTTTAAGGGTTTTTTTTCCTTCAGGATAAATATTCTTTAATAAACTTTTTCTTCTTCTTCTTCTTGTTTTCTTCTTTTATATTTCAAAAGGAGATAAATTAATTTAAATGTAATTAGATTTATTGTTCTTTAAGCGATGAGTGCTGACAACTGTTTCCGCTCTTTCACTCTCGATTATTATATTAGATAATTTTTGTCTAATAATTTTCCTTCTCTATCTAAATATCGTACGAAATTTCAAAAACTTTTCATTTTTTTTGGATTTTCCACAAAGCAAAATGTTTGTGAACATGAAGAATTTAAATTTTGATATTTTTCGAAGCAAATTTGATGTGATTTCCACTTTATGTTGTCGTGTAATCTAACAACGATTGCTTAATAAACTTTCGATGAACGGGAAAGTCAGAAACTTCATTTTTACTTTTTGGATAATTTTTTTAAGGCAACAAACACACCCACTTTGTATGTATTTGATTTGTGATTTTCGAAAAACGGATAAAAGAAGGAAGAAAAACCTTCAACACACGCACACAAACAAGCACACAGTAGCAGCATCTACTACTGTACCAACACACGTGAGGTGCTTTTCCCTTTTGTATCGTTTTCCATTTATCATCATTTCGCAGATGATATTTTTCTAAATTTAACTTTTCTGAGGTTTTAGGTGATAAGAACAATTTAAACACCGTTAGAAAAATCATAAAAGAACCTCAAAAACATTGAGAAGAAAAATCACGTTCAAATAATATTAGAAAATTCATTTATCAGTTAATTTGTCGCTCGGAGGATTTTTGCTTTTCTGACTCTTTGATGACTTCAAGAGGTTCAATTGAGATGGGGAAAAAAGAGAGAGAGAAGGAGTGATAAATGTTACAAATTTTCCTTCTTTGATACAACATCACACAAACACACACATACACTCACTTACACATTACACAATTCGAAAATGGACTTCATCATTCGAAGATTAAATTCAAAAGCTTTAAAATTACAAAATGAACTTTCATGTGCGAGCTTTTAAAGACTGAAAACTATTTTAAGATACCATCTCGAGGAAACCATCAAATTTCCATTCGATCCCATCTTTCGCTTGACATTTTTCCATTCATTAATTTTTCATTAAATTGGACGATACAAAATTTTGCAATGTTCAAACGTTCCTATGAAGTAACGTAATATATTTTTAATTAAGGGAATTATCAAAGGAATTTAAAGTAATGAAAATTAAGTTGAAAGATTTTTCCTGATAACACAATCGACTGGGGTGTAGATAAATTTCTTTTTTTTCTTTCTTTTCTCTAGAAACCACTTTTAAATGATGTGTTGTTTCGAAATTAGGTGGGTGGATGGGTGCGTTTTTCAATTCGAAATGAAAATCTTTATCCATTTATTTTTCTTGAAATGATAACGAGATGAATGTTATGAAAATCAATTACTTAAAATTTTCATTCAACCACAGGCACATCAATCAATTTTCTGACAATTCAGGATCAATCCTTTAAAAAGATGAAAATAAACATTTTTTCCTTCAATTCATCAGATCAGTTTTACAAACACAAATGTACACTCATACACACAGAAGATTCGGATGGTGTAACTTTTTTCGAAAATCTTTTTTCACTTCGAAGTGATGAGAGAAAATCATTAAATTGTCCATGAAATCGATTAAAATCACATCAAATTCACTTCGCTTCAATCACAAATGATTCAGCTATTGCTGATATTGTTAATTATAATGTTTTACCACTTTTTAATTCACAATTTCCACAAGAAAATCCTCGCAGAAAAACTTTTCACGTTCACTTTAAGGATTTCCCTTTGCAACATTTGGCGGATGCTGAATGTGACATGAAGATTTTCATTCCATTCATTTTCCAACCACGACATATTTCCAGGCGAACACGCCAATTGTTTTGATTTGATAAGACAACGAGGGTGGAATGTTGTGGATCGGAAATCTTCTGGAAAGCGCGCAGAATCAATGGACCACATTTTCACATTTCCATTTTTCCATTTAGCAGCGACATCTTAATTTCAAAATAGAAAAGTTTAATTACATATTTTTCAAAGCTTTTCTTTTTCATTAAAACTATAATTTCCACGTAATATTTTAATGAATATTTTTGTGAATCATTAAACATCGTTTTGATTGTTCATTAGCATCAGCAGTCATCCTTCTTTTCACTCACACTCTAATAAACAAAACCATAAACCGAACAACGGAAATTGACTTGGAATGCCATAAAAATCATATCCCTGTTTGATTGTAATCAGTGAAAATGTGATGTTAGCGTGTCGTGCGCCAAGACGGAAATTCCTTTTCAATACGTGAGCAAAAAAATAATATTTCCGTTCATATCGTTTTCTTGTCGTCTATTTTTCATTCACTGTAAGCAGCCTAAGAAATGAAGTAAGTTCATCGTGTAATGTTGTGACACAAATTCCACTTTTACAAAATGTTCCAATAACATACTCCTGAACTGGGCGGGGTTCGCTTTTCACACTTCTTCTGTCTTCTCTTATACTTGATATTTATTGTAAATTACACATCTTCTGTCGTTGATACTTGTTCTGTGACCTTTCATAACATTCCTGGTGGACTTTGCTTCAACTTTTTTTCGCTCGTTTTCTTTTCCTGTTGTGCAAGAAACTTAAACGTTTCTAGAAATTGCTACAAATCATTTGAAGAAGGAAGTTTAGAGAAAAAAAGTTGAGGTTCAACACAATCTCGTCATTCTTAAAGGCGATGAATGAGAGGAAAGAGGGACGAATGATGATGAATGAATTTTACGTACGCACGATGACTGCTTTTTGCTAATAATTGGAGGTATAGTGTGAGAAATGGGAGCGTTTCCTACGATCGTGATATGTGTGAAAATGAAATTATGTAAATACTTATGCCGGTAAAGGGAAAACGAAGTTAAGATTCCTTGCCAGGTGATGTTAATTAATCAAATTAATTAAATTTTAATGAAAGTATTGTAAGAGAATAATGCAGATGCTTTCAGACTATTAGCACAACCCAATCTTTCGACAAGCAAAAACTATTATCAAAGTTTAATGACCAATTTATAGTTTCAGGTCACAAGCCTATAATTCACATGTCGAAAGAAAATTACCTCGTTTGACCTTAACGACCCAGATTTTTTTGGACAATTTAGACATGTTTATTGATCTGGGAAAAATTGTGTAAGCCATTAATAATCTCACTTTAAACAGTCAAAAAGTCAACATGAAACAACAAAACTTTAACTCAAACACGCTGCAAAAATTCCATAATGAAAAAAATTTTTCGCCGAAAAAAAGATAAAAGAAAATTTAAAAGTTCAACCCCGATTAACAACAGCAGCCTTTCATGAAAGTCATACACTCGAATGACGGCCAGGAAGAACAAAATTAAAAAACCGTTTTTCTCGCGCTGTGTCATCGTAAAATAGCACAAAAAATGAAAAAAGAATTTTTTTCCCCACTAAGATTGTTGGTTGCTTTTTTTTAAATAAAAAAAGGAAAGAAAAACTTGACAGCAAATTGAAAAATAAAAATCCTCCAAAGACAATGTGAAGAAGGGAGAAAAGCGACAAGCGAAAAGAGCGCTCATTTGCACGCCTACATTTATTAAGTTTACACACATCATCATGTTGTTATCTCTAAAACTCCACAGGAAAAGCGATTTTTTTCCTTCATCTTGTGGTGAAAAGCAACGAAAACCGACAGATGAGAAAGAAATTGTTCATGAGAACAAAAAGAAAGAAAATCTTCTTATGTTTGGTGATGTAAGCGCTTTCCTTTTCCTTACACCGCGAAACCCTAGGTCATGATACAAAAATTTCTACGACATGTGTGCATAATGTGCCTTTGCAAAAGCAAGCTGCGAAGGATGCGAGTCAATTTCGGTAATTTGTGAGAAACGATACGATGATACAACTTGTATCTAACGACAGTGAGAACAGATGAAATAAAATACAAATTCACGCTTGCAATAAACTGCTGGCACTGCTGCTGCTGACATGACATCGTTGATGATATTAATCGAGCAAAAAAAAAAAGTTAAAGACTGCAAAATCAATAACTTTAGTTTGGTTCTTCTTTCATCTTGTACGTGAGTTAATTAATAAATTAAAAGTTCTTGTGAAGCACTTAAATAATGCATTGTCAAGCAAGCTTCAATAGATTCTTATGAATAGTTTAAATCATGAGCAGATAAGCACATCTTGAAATATTTTTCCATTCCTTCAAAATCAATGAATGGAAAAAGAATTTTTATCATATAAAAATAATCAATTAAATTGACTAAATGGACAGGCGTAATAAAAGGAATGTTGAGAGGTTGACCGAAGAGTGAGGAAATCGAAGCACAATGGTTTTCTGCAGAGATTGTTGATACATGAAATCGATGTTTTTTGGGTCCCTTTTTCATTGTAGATGAAAATTTTTGAGGCGATTATGCAGTATTGGAGAGAGAATTTTATTTTGCAGAAGGCTTTTGTTGTCATTCATGAATGTTGTTGGCTGAGAAAAGGCAACTGACGGCTTGCAAAGGTTGTCTCGTTTCCGAGCTCTGCTTTCCTTTCACAACCATTTATTTATATTTACTCGCTTCTTCCTTTATGAAAGAAAATTCTTTCTTAGTTTTTGTTTTTGTTTCCGTTTGTTCATTTATAGTGTTTAAAAAGCAGTTTGACTACTAGCTGTAGTCATTTAATATCAGCAGTGGTGTAGTTAAACCTTTTGTTTCGATCTTTGAAGAAATAAAGATGACGATAAAGAAGGAAAAACGTTTTTTCCACTTCAATAAGCTTTTCAAACTCATGGGTCGGCTGAAAAAGAGTATTGCGGTCATTTATGTGGCCAACTTAGAGATATATGAGAAGGAAAAAGAAAAGATCCGATTTTACGTTTATGTTTATTAAGATTGAGATTATCCTGTCACATTTCATGTATGTTTTCTCAATATCACGACTGCTGTTATAAGAAAAGCTTTTATTTGTGCTCGTAACTTGAGGTTTAATCTATGAGGGTCAAAGATGATAAGATGCACTTGTTACCATGATGATATATCAACATCATTGACTGCTGTAATATCTAAGCTCTTCCTTACTTCATCACCCATTACGCAAAAGCCGATAAATGCATGAGCTGAATTGTTAAATGAAACAAATTACAAAATTGCTTCAACTCGCACAATGGTTTTACATGTTTTGCATTTATAATATGAAAATGTCTTTCTCAAGTTGAGAAAAATGAGAACAGCACTCAATTTTATCACAAAGTTATGTTTGTTAATTAGCGAACTGGGTTCAATAGATTCGCTTCCGATAAAATGTTGTCATATAAATTGACATGAATATTAATGCTGACTTGGAAATAGATCCCAACAACATGTGCGACACACAAAACGAAAAACAGCAAAATCAATTATTTTCTACGACCTTATTATGTTCGAGATCGTAACAACTATGTTACATGGAGAACGAGGTTCATGAATAAGAATCAGTAACTGTCAATGTTACGTTATCCTTTTCAGCTTACCATTATTATGAGAAATTCTCTTGAAGTTTAAAGTGCTTTGTATAATGGAACCCAAGGAAAGAGGATGCTAAAGCTCTTTTGTGTTTATAATAAAGAGTTGGAACGGCGTCGCAGTTCTTAGGTGCCTTTTCATTCTTCTGCCATTTTAATAACGAGATCTTAGTATATTTCCTTCTTTTTTTTCTTGTATTCGCTTGGTTTCGTAGCTGTTCTTTCCTTTTTTTCCTTCTTTCAACAATTTTTCCGCTTGGAAAAATGTCTATAAAATTTATATTCTCAAACGAGAAAAAGAAATGGAGAGAGAATGAAAGGTAAAAGAAAAACAATTTTCTTTTCTTCTCTGTTTTTCATTCATTCATTGAATCAAATCAAATTGACGATGGGAAAGTTTTAGTCAACACGCGGTGAACATCTTGTAGATTTCTTTCTTTCTTCGTCTTTCAGAATTCATATTATTTCATAAATCAACATAATGTCGAAGTCTTCGCTTATGAACTAACAACAATAAAGCCTTGAATAAAGATTTCAGATAACTACAAAGATCAACTGAAGAACAATCAAAAAGCTATCTACACTCAGCATCTAAATGAAATTAAAAGAAAGCAGGCCAGGCCGCGCTATTAGATGATGATCAATGCGATTAAAACAAATTGCGTACAATGAGAAGCAATCTAAGGAACAGTTGGAACTTATTCAGAAGGCCTTCAAATCCCTGAAGTAAAATTAACCTGAATTCATTTTGAAGAATGTTTAGAAACTTGTTAACATTCTTCTGAAATTAATTGGAGGGAATATCTTGTTACAATTTCTTATTCATTTACAGTACACTTAGATACTAAAATATATATTTCAATGACGTTTAAATGTATTGAATGATAAATTTATTTAAACAACAGAACTACGTAAACAAATATTTTACTTCAGGTTATTTAAACAAAACTCAAATTATATTTCTTTTCTGCTATTTACAATGACTTTAATAATCACCAAACTCACAACTAAACTGAGATCTATGAAGCCTTTAAAGCTATGAAAATAATATCAAAAGAATATTTATTATCTATGTTGGCACGAAAATGGAAAAAGAAAAAGCTATTTAATTTCAATCAAAGTTTCTCTTCCATTTGCGTAAGCTCCATTATTAATTTTTAATGGAAGAGACTTTAATACACTCAAATTACCTTATAAGCGAAATAATCCTAATAATCCACAAAATAGTAAGAAGAAGAAGACGTAATCCTCAAACCGAAAGCTCGCTTTTTCTTATTTTCTTTTCCACGCAGCAATCACAACTACAAAACTATTCATGAAAATTTCTTCCTTCGATTCCACTTCAGAGTGTCTACAATAACTCACAAATTGTCACTAAAACCATTTCTATCATGACCACAATAAGCAGAAAGGAGAGAAAGCATCAGCAGCATTTTCTTTTCTCGTCCCAATAGAACTCCCTTTGCAAAAACGACACAAAAAAACTTGTTATGATAATTTCTGATGATACACTTTCTGATGCCAACAAAAAAAATTTATTTTCTCTCTTTGAACAATTTTTTTCCTGGTTCTTTACTGGGACACTTTAGTCTGTAAGCTTTCGAATGATACTGCGTCAAATAATCAATTTTTCGTCTTTTTTCTTTTGCTTTATGTCAACCTTTCTCTTGAGCGCAAATGTTTTTCGTAATCTATTTTATATTATTTATAGATGTGTAAGACTTTACATGTCTTATCAATTTTATTTTATTTTCATCAATCTTTCTTATAGCTTCCTTTTTGTGCTACTTAAAAGTTTTCCTCTCAGTTCTTTTTTCTTCTTATTCTAATTGTCTTCTATTCGTTTTCTTTGGAATGTTAGTAGGAAGAGTCGCGGAGGCACCAAACGAATGATATACGTCGGTAAGCCTAGGAAGATCTTTTAGACTAAATTATTATTTTTTACACTGCAGAATTTACTTATGTATAATTTATATTTTCAACGGCTTTCCTTTTAGGCTTCGAGACGCTCCCAGAATCATTATTGACTCAATAAGCTTTCAAAGAAGAATGACAAATGTTTGAAAAAGGGAGAGTAACTGACAATGATGTGTTTTATGAACAGACATAAATACGAATAGTAGCATGAATATCTCAGAAATATTTACATTAAGTTTCTGTTCTTTACTTATGTATGTAGATGGAAATGGAACAAACATAATTACAACATATTTATTTCCCTGAATGCTAATGGCCCAATTAAACTGGTTCTTCTTGACCATTCGATTGATTTTATAAATATTTGATCTCTCGATATCGAAGGCAATAAAATAGATTTATGAGATATTTCTTATTCCTTCATTTTTCTTTCATGTCAACCCAAAAGAGAAAACCATAAAAAGTTTTCTTAAGCGAAAAATGCTTTTACGAATATGAAATTTAAAAAACATTTTTCAGCTCCTTTAGCTGTCATACAAGTGACGAGTCAATATCGATATTTGGGAATCGATAAAGTGTCTCGAAGCGAATAAGCAAAGAAGAAAATTCCCGCAAGTGTTGAGAATTTTATTGCTAACATAATTTGTAATAAATGTAATTATGTTGGCAATGACATTTTTCCTTAACAATTGAAGATGATTCTCAATTGTACAGAGTAAAGAAAAATCCTTGAAAACTTTGAAATCAGAGGAAAAACTTAATAAACTTCCGCGCAATTGAAATTTGATTCTGCAGTCCCAGCAGTTTTCTTTTCTTTTCATTTTCTTTTTTGAATTTCCTCCAATTAACTTGACACTTTTTCCAGTTTTTCTTTTGAATCACGAGATGAAGAAAGAAATTTTTTCGTATTGTTCAATTTCATTTTGAAAATTTACCAACAAAAAAGTGTTAAATTAGCATTAAATCCCAAAATATATTTGCATTTTAACTTGGCACAGATTCGCGCAAATCCGATTTAATTTGTCACAAAAGATAAGGAAAAAAAGAAAAGAAAAAGAAAACACAAAAACTCTTTGTGAGAGTTTTAAATTTGCTTACAAAGCAGATAAAATTTAGCGAAACACAGGAAAAGTCACAAAAGATATAATAATACAGGAATTTCTTCAATCAAAAAGACGGAAAAAGAATTTGAATCATGCTCGCGTCAGCACCACTAAAGGAAGAAAGGAATTTGCTTGACTTGACTGAGACTCTTGTCTTATTATTATTATTACTATTATTATTATTTATTTATTTTCTTCTCACGAGATAAAACACATCACATGGCAAAGTACAATTTAAACTTTTTTTCTTCAATATTTTGCTTCAAACCTTACGCGACTTTCACCACACAACAATCAAATAACAAGGAAAAGTTCTCCGTCACACATACATCGCCCATTCTAAGCGAAACTTGAAAAAGCACTGAAAGCACAGAAGAATTTTTCTCGTTCTCGAAGCCGAAAAATCATTGCTTCAAATACACACACACACACACATACATTGAAAAAATGACGAAGAGAAGAAAAACTGATTTTCGTGAGCTCATGGGAAAAAAAAGTTCAAGTTGGCACGAGCGAAAAGAAAAGTTTTATCGTTTCATTTTTGAAGAAGAAAAGAAAGAAATCATGATCACTTAAGAATAAATTTTTCTTTTGTATTTAAAGCGACGATGAAGAAGATATTGTTGGCTATCGCAAAACCAGAAGTGCATGTTTGAGGATTGGCAGTAATGTCGCATTGACCTGAAAGAAGAGAGGTCAAATCTTAGATAGTTTTCCCTCTTCCTTCGCTGCGAAAGCTCATGACATAACAACAAAATACTTTGTCGTTTATAGGACTTGAAATGGAATTACAAATATTTATGTCTTTGTGGTTGCTTTCTACTTATGCCTCACCCATCATATCCACCCACTCGTAAGAAAAATATATGTACGATTATGATTGCAGAGAAGCTTTTTTCCTTGCTGCAACGTTGAAAAGCTTTTTAGTCGATGTGAGCAGAAGAGAGTGAGAGAAAAAGCATGAAATTGTTGTTGATATAACGAAATGATATGCTTTTGTAACAGGCCAGCAGCATTTGATTTCATAACATTCAAAGGAAAGGTTTTTCTTCTCCTGCTTTTCCGACTTTTCTTTTTTCCCTTCATTCACAAGACTTACATTTTGCCTTATCGTCTTTTCTCTCAGCAGTCGCTGATTTGTGGCGTCCCGCTTTCTGTTCTCGGCACGTCTCGCTTATTCTCTTCTCACTCTCCATTGTGATTATCCATTCGTAGCACATTCACGAATAATTCTACAAAGGAAGTCGATTGAGCTTTGTATCTCATTATTTTCGAGAATTTTCCCATTCTCATGGATTATTCTCGTTCAATTCTGGTGGGAAATGAAAGCGACAGAAGAAAACAAACGATTTTCGGTGAAAAGCTTTAAAGTTTATTGGAGAGAAAGGAAAAGTAATAATATCGAGAATAATCGTATTTTATTAATGTGATTTTTTATGAAAAAAGCGGAGTGTGATTATAGTCAGTGGGGGATATAAGTAAATGGCCTTCAATGAATGAGATGAATTTGTTTTGTGACTTGAAGCAAAGAATAGAAATGTCCATTACGAATAAATAGAATAATAAATATTTTTATTTTATTTTTTCCTTTGCAAAGCTTTTAAAAGTATTTGGGAGGTTTCACATAAAAAATAATTGTGGTCAAGGTTACTGAACAAAATCGTAAATTGATTTTAAATTTCATTTCATCTATTTCAATTTTGAAATCAAATCCAATTAGATGAACGTATGAGGTAAAATTTGTATGAAAGGTAGAAGGAAAAGCTCATAATTTAAAAACATCGTTTGCGAAGCTTCATATCTTCGTGTTTCATCGCATTCTCTCATGAGAGTAAATTGCGAATGTGAATAAATTCACGAGTAAAAGTAAACTTCTTCTTTACCCAAATGAAGTGAAAGTGTTAAGCATTAGATGTAAGTTGTTCAAACGATGAGGGTGTTTAATACGATAAAAAGGAATTTCAATCAAGAGTTCTTTTTATCTTTCTTGTTCCTTATGAAAAAAGGAGATGACAAATTCTACTCTTCAGTTTGCTCGATGAACTTTGAGTGTCGATTGAATGACAAAATGATGAGTTTGCATGATATAGAAAAGCTGAAACATAAAAATTTAGCGAGAATCTCATTGAACGTTATTTATCGAAGATCAAATCACCATCGTTAAATATTTGTTTGATGCTGCCAACGTAATAACCTGCATGGATTTTTGCAACATCATCACAACCTACATAACTGGTGGCCCAATTCTTGCATGCCACAAAACACACGGCGAAAATCATGATAAAGGGAAATTTTCACGTTTAAATTATCCTGCCAAATCTTATTGAACGAAATTAACTTTAACATTCGTCGCTTTTCAGCTCCCCTCTCACAGTAAGTGATGACATTCTCGCATCTCTTGTTTTTCATTGCGGAGGAAAAAGAAAACGAGAAGCTTTACGATAAGATCCATACATTCTTTCTCATATCAAATATAATTCGATAATAAATTTCATTTTCATCTGATGTTGTCAAGCATGAAATGGGATTTCTGTTCATTCGTTAGTTTGCGCTCTTTAATGTTCAATTGCAATTTCTGTTGGCTAAAGTAACAATGTCTAGAAAAACATCGATGTTTTCAGCATGAACTTTATGAGATTTTTCATTTAAATTCTTTTCTTTATTACAGGAAAAAAAGTGTTCAGCTATGATGAAAACTCTGAAAAAATAATTATTTTAGTTCATCTCATAAAAGAGACCTAATTTATAAGTCATAAAAACTTTTGTTGATAATTTTGCACCAGTTTATAATAAAAGATTTGGTACGTTCATAAATATCTACAATTTCAAAGGTAAAGAAGTGAAAAAAATATTTGTGGTGAATTTCATTTGAAATGAGTAAAGTCACCACAACATTGTGTCTTGGATGAAATTTCTTCGACGAAACTTGCCTACGAATGAATTTTTTTTTAATACTCTTCTTAATATTAAATTTTTCTTAATTTATAAGTTTATTAAATTTGTCTGCGATTTTATTTTTAAATTCTAGAAATTTACTGTTTCCTTTGTTCATTGACATCCTTGTATCTTTAAAGGTAATTTTCATTATTTAATAATTTTATTACAGATCAAGAACTCTTGCAATTCTTTTAAATTTATTTAAATTTTCTTCATTTATCTTTAATATTTTCTTTCATTTAATCTTGAAACAACAAAATTCTTTCCTCTGAATTTTAAATAATTTGTTTTCATTAAAATCTGTCATATGTTTAACTTTTTTACTCCTTTGTTACTCTTTATGATTTTTGACACTTTCTAATAAATTAAGTATGTACAAAATATCAAGAAGTGTTCATAATATAATTTCCTGCCAACGGACCTGTTGATTTACGGTCACATAAAAGCTAATCGTTTCGTTACGATGGCAAAATGATTCAGGGTGTGGATGATACACAGTAGATGAATAACTACTAAGATTTTGGCAAAATCTGTAGCAGGCACCTTGATGTGTACTGAAAATGTTTTAATGCTTTTGTCGCCTGTTGATTTATTAAGTTGACTTAAGTTCTCACTAAGTGAATATCGAAATTTTTCGATATTTTTCATCCTGACTGAAACAAAATCAAGAAAATTATGGCAAATTTTGAGTGGAAAATTTTTTACAATTATTTTGACACTTTGGCAGTAATCAAGAACATTTAAAAATTTATTTTTAAAGTTTGATAAAAAATCACGACTTTTTCTCTTACATTTACGTTTTAATATTTTGTTTATTAATATGAAATTCAAAATCACGACCTAGGAGAACGAATGAGTCAGTTACTAAGAAAGACACTGGCGCTGCTTTAATTATTGGTGGATCTAAAGAGAAATCTCATGAAAAAAAAGAAATAAGTCACACACTTTGATCATAAGCACTTTTCAAAATATTTTTTCTCATTTCTCTTAAAATTTGTCTGAGAAGCGATAAATCTTTGTACGAGTCATAAGACGATGCAACAAAGTTTCAGCTACACGCGATTTATTTTCTGAAATTGAACGCAGAATTATGGCAAAGAAAATATTTTAGACTTCAAACAATTTTTACATGCCATGAAATTTTATTTGCTGTAAAAAATGTAAATATTTCCGCTTAAATGCAGTTGATATGGTGTAAAAAGAAAAAGTTTTCATGAGTGTGAAATGAAATTTCTAAATTCAATTTTGTTGTTTTCCTTGAAATGCTTTGACTTCTTCCTTTCAATAATAAAAACATGTTTGTCTAAATAACTTTCATTCATGAAAAAAACAGCCAAAACATTGTTAATTTTAATCAAAACAACTTTAATTAAAGAACATTTGAGTATTCTTTGTATTCATTTAGATATTTATCAGGTTAACAAAACCTACGTTCAGTTAAGAAATGTGTGAGATGTGACATTCATAGAGGTTCGCCAAAGACATACGATGACGAATTCTCCATATTGTCTACTTAAATGTACAAAAATGATGTTATTTATTTCAAAAATATTTTTGTTTTGAACTTCAAAAATAGATTTGTGGCTGAAACGCAAAAAGAAGCAAAATCTGAGCAGAATTCTTGAGTTATTTTTAAAAGAAAATAGAAATGTATCACCGGATATTTAGCTGACAGATCCTAAAGAATTTTGATGGATGCTTTTTTCATAACATCCATTTAAAATATTTTCTTTTGTCATTTTCCAATGAAAAATCAAATTCTTTCGAGAAAAGTTTTTCAGAAATTTTCTGCAATGGAATTTAAAATGTTGACCATCGAATAAAATTTTCCCATTTATCTTGCACGAGTGGAACATAAACAAGTCGTTAACAGATCGCAAGTAATTTTCACTTTAAAAAATGCAGAGAAAAAATATTTTCAACTTGCAGGGTTATTTACGAGTCTCGGTTGGAGATGATTCAAGTCATTTGCAGTTCTCTTGATGACAGATTTGTTTTGTTTGATAACAGTATTAACTAAATATAAATCGAAAGGAATGTCGAGTGGAAAATTTGTCAAGAGAGCTTTTCACATTAGTTACGACTGAATAGTCCAAAAATATTTTCTTCTTACAATCAACGACGATATTAGCAGGTCATTGAATTAATTACTCATATTAATATAAATATTTCGTTTTTATCCTAAGTCAAAGAGTGTGAAGTAAACAGATCGTAAATTATTGGCTGAAACATTCCTCAGTGAAGATCGTAGACGATCGCTTTCAATGATCTGTTTATTTTGCGAGTTCTCAATGCCGCGTTTCGTTGTCGCTGAATCATCAGACATCTCGTAATCACTTAAGATATAGTCGCTCCATAAACCATATTTAAAAAAATCATTGAGAGAAATAAAAACGAATAAAAAATCTCTGCTTATGTTAAAAGGCAGAAAACAACGCAAATTTGAAATATTTATGCGAAAGAAGAAAAAAGCAGATCAAATAACATCAACAAAGAATTTTCCACATTTTCTCAGTTTCATTTTTATCTCGAAAAGAGCGCAAAAAATAAAGAATTAGATATGAAAAATATTTTCTCGTGTGCTTGTGTTGAAGCACCTAACGCAAATGAAAGGAAAAAGCATGAGGAATTCTTCCCACACATTCACAGCAGAGAAACATTTTTCACTGATAGAAAAATTTCACAAATCATGGGAAAGAAAATTTAATTCAAATGAAAATTTTTTGAACTGTGATTGAAACTTTTCCGAAGCCATAAAGCGATTTTTTCTTTCTCTTTTCAATCATCCGCGTGTTATTTTCAAACAAATATTTTCTTCTCTCGAGCGATCATTAACGAGACCAACGAATATTGAAATACCTCTCGCTCATTTCGCGAGCACATCAGTTGATAAAAGACCGTCGTTTGAAACATTTCGACCACTTTTAAGAATCATAAAAGAAAAATTATTTCGTGTGACTCATAAACTGAAAATATTTTGATAAAATAAGCAAAAAGAAAATCAAATTTTCCTTGACTTGATATCGTTCTATTAAAAGGAGAAAAAAATTAAATAAATTTTTGCAAATTGTTTGTTGTCTGACATAAAAATAAGATGATGAAGACGCTAACCATGCCACCAGCATCGGATGAATCTTTGCGATTATTATCGCCTCAAAATGAGATCAAATCAACAAACATTCAAGAAATTCTCAGCATTAATAATAATGAAAATGGAAACGTCAGCAATACAATGTCGTCAATTCAGTCGAGGTAAGTTCTGTTATCTTTATGATGATAAGCAAACGTGTGAATGTATTTACGTTTAAAGATATTAATGTGCCTGTAAATGTACTTGAAAAGAAGAGTTGCAAGTTGAACTTATCGTCAAGTGTTCCATTAAATTAAACAAATAAACAGACAAATATTTTCCAAGCATCTTTGGCGCACTCAATTCCAGTCACAGAATTTGCAATGCCCTCAGACAACGAATAAAAGAAATATTTCCTTTTCCGCCTTTCCTAAGAAAACAAAACTTTCTCACTTCGTAAATAAAAAAGGAAAAATTCCTCAAATCTTTTAGCAGAAAGAATTTGTCAAGGAAAATTTATTCACGAGTCATCACGAGTAAGCAGAAGCTTTCATGTTTCGAGCTTGTAGTTTTTCACAATACACATTCCTTTCTGTCATATTTTTCATCATGATAATCTTTAGGCAGTGAGTCTTTTAGAAAAAACAAAATCACAGAAAAAGAAAACGATTTCTTCTTCTTATTCGACGAGGTGAAAAATGAGAATCAAAAGAAGAAGGAAAAGAAGAAAAACCTGAAGGAAAACGAAGCTTGAAATGTGTTTTGCATTCGATTATTTCGTCGCTGTTTCTTTTTTTTATGGATACGAGAAATTGTTGAACTTATGCCAAGATATTTTAATAATAATTAAAATTATTACTTTAACTGTAAGAAAACTCCCATTCGAAGACGAAGTGTGATAGAAATGAACATCAAAAGTCTTCATCATCATCAAATTATTGTTGATTTTGATGGCAGAGTCAAGTCATGCCCTGAGTGTTGAATCATAACGAACACTTTACATTGTTGCGATTTTATTAATGAAATGACTTTTTCCTTACCGAATCACGGGAGATTCGTTTTCGCATGAGATTTATGTGTGGATATTTTTCAAAAGGCGCTCAAATTAATTCTTTTACGTTTCATTCCTCATTTCACGCGAACAAATCAAAGACAAAATTTTCTTTTAAGAAACCGCAGGAGATTGAGGTCAACCTTTCTTTGATGAAAGTTAATTTACTTTCAGGTATTTTAGTCGTTTTCCAATTTAACATTAGGAGTCGGGATTGAGTTAATGACTGACAAAAAGCAACTCAAGTGAACATTTCCATCTGGTTTTATGAAAGAAAACATTTTAAAGAATTCTCTTCGAAGTTCAAGGACTCAAAGTCTGTTTAATTCAAGTGATTTGGCAATCAAAAATATTTCTCATTTCTTTGATTTCATAAACAGAAATGTTGATTAAGTAATCGACGATGTTTCAAAATATTTCAAAAGCTTAAAGTTTTAAATTTATCATGGAATGCGGAACAACTTTCTATCGTTTACAGACATTCTCTGAATCAAAATATTGTAACAAAGTTTACATCACATTTATTTACATCAAACGCCGGTTGAAAGAATTTTCTTTAGACTTTGCCTCGCACAACATTAAAAGCTGTTTTGATTCGTAAAGCGCTCGTGATTCATTAGCTGACGTTTACAACAGATTAGTGATCACTATGTGAACTACCGACGCCACATTTTTCATTCACTACGACATGAGAACTCGTAAATTTTCTCTCAACTTTCTTGTTCAAATTATTTACATTAATAAAAGTGAGCATTGAACTCAGTAAAAATTAAATAAACAATCATTTGACAATAACTGATGACGTAAATATGGGAAAAGGTTAATAACGCGATCTTACTGTATATGGCGATGAGAAAACAAAAAAATTCCTTTCTGACGTCTTGGCTATTTAGGTTGAAAGCGAGCGTTTATTTTAAGCCAGGTTATTTGGCTGATCTTTTCTTTTCGTTAAATTAACTTCGTAGATTTTATTTTTCATTCACATTCTTTTCAATGTGAGGGTTGATGTGATGATCAAACGACATGAACAGCCAAGAAAGCCAACGCAACGATCCAAAAAAGAAATGTTTACAACACCGGCTGGTAAACAAAAAATTTCGGCGCATATGTGAAAGCAGAAGATCATTTGATGATGATGAACAATATTATTTTTATAAAAACAATAAATTTTGTGATGTGAATGAAATATTTGCAACATTTTCATAGTAAACAAGCGTAATGATGATTAATTTGAATTATTATCCTTCTCTTTCACAGCAAACAACTGCCATTTTATCTCGGAATCTCAGAAGTTCTTCCATCGCTTTATCTTTGTGGTGCTTGTGCGATTGTTCGACCGGAAACTATTGAGAACCTTGGAATTAAATTTGTTGTGAATGCGACTGTTGAATTACCAGACACACCTTTACCAGATAAAAGACCGGATTATATGCGAGTGGCAATGAAAGACTCACGTGAATCAAATCTCATTGAATATTTTGACGAAGTTGCTGATAAAATTGAAAAGACACGACAACAAGATGGAAAAAGTCTGGTGCATTGTGTTGCTGGAGTTTCTCGATCTGTTTCACTAGTTCTTGCTTATCTTATGAAGTATGCTGATATGTCTTTGAAAAATGCATTTGCACATGTTAGAAGTGTCCGACCTCAAGTTCGACCAAATGTTGGATTTTTCAAACAATTGATTGAATATGAACAGAGACTACATGGTTGCACAACTGTGTCAATGATCCACTGTTCAGCATTAGGCGAAGAGATTCCCGACGTTTATGAGCCTGAATACCGAACAATGGAACTTCTTTATCAAAAATATCGAAGAACCATTGCACGTCGGTGAGATTTGAGGGGAAAACCGAAAGGTTTGTTATCGTGATTCTTCAGTGTTGTGAAGGGACCATTAAGATTATTAATAACTTACGAGAAGGAAATTCTTTATTTTAAAGAGTTATTCGTTTAAGATAGACTTAAATAAATGTTGTGTTATAAATGTTTTGTAAAACTTTATCAAATTTCTTAATAAATTTTTTAATTAACCGTTTAAACAAAGAGCAAATCTGGCAACATTTTCTTCTGAATATTTTATCGTTTTTTTTCATGAAATATGACCTTAGTTAAAACTTTAAGTGATAGATAAAATAAATCAAACATTCCACTCTTCATTCTTTTAAAATCGTTGACCCAAAAATCAGAATAACTACGACGCCTACGAAATAGTTTCATTGAAAACCTTTTGATCGACATTGTCATGAATTCTTGAGAAAAGCTTGTGATTTTCAAAGTCTTATTCCTGCATTAGATTGTATTATTATTTGTCTAATAATTAAAATTCATTCTTAATTTATTATGAAATGAATAAAATTGTAACAAATAAAAGTTCATCGAATTTCAAAAATTTAACGGACAAAAAATATTCAAATAGTGAACATCACGAAGTTACTTGCGATTTGAAAATTTATTTTCAAATATCAGAACAAACCGCCATCATCATCTTTTGCTTACGTGATTTTTTTGATTCTGACGATTCAATTTACCTGATACAAGAAACAGTAAACCATTTAAATTATAACTAATTTTCCTTTGCGAAAGTCTCGAGACCCCCGAAATAGGAAATAATTTTTTGATGTCGATTGGAAAATTTTACCAGCAATGGCGATAAAAATTTTTATAATAAATTGAATTGAAATAATGGAAATTGATTGTTCTCCAAGAACTGTTTTACCGAGAATCTAAAGTGTAAGATAAAACATTATTCAGGGATGAAACAAACAAAAGAAAGTGTACAATAATCATTTTAAGAGAGACTCGAGACGAGAATTTTCTCATTTCAATTTATAAAGAAATCATCATTTGATTCCTGTTAGAATTTTTAAGTCTGGTTTATGGTCTTTATACATCATTCATCAAACAATTACACCAACACATAGAAACTAATCCTTAATTGACCTTCACTCATATTTCTTGCTTCCTTTTGAAGGCCTTCTTCCATTCCTTTATGATGTTCTTAAATATGTTGAATGATTTCGTTTATCTAAATATTTTCTTTAATATGTTCAACGCATTTCAATGCTTGACGAATTGTTTTTATATGACGTTTCAAAATTTAAGAGAAAGTGGAGATGATTCCTAATTTATATTAAATTCTTTTTGAAATCTATTTTTATAAACCGCTTGAGCAGACGTGAGAGAAAAATTTTTCATCGAAGTTTTAAATACTTTTACTCGTAAAAACTATAAATTTCAACCTTCCCGTAATCAGCAGAAAGATTCAACGTGTTTTGTTTTTATTTACGATACATTTTTAAAAATAAAACAAGATCATTGCCAAGGCTGTGATTGCTGGAATCGAGATAGAAAATGATCATGAGTTGAATAATTAATTAAACTATGATGTAGATGAGAAGTGAACATTCGTTTCCCGAAATATAATCTTTAATTCTCGAATGAAAGATTCAGCCTTCAACTATTTAATTCACATGACTAAATCGCAAATCATTTGACATAAAGTTCATTGACTTTTACTGAAATAAAACTTCCTACTTCCCAACTGATTCTCAAAGAAAGGAAAGCACATCTTGTCTTACAACCTGCCTTTATTCTTTGATAGTGAACATGCATAGAAATTATTCTTCGCTTGCATACAAAATTTCAACCAGCATGAAGTTACCTCAGAAACGGTATTTTTTCTTTTTTGCTGAATATTTCTGACTTTTACTCGTTATGTGAAGTTCCATGACAAAGAAGAAAATCAATTTCGTTTTTCCAGCTTTTATTTAATTGCTTTCTTACACATTTTCGTTCCCACCACACCTCACTTCTAACCTATCAAAAACTTAGAATTCCAATGACTCACAATGCTCAGTTCTCAATCGTAAGTTTATTCTACGAGAAAAAAAAACGAGTCATTAAATCACAGCGAGAATATATGGGTCAGATGACTGTGAGCGAAGCGAATCCGTTATGTAATCATCATTCTAGTCAGAATTGTCGTTTTTGGTTCTCTCTCTTTATTCTGTTCTGTTTTGTCTTGTCAGTTCACTTTTAAATAATTTCTGCTATGATCGCAGAATCTAAATTGCCATAATTGATATTAACATCAATTGAGTCATCAAGATATCACAAAATGCTGTGATCAGGCAATGATCTTTGCATCAATAATAGCTTCTAAGATGATTGCCATTGCCACGACAATTAATTTTTTGTTATTGAACTTCAAATGCCGCTTCCATACCAACTCAATATAATTTCAATGAGAAACTTGTAACAATAACAATGACAGTTTATTTTTTATGGGAAATGAACTTACAATAGTAGTTCTGTTAGTCCCTCGTTGTTATGTATCTGTCGATTACATAAGTTTTGTTGGTAGTTCACCTTTTTTTCCTCTGCTTTGTTCGAAAACATTTAAGCACGGGTTAGACCGATAATTTCATGTTTCACTTTGAACTTTTGTTCTCAATCTTATGTATGCCTACTTTTTCTTCTTATTTGTTCTGTTTTTCTTTCTTCAATCGATTGATAATAGTTTGATAAAACTCCGCTTACTTCTTAGTTGAGATATTCAGTAAGTAATGTCATATGTAACATAAATGCATTGAATTATTCCAATATTTTCTTTGTTAAGCTGCTAACAAAGAATTCTAATCTAATCTTATCTTATCTGTTGAAATACTTGAAAGTCTCAATACATGACATCATTTACAAACTTCTAAGATTTGGAACGAAAATTAGGTAAAAGGTAGCCATAAAGGTCAGAAAACATATTTAATAGCAAGTTACTTATGAAAAGATTCGAAACGGTAAAATGTCTTCACAATTTTTCATATTTAATTTCACATATTCATTCGCAAGACTTAATAGAAGTTTGAACTCCACTGAACAATCATCCAGACATGTGTTGGCTTTGCAAAAAAAAAGAAAGAAAGAATAACACAATTGGTAACGTGATATTGAACGTGATTTTATTCTGGAATATCAATGATGAAACTCTTTTTAAAACATCTAAATTGACATAGAGAAGTCGATATTATTGTAAACGAGATTGATTTCACAACAGTGGAACTAGGGAAAAGATTCTGTTTCAAATAAAATTGTTCTAGATGAGTGATATAATTAAGAATTGCGTTCTGTACACTCACAGTTGGTGTTCGTTTCTTTCTTTCCTGATTTTTGTTGCGTTGTTATTGCATAATCCACAATTCACAGATCCTTAAGTTATAAGAGAAAATCGAATAAATTCTTGTTAAAGATCTATCTGATGAAGTAGCAAAATGTGTTTGTTTGCACGTTTTACGTTTCATGTCAGGCACCGTTACCTTTACCGGGCCATTTCATTGTAAAAGGTCTTCTCTGTTTATGGTGCAATTCTTTAACCTTTTCTTCTAACTGCATTTCTTTCTCTTTTATTATTCGATGGAAAGAAGGAAAAAAGATATTTTTATTGTGTAATGTTTTCAAAGCGAACGCATTTTTTATAGCGCAATTGTTGAACAGAATGCAGATCGAAATCGAATCTAGCTGTAAAAACTCCGTTGTGGTCGTGTATCACCATCAAAAGTTCTGTTCAAAAAAAGAATTTTCTATTGTTGGCATTAGATTTTAATTACAGCTTTTTGTTAATGAACTTTGTAGTAATGCAATGTGCAGTGAATGTTCGTGTTATTGTCCACTTGTTAACCTCCGTCACAGGAAGTTCATTGACCTAGTAAATCAACGGCTTATTGCGGAAATGGCAGACTGCAGGTAAATTGATCCGACAAAAAAACGAAACATTAAATTGCGTAATTTTATAATTAATTTAAATATTTTAAATGAATGAAATGAATGAAAATCTTCTTTTTTTAATGCGCGCAGACTTTTAATTAATGAAGAAGGAGATAAAAAATTAAAAGGAGTCATAAACTTTATCATTGTTGACATTAATTATAACTTGTACACTTAACGAAATCATTGTAAGAGAAAGAAGCTTTCTTATGAGCTTTTCTCATAAGTAAGTTAATCAATAAAGCTGAGAAAAGCTTCAAAAGTCAATGAAGAAAAAGTAAAAATTCCATTCCTTATAAAACATCAGCGGAAATCGAAATTATACCAAAGACGCATTTATAAATATGTTAATGAATTATACTTAAAAAAAATACTTTCGAGCTCGATTGACTCAAATTCTCAAACATTCATTCACATCTTAAAGATTAATTTTTATGGCGCTTAAAATGTTTAAAGAAAAGTATAAAGAATTGTTCCCAGATCATTTCATGAAAATCAATGAAATGACTTTTATAAGTTAAAGAAATATAAAAACCGTTAGCGAATCATGAAAACAGGCAACATTGTTCCATTTTTGATGCATTAAAGCAACACAGCGAAAAGGTGTGACAATGCAAAAGAAAGAAAAAACAACATTGATTAAAAATTTGTCAATCAAACTGCTAAAATTAAAAGTACAAATACCGGGACATATGTGGAGAAAGTTGAAAGAATTGAAAGAAGTCTTCAAGATATTCCAGAAAATGAAAGACAAATATTGTCGAATCACGAGATTTAGTGGGAAAACTTTGATGATTGTTGTTTTGGACCATTGAAGTGGAACGATTATTAACAAGACACGAAATTTAACTTTTGTTTTTACCTTCATCGTTCCCAATATAAAATGTTCCACTCTTAAATTCGACAAATTGCTTGTTTGTGTGTAATACATCGAAGAAAAGAAAAAAACTTCCATCGAAATTCACTCACTCAGTCTCCCGAAAAATTGAAAATCTCTCCAGAAATCAGAAAAAAGAAAAGAAAGTTGAACAGATGAATAAAAAAGAATCTGCCAGTGAATTGACTTCAGAGAACGCCAAAAAGTTTACGCGAGTTCAATGCCCGTAAAAAGAGGGAAGAAGTGAAAGAATGAACGACGACTAGTTGTTGAAAATCAAAAAACCAAATTGAAAATTTAAATTTTTTTAATGCTTTAGAAAATGAAATCCAGAAACTGAATGAAATTAAATTTATTGATCAACTTTTGATATTGTTTCACTTTTCTTTAGGAAACATTGAGCTTTGCCAGAATCTTCCCTTCTTGTTTCAACTTTTTGATCAATGATAAACATTTTCTCTTTCTTTCGATCAATGAATTTTTATGAAACGAGATCTAAATAAATCTCTCGAGATTCAACTAAAGCTTTCATGCTGCAATCATTTTTCTTGTATTTCTAATTTTATTTTTCTCTCATCTTTTTGCGTTCACTCGGTTATTTAAGTTTATTGGCATACATTTACTCAGCTGCTAACAGTTGAGGAAAAATTATGCTTGCTTTGAATGAAAAGTTTCTCGTCTGATTCCAAATAACATAAATGGAAAAGAAGTAGAAATACTAAATATGCGAGAAAACAGAGTTCGATGCCAAAACTTGCCGGCTTTCCCTTGAAGTATTTTTCGTCTTCTTATTAACGCAACATTAATTGTGGATTGTAATTATTGATTGTAAGAAAAAAAATAAAGAAGTTAACAGAATATACAATGCAGTTCTTAAAATTAAAAAGTAAGCTCAATGATGATGGCTTCGAGAAATCACAACGGAATGCTAACTACCGCACAACTAACATGAAGGTACACTTGCCATGACAAAATTCGAGAACAAAAAGCATTAAATATTGAACAGTTATTGAGATTACTCTTGAGATGTTTCGTTAACAATTTTTATTAAAATAAGTGCAACATTAAAGATCCTTTGTTCCCATTTTATGTTAAATAATGTTCAACAATTCTCTTGAAGTCAATGCTTTTGAATATTGGCACTTAAAATGTAATTTTAATGAAATCATCATTATTGCCATATTGGGAGAACCAAAATTACAATTTTCTATTTCTCAAAATTTTGTGCATATTGTTAAACGATGTCGACGGCTCGCATATCTATGAAAATATTTTTTCTTCACCATAAGTTCGATGAACTTCGTTTTTATGTTTTTTATATTCAGCTCAAGCGCCAGAGCTTTCCAGAAATAAATTTCATTGCTTCTGACCCACAAAAAAAGAAGCATTAAATGAATCCCAGAAGAAAGCAAACAATATCGGGAATTTGGGACGGAATCAATCCCTAGATGAGTTAAAGTTTTCCTTCCAATAGCTTCAAGGGCAATCTCTGATGAATTTTTGTTTGATATGACTGGATATTTATAAATAGAAACTTATAAAGAGTTTTCGCTACTGTTTGCTATAAAAGCAAATCAAAATGCTGAAAGCAATATTAAGAACAAATAACAACGAGACTGATTAATAAAGCAACATAATTTCACTGCTAATTATTGCCGTGTGCATAAAGCATTGCATTGATTTCTATCACGATCTACCCACATAACTCTTCTCCATGAGTCCGTAGCAAGTACCGAGAAACAAGATGATGACTAAGGGATCATTCATAACAATAAAAACAATAGCTGTAAATATTGAAAATGTGGGCGACTATTAACATTAAAGCTTCCGTTCCTTCATATTTTTTTTTCGAGTGTCTCTTCTCATCAAAAATATAAAAATTATTGCATAACTTTCCATTCTCAATCAAAGTTCATTGCCTTTCTTTTCTTTCTCTCTCACTTTTTGTCTCTCGCTCTCTCTCTACTTCTCTTCATTGCAATGCGATAAACAAAGGGGTAATTCATCGTAGTGCTTTTGCCAGCTGCCACTAAATGATGCTTTGAAAAGCACTAGTGCTTTTTTGAATGGTCTTTTCGGTGGCCAACTTTTTTGATGAATTACCCCTTGGCGATAAACGCTTAAATGAGACACAGAACGATATAAAACTCTGCACGAAGTGAATTCATGTAGACAGTGTATGGAGAAAGAAAAACTGTAACTTCTATTAAATATTCAAATTACATGTTTAATGCATAAAGTTTTGCAAGGAATAGGCTTATGAAATAAGAAGGAAAAACTTTTCGTTGAGGTAGAATATGGGATTTGGAATTATATTTTATTTTCAAAACATTCAAGCAATGCACACAGCCAACACAAATTGATGGTTGCTTCAATAGACTTTGATTTTTTATGTTTTCTTGTCACGTCGTCATGGCTTTTTAGGCTCGCGATATTTTTTTTCTTTATTTTCTTTTGATCGAAAACCTTTTACTTACTAAGAAATGTCGCGGCTTTTGACAAAAAACTGCATTTAAAATTTTTCTTTGAACTTTCAAAGGTTATAAACATTAACTGACACGATTCTGTTAAAAGTACGATAGAAACGAACATAAAAAATTCTTAAAAACATCGACAGTTCATGTAAGTTCATTAAACTTCGGCTGGCACATGTGCCTAGACACGCAAAGCGCAAAATTTATGTGAAGCCGAAAATAACCAGAAAAATTAAAATAATATTAGAAGCAACTGAAATGAGGCCTTCAATCGAAGTGAAACTTTTGTCTATTCTCTATTTCCACAGCTACAACATAATTTTTTCATTTCGGTTTGGCGCTGTGTAAAAGAACCGTTAAATCTATGAAAGACGATGGTAAACAGAACCTGGATTGAATATTTGCTATTCCATCTCTCCCTTCTTTCTCTTCGTCACATTTGCTTCCAGAAGTGAAAGAAATAGTTTGATGACCTAGAAGCAAATCACAATCCAACACTTTCATATTTCTTTCTATTTCTATCTGGAGACTTCCATCTTGAACTAGAAAAAGTTCTCTTTTAAGTTGGAAACTCAACATGAACATTCTGTTTGCTAATTTCATTATCGAAATGTTATTTTAGTAAGTTTTGGGAGATCAAAGAACTTACAAAAGAAATTGAATTGTCTGCTTGAAAGCACATTGCAAGGAAAGCTTTTTCTTCCTGCTGATAATGTTGGAATGTAAATTTTAACATTTTTATTCATGTTACTCAATCTCTTATGACAGTTTCAAGTAATTCAGCTTGAGATGAATGAAATGTCGCATTAAAAATAGAAAAATCTTTCTTTGGTCAAATTACAAACCTCCAAAAGCACAAATGTTGTGTGTTTAACAAAGAAGAGAGCTTTTCTGACATTGAAACCGCAAATTCAATGTCTTGCGAGACGATGAGAGTTTAATTCAAGGTAGAAAAATAAAAGAGCTTATTCATCCGCTCTCTACTTGAGACTACATTTTCAATGTGTAGGAACAGACGAAAGAGAATAAATCGAACACAAGAAGTCAATGAACTTTCTCGCTGTTTATTTCGCAAGATCGTGGATCATGTTTAGAAGAAAGAAAAAAAGTATCACGATGTTGGTTTCGTTGTGTGAGTGTTAAGTTAAGTTAAGTTAAGTTAGTAGAGAAATGTTGACTCTCTTCGATGAAGTATGAGGAAATGAATTTTGTTGAAAATATTATTACGCGAGAAGATTATTAAACCAAGTCGGGAAAAAAGTCGTTTCGCGTGAGATGAAGTAAGAAAAATCTTTCTCTTCTCGACATTACTCACGACTAAGAGTCATTGACACACATTTCTCAGGCCTTGCTAGTTGTAGCATGAAGTTCAAATTTCGTAATAGAAGAAAAGCAGCCGTTCATTGATCTCGAGCTACTTTTCATCTTTCGAGCTTTTTCTGACGTTCGCTATTGAAGCTTTTGAAAGTTCTTTTCAAGTAAACTTCTTAAGAAAATAAATAGCAAATGGAATTAAAAGTAAAATTAATCAGCCTTCGATTTTCAAGCCTTTTATAGAAACAAAAATTAATTGTAAAAGTAGTTCTTAGACCGTTACTTTAAAAGTTATTGAAAACAAATGCAAATGACGACAATTTATAAAAGCAATTAATAAGATTTACAAATAGAATAAATTAGAATCAATTGTTGGAATTTAATTTTCGCACAAAGAGAAAATATTTATGTCAATAAAGAAATTAATTTTATTTTCAACATGTTGTTGTTGATGTGATTTCTACGTGCGAGAGTTTAATTATTTGCTTTTATTCTTTGAAATTCATCGTTATTTGCTGATTGGGTATTGTTTAACAAATCGTTCAGCAAACGAGAAAGAGGAAACCAATGCAATGTAAATGATTCAGAACGTCTTCGATGAAATTCTTTCTCAAGTGTTTAAGATTGCTAAATTTCATAGATAGTCGCTCAGAAGAGAAACAAAAGAGTTCAACGAACTAATGTAAACTTTATGTGTGTCGAGATTTTGCTTCCTTCATAGAAGACACAAATAGACAAGAGCTGAAGAAAATTTTTATTGTTAACCGAAGAAGTTGTTGAGAGAAACAAGAAACTTGAGTGAAAAAGCGGGAATGAGAAAGCTTTCTGGAGTTTGTGTCAGTAACAATGTAAGTGGAAGACGAATTTTAAAATCGCCACTCACTTTTTCGTGGATTTTCATTTTTAACAGTTTCTTTTGAAGCCGAATTTAATTCATGCACGTGCTTCATTTTCCTCTTGTTTTCGTCGGTCGAAATGTGTGCACCAAAAATGTTTAAAAGAGTTCAATGATTTATTTCTGGAGCAGCATCAATTGAAGTCATTTTTGAAGTTTTTTATGCTGCGAAAGTCTTCTGGTCTTTCAACTTCTTCGCATGTGATTAAAATTCATTCGTTTCTCTTCCTGGTTTTTGATTCCCTCTTCCTCCTGTTCATTCTCCTTTATTAATATCTTCATGTTGTTTCTCAATGTAACGAAGAGTACGCATAATTTTTGTCTTTAAAAGGCATCTCACGAGAAAAGTCGTGATTTCTTTAAAGTAAATGCTTCATCAATTACTAGTCAATTCAACGTCATGGTAAATGGCAATTACAACGGTTAAAATTGTAGGAAAATACTCTGACGAATCGACCACAAGAGGAGAAATAAATAGAACATTTTATCTTCCTCCACTAAAACATTCTCTAGGAGATCTTACATGAACAAAAAATATGTCAGATCAGTGATCACAGATCACGCTTTTTACTGAATAATCTTGACTATCGTTGAATTGGCAACTACAATATGCCAACTTTAAGACCCTTTAAAAGGCATATTTAAGCACGCTCATTGTCGAAACTAAATTCTAAGCTTGTTAAATGAATACAAAATTTATCTACATTAGATGACAGTTGTTTGGTTGGCCGCCGTCGTTCCATTCAACAGAAGAATACTTGAGTAGCGGTAAATCGCATTCAAGTGTTTGCGGTACTTTTCGTTTTCATTACAAATCAGAAACATGTTCATTGTACATATATTAAGTTGACTTCTGTTGTTGCTGTAGCTGCTGCGTTTAATAATAATGGAGTAAGTATGGAGAAGCGGGAAAGGTAGGGAATAATAACGAAGGAAACGGGCGTCGAAAACTTTTAGCCTAGTTTTTCAATCGTCGAGGTTGCTGACTTCGGATGCTATGGAAAGTCAATAATGTTTAGCATTACATGATTTCAATCAATTCCTACGATAATAATCTTTGAATCAGCAGAAGAAATGATCCAACTGTCATGTTGATGGAGAATTTCTTCTTGATATTTCCTGGTTGTTTGTTATTGCCATTCTATTTATTGAATAGATAATATTAATTCAATGACATAGACACTTAACCCAATTATTTTTTATCCTTTCTTGGATAAGAAGACTATGGACATGAAAATTACAAAACGAAACTCATTTTATTGACAACTATAAAGTTAGAACGCGAAATTCTCTCAACTTCTACTCGAACAGTGTAATTGAAATAACTGTAATGTAACAGTGAATTTTGTAGAAGCGACGAAAGAAATGCTTTCATCGTTGATTTTCTTTTAATGTGTTATTTCTTTCTTAAGGTTATTGACTTTTTCTCCTGACTGTTCTTACATCAATCGACAAAAATAATAAAAATAAAAGTAAATTTGAATATCACCTCGTATTGATTCTTTTGTTGATGAAAATCAATTATGAAATCTCTTTGAATCTGCATACTTTCCTAAAGGGAAAACAGTTTGCTTGTAAGTGAGTTTGAATTGCAAAAACATTTGCATACACTTTGCATAGATTGATACTAACATGTGCACTTTTAGAAGTTTTAGAAATTCTTATCATTTCTTTAAAATTCCTTGGGGAACATCAAAGAAAATCCGATAAAATGTTAAGCTCAACGACTCTTTTTTCACTTAAAGAAAGTGTAAAAAGTTTCTGCTGTTAGACAGGAAATTGTCACTAACATAAATGTCACTAACAACTCTTTTTCAAGAACAAGAATCGAATGAAATATATTTTGTAGGCGTTGAAATAAACAGAAGATTGAAAGGCAAATATTGCGAGAAAAAACTTTACTAAGCATTATGCAAGGATTGCGTGACAACATTCAGGAAGTTGTTGCATGTACACAACGTGTTGTTAGATAATCTTAGAACGAGTAGGACAAGGCACGTAATTTATTTACAACATTATAAATTCTTGAAATAAATGTTTATTCATTCATAAAGGATTTTGATTTTATTTTAATTACTAAGTTGTTAATTTTTTATTCAGTTTTCACGACTATCGTTTATGATCCCATTGGTATTTCCTTTCAGTTTTCTTCAAATGATTAATGTTCATAAATGGCGGTTTAAGCTTCAAAGAAATTAACCGTTTGTCTTGTTCTGTTCACTCTCTTCACAATCATTCGGGTTTGGAAGAAGATCTTCGATATTCTCACTTGTCTTCTACATAAGTATTTCTTTATGAAAGTGATTGTCTCAGCTTTACTTTATAACTTCAATGAAAAATCCGTTATAATATTCTGTATAATTTGAGTGTTTCGCGGTGTTGATTTCAGTCAACAGCGGCGCACGAAAAAAACGAATAAATTTGAGAATGAACCATTGGGTTGGGCCAAACCACTTACGCCGCTGATTTCCACGCTTATAGTAGTGAATATATTTTCTTTTGAAGGTTACTCAAGTTCAATAAACTATTTTTATTACTTTTTTTCTTAATATCATCAACAAATTGACTTTCCATGTGAATAAATTTGGGTAAGAATGAACATGCAGGAAGGTTTACATAAACTACCATACAAAAGAATTCATTTGAATCTGTTGATTTTTCGTATATATGTTACATGTTACATCTTCTTTATAATTTATAAGTATTGCAGTAAACAATAAAGAGAAATTTCAACAGCTTTTTTACAGTAAAAATGACAAATTATTCCAACAATCTTATTCACCGCAAATCTTCTAAGAACAATGATGAAATCTTAATTAAATATTAATAAAAAGAAGATGTAACTTTTATCCATGAAATTAGTACGAATTATCTATGCGAATTATCTTTTATAATTATCTATCTATTTTCACTGTTTTTAAATGTTTTCTTTTGTTTAGAAAATAAAGATAAACAAGAGCAATTTCCACTGGAATGCTCTGGAAAGTTTCGACTGGAAGTTATGCAACAGTAAATTTAAGGATGTAACGCTCAGCGGGAAGAAGCGAAAAAACTCCGCTTCAGCTGAAAAGAAGAAATCTTTCTTCGTTTTTGATTATCTAACTTATTATTTTGATAAATCTATGTAAGCTAAGCTTTAAATTTTCGATTCCAAATTTTCATTTCCTAATCATTTTCCTCTGTTGTACATTCTCATTTTAATAATTTTCATATTTCAACTAAATTTAAGTCAAATCTCGATTGGAAGCTAAATTCTAAAATGCAGAAACTTAATAAGAAAATAATGCCAGGACTCAATTTACGTCCGAAAGGTTCTGAAATTATAGCGATGGAACGGAGAGGTTATGAATTTGGTAATAAAATTGGAAAAGGATCATACGGTTTCGTTGTAAAAGCAAGTTACAAAGATCAAAGCTCAGAGGAGAAAATCGAACTTGCTTGCAAATACGTTGATAAAAGAAAAGCGCCAAAAGATTTTCTCGAAAAGTTTTTCCCTCGTGAAATCAAAATTTTAACAAAAGTTTCCCATCGAAATATCATTGGAATTCACAGCATCTTACAATCGGGGAATAAAGTTTTCATCTTTATGCGTTGGGCTGAAAATGGCGATCTTTTGGATTACATCAAGAAAAATGGAATTATTCCAGAATCTCAAGCTAATCTCTGGTTCTATCAAATGGCAAGTGCTATCAAATACATTCATTCAATGAATTATGCTCATCGAGACATGAAGTGCGAAAATATTTTAATCTCAAAGCATATGAACATAAAAATTGCTGATTTTGGATTTGCAACGAGCTGTTCTGGTGATGATAACAAGAAATTCCTTTCAGAAACGTTTTGTGGATCAGCTGGTAAAATTGTTAAATTATTCTACAATTTATTTTAAGTTTTTTCTATTGGAACAGCATATGCACCACCGGAAATCATTAATGCTTCACCTTACGAACCAAAGCTTGCTGACATTTGGTCTCTTGGCATTATCCTCTTTGTCATGCTTAACGCTCTTATGCCATTTGATGACACATACATGGGGAAGTTGATAAGAGATCAAAGAGAGCGTAGATATCATATTCGCGATGATGTCGAAGAGAAATTGACACAAGATTGCAAAACAATGTTGTACGTTCTTCTCGAACCAGATCCGAAATTGCGAGTCAACATTGAAGGCGTTTATAGAATGAAATGGCTCGCCAAAACCATCGAAAAACATGATAATTAAAGGTTTCTATTTTCATCAATTCATAAATTTCATCCAAACGATAAAAAGTTCGCAAATAAAAATTGTTTAAAGTTTCAAAATTCTCCAAAACACGACAAATCATAAAAATTACCTGCGTAAGAAAAGGAAAGAAATCCTTTTTGAAGTGTTTTGTATGGGCACGTGAAATTTAATCTCCTTCCTGGGAGACCTCAAACAAACGATAAATAAGAAAGAACGAAAGAAAATAAAGAAAGATTCTCATGAGGTTCTAAGAGTTTAGAAAGTCTTTCGATGAACTTTACCGTTAACTTCCATAATTTAATCTTCTTGGTAAATATTCTTTCACTTAGAAGTTGAAACAGTTTGTTTCTTTTCTTTCTACTTTTATTATTATTTTTATTGAGGAAAAAATTCTCTTCGTTAACGGATAAAGAAAGAATTATAAAATAAATGGCTTATTGTATTGCATTTTTGCTGAGATAAATTATCATCTAATATATCCGAGATTATCGCTTTCAAATCATGATTGATTAAGCTTTTGAAATTTTTTATTTTATGACCATCATCGTAATAAAAGTTTATGGATGTTCGCTGAAAAGTTAAGAACCTTTGAGACTGTAATTTAAAGTAGCAATTTTCTACTCTGATTTGTCAGTAAGTAATCGTCCTACGGTTCCATATTTTTATGATTTTTATGTTGTTTTTGACCTTTAAGGACAAACATATTAATGTTAATGCTTCTGAAAGATTTTCTTGCCTACATAAAATTGTTTTCATTCAAAGCGGGTAGCATTAATAATTGATTTGTTTCGTCCCCTAACAAAATCGTTTATTAAGAAATAAATTTATTTGCCTAACTTAATCTTCTTCTGATTTGCTTCTTTAATTTCCTTCGTGGTCATTTTCACTTTGTGGTTTGCTTTCATTCTCGTTCCTTTCAAATCGTCTTTCACTTTCTTCCTCATTTGCATTTCCCCTAATTCTTGTTAAGAGTCGAAAGAAATTTTTCTTTTTTTTTGTTGTTTTATTGGATTCATGCTGCGAGTGGACATTGCAAACAAATTTCTATTTTCATGTCCTTTCTAAGAAGTCTTTTCTTGCCATGTTTAGAAACTGAAACCTTGCTTTAGAATTTCTTAAGCAACATGAAAAGAAAACCTTGAAAGACATCAAGGGATTAGAAACAATTCTCTTCGATGACGAATGACTTTTGGAGGTGGTTGGAAAAAAAGAAAAAAGTCATGAATGAAACTCTTGTTTGTCACATGTTACTTGATGCTGAGACGATCCTTGCAGCACTTAAAACGAGTCATTCAATCATCTCCCGTTGTAAGAATGAGAGGGTTAACATTAAAATCTAACTTCCGCAACAGATTTTCTTTCATTTCATCCATTTTTAATTGGGAATGTTTGTGTTCTTCCTGTTTGAATATTCAGGAATATAATTTAATGATATGCTTCTACGTTGCACAATTATCCCGTTTGTTTTCTACTGGATAATTCATTCTGAGTGAAGGATAAAAACGGTAAATGATTGAATGAAATATTATGGCGAGACAATAATCAAACAGATGCTGCACATTTTATTATTTTATTTCAATCCTTTCGAACCCAAACATTTTATTTACTTAAACCTTCAACATGAAAGGATTATTTCAATGTTTTAAACAACCGATCCTGATCCATCGAACTTCCTTTGTCGGTTACTTCGCTTTTTCGGTGAGAATTTATTCAAATGTGTAAACAAATTTCTTTCCCAAATGTTTTTATAAATATTTCTACAGAATTCTAAATTGCATAACCGTAAATACAGTTAGAATTATCCTTAAATTTTACAGCATGTGTAATATAATAATTGAGAATTGGATAATGTTTCTAGTTCTTTTCAAAAATGAAAAGGGATTGGAAAGATGTAACCCAGTTTGGGTTCCTTTTGTGGGTGTTCAAGATAAGAATTGTTCAACAAACATCCATTAACAATCATAAATATACGCAAACAATTTCTTTAAGAACAGTTACAAGCGACTTTCATTTATAACATGAAATTTTCCATTTCAATTTTAAAGAATTTTCCCTGATTCACTTTCCTAAACCAAATAGCAAACCACTTCTACTTAAGTAGCTGAAATCTTTTCGATTTTCTTCATAAATATAATCAAACATTTGAAAGAAAAAAATGAGATGGAATTTAATTAGTTCAGTTTCGCTTTGAAATCTAACAAAATAAAAATTGAAATAATTAAAAATTTCTTTTTATAGCTTTTTGCTTCTTTTTAAATTAGCAACTCTTACCATTGCTGCTTGTGCGTCTACTTGTGCGAGCAGCTACAAAAAGAAGAGAAAAAATCTTGAAAATCAGGTAAACATGAAGTGCCATAAAGAGTCAATGACTGGCATCAAAAACAGCAAAAAACCGTAAATTTTGTTTCCATTTCATGAGATAATTTCATTTTCCTCCAAAGCACTTTTGCTTGAGATGCCAATAAAAATCTTTCATCCAGTGAATAAAGTCTTCTCGTTATATTTTATTATTTCGGTGATTTTAATTCCCCACACGACACTAACCGCTTGTGATTCTTATATAAGAAAGAAAGAAAAAAAACTTCGTCACCTTTTGACCTAATTCAGATTGTTTGCTTCTTTCTTGCACACAATTTCTTTATTGTCCAAACGTGTTGTTACAAATCCATACCTTTTGTGTGTTCATTCACCTCATTCGATTTGATTGACTTGCGGAAATTGTTTTCTCGCATCTCGGGGCGATCTTCGCACTCGCCTTTGATTTCTGAATCACAAACATTACGACGATTTTCCATGCATAATCTCACGTTGAAACGGAATTGTTCTGGATTCTTGATTATTACTTACGGATCTGCGTGAAATTTTGTTCCCTTCTTAAAATGCATTTTAAAAATAAATTAGTAGCTTACATTTCTGGTTTACTTTCCTTGCATTATGAATTAAGGATAAGTCAAAGAAGTAAATTTAATCTTTCGTTCATTATATTTACATGTTCGTTCGATAATTTACGACAGAAATTCGAATGTTGTTTAAAAACAAAATGACAATTAAAAACGTTCAATAAATTTATCGTGTGACAGTCGCGTGCTTGATTTATCTTAATAGGTCAACCACTGGTTCTTTATATCTTCTTTGTAAATGTTCTTTCATTAATTTTTCTCAACACAAAACAAATTCTTCGCGAAGCTATTTTTTAATCAATCACGTTTTGTGCTGAATTGATTTTTTCCTAATTGCACTCGTGCATGATCTATTTTCATAGCGAGTTAGATGCTCTTGAGTAACAACAATTGAAAATATTTCTGGTGAGTTCCATTGATCTCTCGACCAACACATTTCGATGTCAAATCAAATCTCTTCCCGTCAATTTTTAAGACAAGTCATTAATCTCCAACAAATAAAAACCGTGCCATTTCATGTCGTTGAACTTTCAATGTTTAAAGCTCTTGCTGTAACAAATCTTCGACACAACATCAAATGAAATTTTTCATAGTTTAATCAAAGAAGAAAAGCAAAAAAAAAGAAGCCTAGTTGTTTGGGATTGAAAGTCTTACGTTTGTTCGAGGTTACTGTCGGATATTGAACCACTTACCTACAATGATGCAAAAAAAAAACGTCGAGTAAAAATGTTTTCAACAATTGTTAGTCTACAATCATGCTCGACTAGCTTGTACTTATGTTGAGTGGAATTGGATCAAGAAAAGAAGAGAAAACATGAATGATTGTAAGTATCTAATTGGATGAAACAAAAGAACTGACAAAAAAATATGTTCACGTCACTCAATCAGTCACCAATCATCAAATCATCCCTTCCCTCTTCCACTATTGACACTTTCAACAACAAATTCAGCTAAATTCCAATGACGTGTCTGACGCTTACTTGTTTACAGTCAGGAAAGAGAAAGGAGGTTACATTTTGACCAAGTAACAGTCTCGAAAAAGAAAAGAAGAAATGTAAGAAGCTTTTTTTCATAATTTTCCATGACGCAATTGAAAGCATACAAAGATTCGCAGAAATTTTGGTGATTTCATCGTTGATCTTCGGAATTGACGACGTCGCTAAAGATTTGATTGTTTACATTTAAATGAAGTCAAGTCGATGATTCATTTGTTTTGATGAAATTGTTTCGTGAAAAGTGGCGCATTAAAATATTTAACTATTGAACATTTAAAGCTGATACCGATTAAGAGAGTTGTGAGTCATTCATTTGCTACATTTCTATTTGAAATTTTCTCAGCGTCTGCAGCTTCTCATCTTCCATGTCGAAGAAATGATTTTCATGAAAGAGCTGAATATTTGAACAGCATAGAAACCTAGAAATTCACTTTGCATCAACTCACCAATAATCTTTTTCAATTTCAAAATTCTTTCATGCAATCTTAATTGTGAATTCTTCTTCAATTTATTTATGGTTTCCTATCTGTCATCGTCTTCTAAACGTTCGCCATCAAACGGTACTTTTCGTATCAATTCGCGATACAATTTTCAGTTTTGTTGGTCGTCGGCTTTAATTTCAATTTCCATCCTCAGCGATCGCGCGCAAGCTTTGAGTTCAAAAACCTCAAGTTGCCTCGAAAATAATAAAAAAGAACGAACAAAAGAAAAAAATGCGAGAGAGTCGCGATTGGAAAAAATCACATCCACTTCCATCTGATATTCCGTTATCTATTTAATATTAGAAAAATTAATTTGATTAGAATAAAGAATTTTCCTGGGAAAATATTTTGATTCAACATCATAAACTTCTTAAATTTCTTTAACCTAGAATGGAATTAATTATCTGCAATGACTGTCAAGTGCAGAAGAATTGAGATCAGTTCAATGCCCGCTAAATACTTCAGAATGGTATTTAACGAAGAAAGCTTAGAGACAAAAGCTTCTGTTTCTATGCTGTGTGCTTTCTCCTATCATTGCATGATCATATTTTAACCTAATTTCGAACAACATAATTACAAGCATTAAAACGAGAGAACAATTTCACTGCATCTCATGATCATTATGCTGTAGCCTAGGAATAAAAAAAAGAACTGTAAATTAAGAGTGAAGATCCAAAAGAGATGGAAGATTAAATTTGAAACGCTAAGGTACTAAATGAAATTCTAAAAAAGAAAAAAAGAAACATTTCTGATCGTGTACCTGTCGAGTTTCTCATTCGCTCCGTACCACCATTCATGTCTATACCGCGCAATTCAATAGTATTGAGTCATAAAAATGCTGTAACAAGATGCAGATACCGTTAGTTATGTAAAAAAAATATTTCTCTCAATTTTTATTTCTTGCCTTCTTCGTTCACCGATTGAGTAGGAAGCAAAATGCGGGAAGCATACATAACATTGAAAATAAATACACGAACCAACAGTGTTCAATGCCAGAGAAATTCTCTTCCTCATGTTTCGTTTCTTTCTTTTACTTCTCCAATTGCCAACAGCAACAACGATCGATTGTTATTCTCTCGATTGCTATATGTTGTGTTAGTGTGAAGAGCAACAAGCTTTTCCAACAGGTAGGCAAATGCTTACGAGTACGAAGAGAGAATCACCTTGACCGTTTGTGAGAATTTTTGCTTTGCACAATGTCGAGCGTTCGATTGTGTAAGTGTTAACTTGAGTACCTTTAATTATCTTGTCTCCTCCGTTCCCTCTCATTCTATCGTTGGTGTTTCGGGAAACTCTCAGCAAAAAGCTCCCTCCGCGATCGAAAGAAAGAACGAAAAAAAAATGTTTCGAGCGATCTTCCCGTGATTCAATCAGTTTGAAACGTACCGAGCAATGATGAAGACATACCTTAAGTCGGATCGTGTCAAATAAAATAATTTTTATTGCTTTTGTTGTGTTTTCATATTTAATAGAGTGACTTCATACGAGTGTAATAATTGTTAGTTCATACAACTCACCGAAGTTTTGATATTGGAGATCGGAGAAGAAACTAAACAAGTTTTTTTTTCTTTCCTCTCGCTTCTTGTTGGATTGTAACTGAAGAGCCTAGAAAAATAGAAAAGATTATAGAAACGAAGCAAAGTTGAAGAACCTTTTGATGGTGTCATCAACAAAGTAAAAAAAAAAGAATAAATTAAATTTTATCGAAAATAAAACAAATGCGACTTTGATCGCCCACAAGAATTGTGAAATGGGAATTTTTTATTGAAAATTTTTTTGTGATCATTTTGTGATTATTTTTATTCTGTGACTGATTTTGGTTGTAAAAAAACAATTTGTTTAAAAAGTTTAAAAACGAAACAAGAAAAAGAAACTGAAAAGAAAAATTAATGTTATGAGAAATAAGAATATTTTACAATAAATGGAAATTCATCATTCGATTGGGATTACATTACACTCCATCATCGCCAGCAATCATCCATCATCTCAGTTATCGATCTGAAAGTGCGAAGTGTTTAAAGGTGAGTTGTGCAAAATTTATGTTTCTCTAATTTTCCACCTGCTCATACATGCATAAAGTATTGCAACTGAATGCAAATTATATGCTGAATATATTTAAAAAAAACTTCTAACTTCGTTCATGATGGGCAGCCTTCGACTAGTTGCATGTATGAAAGAAAGAAAAAAAAAATGAAGCAGACGTGTCGTCACGATTATTTTTGGTAGCGACCGATAATCATCTACATGGCACTTGACTAAATGCACAAAAGGGGCAAAGTTAAACCAATAACAACTTGCAACAAAGTGCAATATGCAAATTGCATTTTTTTTTCTTCATTCACTCTGTTATAGCGCGTTGGTTAATTATCGAAGTTAATAAGCGTTTACATCTCACAATGGAACAGTAAATAACAAGTTGTGAATATTCACATCACTTACTTGCGCACTCGTTTATATAACAACACAAAAATCCTTGGCAATGACTTTAAATGACGCGAACTCTACGATATTAAATTATCGATGTTATTTTATTTTGCCATAATTTCGATTTCGCGCCTGAGACTTAAAAGACATTTCATCGTGTGGTTGTGTGTGATGTTGTGTCGATCGAATGTGTAAATGTTTAATTGGTATATCCAGAATATCTTTTTTTTGCAAACAATGATTCATTCATTCTCGTCATTCCAGTAATTCGACTCTGTGTTGATTATTTGTTGGTACGACAGATTTCTTCCAGAAATTCTTTGTGTTTTAACTGCGCAGGTACGGGATGAATCTGCTTATTGATATTTAAATACGAAATTCTGGAGTCAACATCAACAAATAAGCGACTAACTCATACGTAGTTTCAAGAAGAACACTGATCGCTACACAGCACACAAAAACTTTGAAACTAAAGCGTGCGCGCAATGAATGAATGACTTTGACATTGACTTCAGTCGTAGAATTGTATTCAAAGCTGTTCATTTACTCGCTTACTTACTTGTAACATGAGGTATTGAATGCTTCACATTTAAACAAAATTTTCTTTTTCTTATCCTCTGACGCATTTTTTTCGTTTGTTACTTTGTAGTGTACGTTCATTTTGCATTTTTTCCCTCCGATTACCTTTTAGCATTATGCAATGTGCTGTGTCTGTAATTTAATTCCATAAAAGCTATTTTTAACTTGACCGCTTGGTAATCTATCGAAAGTAAAATTAAATGACGGATATTTTTTTATGAAGCGACGAATGAAGCTTTAAATTAAGAATTCCACGTTGAATATATTCATTTCAACATTTACAAGTTTAAAGTTCTTTGACTTCACGAAATGTCTCATATTTGGTTTTATGATTGTTAAATTATAATTTGGAGATTGTGGATAAAGAGATTTGTAATTAAATTGGATTGTAATTTAAAACACAACAGAACTCTTTTAACTTTTAACTTATTCTCTGTTGTGCATGAAATTTTAATTCAATTTAATGTTTTGATGATATTTATTGACAATATCAAACTGCCAGCCGTTTATTGCGCATCAATGACAATATTGATTCTTGCCCAAAAAGTCAAAACAGAAACGACGAGAATGAACCATCTGACTCAGTAATTGTCTTGACGCTTTGTGTGTTGGATTTGAAGAGTCCAGAAAATCTTTCACAATTCTGTTTTTTTATTTTTATTTTTTTTGCTGCTTTGGCCTTGCTTGCGGTCGCCAGAAGGGAAAAGAACACAACATTTGACTAACACTCGAACGTTCCTGTGTTTACGTTTTCAATTTTCAATTTTTGCGATTCTTCTTTTTCAATTCTTTGCCTTTTGTGCTTTCGTTCTTTTGAGGCCGTTTTACGAGTTTAATGACTTTTGAAGCCCTCGCAGAAAATTTTGAGCTTCAAATATTCTTCTCGTCATTCAAATGACATCAGAAAACCCAAACAGACAAATTAAATCATGTTTTGCAATAAATCAATCACACTTCACAACAAAACCATTGACGGCCTCAACAGTTATTCCAACTGGGAACATGAAATCAACAATGTTGCTGGTTGCCCAAACAAATTTGTATTCGTTTTTATGTTCCTCCTTCTTAATTATTAGTCTTCTTGAGACACATTTCCACTAAGAAGAAGACAAAGACAAAGATGTTTGCATGTAGCGATTTCCAGACTTTTAACGTTTATTTCGTTAATCATCAGTGTCGATTGTTGGATGATGTAAAGACTTCAGTCATTCTCGGGATGGATTCTTTAGATTGTCATTAATCAGGTGCTTCGAGGGAATTTTATTATTTCCAATCGTCTGCTTATTTATTTATCTTTTTTTGTTGTTCATGTCTTTTGAACGTGTCGCTAATCTTAATCATTACATAACAAAAGATCGTCTTAACGGAAGGGAGAGAAGTATAATAATAAAAAAAGTTTGTATTTTGAGGCAATAATTTAAAATTAAATTTTTACGCAAGCTTGCGCAAGTTTAAATTATTAAGAAAAAAGAGACAAAAATCTTGTTTTTCTAGGATTTAATTTTTATGGAATGAGGAATATTGATTGGATGGATTGTGAGATTAAATAAATCTTTATTGATATCTAAATATCAATTTGAATAATAAAAATATTTGTTGTGACGTCCCTTTGACAAAAATATTTCTTCAACTTCACAGTTTAAAGGTTGCTTCATCACGAAACAATTAAGCAAGTTGTCATTCAATGACAATTATCTTGTTTCTCGGGTTCTGTTAATAATTCTTATGTGACCATCGTGTCGTAATTGTTTCATTATTTTCTCGAACATTGCATAAGACGACACTCGACTTCAAATATTCCACACCAACGTAAATAATTAAATTCTGACTCGACCAAAATGCGCATACAAATTTTTGGGTTGTTAAAAACTGCTTATTGAAGCGACAGACTTTACTGTAAAGTCAGAGTCATTATCCTTATCATGTCTGCTGCTTCATGTAGAACTTTTGTCATGCAATGTGTTTTTTATAGCATTTTGTGTGTGTGTTTGTGCTTTTGTTAGCGGCTTTAAAACGCTGTTTTGCATTTAAATAGTTTATTATCGACATAAATAGAAGTTTAATTTCAATTTTCAATCTCCATTGTATCGTTGATGATTTTTTGTTAATTTAATTAAGAAGATTTCTGCTTTATTTTCATACAAAAATCTTTTGTGCTATTTATAGACTTTTTTTTGCATGTCGTGTTTGTAGTTCATAAATAATTGAATGTCTCAAGACCAAGTTGCCAGCAGCTTTCATTACAAAAAGCTTTTAAAATTGTAGTTGACTTTGAAGCAAATCGAATTTTATCACAAAGTTTCAGAGAGTAAATCGGAAGCAGATTCTACTATTGAAATATTAAACACAATTAGCATTCATTTCTTACTTTATATTTTGACTTGTTTCTGCATGCTTTGAATATTTTGTAATGCTCGAGTTCACTTTTCATTTTTTTTCTGCATTTGTAGAGGAATCTTGTAGATTGAAGTTCAAGTTTATGTTCTTTCCTCATGTGTTTTGCATTTCTTTATTGCTTTTAACTTGCAAAAAAGAAATAACAAAAAGAAGCATCAAAGAGTTCGTTTTTTACTTTACGTAATCACTTCATGGTTCGACGGGTTTTTCTGAAGCGAATGAGAAGCGCAAGCTGAACGAATAAATGTCATTGCTTAGAATAACGAAGAATTTAATGTTTAACAGATAATAAAAAATATTAAAACTTGAACGAAAGTCTGAAATTGATTTTGAAAGCTTTTCATATGAATGCATATTGAAATTTCTCAAAGCACACAAAAATTCCAGTTAAGAATTGTCTCACTTCGCATAGAATAAATCGACATGTCGTTGCTATTTCGATACCATCCATAACCCTACATAACCAAAAGCACTCATACACACACTCACACAAAGTCAGAAGTCATTCAACACAACAGCGGAAAATGTTCTATACGAAGCTCTCGGGTTTTATGTTTTCAGTTTCATTTTCAAAACACAGAATATACGAAAGGTTGATGACACCGGGTGGGAGACAGAGAGGGAGTGAATGAGAGGAAGAATTGGACAAAAAAAAGGCAATCGGCCAATTGTTGTGTTTTCACTATTGGGCTTGCTTCAGTAAAGGAACTTTAATTTTATGATTATAGCTTTGTGTGCTTGTTCTTTCATTACACTCGCTTCTTATGCTAAAATGAAAACATTCTTTGTACCTTCGTGTGTTTTTTTGCGCGTCTTCAAACATATTTCAATGTTGTGCGTTGTCTTCACTCAAAAGGTTGATGATTCTTGGAGATTCTTGCTTGTTTTTCTTATAGTTTTACTTTTCCTTTCCATAATTCTTGATTCTTGATCGTGGCCTTCGCCAAAACACGGTTGAATTGAATGAAGAAAAGAAAGAAAGAAAGAACAAAAATATTCTTCACCATTTACGCTTGATGAATTCTAATAAGAAAACGTTGAGAGAAACATAAATAAATAAGATTCAAGTTGCGATGCGCGAGTGATTTTTCTTCCTTCTTGTTCTTATGCACGATTATTGTTTATTTTTAAATTTAACTTGCAAAGCCTTTTTCCGGATTGAAGAAGAAGTGCAACGACTTCAATCTTCAGAAATTCTTCCTGGTCTTATTTGGTTACACAGTTTAAAACAAATTTATTATTTTTTTCTTAATGTCTCTTTCGGGCTAAACTTAATGGGAATTATGCCAAAAGCTGATTTCAAAAACCGCCGACAAAAAACTTTACAAAGATTGTTAACTCGAGTGCTGTTTGAATTTCATTAAAATTGAGAAAAGAAAAATCTCCATAAGAAAGTTGTTAGCAAATATGATGATAGCTTCTTTGAACTTTTTATAAAAAGAAAAAAAGCTACTGAAAGCTTCATGAGCAATACTTTTGTCTGTCATTCACTCGAACGCGCCCGTTTATGTTTGTGTGTCTAACATGAGCTTTTTTCTTCTCATCATCATCAACATCATCATCATAACGAGATGTATAATCATACACACTCAGTACTAACGCCTTGCAAGCACGACCACCACATCTCTGGTGATGAAGAAGGAAGAGAAGAAGAAAGAAGAAAAAAAGAGTTCGCAGAGTGAATGACCGACCTACTCAAGCAATATAATTTTAACGCGAAAGAAAGAAAAGAGAAGAAAAGCTCTTACAAGCATATTTTGGGGTTTATGTTGTATCTTCATGATAGTGAACAAAACGCTATTTGTTGCATACTTCTATGATGTGAAGGGAAATGTTCTTCACGCTTCTATCGTTTGATGTCAGCAAATACTTGAATCGCATCTCATAATAGAGTGATGAACTGTCAAGAGTGTAATGAAACGTAACAACTTGAATTTCATTTTAACAATCAACTGATAAACTTCAATTAAACAATCAACAATTTCAATTTAATGAAACAAAAGGAAAAGAAAGAAATTTCATTTGTAAAGCAGACGATTTTTTTGTTCTGACGATTAAAAAATAATTAACTTTTAACCAGCGTCTGCCATTAACTAATGACTTGTGTTATAGTAAATTGAAGAATCGACGCCACAAGAAACAGAACAGAATGGAATAAAAAAGAAATTCTGCAACACTTTGCTCGTTCATTTTTTACGTGAAGGTTCTTGAACCGTAAACACGTTTAGAAATGAAATGCGGAAATCGATTCCTATCTTGATGTGCAAAGTTCGATAATTGCTATCGTGGCAAATTGCCTGCTACCTGCATGTCTCATTGAAACATACACATCCCGATTCCAGTAATTATCCGTCGCTGCCTTTTCTAAGAATTCTTTCAGCTCGTGCTAGACGATTTCAACAACATTTACTACTCGTCAAAGACCGCCCACGCCTTTTTAAACAAAAATGTTGAATAAATATTCCCGAATCATTCTTTTTTTATTACTTGCTTGCTTTTCATTTACTGTATAAAATACATAAAAGTTTACTTCCTAACTATGAAAATTTTATATAAATACAAATTATGTACATGCGATGGTAGTTGTGAAAGCGTCCTGACTCCTGAAGCTTCCTAGGAGTTTCTCATTCCCATCAGAAACACATTCGGGGAGTTTTGTAAGTTGGGGTGGTTGTGATGTTGATGTAAAATTGAAAACTTTTCCTGCGCATTGAAAAGCGGGGAAAGTTTTTCCTGGATGAGAAATTCGTCAGATGGAAAATTTTGCGAAAGGGAAACAAAAATTTATTCCATAGAATGGCTTGGTAGGTTTATTCAAGTAAATAATTTGTTTAGTCGTTGCAACTACTACCTGAAACAATCAAAGCATTATGAATTCAAAAGCTAATATTTACCTTCATATCTTTTCATCTTTACGGGTGGTAAAATCGATCGTAGTTCGTCGAGCTTTACATTGTTGCAAGGACGATGCAGGAAACGCTAACAGGAAGTATATAAAAGAGAAAGTTCACTGAACCTTTCTTTACATGGGAAAGCAAATGTTTTCCTACGGAGTTTTCAATCGTTCGTTGGCAACCTAAGCAATAAAAATGAAAAAGAAAAAAATTCTTTCAGAATAAAAACCAACATAAAAAGAGGAAGAAAAATATTCTCGCAAAGTTTTTAATTTGATTTCTGGAAGTCACAAAAAGATTTAATCGAAAGGGGAGGGCGAGAAAAATTGAATCGAACTTCATATAAAGCCATCAAAATCATCACCGTAAAGAGCAGACATGACAATTAGACGATTAAACTTTCTGAGCTTGCTTTATCACTCTGCTTCTTCTCATTCCTCCATTTCATCCCAAATAACAAAGCACCTTAACGAATACACTAGCAGCAAGGCGTCAGCAAAGCATTTTAATCTCCAATAGCTTGGTTTTCACTTTACTCTCATCTTCTTCTTCTTTTGCTGTTTTTAATACCGATAATTTGACTTTGTCTGTGGTCATGGTTACGTTTCCGAGGTTCATGTCCTTCACTTCATGGAAATGAACGAGAGGGAGAGGAAAACAAAGCCACAACAAAACGAGAAACATTCTCAAATCTATTTATGTTGGAATTTGTTTTGAGCCTACATCAGATTTGCTTCGTGCTACGTGCACATCTCAACATCATCTTCTTCTTTCAATATTCTGAATCTTCTTTCTTTATCATTCAACGTTGCACTTTTTTTATATTTCTGCTCGCTTTTATGCTGTTGGAGGTATGAAATATCCAATGCAAAGCTTGAAGAAGAATTATAGTTCTCATGTGCGGTAGGTCGTGAAAGAAAATAAAAAATTCTTTTTATTTTTAACCAGAAGTAAGTTTAGAAGTGATTCGAACCTTGCCAAACTTTTTTTCTTTTCTTTTCTTGCAATAATGAATAAATAAATCTGAAAAAAATCATTTCGATGCCCTGCCAAAAACAACATTCAATGAAAATTCTGCTGTTGTTTTGTGCCTTCGGCTTCAATACATAAATAAAGTTGATAAACATACATAAAATGAAGAACGCGAGGATTGTAGGATGAGTTTCGAGACGACTAGGCTTCGATTTATTTCGCAATCGTATTTATGTTGAGTAAGGAAATGAAATGACTCTTTTTCGTATATTCTCTCGCGTTCACAACAACACAGCCAATGTTGGGTGATGTGTGGGTGGAGTGAGAAGGAGAAAGGGTGAAAAGTTTTTATTTCAGCCTCGTCACAGCCCACTACAGAGCATAGAACTCAACTGCAAAGTTCATTCAACTTTATACTGTAGAGAAGAACATCGAGACAGTTTTTCCCTTTTATTTTGTCTACCGCACAACGAAAAATCCATCAGCAGACGCCCTCAAATCTCATATTCTCTCTGTTAAATATTACTTTAAGCATATAAAGATGAACATTATGCTTGCTGTTGATTTCGTGAGCTTTTTTTACACCCTCAATGTTCAAATCGTAAGAAAGAGAAAGATACAAGAAATTGTACGAATCTCGACTCTCTTCTGCTGTTCTACCCCATTTCAAAGCGCTTTCAGACTTATGAGTGAAAATGAAAGTTTTTTTTGTCTTTCCATCCTTTTCCTTCTTTGTTGTAAAATTAAACGAGAAGGAGAAGCGAAAGCGGAAGATTTTCTGTCTTTGATGTTCATTTGGTGGATTTCAATTTGTCACAAATGACGACCAAGAAAGTTGATGAACGATCAAGGCTGTTCAAAGTGTCGTGACTGTTAAAAATGAAAATCAATAAAAATCATTGCACTCTCGTGACTTGGTAAATAAGTTTATCAGTTGAACGTTCGATTCACTTTCAGGTGAATTTTAAATAAATGTGCAAAACAGACAAAAGTAATTTATAGCGCCTTGGGATTCGCCTCAGATTATTACAATTGAAAGAACGCAAAACATTCGAATAATTCGAGGAACTCAAGTCTCAAGTCATCTCTTAGTAGATTTTGTTATGAACACGAGTAGTCGAAGGCATTTACGGAAAGCATTGCAATTGTCATGCGCTTTTCACTGCATGTATTGGTGCAGAACGAAACAAAAAAAATAGTTTTTCGTTGCCAGATTTGTCTGCGAACTTTTCGTTGCTTTCTCTCGTTTTTCAGAGCTTTTTTCTTCAGGCAAGCCAAAGCCGAGTTTCATTTCCTTCATGCAGTTTGCAATCATAGAATGAACGTTCTTACTTAGTTTCTCATATGATTTTAAACTATCAAAACATAACCGACGTCGTTCTCAAATTATTTGTTTGCGTGGCGAAAAAAAATCTTTTTTTGATACGAAATATGAAAACGTTGGAAGTGAAGAAAACATTTTAGTAATTTATCAATGTTAATTGGGATTTGAGAAAAGAAGATTTTAATTGAGAAGTGAGATTTTTTTTTAATTTCTTGAAAGATTGCGATTAAATGATTTGGTAAATAATCAATCAGGAAAAATGATTGTTGAGTGAGAAAAGCGCGTTTAGTGTATAAACATTGAAAATCCTTTTCCTGAAAAGAAAGCGAGAGAGTGAGTGAGAGGGAAAGCGGCAGAAAGTTGAGCTTGCACGAGTTGTTGTAAATGCACATGCAGGAGAAGGATACAAACGCTTTCACCACCCCCTAATACAACTCATACAGTTGAAAGCGACGAGCGAAATTAAACTCTTTTGATGTTGTGTTGGTGCAGTCGGGACGCCGACAGAAAGGATTTTCCTTTTTTTGACATCAACAAAACCGAAAACTTTTCTTCACAATCAAATAAAGTTTGTCGTAGGTCGTGACTCTTAAAAGCTACGAAAGCTTTCGACTCAGCTGGATGTGTGTCGGAAAAATCGGAAAGATTTGGAAAAAATTGAAAAAGTTTTTCAAATAAATGAAAATAATAAAAAAAGGCCTTAGAAAAGCAAATCAACAATAAGAAAATGTCAAAGTTGCAAAATGAAGGGAGAAGTTGTTCATTGAAGTGAAAATTAAAAGTGAAAAATAGTTGAAGGAAAATTTGAAAAAAGTTATTTTTAGTTTTGATGTTTTTCTAATGTCGGAACTCTGAGCAAAGTCGAAAGTAAGAAAAATTAATTTTTTTCCTACAATTTTCCAATTCCGGGAAAATTTATTAAAAGACATAAAAAAACTTTCATCGCATCTTGATTTTGGCATTTGGAGGATGAAAAGAAGTGAGTTTTGATTCGTTTTTCTTATCACCACAGCAAAAGTTGCATAATGCGCAATTAATAATTTTATTGTTGCACAAAGCGGCGATATTAATTCGGCCTTGTATTTGAATTGAAGCGTTTTCTTTTTTCAAAGCTGTAAAAGTTGTAATCAAGTCGAAAGTCATGACTCATATCGATGTTGCAAGTTCAAGGTAAATTTAAATGAACTCGTTTCTTATTATAAATCACGAATCGACGGGAAAAAATGAATTGAACAGAAATTTTAATAAATTTTTGTTTACATTTTAAATGAAAAGTGAAAATATGTTGAATTAGATGAAAATGAATGAGTGCATTGACAAAAAAATAAAAAATTGTATTTAAAGAAACTGAAAGCAACATCAGAAGTCATGAGAGAATGCATTTAATAAACATCATTGAGCATCTCCCCGATTTCTTGCCGGTCATCAATTTCGTCGCGAGAGTCTCAAAATGCACAAAACTCTGCACATTTTTGGTGTGGATGTTTGAGTAGTTTTCCTGAACTCAAATGTAATAAACCTACAAATAAGCAAATAAAAACTTATTTCAAAGTGTGTGCTCTCATTCAGATTGATTTCAGTTGCAGTTGTGCCCGTTGATCGATTAGATGCAAAAGAAGTAAAAAAATTTAGCTTAGCTAAGGAGAAAAAAAATCAAAAGCAGTAAAATAAGAAAAAATAGTTTCTTGAAGTATTTAATTGGGTTGTTAACGAGATTTTACGCACTGCACCGAGTTTCAGAAATATTTAGCAAGAAAATAAAAATCAAATTAAAATTGTTCTCAACTGGAGGAAAAAAGAAGATTGTTAAGTATCGTAGTAAAAAAAATATTTACACAACTTTGTATTGTGCAATTGCAAAACTATTTTAATTGACTGTAAATGTACCTAATTCAAGTGTGAACCCATCGGAAAAATCTTTAAGAGAAATAAATTATTCAGAAACATTAAAAACTATAAAGTGGGGAAAATAATAAATTTATTAAGTAAAATGATCGTTTGCAATTCATCACTCATCTTTGAATTGCAACGTTGAGCAATCTGAGCAGTGAGAGTGTTTACATTCAACTTTGAGGGTGTGAATCCTCCCTCGACAATAAATAAATAATTTTCTCGACTTGGATGATTGTCAACTGTAAGTCAATTAAATTTAATTAATATCAATCATTCTTCTTATCATCAGTTATCACCAAAATGCGCAACAGTCAAAATAAAATTGATTTTTCATTAATTTTTTTCTTTCCTCCCATCGAAAGCAAATTTTCCTTCTAGCAACATTTTGAAGGTTGCAAATGGAATGTTTCCGCTAAATTTACGAGCTTTTTGCATTCAACTGAAACTAATGAGTGAAAATAAAGCTCGATAAAGTTGACATAAATTTTTTAAGAATTCTTTTGGAGTTTTGTTCATGTTTAAAATTATCAAAAAAGAGAAAATTACTCAAGCAGAATGAAAGATTAAAATCGGTGATAATTAACTTACGTATAAGTAGATGAGGGGAGAGAGAAAGAAAAGCATGCAGGAAAAAAGAGTAGACCGATGAAATTACATGTATACACGACTGCATTTTGTTATATGCAATGTGACTTTAACCTTGCACCTAATTATAGTTGAAGCGCGAGGGAGAGTGAGTAAGACGATACAAGTGCACATAATCTTTACACAAACAGAAATTGAAAGCGAGGTTTATGAAACAGAAGAATTATTCGTTGTTGCGATAGAACATGCACATTTTACATTGCATTACGCAATCAACGATGATGCTTCGAGCAGTTTCACAAGGTGAAGATTTGACATCATCCTGAAAGTTCTAAATCGTTTATTTATTTACTTAAAAATGTTTCAAACTTTATTGACATTGTGAGTTGTTTGTGGCTTTCAATTGTATTCAATTATTTTATTAATCTCATTTCCTTGACATTGGAAGTTTTAAGCTGACCGCATGGAGATTTATTGGACATGCAAAACTAACAAAAAGATTTAAAATTTCTCATCTTTTACGCTGAATTTTTAAATTTTGATTCTTCTTTGTTGCTTGGGGATTGAAAATAAAAAATTGCTTTTGTCTGGTTCTAACGCAGCCTCTCTCATGATTGATCGAAGATGAAAATCTTGTCAATTTACTTAATAAACTCACAAGAGTAAATCGCGATTATTTTCAAGGCTGAAATTTGATTTCGCAAACATTAAAATTTGCATCTTCCACCGCTTTTTAGATTTTCTTTCAAGAGATGATGCCAAGAAAGTTAATACTTCGTCGTCTCATCATCGTTAATCGCCTGTTAATTAATTACTTTGAAATCTTTAACACCCTTGAACAGCACGACGAGTGATTCAAATTTATGATTGGGAGGGAATTAACTTTAATCTTAATTTCATTACTACAACTAACGAATGAAATGATTTTCATTTGAATGAGAAAAAGAGATAAAAAAATGCATTTCCTCGAATTGATATTATTTTATTTGTGCACATGTAAGCTAAGCTAGTCACGTCATGAAGCAAACGTCATAATAATAATAATTATTATTATTACTTTGATCTCATTTCCTGATTATTTTCATTCATCAACAGGTTCCTGTAGCTCATGTTTTAAGATGTTTTTAATTTTAATTACTTCATCTAATTAGAAACAAAACTTTTCAAGGTATCTCAAACAAATATTTCATCTTCTAGACAAAAGAAAAGATTTTAAATAAACAAAGAGTTACTTTAAATTCGCTAGACGTCTTTATTGACCGGAAAATTTCAATTACATTCCATACTTGGATATATTTTCATCAGAAGTATGCTCGAGAATTTCGAGGTCGAATACTGTACATTGATAAATTCAGGTTGTCTGATACGTCTGGAGTAGTCTAAATAAATCTTCCCGACTGCAAATCATCATTGACTTGTCTTTCTTTTCAAACTCTCCTCTACAATTACATAACTCAAACTCGCTTTAATAAATATTTAATTATTGTCTGTTTTTGTTTGTAATTATCAGCAAAACCACAATGACAGTGCATGTGACGAGATATTTAATTGAGTCATGAGAAGAAAAAAAACAGAATTTTCAAGGGCAGATCGGAGATGAATTCCACAAGCTTGTAATAAATAAATCACTTGCGATGATTTGCATGATCGTTAATCTAATGGAGGGATTAAAAGCTTTAAAATTTTCCATGTTTTTCATGACATTTTTCATCTCAATTCATCAAATTGTGTGAGACTTAAATTTGTTCAAATGACTTTCTGAGCAACTATTTAATAAGTTTTAAGGAAAATTAAAGAGAAGAAGTAGAAAACAAATTAGGTTTTCATGATGATCCCTTTTTGTTTGTCGAAACAGGAAACAGAAGATGTTTTTCACTTTTTTCCAACTATTTTCTCTCTCGAATGGATCCCATTCGAGATGCGCTGCAACTGCACTTCGCTGAGCGCATAATCATCATGAAAATAGTGCACACAAGTGTTCATCACATTGCATGTGTTGGAGTTGGTGAATGTAGCATGAAATTTTACTTCCGTAGCATTTTCATTCCGAGAGGAATTACCGTGTGGGTTTGCAAGAAAAAGGAAAACATTATCGGGATGAATGTAGGTCAGTGGAGGATGCTGAGAAAGCGATGTTTTCCGTTTCACTCTGACTCACACACTCATCGTTCAATTATCGATCGTTGCTGCATCCACGAAATATAAAAGAAAAATTGTTTTCCATTTCATCGTTAAACTCGCTTTTATTGAAGCTTCGTTCATTTTTCACTTGTAGTGAATTCGATGCAAGGCGTAATGCGCTTCGGTTTTTCCTGTTTTGGGTGAATTGCAGAAAGCTTTTCATTAAAAAATATTGAAAAAGTGCAATTAGGATATCCTCGAGTGATTCAATTGATATTAATTGGTTAATTGCTTCCTTGCGATTGCATTGAGAAGAAAAATTGTCGTGAAGAAAATCAGAAAAGGAAAAGCTACCTCAACATTTTCCAACTTGGTGTATGTGTGAGTCGGTGTTTCAGTTATTGATCGAATCATTGAATGTCTAGGTCATGTTGCTTGAGTGGGAAAAAGAAAGAAAGAATTATATTAATTTTTGCGGGGGTGTATACGGAAAATCATTCACTATTTAAAGTTTCCGTTTTTCCTTTTCTCTAAAACTTTCATTTCCTATCAAATCGAAGAAGTCCTTGAATTATCTGTGATTGATAAAGAAATTCAATCTTGGAAATAAACTTTACAAAAAGTTTTAATCGAATTTCTTTAACTTTCAGATCAAAACAGAGATAATGACGGAAACAAGTTTATCAAGGGGCGAATCGCCAACAAATTCAATGAATCAAGATTACGACATAACGCGAATGCGTGAAGATGATTTTGAGAGACTTGCAGTTTATATTGTGCCCGATGTACCGTGTGAACGTGGCATTCCGGGACGTGCAGAGAAGACTCTTCCTAGAAGTCTCACACTAAAGCCTTCGGTGGTTCTTTCAACCCCACCCCAGCCGGTAAGTCATGAAAAATAATTTTAAAATTGAAATGAATTCCTAATACTATTGATTTGTTACAGATTGAAGGCGTTTGGAGCACTGGCGTTATACCGAAAGGAACCCGCTTTGGTCCTTTTGAAGGACATCGAACACCAAGTTATCCAAGTGATAAATCGTCGTGGAGATATTTCTGGCGGGTAAGTTCACCACTTAACTTCAATTAAAGTGTTGTTTCTCTCACTTCAGTAGCAATCATTTCCTAAACACTTTTAAAACCTAGATAAAGCTACTTGGAAGAACATTAATTAGTAAATAATTTTAATAAATTGTAAATACATTTTTCTCGATTTTCTTTTCTCTTTTCATGTTCACTTTCGATGGATATTTATATAAAAAATTCTTCTCTTCTCTTATCCTGAAAATATCTTCAATTAACACAAATGAAAAAACTTCTGTAAATTAAATAAATAAACAAAAACAAACTTTCCTCAGGTTCAGGAACTAAGACATGTTTCTTATGGAAATATTAAGGTATATCTTCATATCTATTCGAATTAATTAATAATATTTTATGCGTCGAGAATGGTTTTGAAGTTAATAAGGAAGCTTAACTTAATTAACAGTTCCTGTGTGTAAAAAATGAATTCACTTAAACTTCAAAACCATCCTTGAACCGAACAAGTTTGCTTCTTTTTTTACGAGTGCTAATTAAACTCAAATAAATCATCAACTTTATTGGAATCTTCCACTAATTATTCTACAATTTACTTCTCACATTCTCTAGATTTTCAAAGACAGCGACTTCTACTATCTTGACGGTTCTGACAATTCACATGCCAACTGGATGCGATTCGTTGCATCCGCTTATAATATGAAAGTGATGAATCTCGTCGCGTGTCAGCATCAAGAGCACATTTATTTTTACACAATACGTGATATAATGCCAAATGAAGAATTGATGGTGTGGTATTGTCGGGATTTTGCGAAGCGTATGGGTTACGATATTGATCCTGAACGCGCAACTTATTCGATATGCAAAGAAGAAACGTTGAAAAAGGCAGCATATGCCATGCCTAAAACTAAAATCAGTCCTGAAATTGCTTACAATCATATGAAGTATGTGATGGGACTTCATATTCCTGCTTCACGTCGTCCGCAATCCCCAACAGCTTCAACAACAACCAACTCCCCACCCCGACACCAAGCCACCCACCAAACCGTACTGAATTTACGTGAATCTCATGAAGAACGTGATCGTTCACCTATTCGAATTATGATTCATGAGAATGGAGTGACAAGAGTTGAAGAGACTGCAAAGCCAGTGAAGGAAGAAGCTTCACCGAAATTGGTTGTTTATGAACATCAACTGACGCCAAATGATGGATCTGTGCGATCTGATGAAGGCTATCATAGTAATGGATATCATGACGAGTTCACACCACCAGAAGACTCAAGTGATAGTGAGAGTGAACACAATTACGTCTTGGATTGTTCACAAAAGACCATTGAACCTAAGGAGACTGTCGTCGTTGCAAAAGCGAATGGCGAATGTGTTGATGGCAAAAATGATTATCGTAAAGTCAAAATGAAGATGCCATTGAAGTATGAGTTCAAGAACAAAAATATGACAAAGGATTGTGAGGCTGAAGTTGCTGATGTTGCAATGACAGATGTGAATGAAGAAGAGATGACAGTTGTGCAGACGAAGCCAGCAACAAGCACAGTGATTGTCTTGGAATCAGCGCCACAAAATACTCCAACGATTGTTCCACTGACAAAATCTTATTACGAAGCTGAGACTTCATCACCGCCACCTCAACATCATCACCATCATCATACGTCAGCAGCATTTATGCGTTACACGCCACCAACTTCGAGTATCTTGGAGACGATCTTAACTGGTAATCGATTGGATCAAGATTCATCAAGACGGCAACCAAATGCAACGCCACCACCAACATCACCTACGGAAATGGCTTATTCTTATAAGAAATCACAGCGATATGGAAATGCTTGTAGTCCCGATTCTAGCTCAAATCCACAACAACCGAACTGCACAAGCACCAGTAATAGTCATCCATTGTCACCGCCACAAATTCTCGTTCCATCTCGTAATGTCCAGCAAGTCGTTGAGAATTCAAGCAACAATAATCAAGCGCCAACACCACCGACTTTAATCTATGTTAATCAATCGCAATTTCCACCTTATGAGAGCCAAAGAACATCGCCGTCATACACTTACAGCATTTATTCGAATGGTAATTTAGTGACAGCAAATTCCAACAATCATTCGACATCATCGACATCGTCAACCTCATCTTATTCGCCACCTTTGAATAATGGACAATATGAAAGACTGACATCATCAACATCATCGGGAGCTGCAATGCTTCCTTTTACTAATGGCAATCAACTTCCGTTGTCACATCCACTTTTAACGCCATTGGCTCCACTACAACACATTTCAACATCACGTGAATCTCCGCATTCACCACCATGTAGTTTAAGTCCTGATGGTGAATCTTATTCGAGAAGTGGAAGTCCTTTGTCACCGGGATCGCCAGGGTCACGTGGCTATAAAAGCTTACCTTATCCATTAAAGAAACGTGATGGAAAAATGCATTACGAGTGCAATGTGTGTTGTAAAACTTTTGGTCAATTATCAAATTTGAAGGTTCATCTTCGAACACATAGCGGTGAACGACCGTTCCGTTGTAATGTCTGCACGAAATCCTTCACTCAATTAGCGCATCTGCAGAAACATCACTTAGTGCATACGGGTGAGAAGCCGCATCAATGCGATATATGTAAGAAGCGTTTCTCATCGACATCGAATCTTAAGACGCATTTGCGTTTGCATAGTGGTCAGAAACCCTACGAATGTGATTTATGTCCGCAAAAGTTTACGCAATTTGTGCATTTGAAGTTGCATAAACGACTTCATACAAATGATAGGCCGTATGTTTGTCAAGGCTGTGATAAGAAGTACATTAGTGCATCGGGATTACGAACACATTGGAAGACAACAAGTTGCAAACCAAATAATCTTGAGGAGGAAATGGCTTTGGCAGCAGCAGCGACGAATGAATATTTAGGTAATTGAAATGTTTCTTCTATATTTATAGAGCATTGTTAATTGAATGTCATGTTTTATTTAAGGTGATAAAGAGCACGCGGACATGGAAAGGGAACGTGAACTTTATGAGTATCAGCATCAACAGCAGCAACAGTCACCACAGTTACATCAACAAACTGTTCATTTAACACCAAATCACCCACATTTGAGACATATTGGACATCCACCATCGTCATTAATATGTATTCAACCACCCCCACAACAGCAACAACAGTTGACAACACCTTCATCATCACAGAATTCAGTACAAAATCATTGCACGTCATCACAACAGCAGCAGCAACAGCAGCATCAACAACAGCAACCTGAATTATTACATGAAATGCAAATTAAAAAAGATCCTCAATCACATCATTTAGTTCAAAACCAATCGGGACATTATCATCAGACACAAAACGGTGGTGAAACACGACCAAGTGTTATTGAATCAAATCAACCAATGATTATTGAATGCACATAAAGTGAAGAAAGAAAATTAAACTTATCATCAGTATTTTTCGTTACTTTTATAGTTTAATTAAGCATCTTGTTTATTTAGTAAATGTGGTCGAAAGTTTCTGTAAATATTTATCAAATTTTTTTTTATGTTTTCATTGTTAATATTCGCGCAGTATTTTGATAAAGAATGAAAGAATGAAAAGCTTCAAAACCTGATATTCAAAGCATCATAACGCCATTTGAATTAGACGCTTCCAGCTTTCTTCTCGCATTTTCATCTGCGCATGATTAAATAAAATTTGACTTGCATCGGAAGCAGTTGATAAATAAGCGAAAAATAATTTCTACGGAAAGATTAAAAATAGATAAAAAAGCGGATAACTTTTGAGACTATTTTGTAGACTAAATAAACGTGACTGATAATTTAAAGAATTGACTAATTTAGTACTAAATTAATCAAACACATCCTTTCAATAATTAAGCGTTAAGTGTTAAGTAAGATAAAAAAATACGAAATTCGAAGATTTTTTCTCCCTGAAGCAATAAATGAAATAAGAATCAAGCATATATCCAACATCATAAAAATTCATAAAAACAAAAACTTTTTTCCTTCAAACTTCAAAAAGAAATAAATTAAAACATAAAACTAATTCTTACTTCCAATTTTCCAATTCAACAGTGAATATCAACATGAAATAATTACAACTTATAACTATCTGAACTATTCACTTTTCTCTCTCTTTCTAATGATGATGTGAAGAAACATTATTAATCATAAGATTAAAGTTTATAAATAAACGAGAAATCAAATCAAATAGCTGAAGATTGTGGTGCTTTTAGACGAAGAAATAATTAAACTTACATAATTACTAAAGTTTAACATAAAGAAACATGTAAGAAAAATACGATTAAACATTTCTTCTTCTTAACCTTTAAGATAATTAGGGGAAACAATAGATTAAAATGAGACTAATAGTGATACAATTTTTATAAACACACACACACACACACAATCCCAACATATATTCATGTTTTATGTTTTGACTCAAAATTATTTTCACTCAGTTAAAGAAAGAAAAAGAAACGTTAAGATTAAGTAATGTTGAGAATTCCAATTAATTAAACTTCTCTTAATAAATTTTGATCCATTTTTTTTTTAATTTGAAAAGTCCCACCGTTAAGTTGCTTTTCTTTCCTTTTAATCTCAGTTCGTTTCAACAAATGAAATCTCAATGATAGAATAATTAAAGAGGCTTTACAACAATGAGTTAAGTTATCAAACTATTTAACATAATTTCCTTCATGATCCCAAAAGATTTTCTTTCTTTTAAAAAAGATTGATGCGAAGCATGCAAAGGCTGATAGATAAATCGTCGCTTGGATCCTAGAGCTGATGCTTTAAATTTCAACAAAAAAAAGTAAAAAATATTTTAAAAATACCAAAAAAAAGTGAAAAAAGCTTAAACATATATCCACGTGTAATTGGTGCCTTCCTTTTCTTTAAAATTTTTAACTTATTAACATCCATTCAGTTGATGTGAATTTTAATCGAGTTTATTTCAACAATTTTACCAATTCGCATAGAAATTTGAAAAAAAAAATTATTCTCAATTCGATGACTGATAAAATATAAAAAAAGAAAAAAATTCTTGATGAACTGATAGCTTAAAATTAAACAAAAAAAAAATTAAACGGAACTGAATTGTAGGAGTGGCAGGAAAAGATGTTCGCGTATTGAAATCGCATGTCAGTTAGTAAAGGATTCGATGGAATATGAATAAATAACGTGTTTACCTTTTTTAACGTACCTTTTTCGCATAAAACATGAAAGTAAATGAAATATAAATTATGTAAAAAGTCTTTTTGTATCGCAACATTAAAATATGATGGAAACATTAAAGTAACTGATGATGAATACCTAAAAGAATTACTTAAAAAACTTTATGGCTAATCAGCATAAGAAAATTGAAATTTAAAGATAAAAAGAAATTTTTTTGTTGTTGTTTTCAAATCTTGAATGTTTGATGGCTTGATTAAAGTGAATTGGAATGATTGTGCAACTGATCTGCATCCGAATTGACGCAAACATATTTTATTACATAATTTAATGACTTTAGCTGTAATAAATTAAATTGATTCGGTGAAAACGAAAAATTAGATGTAAACACTCCTTTAGACTTTGAACATTCAATAATCAAACAAGTGGAGTTAAAAAATTATTGTTTAAGCATGAAAAGAACAATTGAATAAAATGAAAAAAAGCGCATTTGATTAAAATAATTGGAAGTTAATTTCTGGTTTTTCTTAAAATTCTCCATCAAATATTTTATTTCATTGTTGCAGTGAAAAATTTATTTCAAAGTGCTGGCATAGCGACGAAAAGCTCGCAACATTGATTCGGCTTGTGAGTTTGAAGAATCTCTGAGAAGTGAAATGATTTCTCCAATGCCATTTGGTGGCTCACCAAAATTCTTTTTCGTGATGATGTTATATAAAGCACCAGCACAAGCTCCACGTTTACCTTCCCAATAATCTGGCGATGGATCCATCTTCTCAAGCATATCGAAAGCTTTCGCTGCAATCCAAAATTCACCGATTCGATAACAATCATTCGCAATAAGTTGAAGAAGAGAGAAAGCTTCTGGTGTCGTGTCTTTGGTCACAAAAATATTCCACGCTTGGTCTGCATGTCCACAATGGATGTGACAACGAGCAAGAATCATTGAGAACGTGTGCTCATTTCTAATGCTTATGCTATGAATTTGCATCAACAATTCTTCAGCTTCCTTGTAATAACCTGTGGCAACTTTTGCTTGCGCATAATTAAAGTTGAACGTGTCGTCGTTAATGAAAAAACTTCTTATCGAGTTGAGATAAACCAAAACTTCTTCAAATTGACCGTAGAGAAAGAACGAAGATGCCATCGCTTGACGACCTGGAATTGTGTCACATTCCGTCGAAGATCCACCAACAAGATGCAAATATTGTTGAGCTTGTTTTGCATGTTCTTTCAATCCAGTTTCTTGATACATTGACGCATGTACAACGCCTTTCAAAATATATTCATGCGGAACTTTTGGTTGAATGTCTTTAATCATTTGATGTGCATCTTGAATTTCATTTCTCTTCAAATGATGAATTGCAAGATTTAATCGAGCTTCAGGTATGATGTCAAGTAGATTAGGCAGAATTTGCAATGCACCTTCACCATTTCGAAAGACAACAAGATTGTGACGAAGTAATTCGATTCCAAAAACTCCGTTGTCTAACAAATGTTTAATGTCTTGTTCAGCTGCTTGACCGTTGAACATTCTGAAGCGATTACATGCCTTCAAATTTGCAGCAATTGTACTGTCAGGGTAAGTTGCTAAATAAAGGTCGAGAACTTCTTGTGACATCCCAAAATAATCGAGTTTGTAGTAGCATAAAGCAACATAAACATTTACTGCAAGCATTTGTTTATTATCCAAGAGAATGCGTTTGTAGATATCGATAGCTTCTTGATATTGACCACGCAAATAATGAAGACCTGCCAATGACAACTGATCTTCAATGACATCTCTCAAAACTCCATGAAGTTCCATCAATCGTTGATCGTCACCAAGTTTATGTGCAAGATGAAATAGCAGCCGAATCTTTAATTGAGATTCTGGTAAATCATCAATTGACTTTTGAGATTCTTCATACATTCCCAAGTAAAATTGACAAACGCCAATATTTAAAGCAACATCTTTGGTTGGATTTGCAATGTAAATTTTCTCGTATTGTTCTAAGCAAATTTTATACTCCCCCAAATGAAAATCGCAATATGCCAACCAATATGCTTTCGTCTGTTCATCTTCCTCGTCATAATCTTTTGATAGTTTGAGAACTGTTTTAGCTCCAATATAATCACGTTTCAATAAAAATTCGTCAAATGTCGGAATCTGCCGTTTCTTCACTAACGTCCCAGAACCACGTTGTGACTTTCCTGAGTCAGTTTTTGTTCGAGAAAGAATCTGAAATATTACAATTTTCATATGATTATTTGGATAATTTTAATTATTTTACCATTTTTAAGCAATTTTTCAATATTTCTTTGTGAAAAAGGAAAATTGTTTATGTTTGTTTCACATTATGCTGTTGATATGACAACGAATTCTGCAGAAAGTTTAGAAATCTCACTAACAGATGGCGTTAATATCACAAAAGAGAAAACGTTCAAGAGTGAATGACTTACTTACGAATAATGACTTGTGAAGTTTTATGTCTCAACTTTAAAATTTTCAGACGTAATTAAATGCCACTAACGAAATAATTAACATTTCTCCACATTGAACATTAAAAGTATTCACTCAAACAAATGTAATTCAGTTACATTAACATATTTTTCTTCTTTTCTTGTAATAAAAACAAATATTTACCTTCACAGCTGAATCCAAATCGTTATCAACATTTACGAAAAATATTCAAGCTGTTTTATATGAAATTCATAATAAAAATACGTTTCAATTTCCGGTGAGATGTTAATAAATATTATTTCTCAAAAATATGCTATACAAACAACGATTTGACCTTTGGCTTCATAGTTTGAATATTGCAATTATTTTGAATAAAATACCATCAACCCTCAAGCATTGCAGTTACGTCTCGTGCCGTTCTATTTTGGGTTTCTCTGATTGATACATATTTTGATTGGGCACATTCAAAAGGCTTGTAACATGTTAAATAAGAATATTGGCAGCGTAAGTCATTCAATCAATCATTTTATTCACACATTTTATCGAGAAACCCTAACTTTCTTTTTGAAAAGGAGAAATGTACATAATTAGAACTTTGATGCATTTGCAAGCATACATTGTACTTAGCCAGTGTATGAAGTGATTGACAGTGGACATCAGGGGAGACGAAACCTTAAAAATATCTAAAAAACATTCACAGTTTGTCACAAAATCTGTTTGAAACTTCTGACCTAAATTTTTACTTCATAAATCTGCTAAACATGATCGAGAAAATGCAATAATGCAGAATAATTGACCATTCTTATTGAATGCCCTCGGACAGACAGATGGTTGAGATTATTTTCAATGCAGTTTTTACTTAGGAGATTATTTTTTGTTCGTTAATGCTTAAAAAACGGAAGAAGATTAAAATTGAATCCAATGAGTTGAGAATGTTTCGCATTTAAATTTAATTAATATTAGTTTTTTTAAGCAAAAAACCTCTTCTGATGTCTTCTTATTCACTTCAACACGAAGCCTTTAATTTAATCCGTCATTTTGTTGCAAATTGTTATACCACATCCCTCTGCTATCGAATAAAAAATGTGCTCGTTTTTTAACAATCATTGGTTGGTTTTTTGGAATAAAATTTATTCACGTTAGCTCAACAACCCCTGATGAATATTTTTCCGTTTAATCATTTGTTGAAATGTCGATGACGACGATTCCTACAGGCTACAATTATTCATTAAAGTGAATGGGACTGAACGTAAAATGAAATTAAACTCACACGATTATTATTTTTCATAAAATTTATGAGTCAAACTCTCAAAGATCAAAATTTTTATTCAGATTTTGTCGAGTTTTTCATTTCAATTTCTAACCCTCTGTTTCCACGATGAGAACAAATGCACAATGGTAAATTGAGGGTTGATGAACGGCACTAAAAATAAATCGAAAAACAACGCTAAAGTGAATTGCGAGGAAAAAATGTTTCCATCTATTTTTGGTACGAGAAAATCTTCTCGTTTCGATCGATAATTTTGAAAAAAATTGTCTTGTGTGTGATTGAAATGAGAGTGAAACTGAATGTGGGCTTGCATTGATGTCCAAATCAAAATTAAATTAAACTTTTACAAATTTTAATGATTGATTACTTTCAAAATGTATAGAAAATAAGTTGTTTACGTTTATTCCAATGAACTCAATTTCTCCTCTCAACAATAATCGACGACGACGTCACTTCAATTTACAAGTCGATGGGATTTCGTTCAACCATACGGCCACTTATTCGTATCGACTAAAACTCTTCAAGACTAAGTAGATAGATAATCATAAAACCTTATCTCCCATAGCTGTTAAAAATATTTTCAAAGCTATTTGATTGTTTTTCTTTTGAAATTCTCTAGAGAATAGCAAACAAACATGAGAACATATTTCCGAGGTCTTACGATAATTTTGTAAACAAATTACAACAACGACGAGACGAGACGATGAAAACATGAGGAAAACTAACATAAAGAAAAGAAAAAGAAATTCATTGATACTTCGTTGAAGTAGTATTCGTAGGAAATGTCACAATCAAAATAATTTGTGACGAAACTATATTAAATTCCCTACAAACATTCATTCTTGTCTTTTTGTATGAAAAGTCATGTGTTAATTCAACACCTATAAAGATTTTATCCAAAAACTATTCTTGTAAGACGTTTCTACGATGTTTGTAAGAAGAATTTCAAAAGCAACAATCGATTTGAGGGCGGAGTCATCGTGCTTTCCGACATATGTGTGTTAATTACACAATCTCCCTTTACGCATATTGTAGCCCTACGTTGTATAAACATACGTTACGTATGTTGAGTAGTGTGTGTGAAATATTTGTGCGGAAGTGTTGGTGATATGCGTAGGGAAATGCGTGAGTCGTTTGGTAAAGGGCAGACAGTTTACGATGGGATTTTAACTAGAATAGTAGCACATTTTCAATCGTCAAGGATTATTCTTTAAAGCATTGTATATTTGAAGCTTTTTTTCTATGATTTTTTGCTGTATTTTAAATACGCGTAATCGAGTTGAAGCAAGCACGGAAAACTGGATATTTCGCAATCGAATCTGTTGTTTTTAATTCGAGTAAAACGCAGTTTCGGTGACCTCGAAGCTTTGGAATTTATTTTTCTTCGATTTTGTGTGCTATTTCTTTTTGTTTGTTTCTTTGGTTAATAAAATTTATAAGCAGAGACTTTACAGAACTCATAGTAATAAAGTGCGTAACCAGAATAAAGTGTAACAGAATGAAAATTTTCTGTGTGAACAGTGCATTGCGCAAAACTGTTATTTCATAAACTGCGTGAGTGTGTATTTATTATCAAAAGATTGCCTACTTATGGCGACCGTCGAGACTGACGTTGTTGACAATCCAAATCAACAATCATCAGATGAGAAACATTTAGAAACTTCACAACAGGAAGGTAAAATGCAAAGTTTTAAACCTTTTAAGTTTGTTTTACGTTTGAAATTCTTCCCATATAACACGTTTTATGTATGCTATATAAAATAACCGAGGCAGGTACGAAGAGTATCTTACCAGTCTACTTACTTTATGAGATGGAAAAATATTTTAAAAAACAAGCAAAACGTGGTCGATGCAGGTAGACAAATAAAATGAAATTCTCTGTTTTCATTTACGCATTTTTCTCTACTGTTTCTTTGAAGTGTTTGTGTGATGGAAGAAGATGAAAGGGAAATGTTAGAGTTTGTCTTATAAGAGTTTGTCACATCTTTCGTCAATAAATTCATGTGAGAAAGCATAATGACATCAAGTTGAAACAATATTTAAAGAAAATAAGAAGAATGTTAATCAATCATCTAATTTTGTGGTTTTAATGAGAACTTGCGCTTCCGCTTTTAATCGTTCTCATGCCTAAGTCGTTAAGAATGCACGTTCGTCATTTTCTCGCTTGATAATAAATTTTAAAGACGAAGCATGCAACATAAATTTTTTTCTCCCATTTGAAAGTGAAGTGAACTTTATCTCGATTCGTTTTTTAATTTATTTTGACATTTTCTTCTTCATCTTATCGTCATTAAGCGATATTTTTATATTTATTGTTATTTCAATTTGAGGAACATTAAAATTTTTAAATCTTCCATGATGATGAAATTAGACATTTAAGAAGCGGTTGTTCATTCCATATTAGATTCTTAACAACACATTCGCCATTCCATGTGCGCATGACTTGCTTTTTACCGCCAAAAAAAAAACAGCAAAACACCATCGAATATGAGAAAAAAAATCTTGAAAATGGTGGACAAACATTCAACATAAATATTCACAAATTTTAATCCTTTTCCTTTCAAATTATCGAGAAATATTTTCTGTTTCTATTCATTGATAAAAATTGTTTAGTTATTGGAATTCTCACTGTGATCCCCTCATGAATTGACGAAACTTCTTTCACAATTAGAAATTTCTAACAAAACTATAAAAGATTTAACCCTTTGAACCTTCCGAGTTTTTTTCCTGCTTTCCTTTTGCGTTGGTTACATAATGTGAATGTTTGCGGATAAAAACGAATTCAATGTGAATAGAATTGAGTGTTTTTTTTTAACAGTCTAACAATTGAAAGGGAAAAGGTCTCAAAAATTGTCTTATGGAACATGAAAGAAAGTAAATCTCACACTCTCCCTTCAATCTTATAAAATTCAGGTTTTATGTTCAATAATTTGATGTTGTGATATAAAAAAAAATTCTTTTCGATTTTTTACAGTAGAGAAAAAAAATTCCAACGAGAGTGATGCTACTGGTGGGGTGAGAACAGGTCGTTGTAAGTGGTTCAATGTCCTTAAAGGATTTGGATTTATCGTTCCTGAAGATGGTGGCCAGGAAGTGTTTGTTCATCAGGTATCTTAACATCTTAAAACTTGCTTTAATATGTATTTACAATCATCACTTTCAGAGTGTCATCAAAATGGGAGGATTTCGATCGCTAGCACAAGATGAATTAGTCGAATTCGAATGTAAGGAAAGTGAAAAAGGTTTAGAAGCAACACGTGTCAGTGGACCATCACAAGCTGAATGTCAGGGATCAGACTTTAAACCAAAACCAAAGAAACGATTCAGGAAAGTTCGATGCTATAACTGCGGAGAATTTGCAAATCATTTAGCGAAAAATTGTGCTGAAGGTTCATTGCCCAAACGTTGTCATCATTGCAAGAAAGAAGATCACCTTGTAGCTGATTGTCCACTCAAAGAGGAAAAGCAAGAAAAATCAGAAAAATCTGTAGGTGAAACTGAAGGTCCTTCATCTTCAGAACAAAAGAATTAAATGTTTTCAATTTTCTTTTTTCTTCTCTGCTTGCTTTCATTGGATTTTTAACGAACTTTTTTAAAAACTTCAGAGACGCAAACTCTCAAAGAAAGATGGCGCAAAAGTCTCTTCAGTGTGTCATTGAACTTTAATGAAAAAAAATTTATTTTTGTATATACCTGTAAACTTAGGAAGTAAATAAATTTTTACATTAAAAAAGAAAAAGAAGAAAGCATAATTTGTAATTTAGAAACGTTTTATTCTCATGAATTTTTAAGTGATTTCAGTCTGCCGACGTTCATCAAGAACTAATGAAATCATAAAATTTTTTGAAATTGCTTTATTATGGTTTTTTGTTTCGCATTTGCTTAATCACTGTAATCTTATTGTTATGCCCTTATTATCTACCAAAGCAGCAAAATACTTTTGTGTCTATTAATAAATGAGCTGACAGACAGCTAAGTGTTCTGGTCAATACTGTTTTAATATATTTACAAATGTAATCAAAAAAAGTTTAACTCACGTAAAATGCAAAAAAGAAAGAGTACATTTCAATTCTAATTCTAATAAAGCTATTCCTTAATATCCAATGCTGGATTAGAAAATCCTGTTACTTGAGTGTTGTTTCCGTGTTTCTCTTCTTCAGCTTCTGCTTCTTGAATCGCCCAAGGTTGAACCTCACCCTGCGCCCAAAACCAATATATTACAGCGCCGAAAAGATAAATTCCACCTAGAAAGATATTCTCATTAATAGAGATTCGTTACATTCACATGCATATCAAAATATCTCACTTGCTATGTAAAATATTATTTTCCATTCTCCTTCACTCTGAAAATGTATTTTTGTTCTTTGTTTGAGTAACTGAATTGAATTATAAGTTTTTTCATCTTACCGGTGTTTTGACAATATACCCAGTTAAAATTGGACTAACGATCCCCGCGATAGTCGCAAAACTATTACAAATTCCCATTAAAACACCCGCGAATTGCGGTGCAATGTCTAAATAATTGACCGAGAAGCTCGAATAAGCAAACGAAGCAAGTGCAACTCCAATCGTGATGAACGTCACTGACGAAACAGGTTGTAAGAAGAATGCAGCTAACATCATACACACAGTTTGACCAATAAACGCTATGCAGTTGAAATATCTTCGAGTTTGTCCCGTTGTTAAATATCCTTTAATACGAACCCAATCGGAAAGATATCCGGCAACTTGAAGCATGAATGACATTGACAGATAAGGAATTGCAGAGACAATCCCAGACTTTGCAATATCGAAATTAAGAACATCTTTCAAAAACTGCGGCAATTGAGTTTGTAGTGTAAAGAATCCCCAACCTTCTGAAAATTGCGCAGCAATTATAGCCCAGACAGCAGACGAAGTCCAAATAGCTTTCCATGGAATTGGAACTGCCTTATCAAGTGATTGTCTCGCAAGTGATGATTCAATGTACTTCCGTTCATTCTCTGTGATGAATGGATCAACTCCTGGTGATTTTCTTACAAGAAATAGCCATGCAGCTGTCCAAACGCATCCAACAACACCAAACACATAAAAGATACTTTCCCACCCCCACACTTCCGCTAGAATTCCAGATACCGGCAAGCTAACGACAATTCCGATATAATTCCCAGTAAATGCCGCGACTACCATGCGTGATCGCTCGTAAGGCGGCGCCCATTTTGACCACATTTCGTAAAGTGCTGAGTAAGTCACACCCTAAGAACACAAAACATCTTTGAATGGAAAATTCCAAAAAATTCTTAAAACTTTTGTCACCTCAAAGAGACCTTCAACAATGCGTACAGTTATAAGTGCCCAAAGTCCCAGGTTGGCACATGCTGGAGTGAAAAGTGTTAAAATTGCTGTCGCACCGACACCAATGCCAAAGAGCTTGAATATAACATTAAATAAGTTTTTTTTTTATCATTGAAACTTATTTGAAAATCTCACAAGGTTGCCACCAATTTTTGCTGCAATCACTCCGCCAATTATTTGTGTGCATAAATATCCATAGAAGAATGAACTCAGCACATATCCTTTGTCTTTGGAGTCCCATGGGAAATACTGTTCGTATGTTGTTGTTCCATCATCGTGAGTCACCGTTCTATTCTCTGTCATTGCGACGATTGCTACACTTAAATTCACTCGAAGAGCATAAACGTTGAAGAGACCCATAAAGGCCATTAGAACGACGAAATATCTTCGCCTCTTCCAGAATGGTGTTGAATCTTCCACATGCTTTTCATTCATCATCTCACTAAGAATAAGAATAAATTTCAAAGTTTGAACGAAAATCAATCAAGAACAATTGAACTGAAAAAGTAAAGGCGATCAGTACAATTCCGCACAATTATTGAAGGCGTTCATTTGATTTCATTTCTGTGTCAACTTCATAAAAGTTCAATAATCTCTGTGAGAAGAAGTTTTTCGTGTTTTAGATCTTCAAGGTCATTTAGAGAAACAAAAAGAAACATTGAAGGTTGTTGGATACTTCAAATAATTCTTTTATTGCTTTCTAGAATATCAAAAATGTTGAAGACAGATAGACAATCGTTTTTATTTACAGTCTGTAGCGATAACTAATCTAAATTTTACAATCGCTTTTAGTAATTTCAGTCATGGATATGAATTGTCATTGACATCAACTTTAATATTCAACATCAATTTGAAGATTGTCGAGGATTCTTTGATTTCAAGTTATCCAACTCAAGAACATTAACATTTATGCCTCTCGTGTAAGCTGAATTTGTAATATGCAAACTTTTAACCATCTATCGAAAGTATTCGCTGATTTTTCAACCTTAAACGATCTTCAGATATCCTTCAAATAACTTTTTGCTTTTTGTATTTTCATGAGATGTTGGAGGATGATAAAAGAAAAAACTCCGATTGGCAAATAAAATTTAGATTAGATGGAAGATTGCATTTTAAAGTTAACAAAAGTTGAACATCACTCATAAACCGCCGCGACAAAAAATAATTCACAGAGATTTTTGCAATTAACTTTTTCCGTTGACTTTTGATGATTTTTTTTTTGAAACAATTAAAAACACTCACAGATTCCTTTCAACCGCGGATGTCATCTTGACGATCGCTTAAAGTGTCGCGTTGCAAGCAAGAAACCAAGATACTTGTGATATTGTCTCTCTACTTTCTTTATTTATTCCGACCTACTCACGAGACGCTCAAACAATGAATGAACGTAATAAGAAAATAATAATGAAAGAGTCTCGAGGAGCGAGAAATAATTCTTCAACGATTTCGTCGGGTTTTATTTTATTTTATCTGAGTATGTACTTGATTCTATCGAAATACACGCGCGACGCGTTTCGTTACGGTGTTTATACTTTTTTATGACAACAATTGTCCAATAAAAGTGTTGATTAACCATTCAAATAATAATAGCTCACTTCTCCGAACGATATGTGTCTGTTTCATTTATTTCCTTTTCCACATTCGTCATCAGGTGAACAATTCACAAACGATCTTATCCGAACGACACTTAAAGTCAGACTGAGAGTAAGACTGAAAACCACAATTTTAAATTTCCGAAAGAGTTTTGCGGGAACCTGTTGGATTTGTCTTTTTTTTTGCACAGTCGTCATTCATCAGTTGCAGCACGTCATTGAATGGAAAGTTTCCAACATTTTTACTTCACATGTGTGCATGTTTAATTGTGATTTTTATTTCATGTTATGAAACATTTTCGCCATGTTGTTGAATGTGAATAATTTAAGTAAAGAAGAAAAGGAACGGAATTGACTGATAAGTAAATGCCGAAAAAAATTAAATCCATAAACAAGACTTGCATGTATTCATTATAATAATTAAGTAGATAGTAAAGTCTTCTTCTTGATGCTATGTTACACAGCACATGTTCTTTCTCTCTCTCTCTCTCTCCCTCGTTTTCTATATCTCTCTCTTTGTCATAAATTTTCCAATGATGATCGAGCATAAAATTCTCAGAAAACAAAATTCTGCTCACACGCAAAGTTAACAAAACTTTTTTTTACAAGTTTAATTAAGCGAAACCTAACAAATAATTTTGAATATGTAAATAAATGAAAAAATTAAAAAATTAGCGAATATTTGACATTTATTGATAATTAAAGTTTCGTGTCTATGGACAGACGTGATTTCGTTTCGATCAATTCTTGCTTGTTCGTGACGTTTTCGTCATTATTTTTTGCCCATGGTTGAACTTCTCCTGATGCAAAGGTCCAATAAATGGCACAGCCAAAAAGGTAGACACACGAGGTCATGATGAATATCCATTTCCATTGATCGGCATTCTGATGGAACAAAATTTTATTATCTTTTTTTAGGAATTTCCGAAAGCAAATAGTCATTAAAATTCTTTTGAAATAACTTACAGTTTGTTCAGTAACAATAAAGCCGGCAATTAAAGGTGAAATAATGCCAGGAATAGTTGCGACTGTATTTGACAATCCCATTAGAATTGAAGCGTACTCAGGAGCGATATCAAGATGGTTCACACCATAACCACAAATTGAAAGCGCACCTAATGCTGCTCCAAATGTTATACAAACAATTATCAACACACGATCACGTTGATAAGCAGCGAGTAACATGAAAACAGTTTGCGAAACAAAAGCAGCGCAGTTGAAATATTTTCTCACTTGTGTCGTCGTCAACCAATTCTTCTCCTGAACCCAATCGGCAATATATCCAACAAAAAAGAGAATAATGCCAAGTGTCAAGTATGGAACTGCAGCTATAAATCCACTATTTGCTAGATCAAAATTTAAATTATCTAAAATATAAAACAAGTTATTTAATTATTAGGAAATTCCGTTGTGCTTTTACAAACTAACATTTTAAGAATAGTGGAAGTTGAGTTAACATTGTATAGACTCCCCAATTCTCTGCAAAATGTGAAGCTGCTATGGCCCAGACAGCACTCGATGTGAAGATTGCCATCCATGGAACCTTTTTAGGTGACGATTTTCCTTTCGATTGGTTAAGACATGCCATGATGTAACGTTTCTCTTCATCGCTGATGTATGGATCTTTTTCAGGACTTTCTCGTACAATGGCAACCCAAAAGATGTACCAGATACAACCAACTCCACCAAAGACATAGAAGACGCTTTCCCACCCGTAAGTTTCTGCTAGAATTCCACATGTTGACATCGCAATCACCATTCCAACGAAAGTTCCGGCATATTGAATACTCGCCATTCGTGATCTTTCTAATGGAGGCGCCCACTTTGACCAGATTTGATGCATGCAAGGAAACGTCACACCTTCAGCTAATCCCATAAGAATTCTTAAAGCTACAAACGCTCCAACTCCAGCATGCGCTGCTAATGGTGATAAAAGTGTCAACACTGACGTTGCAAAAATTCCCAAACCAAGCAAAACATTTCCTCCAATCTTTCGTGCGATAATTCCACCAACAAACTTGTTTCGAAAAAAAAAACAAAATCTTCAACTCAACCTAAATTTATTATCATTCAAGGAACGAACTTGTGTTGCAATGTAGCCATAAAAGAACGAACTCAACACTAATCCTTGTTGCTTAGAATCCCAATCAAAGTATTGTTCATATGTCGTGTAATTTCCGGTTTCATTTGTATGCAAAACAGTTCGTACTTCAGTCATCGCCACAATTCCCACACTTAGATTAATTCTGAGCGTATAAATATTAATGAAGCCGAAAAATGTCAACATTACTAATAAGTATCGTCGTTTCTTCCATAACGGACGAGTCTCACAAACCAAACCGTTTTCATCATGCACTTCGATAGCCATTGCAATGTTAATTTTCCAGTTATATTAATTTTATCGTTTTCACTTTTGACAAACCAACAACTCTTCTCGATGAATAACGAAATACTTTTAAATTGATTAAGAAAATGAAGTTTCAAATCGACTTTACAAACAGCTTTGTAAATAAAACAGATGCGCCTTTAGGAAAGTAAAATAAATTTAATTAACTCAAAAGTTCCTATCTGTCAAATAACACAATCATAGAAAAAAAAATCAATAAACAAACGAAGTTGACTTCAATAATACAAAAATTGATAAGCTTCCGATTAAACTGAAGCGTTTGTTTTATTGAAGATCTTGAGCTATTTTAAAAGTTTGTGTGCTTAAGAGATAACTTTAGAGTCTTTTTTTTGTGCTGGAATTGAATCGACTGACATTACAGCCCAAGGCTGAAGTTTTCCAGTGGCAAATATTGCATAAACAAAGATGCCGATCAAGTAAATTCCACTCGCTATGAAGAAGACTACTTTGTACTCCAATTCAGTCTGTGAAATAAAAAGAAACTTGTTTTAGAATTTCATGTCGTCACTTGGTGGTGGTGTGGAATGAACTTCTCGTTGATTTTCTAAACAATTGATCAATTCAAACCACCATCCATCAAACAACGATTAGCATTCATCAAATAAATTTTATTACCGGCGTTGAAACTATAAATCCAGTTAAAACTGGCGATATTAGACCTGGAAGAGTTGCAAATGTGTTTGAATAACCCACAATTATGCTCGCGAATTGTGGTGCAATGTCAAGTGGATTCGCCAAATATCCAGAAATTGAAAACGCGCCAAGCCCGACTGATAAAGTTATGCAAATGATGACAGCAGTTGTCTCAGTGAAATAAGCTGCCATAAGTAGGAAGATCATCTGTGCGAAGAAGGAAAGATTGGTGAAATATTTCCTGACTTGCGTCACTGACAAACGATTTTCCATTTGCAACCAATCAGCCAAAAATCCTGACAAGAATAGACACAGCGACAGCATAAGATAAGGAATTGCTGACAAGATTCCACTTTCTTGAAGATCAAACTCAAGGATGTCATTCATGTATGAAGGCAGGTGAGTCAACAACGTGTAGAATCCCCAATTGTATGAGAAATGTGCAACCGCCACTGCGACAACTGGCATCGATGTGAAAATCGACTTCCATGGTGGATTCACCACATTGACTTGTCCCTGTCGCTCCAAACTTTTTTGAATGAAATTTCTCTCCTTCTCACACATTTTCGTATCCTTTTCTGGACTTTCTCTGACAATGATGAACCAAACAATCGACCAGATTATTGCAGCGACACCAAACACATAGAAAATGCTTTGCCAACCAAATTGAACTCCAAGCCATCCAGACAACAGCATCGCAACCACTGAATAGAAAGAAGTTTATTTAAGAACAAATAACATTGCGAAACATTCAACGTCACCAGTTCCAGCAAAACATCCGGAAACAGCAAACCCGGAAACTCTGCTACGTTCAAGTGGAGGCGACCAATTTGCGTAAACTGCATTGATACTTGGAAATGCAAGTCCGCCTAATATGCCTTCCACAACACGAACAATGTAGAGATAGTAAACACCCTGATAACTGATTATTGGTGTCAACATAGTCATCACAGCAGTTCCAAGGATGCCAAAGCCGAAAATCTACGATAAAAATGATTAACTCTTATCAGTTGTGCGATATCATTATTGATGTGATTCTTATCAATTTAATAACATCGTTTAAAGCTTAACAATTGATCGATTATCAAATGTAATTTAATATACAATTATTTTCGTCACGCAACTCACCAAACTGCCGCCAAATTTCGATGAAATGTATCCACCGAGAAACTGAGGATAAATGGAAATTACAAATAAAATTCTTGGAAAAAAGATTAAAGTTCATTCAACCTGAGTCGTAATGTAACCGTAGAAAAATGCTGCCAATGCAAATCCCCGCTGCCTCGAATCCCAATTGAATTCCTGAATGTATTGAGTCATCCCATCCTCAGTCACAGTTTTATTTTCAGTCATTGCAACAATCGCGACACTAAGATTGACGCGCATCGTGTAAAGATTGACGAATCCGAGAAATGCTAGTAATACAATCAAGTAGCGCTTCTTGACGTAGAAAGGAATCGCCGAGTCATTATAACTGAAAACAATTGAGATAGTGAAAGAAAATTCTATCAAAGCTTTTCAGGTTTCTCACATATTTTCACTCATTTGTGAATATTTTTCTAGAATCTTTCAAAAAAAATTAGTGTTGACGAAATCAAATTTCTGCACCTTTTTCGCTTGCCAATTCACCTAATACTGAATTTCCCAAACAGTTGAATGAAACATGAACATTCGCATCATAAATATTCGTTATCGAATGATCAGTAACTTATCAGAGAGATTAGAAATGCATTACGAGATAAACAAACTCAAATTTATTGTTGTCGTTTCGGTTATCAAAAGCTTTGCTTCGAAGTGTTATTAAGATATGCTTGACAGCACTTGCACAGATTGTGTTTGGATCGTAACTCAATCGGCATTTTGATTTGTGGCATCACGTGTGAAATTTGTGCGATTTGTCCCAAACTTGGTGTTGGATCGAGACGAAGTTTTTCGATGTTTTTTTGGACTCTCAATTGATGGAAATTTTCTTCTAATTTCGAACGAAGTTTCTGATTTTCTTCCAACAATTTCTTCTTCTCATCTTTCAACAAAACGCAATCTGCTTCGACATTTGCCACTTTCTTTAAGAATTTCTCTTCGACATTTTCGCAATCATCATCTAAGCTTTCGTAGAATTTAATTTTGTCAATAGGTTTCTCGTATTTCGAACAGATTTTAATCAGTGAAACTGTCGAATTAATTTTCTGAAGTTTGTTCTTTAAATTTTTCTTGATTGGTTCACAAACAGCAATTAGACTTTTGAGCTTTGCATCCTCAATAGCTTTTAAATTTTCATTTTTTTCTCTCATTCTAGACATTAGCTTCGTTAAGAATTGATGCTCAGACTTCAGCTCAAGAACTGTTGACAGTTGGTGGCGTGTAACGTCTTTAAGTTCGTCTTCTAGTCTAACGAGAACTTTTTTAGAATCTTCAATTTTTATATTCATTTCTGAAATCTCTTCGTCAGCTTCATTTGATTTCTTTAAGCTTGCGTGATAATTGTCTAAACGTTGCTTTGGCCAGAGATTTTCATTAAAATGTTTAACAAGTTTTTTAATTTCAGAGCAAGCGATAGATTGACGTTTCATGTTTCCCTCATAATCAAATTCACGTTTCACAAAACTTTTTGATTCAATTTCGAATTTACGATTCATAAATTCATTTTTCATTCGATTAACCCGATCGTTTGTCGTTGATACTGCAGCGTGAATGAAGTTTTCGAAATGAGTTTTGGTTTCGTCATGAGAATTTTCGTGTCTTTGAAGATCTTCATAAAATTCAGAAATTAATTTTTCCCGATCAAAATCGTACATTTCTTGTGTTGCTTTTTGAAATGTCTTGTAAAGATCTTAAATCGATTATAAAATCATTAAGCGATGAAATCCATTAATTGGCAATTGATCTTACCCATGATGTAATCAATCAATTCTGAATGCTTTTGAAAGTTTCGCAAGTATTGCTCATCAGCATGAGAACGATGAACTTGAATTGTCTCTTTGAGATGCTCACATTTATCAAGCACGCGATCAAATGAATGAGAAACAGCAATTAATTCATCACGAAGGTCATCAACTGCAACGTTTTCACACCACTCCTTAAAATCTTGCCAACAACGTTGATGAGAAATTTTCACAAAATTTTCTTCTCGTTCAAAACGATCTGAAAGTTTTTTTTGTCCCTCTGCGATTCTTTCCATTTCCTTTTTCTGCTTTTTCAAAAGCTTTTTATCGACTTCTTCTGGAATTGAAGAATCTTCTTCAAATTTTACTGAATTTTCCATTTTATATTCTCATAAAAATGTAATTTTGGTTTAATATGTCTGATAAAGAATAAAGAATGAGAAAAGCTATCTTAGATGTTTAAGTAACCTACATAAATGTCGAATGTTTCATCTTATCAATGATAACTCATTAAGGCATGCAAAGTTTCATCACGCGAAGTTTCATCACACGACCTAAAAAGTTTTTTATTTTATTTTGAAGTAGTTTGTTGACTTAAAATTGCAGCAATTTAAATTTCATTCAGAGTTGGAAATTATTATCAAATTTTATAATAAAAATTGAATTGAAACAATCAAAAATATTTCCCAGCCATGCCTTCTTTACTTTACGATGACACCTTAAAAATTTTATTACTTAAAAACTTCTCAATTCTCATACACAAATTCATTCAACCTTCCCTCGTGAATGTAATGCGATCATCAACGACATTGACATTCAGTTAGTTGTCGTTATTATCTCGTTAAGTTAATTCTCATACATTTTTCCGACTATTTTCTCAAAGAATTTTCTCTTAAATAAAAATGTATTCTCCACAATTTGGAAAGCTTCCTTCTCTCGATAAGAGTCAACAATCAAAAGTGTGAGAGTGAGAGCTTTTCCAAAGTAAAAACGAAACATTTTGATTGTATTATCGAAAACAAGTTGAGGTGCTTGAAGGAGTAAAAATCTACAAATTGTTTCAGTCGTGTTAAGGCAGTAAAAGTGGCAGGTCTTTTACCTTAATTGCCACTAACATTAAATTAATTATTTATAAATGATGTCCAATAGAGTTAAGTGAAGATCAAACTTTAGTCATTTTATAATGTTTGAAAACCATTCAATAAAATTAAAATCTTGTGACAAGTTCAAGTGCTAATGGTTCATACATCGCACTAATTAAAAAACACTTAAAATACTCAGTTTTGTTAACTACACATCAATAATCTTCAGGGTTGTAAATCAGATTTAATCGGGAAATAACAACAATTAGCGTGTGATCATCATGGAAAAAGACAAAAGTGAACAAGTTTTCAATACCGTAACAAATTCGGCAATAATGCAACCGGTTGAACATTCCAATGACGCTGAGTGAGTTCCGATTGATTTGACTTCATTTTAATATGTGGCAAATTGTATTCAGTTTTGTAAATCATAAGTTTAGATAGTTGGAATTTACTAGCAAAAAATGTTTTGGCTTTGAAACTCTGTGAAGCTTGCAATCAAAAAAAAATCTGCTCAAAACCAGTTTTTAGTCTTTTTTGTCTTGTTCACTTTTTATTTCACCCGTTCCAATGTTATGCCAATAACGAAATTTGCCATCACTTGTACATGAAATTGAATATGTTTGCACGCAGACGAATGGAATGTCAAAAGCCCGTGACGACAAACTAACTAGCAGATGAAATTGTTTGGAAATGAATATAAACAAAAGCCTTAAAACAATGAATTGAATTGACTTGCTGGGGACTGAGTTAGAGTTAAAATGAATGAATGAATATAGTAAAATTTACAATGATGGATTGATAAAGTAGACAATAATTCAATTAAAGTTTTAAAATGTTTCTTGTTAATATTTAAGATATAAATTTCGGCCACTTCTTTATCAGTAATGACATCCAAGCATTTACAGCTTATTTTACAATTATCCACGATAATTGAGCTTGATAACATGAAATCTCAAGTATTCAACAAAAGGAAACATTAATTATCGCTACTTTTAATTGATTTATTGCGTTATCAAACGAATAAACTTCATGTCGTTAAAAAGGAGAAACGTTTGATTCACGTCAATGTTGATAACCACAAGCAAACACTTTGAACATCTCCCTATGAAATTGATCCCCAATTACATAAAAGCACGCCAAAGTTTTGAATTGATTTCGAGGCAGTGACAAAACCTTCTTGAATTTCACACTTAAAAACGAAAGTGAGGATGGAATTTGATACTTTCAGTTTATTATTATAGCTTTAAAGATTTTAGATAAATGAAAATCTATGAATGTGTGATTCAAATGAAATGAAATGAATAACAGTATGAAAAGTGAGAATGTATGAATGAAGTTTTACATGTCGATCTCCTTGAAACTATGCCGACAAACTTTTTTTCTTTGAAAAGGTTTTGGTTTGTTTTGCTTCTTCAACGTATTCATAATATTTATAAAACTGACCAACAGCAACACAATTCTTATTGCGAATTTAGAATACAATTAATGAAGATTTATTTTCTAACTTCATTCAACATACTTTTGTGGATTGTTTTAAAGAACAACTTTTACTTCGTCTTCCAGTTGCAACTGGTTGCAATAAATTATTTTATCTCCAACAAAATTAAGCTTCATTAATTCTGCATAAAGACTAGTTCAGCCTTGCTTCAATTGTAACTAGAGAAAATTAATTAATCTTGTGTACAATGTGATTTAAATAGACGATGACCGACAATTATTAAATATTTCATTTCAATTTATCTAGAGCATTTAATTTATTACATAAATATAATATTTTCATAAGAAACTTTCCACAATTTATGTTTATTATTTCACGCAAATTAGCGGCGTTTTCGAGACGAGGCCATTCTGGCGTACACGTCGGTATTTGGTCGTTCTTATGGCATTCTTTGGATTCTTTAATGTCTATGCACTTCGTGTTAATCTTAGCGTTGCTATTGTAGCAATGACAGAGGTCAGGAATGTTATTGTTACAAACGCCACTGGCACATACACCACCACTGAACAAAGTTTCTATTGGAATTCATGGGAAAAGGGTTTAGTTTTGAGTTCATTCTTTTATGGATACATCACAACTCAGGTATTGAACTTAATTAAATTATTTTAGTGTCTTAAAATTAATTCCTTAATAAATCAGCTTATTGGCGGTTACGTTGCAAATAAGATTGGAGGAAATCTTGTTTTTGGATTGGGAATTTTCATGACAGCTGTTTTCACACTTCTTACACCTCTTGCCGCCAATATGGGAGTTTATGTTCTCGTTGCAGTTCGAATCATTGAAGGCGTCTTTGAAGGTGTCACATTTCCTTGCATTCATGCTGTATGGGCAAAATGGGCACCACCTCTTGAACGCTCAAGAATGGCTTCAATTGCATTTGCTGGAAACTATGCAGGAACTGTTGTATCAATGCCATTGTCAGGAATACTTGCAAGCACTCTTGGTTGGGAAAGTATCTTCTATGTCTTTGGTACCATTGGTTGTATTTGGTTTGTAGCATGGGCCATAATTGTTAAGAGAAGTCCAGAAGAAGATCCTTACATTACTGAAGAAGAGAAGAATTACATTATGACAAAACTCGGCAATCAAAAGCATAATGAAAATGTTCGTCCACCATGGAAAGCAATTTTCACTTCAACTGCTGTTTGGGCAATTGTTGCGTCACACTTTAGTGAAAATTGGGGATTTTACACTCTTCTTACCCAACTTCCAACTTTCCTTAACGGTTTGTAGTTAAACTTTGATCGGGAGAATTTTAAATGACCGAATTTACTTTTAGATGTCCTCGGGTTTGAGTTAACAAAAACAGGATTTTTGTCTGCTCTTCCATATTTAACGATGGGAATATTGTTGGGGGTTTCTGGATACTTAGCTGATTGGTCACAAGTGAAAGGATATTTGTAATATGAGTTAATCTAATTTTACTTCACTTTCCTAATTAACTTTTGATTTTAGAACAACGACACAAGTTCGACGATACTTCAATTGCTCCGCTTTCTTAGGGCAAACAATTTTCATGTTGCTTGCAGCTTTTCTGGTTCATCCAGTTACCAGCATGGCTTGCATCACAATTGCTGTGGGTTGTGGAGCTTTTGCTTGGAGTGGTTTTGCTGTGAATCATCTTGACATAGCGCCACAATATGCTTCAATATTAATGGGAATATCAAACACTTGGGCCACAATTCCAGGAATTTTATCACCATTGGTTACAGGAATTCTTGTCCAAAATGGAGTAAGTAATCGATCAAAAATTTCTATTCACATTTTAATTACATTTTAATTTTTTGTAGACAAAAGAAGAATGGAAAATTGTATTTTACATTAGCGCTGGAAGTTATCTCGTTGGTTGTGTCTTTTATTGGATCTTTGTATCTGGGGAAGTTCAGCCATGGGCGAAACAAACTTCAAATGACACAACAGTTCAAAATAAAGTTCCTGAGAAAAACGGAAAAGCTTTTGCATACTCCAACGAAGCAATTGAAATGAAAGATGAATAAGATCAGATTTGTTCTGATTTTAATTAAATATTACTAAGATAAAAAACGTGTTAGTAAATATTTGCGATCCAAAAATATTAAAGTATTGAAATTTGTGATGTTATGTAAAATGTATTTCGAAACTAAATAAAAATGAAATGTTTTTAAATATTCGAATGCTTAATAAAAAACAAATTTAACGTAAATAAAACTGTCATAGTATTATTCACACAAATCTAGAAGGAAAGAAATTCGTAATTTATTTTGAGCTTTAAAATAATCACATTTTGTGATTTGCAGCGCCATCTATTGCTGGAGATTGTAAATATTTTCTTTCTCTTCTGTATTTTTTCGATTTCTTTGTTTTCCTACAATTTATTCAAAAATGTTTCTTTGATATAAATTACTTGTAATAAAACGTTTCAATTGTAATTAGTTTTTCATTTAAAATTTAAATTTGATCAGTTTTGAAAGAAAATAAATCAACATGCTTGAGGGTCTGTGAATATGTTTTACAACTTTATGAAATTTGATCGGATTTATTTATTATTTATAAGATATAAAACTTTCAAAACAGAGAATATTGATTTCAATAAACACATTAACATTGTGAATCATTGAGAGTGAAACTATTTAATTAATTTAATGTCAATAAATCATCTTCACAAAAAAAAAGAGAATTTACGTAACAATATTAAACACGTGACTTTTACATAAAAAAGATTAATTCATTAGAGAGTTTGAATGATCTTTCCGCTTTTGATTTCATTTTCACATCAACGCTACTGTTTTAATTATTAACAGACAATGGACAGTCGTCTGTTGAGAAAATTTTGTCATTTCTTGTATGTTTTTGAAATCGAACGATGATGATTTGAAAAAACAATTGACCGGAAATTGTCGTGAGAGAAAAAAACAGTTGAACAGAAGCGATTAACATTTGTAAAAGTTTTTTTTCTCCTGTTGAACTTGAATTGTTGAGATTATTTAATATCTGAGCAATTCAATTAAAAAAGCGAAGCTCAACTTTTCAATCAGTCAAGGTATTAGAAATGAAAACATTTCAAGATTATGACTGAATTTCAAACGACTATCATCACATAAAAAAGAATTTAAAATTCAAAATTCCAAAGTATTTTTCACTTCGTTAATCTCATTTTAAATTCCTCACGATTCACGGCTGGTTCAGTTATTTTTATTACGATAAATAAAAATTAATACCCTCATAATCTTGTATTTTAGGAAGTGAATGAGAAATATTGATTAACTGTCTCAAGAGGGCATATTTAGAAGAGGAAAAATGCATTCGTGATTTTATTTTTAAAAACCAGGAACGCCGCAGGTACTGCACAAGTTTGTATACGTTAGAAGGTAATCATCATAACTTTTAATAAAATTTACATTCATGATTTATGTCTTCACCCTTGCTTTTGTTATTCTTTGCCGATTATCTATCGCCGTCGATGCAAACAGAAACAATGTTGATATGAAAATTGAGAATATAAAAGGTAAAAAGTTATGACGAGAAACCAAAAGATTTTTTTGCTTTAACTTCGCCGCCTATTATTTCATCAAAGCAAAGGAAAAGAAAGCAAAAGTTAGCATGAGACTGAGAGTTAATTCAATTACGTTTATGCTTACACCCGTCAGCTTCAACTCAATGTTTAAACATTCAGCACGACTTTCATACATCAAAACCTATCATTATATCTTCATGTATCATAGCTTCGAAATATACTTTAAAGCTGATTGATAAATTAAAATGAATTTTGAATGGAGTTTTGGCACTTTCAATTGAGTAATAATTTCCATGCTTCACATTGTCAAGAGACTTTGAAGCGTCTCTTGACAAGCTGAGTACATTCTTATCACAGTGAAGTGATCTGAAGATTGATCGATGGTGTTACTAACTATAAAAGTGATCGGTGAATCAAAGTATAAGAAATCACCTCTTGTCACTAGGAATTAAGTTTCTCGAAGCCCATGCAAAAGTCAGACATGCTAATGGAAATGAGCTTTTTAATTGTTTTCCAATCGCGCAATGTCCGATAATTATTTTCATTACTCTTTTTACGATTCGTGATCTTTCTTTTCCCCATAGTAATGTAACTCCTTCCTTCCTTTTGGATGTCTAATAACATGACAGTTACAATCAGCTGATAAATTACGGGAAATTTATTAATTTATTCACATTTTTCTTTTCTTTTTCTTTTATATTTCTATTCAAATCGGAAATGATGATCAATTTATTTTATTTATGAGCGCCAGTCTATTGCGAAATATCGAAAAGTAAATAAACAGATTTTCACATCTTTTACATTTAAATGAGCTCTAATGAGCTGTTGTTTCTCAAATGCCTTGTGCTGATTATTTTGCAGAGTATACTTATGGGAAGTTAATGACATACAGTTGAGACTTTTGCTAATAAACGTCAGTGGGATTTCACTGTTTTTGTGATTGGCAGTTTGAAAAATCTGAAGAGGTTTGCAATATTTAATGATGCTATAAATGCTTTTACGCGTCTTCTAACAAATTCAAAAAAAAAATGGAGAAATCGAAAGATGGACAATAAAATCGCATTGTGAACATTTACTTCTTGCAAAATCCAATTGTGATGAGAACATGATATCTATTGAAGACATTCGGCAACATTTTTGTTTCTTTTCCTTTCTTTTACTTTCTCCTTCTCAATCAAAATTACTATAAACAAAAAGATAATTCTTGTGGGAAAAGATTCGTTTATAGACTATGGAAGTATTTTATTGATTTGCGATAACATAAACGAGTAAGCGTTTAAAACATTCAGCAACTTTTACTCGAGTTTCAACAACTTTTCATAAATTGATTTCAAGTTCGAAGATTAAGTCAGCGAAACGTCAATCACTTTCTGTGAATATTTTAAGAAGGAAAAATGAAGTTGTATGAATTATTATTTTTTAGATTCATATATTTTCAAGCTTGTTACTAGTTTTTCAAAACGTTTTCGTTGTTCTGCCTTCAGCAATTATAATTATCAACACAAGTTTTACATCAAACAGATTCTAAGTCGTGTATGAAGTCATTGAAATATATAATGAAGACAGATCAGTAATTATCATTTGTCGTCACACGCAACAAAGTGTATAATTATTTACTTACATCATTCACTACATAAGCACACTATTTATAAAATATTGTTCTAAAACTCATAGAAAACTTTGTTTTACTTTCTCATGAAACATCACAAAAACATTCTTGAGATTGCAACATTGAAAACGAAACATTCACAAAATGTTTCAAAACACCAGACAAAAGCATTGGAAGTTTGCAATGTTTAAATGTTGAATGTTGCGTTATGTTGTCGTCTACCTTTTGATTTTCTTTCGATGCTGCGTTCGTTCAGTGTTGTTTTCAAGCTTTACGATATCGGTTGGTTTTTAATTTCGCGAATCATTTTTTTGCAACTTAAAGTAAGAAATGGTTTTATTTATTCTTCTTCTTTCAAGCAGTAAAAATATTTTTTAAAGTATAAAATTGTGGTTAAAGAATGTTGAAGAATTTTACTTCTTATGTTCAGCAAATCAATAAAAGTGATGGAGTTTAACTAAAGTGAATGGAAGAGAAATATTCAAATGCATGAAAGCTAAACAAGAAAGAAAAAAAGAAAATCTATAAATCGGAATAATTTTTCTTGCAAATTTTCTGCTTCTAATCAAGTGACTACGTGGAGTGAAACTTAATGAATGAAAATACATGAAAGCCAGAAAGAAAAATTACATGTGAAACGTTTTATGCAAAAGTAGTCATAAAAAATCGAATAGTGACGAAAAAGTAATAAAAAATAAATTTTAAAAATATTTTTAAGCACGACTTTGGATAAATTTATACCCGCTTTGACTTTCATTCAACTTTAAGTTTTATCAGTTCATTGTTCCACTTAGAATTTATAATAAAACCTTAAACTTCTATGGATTAAAGCCAGTCATCTTAAAGCAGTGATTTATTTGAAGAAAATATATTTTTTAAATAAAAAAGGTGAGGCTACCATAAATAAATTCAGAGAATCGCTTCGCATTACACGACACCAGCATGAGTAAAGTTAAGTGATTACAAAGAGAGAATTATTGATTCTCCATCATATCGATTCATGGTGACACATTAATGAAGCAATCGTCTACATCTTATTTTTTAAATCTTACTCTCAACTGCTGTCGTTTCATTAGAAAAAAAATGACGGTCAAATAATCTCTACAAACACTCAAAGCTTTTCATGTTAATTTATCTTGTTTAAGTAGTCAGAAAAGCAAACAGAAACCAACGACTAAATTTAACAAACAAGTGGATTGAAATATCTTTCAAAGGATTTTTATGAACACAAATAAAATAAAATTGTGATGCAAATTATAACAAAAAAAAACATAGCAAAATATTTTTCTTTGAAGTTCAAAAGCTTCTTGCATGAATTGTTTTAAAAAATAAAATTGTCCGCAAAATTATGTAACATTTGACCTTGCTGATGTATCTGCTTTAACAGAAGACGAAAAAATGTTTCCATTGAATACCTCACGGTTCAGAATTTAAAGAAATTTCAACTATTTAAATTTATGTATCTGAGAGTAGAATTCAATGAATTTCATGCATCAACAACATCTGCATGACCTAATTAGTGGCATAATCTTTCTCAGATTCTCATGATTTAAAATAAAACGACACTTAAGCTTTGAATGAAAATTATTTCTAACATTCATCACTGTGATATAATAAGAGAACGAACATTGTTTGAAGGTCAATTAGCTATTTAAGTTTTTATTTGCTTTCTCACGAAAATGTAAATGTCTCGTCGTTAATATTAAAGAAATGTTAATTTATCTTAATCGCTGTAACTATCAAAGAAAATGTTTTGATATCTTTCTTTTGTTACTTTGATATCAAACGGAACTTGAATATTTTCATAATTTATTTTTCTCATGACTGTGAAGAGTATCAATAACTGGTTTCAATCAACTCCCCATAACTTAAACTTAACATGAGAAATGTTTTACGATCTCGAAAAATTATTTGCAAAAGATCCATAAATGTAAAGATAAACATGTTGTTGACAAGAGTACAGTTGTTGAAAACGGAATAAATACTTGAAGAGCTTTGATTTGTGTTTAATTTTAATGTCTTTGAACTTTAAAATGCAGTGAAGTGTAACTCTACCTAGTCAAATAAAGATCAATTTAAAACAGCTCAAGGTTGGAAATAGCAAGTCAGGTGTCAATCCACAACAACTGCGTAAATTTACATACTTCACGTTCACACTGAGTGATTATTGTTTTATTTGACATAAAGTATCATTAGCATATTCAATCCACTATATGTTTAAGTTGTTAAACACAAAGCAGGAAGCGATCTTTATTAGCAAGCAACGATGTTCTCTCTAACTGAAGAGTGGAAAGAAATAAAAATTAAGATGAATGATGAATAAAAAACAGATTCTGGAGTAGTAAAACGAGACAGTTATTCTTAACGAGCACAACAGAAGTCAATTATGTGAATTGATGTAGTTATTCGATGAACGCTTTTGGACGATTCGATTCAAACTGTTTCCTAGCAATTTTGCCATCACTTTCATGGCCAAGAAAGTTTTTTGATGTTGCGGCAAATTAAAATAGTGTAGTTTAATAAAAAATTGCGCAACTTTAAATCATCGAATTAAATTAATGACAGAAACACTTTCGGAAACCGTAAATCACAAGATTTTTATTAAATTTTTTGTTTCGTTTCTTTTATTGCCTCATAGGAAATAAAATTTCAAAATCTATCTTAAGTACGCTTCTTCATTTAATTCACAATATCATACTTTTTATTGTTTTCTTAATAAATAAAAAGATGAAGCCGAAACCGTGAAAAAATGTTATTAATAATATAAATTCAAGAAGAAAAGCATCCGCCGAAAGATCAAAACATTTCTTTATGATTCCATCTCAGTGAGAAATGAAAAGCATTAAGCGACTTATGCAACCGTAGCACAAAACTTGTAAGAAGTAAAGTAGCAAGAGAAATCAATGGATCATAAATTTCCCATAATCGATATTCATAGTTGAGGAAAGAAAAACGTCTTCATCGAATATCGCTTGCACAATGATTGAGAAAATCAATTTGGATTTTCATTAAATTTATTTTCCAGGGTCAAAGCAGTAATTCATTTCAGTCTTTGACAGTTAGTAAAAGCTTCGATGCACTTGTAGTGCATCGTTCAATTATTGAACATGACAGAGATTGCAAGATCAGCTTGACTCAGTGAACTCATCAGGCAATCTTAAGATCTCGAAACAATAGACTACAAAAACAGAAAAGTTTCAAGAAATGTCAGAAAACATTTTTCCTAAAAGTCATGTCGACAATAGCTGGAACAAATCTTTGGTAACTTCAACAGAAGTCAAGAAAAAAATGTCGTTCACCTGTCTGCGAAATGTTTTGTCATGACTTGTTATACAATTTCAAAGTGCTTTTTTTATTATTATTATTATTATTATTTCTTATTGCTAGCACTTTGAATGTTTCTAGTTCATTCAATAATAGCAATTAACAGCAGCATAAGAAACTTAACAATAACTCAATTGCTCAACTGATCAATTTCATGAACATGAAGTTCTTTTTTTGTGACAAATGTCGGTCAAAGTCCACGTTTAATTCGATAATAAATTAATATTAAGCTATTAAAGTTGTGTCAACGCTGATTGCTTTTAAAAAATAATTGAAAACTGAGATTTTTATTTCCTCGCTGAACTTTTGCTTTTTGTTTTTTACCGACAACTGCAGTAAGACTCTCAGCTCAGGCAAATTAAAAACCAATAAGTGCCCACATACTGAAAGTAGGTTTCTGGTGCATAGACCTTTAAGTCGACTGTGAAGTGTTGTGAGGTTGCATTAATTCAGCCGTCAGAAAATAAAACTGCAAAGTAACAAGGTCGAAATAATTTCATGACACATAAAACTTTATTTCATCTTTCGCGAATGAATCGAAGAAAATAAATCATTTTCGATGACGTGCGAACATGTCATAAGCGAAATAATAAAAGCTGAAAGAAGATTCAAATGTTATTAACACTTAAATGATGTCTCTGAATTTTTAGTAAAAGTTTTAATTTCATGCTGGATGAAATGAATTTCAGTGAAAGAAAATGTTAAGCGAAACAAACGATGATAGACTGAAGCGACCACCCGCGATTTGCGTAAATTTACTCATGCTTGAAATCTTTGAAATTCGCGATGTAATGCTAGTGACAGGATAATAATGGAAAACATTGTTAACTCTCTTTCCATCACTCTCTCCACAGATAACAACATGCGGTCGAGGATTGTTGTGTAGCATCAAACAATTTCAGCAGTTCATTGATCCAACTGATATCATCATTTTGACATCGACTTTTGTGTTGTGTAGGTGATAGTAAAATTCATAAACAATGAGTACAAAATCACCTGGGCCACAACGATGTCGGCTCATTTTAAAACAATGTTTAGCCATTCAACTGAGTAAAGCTGGAAATGCGCCAGAAGACTTCTGGATGTACGATTCTGGTTATATGATTTTCCAGGTAGGTTCAAGTACATTCGAAGCAGAATTGCAATCAATTTATGTAAATTAAACGACATTTATGTGCGCTTATAAATTAAATAATCTCAATGCAGAAGAACATCAATATCGATTAAATAACAAATTGGATTTTATGAGCGGAAAACAAAAATATTACACAATAAAAATATCTTTTGAACTTTATAGCTTTTAATCTTATTTCCGACTCGAATCGAGTGATTTTGCAAGCACATAGGCGCCTTCTAACTTCTTAAGGAATGAAGTTTTGTTAGTGCATTCAAGTATTGAATATTTTGCAATTTTACGTTTTATTTCCATTCCTACATTCAGTTTTAAGGTTGAGAGAACCAGAAAATTTAAAACTGTGAAGGTTATCTATTTGCAGTAACTTAAATATTTACTAGATTGTGGGATTGAGAATCTTTGCGAGCTATACAGTAAAAATATTGGAAACGATTCTTATTTCTCTTTTTCAAATTGCACTCGAGACTTCATTGTTATTCGATGTGAAGAACAAAACATTTTCCACCCTCGCTCAGTAAAATTCCCATTTGAAACTAAAATTTTCACATCTTCGTGAAATTCGATAAGCATACAACAATCAAATGCTAGAATAAAGCTGATGATGATGATGATTTTACGGAAATTTTGCGAGAAGATTCTGCAAAAAGGGGATTTTTGTATTTTTGCAAAGGGTGGAATTATTTTTATTGATGATATCATCAAACTTCCATAGCAACGAGAGCACAAATATGCAACATTTTAGTTTTATGTTGCCAGACAAGTGCACAAAATTTCTCACATTTCACGTAAGTACTTGTTAAAAACGACTCGAAAGACATAAATCATCATCATCGTGATTCAAATTATTCCATTTAACATGTTATTCAATTCGACAATTTATGTTTTAGAAGTTTCTAAAATATGAATGATAAACATAAACGATTTATTGCAGCAAGGTTGATCGCGGGAGAAATTTCCGGTGTAAAATGTGAAAATAAATATTTTATGTTATTTACAAATACTTTCTATTGTTGACTTAATCTACATTGATTTAATGCTGAACTGAAGTCTTGTTCTACATTTTCTTATCATCATTCAACCTATTTAGATATTTACTAAAATTTATTTTCCTTGACAGAATTTTCTGGCAGCAAACTCGCAATGTTGGTGGAATACTCCATTGACAGCTGCAACGAGAGCGCTTAAATATGCTGGTCATGTCGCCCCTGGCATGCTTTTAGTGACAGCTGAACCATGCGCATTAGAAATCTTACGTGGTGCCTATGCACGAAGTGTCTTAAAACCTCCAGCAACATACACAATTAACGCAGTCGGTGAGTCTGAAGATCTTGAACAGCAAAAAATATTTTCTTTTCCACGGTTTCTACAATTACTGTTTATAATCTTATTTATGTTGTGATGTTAAGCTTTAACTTACATAGATATTTGGAAAGATTTAAATGTTCGCAAAAAGTTTGTTTTTTTGCGCTCGCGGATGTTATGTAAAGAAAACGCCCCAGCATCTAAATAATTACACTTTTTAAAGCATTTCCTTTTCACTAGCTAGATATGTTAAGCGTAAGAGGTTCAATGAAAAGTAAAAGTAATGTTTGGTTTACGCTGTGCTTACTGCTCAATTGAAAACAAAACAAAAAATAAAAAAACAAAACGCAATTACCGAGCGTGGATTATGAGAAAAATGATAAATATCCCAATTTATAATCTATGAATATGAACATATTTCAATTTCACTTGTCTTTAATGCTGTTGCATATGAGCATGAAATTGCAATCAGGCTTTTAACTCACTCATAAATCTTGCACGCTTTACTATCAAATAGCATTTCATACATTCGATTTATCGACAGTTCACGAACAATTTTGATGTTAAGTCTCTGTTCGTGATGGAATAATTTGCCATAAATCTTGTTGAAAGAAACATTAATTAAGTTATATCACCGTAATTGGATTTCTGGTAAACGTTCGTAAATACTTATAAGTAAGAAGTTCAAAACATCTTTTAATTAATCCTTAAAATGGTTGACAATTTAAACAAACCTTAAACTTAACGAACACTTTATCTTCCACTTCATTTAACATGCCGGTTCTCACCATCCATTCAGGCGATATTGATGACTGTATCGTAACAACGATTCAACAAACACAATTCACACCTCTGACAGAGGCCATTTGTGATGTCATTATGGATCTTACACAACGCGGTCAATCAGCTACTCTCGAGACGATTAAAAAGTTTCTCTCACTGCGCTTTGCACACATGCAACAACCTTCGAACGATATCATATACGACACGCTTGTGCAATTACAACAAGAGCGAAAGATTTATCAAACATCTAAAGGGTACTTCATTGTTACGCCTGAGTAAGTCAAGTTGATTTTTTTACTTGTCACTTTTCAACTTTATCTATTTAAATGCTACTTGAACTCACTTTGTTGTTGTTAAATCAACATTAATTTTTCATTTTGTATTTTCAACATTTTCAAATAGACGACGACGAAGTCGTTCAAGAGCAGCGCGTAATCAAATGTCCCTCGATGAAGAGTTAGTATTGAACGATAGAATTAAATCGCCACATGAATCACGCACAATGTTGATGACAAATTCAGAAGCAATACATAGTCTGTACGGTGAAATATCTACGGAGCGCGATGGTGATTTAACACATCAGTGCATCCAGACGAACCTTGCCGATGTCATTTGTGGTGGAAATCCCAATGATAAAATTTTATACCCGCGTTCAGCAAAGCGTCGAAGTGCCTCGTTTCCGACACCTCGTAGCTTAGAGCGCCGCCATAGCCTTCGACTTTTTGGGTCATCGAAGCGATTGCAGCGATGTCAATCAACAAAAAGTCTCACGAAGACAACAAGCAATAATCCACCGAATGTTGTCATGGAAAGCAGCAACTCGGAATATAATAGTACGGACTCTTCATCACCCAGTGAGTTCAATTTTTTTTTCTTTATTTCATCACTATTTGTTGACATTTCATGCTTTGCGTTTAATAAAACGTTTAGAAAAAAGTGCCTCTCTACTCTCGCGAATTTTCCGACGGAGCTGCCGAAGTTCGAAAAAACTCGAAACATTTTCTGCTCAGTTTCCACCTCGCGAATGGTTCAACTCAAAAGCTGTTCATTTGCAAAGTGTTGGAACACAAACTTTGGATCATAATGTGAGTTTGTTTATGCAAATTTAATAATAAATATTTTAAGTTTTTATTTGCAAGGCATTAATTCGAAAATATTCAGTTTGATTATCGAAAATGTTTAAATTTTTGAATATTTGAATTTTATTAACGGTTATTTTTGATATTTTCTTTTTTACCCTCGATAGGATTCATTATCAAATGCCATTTCTTATTATGACGGTTCTGAAATCTCGCAACGATCGATGACACTACCACGCCAACATCACCGCCGTAATCTATCAAGCGAATCAACATTTTTATTGTCGTCACGCGATTGTTCTCCGATTCGAAGACGTTCTCCAGCAATTTGTTATGGTGGAAGTTTGCCTCGTTCAACACATTCAATTCCCGGACGATCGCCAAAAAGAACGCCTTTAAGTAAACAAGTTATTGATGAGAATAATCGGACGTTGGCAAAAAGTGGAGAAATTTACAATAAATCATCGTTATCTGGTCAACATGAGACGCAATTAAGTCAGCGATTCCCGTCGAGTCGGAATAATTATAGTGGACCTTCCAGTCTAGAAAGTGGTAAAACATCATCTTTAGTCACATCAGGTCCATCTTCCATCGATAGCGGTAATAAAAGTCTGTCGCTCAGTAGAAATAGCGGACATTCAAGTCTAGACTCAGCTCATGGTTCAGTTACAACTGTTGCTCAAGGTCAAAGTTCACCGAAAAGTGCAGCTAAACACAAACTCATTAAGTCAAGTGGAACATCAACCTCAAAGGTCACAACATCAACATCATCTAGTGGAATGAAATCGACATCATTTGAAGATAGTGCGATGAATTCTCGTACACTGCCTAATTCTAACTCAAATGGATCAATTACACTTCAAGTGACAAACAACAGCAATGGTACATGTTTACCAAACACGAAAATCTTTGTACAAAACTCGCCAGTTCGAACATCAATAACATTTGAGAATGGAAAATTTATTGAGAATTCGAATGTCTTCGTGATTAATAATGAAACGACGACAAATTCAAAAGGAGAAGTCGTTGCTAGTCGAAAGACGCTCATGAACAATCCGTCGTCGCCATTGAAACAACCGAGTCAAAGACGACCAGAGAAGCCGCGAACATTTGGTAATGGAAAAGAAAATTGCTTCAGTGAAAACGATGAAGCAGCAAGTGAAACTGGAGATTCACTTTCAATGATAAGTGAGACATCGCCTGACTCAAGTTTAATTCCTTATGTTGACGATGATGTTGTGGAGCCTGGTTCAAGGCGAGAGAATAAAGTACAAAGTCCAGAAAGCCCACGTAACACCAAAAATTTTGATGATTCTCTCAACAATCGAAAGCTTTCGCTTCAAATTGGATCGCCTGAGAAGAGTGGTGGCAATAACACTGTTGTGTACAATAACATGTTAAAGAATCATTACAATCAGCAGACAAATGCAATTATCTCGCCGGTAATACAACATAACAACAATAAAATGAATATGTTCTCGTATGAGAACTCAGGTTCCGTTGGAAACTTGAAAGTCGAGAAGTCGAGTTGCAATTATCTCAACTCAAATCCAACCATAAATTCCGACTCTCTGCTTAATATTTTCCATAAAAATATTATAGCTGTTGGCAGCGAACCAAACTTGATAACGATGAATAAGCCGAATGACAACGGTATGCAAAAAATCAATAATTGCATTAAAGATTCACCAACATCGCCTGAAGAGAAAACACCGACAATGGAGACGAAGCAAGAACTTTATAGCTTTCCCAGTTTAACTGATTTGAGTTTTAACTTTACGTCACTTCATGCGCAGAAGATTCTTAAAGGCGGAATGAGTGTTAATAACAGCATCGATACACTCGTTGAACTTGACATAAACAAGCCTAGCAACCACAAGAGTAACAGTAATCTCTCACCATCAACCACAATCTGTACAGACTTCGGAATGGTTTAAAATGATTTCTTATAAGTATAAATGATTCTATCGTCCGTCAATATTAAATAACAAGATATTATTAAACAAAAGAAAAAGCTTGTAGTTTTTCCAAACTAATCTACTGTTTAACTATATTGCAATCCAACTTTCTTATCCGGATTTGATCTTTAAATCCGCATTGAGAGTGCAAGCAATACTAATCAGATATTAATCGAGGATAACCAATTTAAATTATTTGCAATCTATGTAAATATCTTCTCTTAACACGATAAGTGAAAAGAAATCTTAAATAAGTTTTAGATGCAAATGTGTAAAGTGCCAAATGATCGAAACAATTTTGTTCGTTCGTTGACCCATTTTAATTCTTTCGAGACATTTTATCATGAATTAAAAATAAAAAAACAATTTAAACGTTTGTAAATAAAATCTTAAGCAATAAGCAAAAGAAAATTAATAAAACGAAAACAAAAAAAAAATCTTTTTTGAATGAAAACACTTTGCTTTGTAATCTTTTTTTTGTGGTTGATTGAAGTTGGAAACTTTTTTAATCTTACAGATCACGCGATTAATTAAATTGCCCTAATCGAGGGACAGAAACCGTCGTAAGATTGAAGCACATTACGTGACGTTGATGTTGAAAATTAATTCAATTCTTGACAAATTAGCGACTCGAATCGACGATGAAATTGATGAAATATTATTCTGAGACGATAAAAAATTCACATCATTAGTTAAGAAGAAAAAAAGTCTTAAAATATTAAAAGCTTAAAAGATTTAACTCGCTAATTGTTCAATAAATTTATTTTTCATATGACTAAGCTTTGGTTTGGGATAAAAATAAACATAAAAACAGAATCCCAACGAAGTTTCTTAAATGAATATTTGCTAAGCAAAAACCTTTCTCTGAAAGCCTTTTGATTGGCAATTCTTGATATTAGAGAATTAATGAGACAAGATTTTTATTTGCTTCGCATTTTAAGTATTAATTTCAATAGATGCGGTGATTCAATCGCCAACAGGCAACGGGCGATCATAACAACTTTGAAATACCAGTTTCGTTCAAGACAATCAACTGTAGATGGTCGAAGATCCTATAAAAACTTTAATGGATTCTTTCTACTTTGTGCCAAGATTATGACTTTGAAGACACTGCCATTGACATCTAATTGCAACAAATTAAACTCCCATAAACATAAACAATATCATTTGTATGAAAATGTGTCGATGATACGCTGATTAAGGAAAGTTATTCCATTGATATGAACAACAATCAACTTGTACAACCAGCAACTGGCTTACGTGACAAGTGCCACGAGAACTTCTCAAAATTCACAAACGTTTCGATCAGAATTTTAATTGTCATAAGCCACACATGTGCACAATAAAAAAAGCAAAGATTTATTTATTTAATCTTTAAAATGAATTCATGAATTTTACAATCCAAATGTGAACTTCTGATTCGTTCTAACGCCAAATCCTTTTGTGAATTATTTAAACTTAATATTCTTCTGCTGCTCGATAACGTTCTTCACCGACTTCTCGAATGGGGAGTGCCTTGAATGAAGAAGTCTCAGATAAGAATCACACAATTTATTTTCATTCAAATTCTTACTTGTAATGCTTTTTTTGATCGCACAAATTTTGCCATGAAATATCCAAAGGTTGAATCTTTTGCTGTTTTCGATGAATACGCTCAGAGACTGATTTGACTTTCATGAAGTCTTCAGGAGTATTGGGGACGGTTGGATCAAAGATTGGACCTTCATCTATGATTTCGTCTTTATAAGTTTGCAGATATTTGTTAGCTTGTTTATTGCTTTTGCGGTTATCTTGTGACGCATCGTTTCGGTTCTTGAGTTTTATGCAGAAATCGAGCTTGTAAGCATCTTCAATCTTCTTGGAATCTTCTTTAAGATCTTCAGATTTTCCTTCTTTACTTTTCTTGTCCGGTGCAATGCCCTTGTGAAGTAAGAATGCTTGCATTTCTTGAATTTCACGCTGAATGTCATCCAAAGTCACTTTGCCACGTTCAACCGGAACTTGTTCTTCTCTCAACTCATCTGAAGAAGTTTCTTCTACTTCTACCTCAAGTTCTTCATTATTAATAGCAGCACTTGGTAAAGTTTCTTCAGTTGTTTCAATCAAAATGTCGTTTGACTCTTCATTAACTTCAACCTCTTCATTAACGACTTCAACTTCACGATGTTCCGTAGGCTGTGAGTTTGGCATTTCAACTTCGATGCCTTCATCGATATTCTCAACAGTTTCTTCAATCTCAGAACTTGATTGAGCATCACTCGCAATGATTTCGTATTCATCTTCAATTATTACGTGATCATTTGTAGCTTCTTCTTGTTCTTCTACATTCATCATTTCATCGCTGGGTTTATCAGCAGAAACTTCACTTCCTTCATCAGCTGCCAATTGTTGTTCGCTATTTTGATCGCTACTACCAGCAGAGTAAATAACTTCTTCCGTATTTGTTGTTACTTTGTAATTGAAAGAGCAATCATTAGCTACAACTTCATTTCCACTATCATAATCTTTCAATTGATCTTCATCTTCTTCAACAATTGCTGAGAATTGTTTGTCGTTATTTTCGTCGCGTATTTTAGCGAAAGCTCTGATGAAAGGTGTTTTTGGAACCGGTTCTGGTTCGCGTGATAAAATTTTCGCAAACGATTTCAACAACGTCAACATGATATCGTCTGGAATTTTTTCTGCTATTTGTAGCAACTGTCGTTGAATAGACTTCACAGTTAATTCAACATTGATTGAGCCTAAAATTGAAAGAAAATTCTAGGAAATGATTGAATGAACTTTGTGAAATGTGCAAACGTGTTGTGAACTCGTGGGGTGACACTGAAAGTATTTAAAAAACAATTACTTAGAAAACATTAAAATTATTGATATTTATTTTCTTTTTCTTAACATCATCATCATCATCATCTTCTCTCGATGTCATCATCAGCCTTTTAACAAAAAATAAATTAAAAACAACGAAAAAAGTTGTCAAACCCAAGTCTTCTTGCGGGACGAAAATAAACGTTTTTGTGGACACGAAACAGAAAAGAAAAAGTGAATAAATTAAACAACACAAAGAAAATCAGCGCTGAGTTTTCTCTTTGTGTAGTTGGAAGAATTGCTAATCAGTTTCTTCACTCAGCAACTGCAGCTGCTTGCCCTGTTTCCAATTTATCTTCATCACCTTCCGGGAACTCTTCTTCTTCATTTGATGATTCTGGTTTTGGTCGAATGACAGCAAGTGGATCTGCAGAGCCTCGAGGAAGTGACAACAACAGCTGTTCGAGATGCTTTTCCCGTTCAGCAGGTTTGTCGGCAATGTCGGTCAGCAGTCGCCGTAAGTTTCTGATGATTCGTTTATGCGGTAATTCCTAATTGAAGAAACAAATAAAAGGAGAACAAAAAAAATCACAAACAATAAACATATTTAGATGTTAGTTAATCAACTTTCACTCTCAAGCTAATCGACCTTGCAACCATACTTCAAATATTGTTTATTCGCGTGCGCAACAAAACAATTTTTTCGTGTTTATTTTTACACCAAATTATTTCATCGACCGCATTTGAATGGCGTAAGCGTAAAGATGTACTTAATAGCATCTAATTTGTATCTGTTTCGTTGTTCATTATAAATTATGGATCTAATTCAATACTTGCTTTTAAAACTGCAAGCGTGAAAGTAATTTTTCATTCAATGAAGAATCTTTTAAAGTTTTTAAATGAATTTCAATTCTAAATGGCCCATAAACTAAAAGCTTTTTCTACATAAATTGACATTCAAAAACAGAACATAAACAATCCATTAACATACAAAGTATAATCATATTTAATGATATCATTAACTAATTTAAAACATTACTCAAATCATTTTTAATTAATAAAAAAATAAAATAAAATTTCCCCAACACAACAAAAACAATTTTTGAATGTCAATTTCCTGCAATAACTTTTAAAATTGACAAAATATGAAAAAAAATTGTTTGCAGACCTTTTGGAAGTTTACGGGTTGTGCAAATTCCGGTGTTGGCCACATAATTGGATGCCATGATTTTCGTTCAGGCTACATTTGAGTAAGTAAACAGAATACAAACAAAAATTGTTTTGAGACACAAACTTGACTTTCATCTTTTGTTTATGTTTACCTTCTCGATATAAGCCGCTAAACATTTCACGTTTCATCACAGAACAAAGAAAAGGAGAAAATATTTGAAAATTATCACGGGAAACACGGAAAAGTCATTTGTTAGTCAATTTACCACTTGGTGGACGGAGTTCATCTTCATAAGGTAATTTATTTCGTTGTGCTTTTCTTTTACCTTCCAAAACAACTGAATGAACTTGAGGCTTCTTCTCGGGATTCGCTTCGTCGACCTCATCAAATCTTTGGAGCGAAAAGTGTTTTTGTTATTTTCGTTTTTTTAAAAAGAAAGAATGAAATAATTTAATTTAAATCAGATATTGAGTCGACATCTCTAAACAAGTGGCAGCGTCCAACTTTTAAAAATAGCCAACATTTGTTGCTGAGATTCTCTTGTTTTCGACTTGTAAACACAGAGATACATGAAAGTAGCTGATGATCTAAATTTAATCTAAAAATCTAAGAAAGAAAAATAATTAGAGGCTCTCCGACTCACTTGATGACGCCCAATTTAACGTCTTGTTGCGCGGCTTGTTCAAGAACATTATTGGCTTCTTGCAATGTCATATTACTCGTGTCAATGTTGTTAATATTCACAATGGAATCACCAAGCTTAAGACCAGCATTCTCAGCACGACTTCCTTCTTTCACCTGTTGATTAAATCATCCATTCAAACTCTTTTCATTTCATTTTTTTCTAAATCTTTCAATCATTCCTGTTCATAGGCAGTTTGTGACACTTTGACCGGTCGAACATCGCGTTTAGGTGGCCATTCGAAATTACTTTGTTTCACGGGTTTCTTCATAATTTGAAGCTCTTAAAATAAATATTTTCGATGATGAATTTGACTTTTGAAAAGTCTTTTCAATCTCAACAAAAATGAAAATACGACTAAATTGCGAATAACGAAATTTTCCTTACAAAATTCATTTTCCTCCCTTTGAATGTCTCGTGAGAGAAAAAGAAAATGTTCTCGACTTTTCTTGTTACTTTTCCAAGCCGGAAAATAGATACAGAAAATTTTCTCTTAGGTCGCATTGCATATAAACGTGACGTGTTTATTTAAAGATTTATAAATATTTTCAACAACTACGATAAAGAAAATTTCTGACAGCTTGCGAAATCAATCAAAATAATTTTTCCATCATTTACTTTTACACAAAGCTGTCGACAAAATCTACGGAAAAATATTTCAACGCGGAATGGAGAAATCTAAGTCGCAATTTTTCGTAGCTGAGAGAAGGAAAATTTTTATTTTTCATCGAACTCATGAATTTTATTTTTAAACATGAAACAGAAAACTCTTTGCTTGAATTCACTTGAAAAAGCAGCTCTGATCGAGAGATTTTTCTTACATTCTGTTTTCATTCTCAATCGTTTAAAATGTTTACGATCAGATGTTTTTATCGTCTACTCTTCACTTGATTCTCTAATTTCAATCGAAAGATATTTTTTCTCAACACATCACTTAACATTTTCTACTTTCCTCTCTCAACCATTGAAATCCCAATGAGAATTTTCTTTTTATTGGTCGCGACTCGAGACGTTTTGCAAATAGAACATGCACTCGAAAGAAATTGTCGTCGACACAGTTCTCTATGCGTAACTTACATGAAAAATTGTGATGGGCATTGAAAAGTCTGATCCACCAGTGATGTTAAATCCTAAAGTGTTTCCAATGCCATGAAATAATTCCAAGTTTTCTGAATTTCCATCAGCAACATTGATCGTCGGTGCTTGTTTTTCAATTTTAAACGTAACTTGTGGCATTTTTATCGACTTTTTATTGATTGCACAATGATTTAGATTTTGCCTTCTTGAACAAAGATAGCAAACACAATGAATCAAGTAATTATCTCACTGCACTTCAAAACAATACTGCAAATTAGTCAATTTATCAGTTTTCTTAATTAGATATTTTTTTTAATAAATTTTACTTCACGATGTTGCCAAAAATCTGAATTTAACGTGCTGATGATGCGGTGCGCTAAGACTGAATGACACTTTTGGCTGATTTTAATAGTCTAATTGAGTGAACAATTAATTAGAATATTTTTTAATGAACGTTTTCAATTTCTAGTCTTGCGAACGAGACTTTACAGAAGAAAAAAATCCGATCGCAATTATCGCAAAAAGTGTAATAAACTTTACTTTCAATTTCGAATGTGTGGGTGGGAAAAGTATGTGAAAATTTGCTTGTTTTTTTTTCTTCTCATCTACATGATTCGGCACACGTCATCAAGGAAGGAAAACCCGAAATCACTTACACACTTTCAAAATTTATTTATTTTAAAGTCATAATCTAAATTTAAGTGCTTCGTCTTTCTATGATTTAATCGTTACGAAGACGAGGGAAAGTTTTATGTTAAGAATTTTTCTTTATTTTCAGATAATTTATTGACAAAAATCTCGTGTTAATTTAATTTTAACGAAGCGATTACTTCCGAATTGTGACAACTTTTACCTCGACAAAGCTTCAATTTTTTTTTTGCTTTCCGGTAGATTATTTCGTGATGTTTATTTCCGTGCTGTAACAGATTGATTGTAAATAAATATTCGAAATAATATTAATAGAACCTTCAATTTCCCCTTGAACACAGAACAATGAATTCATATTTAATATTATTAAAAAATATTCTAATTATCATCTGTAAGATCTTAATTTGATTATTTTGTAACAAATCTTAAGTTATTTAGTATAAATTACTATTAATTAGTGTCACTGGATGAGACGTGTAACATTAAAATTGAGCAAATTGTCGATCATTTCAAAACAAATTCTTCAATTCCTCAACTGGAATGGCAAAACATCAACACAGATTCGTTTGAAGATTTAAATGGCTCAACAAATTCTCCACTTCCATCATTGGAGTCGTCAGAAGAATCTTCAAGTAATTCTGAAAGTTCGCATTTCGGTATTTCGAGGTTGACATAATTATTTAACTGTGAATTCATTTTACAGCTTCAAATGCGGTCGACATCAAAGATTCTTTGAATTCCGTGTCAAAAGCAATTTTAAGTGATCTTGTGAAAACTTCTGGGTTTAAGACATTTCTTGGAGCACCCAGACCGGAACCTCAACCTTCACCTTCAGATGATGAAAGCGACGATGATAAAATATTAGAAGACTGCCCAATTGATTGTTGGGGACAATATGTTGATATTGAAGGCGACTGTTACAAAGAATGCCCCGATGACAAATTTCTAGTCTTCTTCGTTATTGATTTGAACACAGTCAACTGCTGTTGTGGATTATATTAGAGAACATTTTTATGTGTCACTGTCATACTCATATCACGTTTTAAAAATAAAAATATTTCGTGAGTCAAGAAGTTTCCCGTTTCAATTAATTACAATGTCATGATTTGCTTTCTTACTTTTTAATTCCGCTTAAGAAAACATTTCAGAAGCTAATTAAATTCCCATATAAATAAAAGTGCTACAAAGTTCCACTCAAAAGTAAGAAAAATGTTGAGACTTCTGGTTGTTTTGACGGTTATATTCGCGTTCGCTGAATCCGGCGGTGACAGTGTCGGTGACAGAATGTTAGGGAATGAAATGAACGTTAATAATCCACCTAAGGCAACCTTCCAATCAGCAATAGTGGACAGTGGAGTAGCAGACGTGACATCGCCTCCTGATTCAGCCCTTCAGTCGGATTTGCCAAGTCAATTGAATGATCGAAAGATCAAAGTCAGAAAAATAATAAAGAAGAGAGTACTGTGACCGAAATAAAGTTTTAAAAGTACAAAGAAGAAGAAGAGAAAGCAAACATCATTCGAAACGTTAATGACAATAAGATTTCAATTTTTTTATAAACACATTTCGGTTTTCTTCGGCTTCTTTAAGATCAATAAATCTTTTAAAATATGTAAACTTTCAAAATATATTTATTACTTTATTTGCTAACGCTATAATTTATAACTCAACTTAAAATATTTAAGGATTGTGCAACAATTGGAGCTTGTGAATTTTGCCTTCTCCAACAATAATTTCATTTGGTGTCTCTAAAGCTGTTTGGAATTTATTTGGAATGTTCAATAAATTCATTTCTTGATAGGTGAAATTTTATAAAATTTTTCTTCAGACTTTCCTAAAAGTTTACGTAAAATTTTCTTTTTCTGATGTTTATTCGTAAAACCACTGAATGTCTTTTTAACATCCTTCAAGAGTTTTTCATCGAGACGAAACCTTTTCCAGAGACTATAGCGAAGCTCCCACAAGTCAAAGTACAAATTTGGCTTGTATTCGTTTTCACATTGAAAGATATTGTGATGGAAATTGTGTTGGCGAGGGTTGAGTTGAGGTGCTAAATTATATCGGAGATTCACGACTTCCTGAATATATTTTGTAAATGTTTTGGCACGTGTGACCCAACAGATGAGCGTCATAATTGAAGCGATCATTGCATGCAAACGATGTAAGTCATCCAGACATAAATATCGGTTTGCGGCTAGCGCGTGTCTTTGGAGATTCATTAGAATGCAAACTATGAAGGTGACTGAGAAGCCACAGGGAATCGTGACAAGAATGACACAAAGCAGACTGTAAATGGCATTTGAGATGTCACCCTCGGAAATATGTAGCTTAGTCGCTGATATTATTGAAGTTTCAAACAGATCACGATAATTTTCAATAATTTTCCGAGTGTCTCCAATTTCACTTTTCAATCCCAGAGAAATTTCGTAATTTGTTGAGACATAAAAAACTTCTGGCGATGAAAAATGTTCACAGTTGTTGTATTCATCGATCAGCACAACTAAATATTGAGTTGCGAGATAACTTTCAATGGCTCGTGTTGATTGCATTGATGATAGAAGAAATGCCAAGGTTTCCGGTAGCAAATCTTTTGTAATTTGGTTCAATTGAAGACGAGAAACGCCTTGCCGGAGGTTCCAACCAAACTCTCTGCACTCAATGTCCGAGAGGCTCGAATTAAATGTCAAGTGAAGGATATTTGGAAGCAAATTCATCACTTCAGTTGTGTGGATTACACTTAACATTGTTTTTATTGCTTTCTCTAATCCAGCTTGTATTAATGAATAGTTTTCATCTTTAACAGTGACACTCAAGTAATAAAGCTGAAGGAGTCGCTGAACTCCCACACTTGGAAGTGATTTAAACTTCTCATTGTCTACAGTTGAATCAAGTACGTCGACCACGTTGTGAAGTTTTCTCAAATTATTACTTCTAATTATTTGATCAATGTTATCAAGAAGTTGATCTAAAATGACTTCTGGTGGAATTCCACATGAGAGAATTGAATTAAAAATTTCACAACAAATAAAATTAAATTTCCAAAGGTTTTTATCATCAAGAAATTTCATAATTGCACCAATTACCAGATCAATGTTGTCAGGAATAAGAATTTTTATAAGAGAACTGAAAAGATTCTTCACGAAAATATTTCTACGACGCTGAACATGAAATTGCATTAAGTTCAGAGAACATTTAATGAGTTCTGGTAATTCTGAGCTGCTTTTAATTTCCTCGCTTGAAGATTGACTTAAAATATTTTTGAAACACTTGAAAGAATTTCAAACTTTTATAATTCAGTGAAAATTAAATTAAAATTTTCTCACTTTTAAAGCTTTTCGAGTTTTATGTTTCTTTGAATCTTCTGCAGAATGTAAATTGAAATCGCATAACAATATCAGTTGTTGAATTTTCGAGTTTAAAGTGGAAACCTCGCTCATGATTTTTAATGAAACTTCATCTGTGCAATACTGCAATGGTCACTTATCCGCAATTTATCTACTTAGTAGCCTAGAAAAGTTTTATTTATTTAAGCCTGCCTACTTTTAAGTTGTAAAACTAAATGAATTGGACATTTCACAACAAGATACTTATAAACAATCAGCGAAATTAAATCTTAAGTTGTTCGCTTATTGAATAGCGAAATTATTATGCAAAAATCGATCAACCTGAATAGGTTGGAAATCAAGAAAGTCATTAATTCTCCCCCAGTAGATATTTGTTTTCTCCCCATTCAAAGAGACATGCATAGGTGTGTAATTAATTAATAAAGTCATTAAATTTACTTATAAATTGTAAAGTTTTGCGTTTGCTTAATTGCAATCATACTTTTCACAGGCTAATGAATTGAAACATGTTTCTATGTAGATTGTTGTTGTTCAACTTTTTATTTCACGCCGTGTAAAAGTAAGTCGTATCAAATGAATTTCTAGCGCACTTAATAGAAATACATTGTTTTGCAATCCGATATCGTTCTATTTGCAGCAACTTTAAGATTTATTGGAGCATTCCGACTAGTTCTTGTCGAAGTTTTCAAATCAATTTTGCAAGCTTCAACGCCATGAACGGCATTGTTTAGAATAGTAATGGTAGTGTCAGGTGAGTTACTTGTTCACTAAATGCCGATTAAATTACTGTCTAAAACGACCCTGGAATCTAGATGGAAGTTTGTCGAGACAAACTGTAATAGGCAACTGGTTTATCAGAACAGTGGATTGTCTCAAAATAGAAGTTTCTGATTTGCATTTGCGACAATTGGAAATCAATATAAATCATGTTGTTCTAAAATGGTGGCTTGAATTCGAAAATCGTTACTTACTTTAAAGAAACATTCATCATTCTCATCATGAGATTTAGAGATTGAATTTCAAGGTAAAATGATCTATGAAAATGCGGTCATAAATTTTGTCAAATGCACGATTCTATGTGCAAAAGAATGCGACCTTTTTTCTTTCTAAATTGGACTTTTACAGTTTCCCACATTGCTTCAATAGACATCGTGACCATAGTCGACATCAACGATGTCAAGATTGAAGACAACAAGCTACTTTTATATATGCTTCTCCCTGCAATTTGTCCATCAATCTTCATCATTAAGCGAGTGTTGCGTTGGTGGAATGAAATGATGAATGAGATGAGTCGTGTTTAAAAAATGAATAAAATTTATATGAAAACTTAACAAAGGAATAGAAAATTTTATTTATAACATATTGAAGTAATCAAACATAAATAGAAAATTAATTAACAGTATTCAATATTCTTTTCCATTTCTAAGATTTTTTATTCCTTTTTATTCCTTTTATGTTGCTAATCTTCAATTTCTTTCCAGGCTGACGAGTTTTTTGATTTTTTTTCTAGATGATTCATTAAGTAGATCATCAGAAAGTTTATGATCAGGAAAGAGTTTTGACATTTTTTTAAATGCTAGGATTTTCATAAAGTCGTTTCCATAAATTTTTCCTAACGTGAACACCGACCAAGCATTGTTTTCGTCAATCATATCAAATATGAATTCTTCAGATATTTTTATTAATTCTTCAACTTGATATTTGGCTGCGACTGCATACAGATCCATTGCGTTTGTTGCTTTTTCTGGTATGGTTCGATTATAAATAAAATCGAGAAATTCTTCGAAAGCTTCAGCAGTGATATCAACGACTTCCATCTCATTTGTAATATTCTCGTTAAAATTTGTGTGGTTAAACATTGATCTGAATACACAGCTGTTGACTGCTAAAATATTCTTGTGAACTTTGAAAGACTTTTCTCCAACAATGATGGTAAAATCAGACAAACATTTAGTTTCCCACATTTCTTTGACATATGATGATACAGTAGAAGATTCCTTTGGTTCTGATCGACAGCATTTTTCAATGTCTTCATTTAGAAGCTCCAAAGTATTAGTTGCATTTTTGACTTTATACATTCGATTGATTTTAGGGTTTCCTCGGAAATCTGCGAACATTAGATTATTCAAAGGCTTCAATATATGTTTGCCAATTTTCGAAATGGAATTGCCTTTAAAATTAATGATTTCAATCTGAGGTGCATAAGTAAACAAATCATGGGGAAGTTCCTCCAACTTATTGTACCAAAGCCACAAATGTTTCAAACTCGGCATTGTCTTTAAATTTTCTTTGTTGATTTCTTTCAAGCCGCTTCTCTTGAATTCTAAAGCGACTAGGTTCTTGAATTTGATGCCAATTGAATTTGGAACATATTTTATCAAGATATCAACAAATGTTACTGCTTCGATTTCGTTATTTCCTTCTTCAGATAGACCGAAATTGATTTCTGTGTTACGATCTTTTATATCAATATCTTCAAATGCACTGTAAGTGAAATATTTTTTCTCGAAGCAATTATCCTTCCAGTTACAGATAAAACATTTATGCGCAATCATTTTTTAATTAATAATACTTTTTTGTTAAATAAATGTGTTTTTGATCAACTGCACGAATAAAAATTGAATTTTACCGTATCTCTCCGATTATGACTTACACAACTTGCATATAATGACTTTTGCATTGTTATTCAGCTAGAAAATTGTTAGCTGAATTGAAAGTTAAAAATCACTAACTTGATTTTTTGTATTTTTCTGTATTGTTTAAGGTTAGGAAAGTTTATTTACATAAAAAAAGTAATTTTTTGTCAATATTTCTATTATTATTTATAATCCAAATAAAAGTTTGAATTCTAAGTTAAGAATCGTAATTTAAGAAGTAGGTATTAAAAAATATTTTAATATTCAATTTGAAGATAAGCAGTAAGAAGTAGAAGAAAAATACATTTTACGACTCAAGAACTTTTTTTTTCGTCTGTCATTAGATCTCATGAGATTATCTTACATTTTCCACTTGAGAAGTTTACATGCGCAATTTCAAGCATAAAGATGAAGCCTTAAAGGTAATTTATGGATAATTTCATACGTTGGCTCACATAAATAAAAGAAGACTTAATTAACATTACATTCTATGAATGCAGTGCATTATGGTTCGTTACATAAGTCATTTGCTATGCAGTCTTTTGTTTAGATGACAACAAAGGCCCGCGACAAGATGCACAAGAAAGAGAAACAGAGATTATAGATTATTGAAACCCGTCGTTATAAAAGAGTGAGATAAATATCTTGATGAAGACTTCATCAGTTACAGTTACTGTCCGCCTTAGTAGCTTAAGTAACTACAGCGCAGCAGAGGCATCACAGATTATTCTCTCGTAACAAACTCAAGAAAAATGCGATAATTGAATCATTATCGCTATTTAGTCGATTCGATGTTTTCTTCTTCTCTTCATGTATCTTTTTACGGAAGACAAAATTACTTTGAACTTTGTTTGTCTCCATTTTAATGGCTTTGCGTTGGTAACCACTAAATTAGTCTTAATTAAATTAATCCGAAGAATTGAAATCATCAATCAGATGAGAAGCGTAACCACAACATGGCTTAGCTAAACTAGACGACACTCGCTAAATGATTTATTTATTTCAAGGTTTTTTTCTCAGGTTTGTGACGATGACTAATGAAGAGAACTTGCCAAGCATAATGAGCAAATTATGACTTCATCACACGTCGTTTTGCCAATGAACCCGTTGACGGAAAACAGGAAGTGACGCTTAAGGAATGTTTCAACAAACATCGACATGGTTTGAAGCGGTTCCCATCAAAGGTAAAAAGCGATTTTACTATTTATTGTCACATTGTGACGACAGAAAGTTACACGCACTTTTAATTTGTTAACTTAAATCAATACAATACGAATTTCGAGTAGAATAAATAAAGAAACCAATAAAGCGCGAATAATTTTCCATTGCTTTGTCTTCGTTCTTCATTTAAATTACAATAAGTAAAAAATCTTCAGTCTTATGAGTAATTGACAGGGAAAAGCGCTTTCGTTGTTGAGGTTGAACTGCGAGACGAAAAGACCGCAAGAAAACTTTGCACGAAAAAAATAGAAGAATCTTAAATGAAGCTATATCTAATGTTAATAAGTTATTCATTCAATAAACTTTATCGTCACAATTTTTTATTGTTATAGCTTTCCATGTATGGCATCATTTACTTCATGAGTTTCCGTTTCAATTTATTTTTTCATTTTTTCAATTTCTTGCAGCTGAACTGACAATGATGAAAGATATTTGAGTGACATCAAATGGAACGATAATGTGTTTAGATGTTCCTCAAACCAGCAATTTAACCAACACGCTTTATTGTCCACGCAGTTTTTTTCTTAAATAAATTAATACGTAGATAGTTTTGTGTGACTCAATTCATTCGAAAGTTTCATTCATTATTTATTGAATGATAAAGAGAGAAAGAAATTGAATCAATTCTGACTTTGACGGCAACTATTTAATCAACGGTGTCGATGTTTTTAAGTACAAATCAAGAAAACTGCTTAATCATCAACAATCATCACCTACATCTCGATTAAATGTTATGTTGCGGACGCTTCAATCTTCGATGTTACAGTTTTTATTATCGGCAAAGATTTAAAGGCGTGCTGTGTAGGTTCAGCCATCATCGATGACCTGAATGGATATTTGCCAACAATGATCATAAGACATTAACAAGACAATGATTTCCATCATTTTGTTTTCTTTTGCAAAATTATACAAATTAAAAAAAAAAAGAAACAGTTTGAATTTGAATGAATTCATTCCAATTTCTTTTTGATAGTTTTATGTGACGCATTTACGGCTATTCGAACATTTTTTTTTTGCCAGTTTAAGCGGACAAAGATCTTTTGAGTTTTATTTGAAAATTATTTTTCTCCATCTTTGGCAACGAGAAGATTATTTTAATGCTTCGTGTTTTTCCTTATTCTCATCCCACAGTTCAAAAACCTCATTACAACATCTGAAGCTCTCTGCTTGCGAGTTTTATTTCTGTGGTTTTGTAAAAGAAGACTTTTGTTCCATATAAAAAAAGTGAAATCTAATCTAGCGTGAAAGCAAATTAAATATTGTAATGATTTAAGAATGAATAATAAGAAGCAAATATTTGAAAATCTTTGCCTTTCATTTAACATTAGCACGACCTTCAAATGTGCTAAAACACTATGCGATCATTAGACCATAAAGTAGAAAAATTGATATTCAACATCGAAGAAACTTGAATACTCATGCTAAAAATATTAACGACAATCGCAACCCTTTCGATCTTCTCTTTATTTAAAATTGCTTCATGTTCAATGAATATTACGAACAACATCGTTAGATTACTTAATCAGTATTAATTTCCACATTATCAATTCATGATTTTAATCTGATTTAAATAAATTAAGTTATTAATTTAGTTAATTCATAATTTGTCTTTTATAAACCACTGGGTCAAGACAACATCTTAAATCAAATCTCAATAATATCAAGTTGATTGACTTATGTTGCTTAAAAAAAGTATGAAACTGGATCACTGAGAAACTTCAATAAAATATTTCAAACTGTTGGCTTAAAGTCAAAATTGGATAAAATATTCTCAGCTTGTTTAAAGCATAGTCAAGTTTCTCAGTGGAAACGCCAAGAATTTGATATTATACGACATTTAATTAAATAAAATCTCTATAAAGATATCAGAAACATAAGACTTTGTTTTCCCAGTCATTAACACGCCAAAATCGACAATTTGAGTTGCACGATACGTTCACTAGCGTGATTTTTATTTCAAGATGAGCTGCGATAACAATTTTTAGACTGAAACCTTCATGATCAAATTTTAATGATCTCTTCGGAGTCCGAATAAGAAACGCAGGAAATTTCGACGAAATACGAAAAAAAGACTTTTCATTGTTAGAGAATTTCTATTGTCACGGGAACTCAAAAATTACATGCATCATTATTTAATTTTCTTTTATTCTTGAGAAAACAAATCAAGAAAAAGAAAGAAAAAAGATCCCGTTAGTGTCGTTAAAAATGATAGTCGGAACGTATAGGTTTTCCATTCATCAACAATATGTTCTCATCATGTGCTTAGACATCACACACTTCTCCACTTCGTTTCGAAATATCCAACGAGAAGAAAAAAAGAAGAAATCAAATATCCAACTTTCTTCTTATTTTCGTTCATCGGTAGGTGAATCACTTCTCGTTTACATTCCCCAAGAATCAACTCAGCTTAAATCACTTTTAAAAGTAAAGAAAAACAATGAAACATTCACATAAAAACGCTTTAAAACTACAGTCAAAAACACTTTAAAGGAAACCAGTTTAGCATAAAGTAACAAAATCTATCGGAAAACATCTTCACAGCATAAAACATCTGATGCTGTTATTGGAAGCTGAAAGCAAGAAAGACTTTCATGTATTCATCGATGGAAATGAAGAATGTATTTGACGCCAGTATTTGAATGCATGCAAAATGTTGCTTTATCTATGTGAATCTAATAAGCCATCTTTGGATGTGCTACATCGAAGGAATATTTATGGGTAATGCATGAAAGCATAAAGATCGACGATAAATAAGAGAAGAAGAAATTATATTGGAAATATATCTACTAAATAACTTTGACTTTATGCCACAGAAACGTTACTTCTGTTTTTATAATTTTATTTTTTGTTTTTTTGGAATGAGACATGAGCGAATGTTGGCAAACAACTTTAAGCTCGACACTAAAAATGGACATTGCGGAATTTCATATCGTTTTATTTTTCTTTTTAAAATTTATTTCATGCCAAAGATGTTCGTTCGATTCGATCAACGAAAAAAAGAAGAAAATAAAAAGCTTCGATGCAAAAAGTGCCGACCGGTGCATTTCATTGATTTTATCAGTAAAATGAAAACTTTCTTTGTTGCATAAACATGTACATGTGGATGACAGAAATGAACGCTTTCCAGTTTATTTTTTCAAGAAATGATTGCTTCACTTTGCTTACGAAAATAAAAGTTGAATATCTCTCAAGAGATGAAAATTACGTCGTCTTACGTGTTCTGGCAAAAGTTCATGAACGTTCACAATCCCGTTTGTTATTGTTTACCAAATTGTAGTCGGGAAAAAAGATCAAGTGAGACACAATCAATCAAAATATCGCATGGAAAGGGTGTGGGAACTGACAACAGTACGAAAATTTTCGCAATCAAAAAAATATTTCGCTTGTTACCATCTTCATTCGATGTCTTAAAATTATTCATATCATCACATGTGATTTGCGATGAGATAAAATTTTTAGCTGTTTTAAGAAATTATCAACATTAAACAATTCACGACCTTAGCACATTTTTTTCTTTTGATTACTCTGTTCGTTTATGGAAACTTTTATTCGATCAGCAGTTTCGATTAAAGTCAATTGAACCTGATATGGCAATTTGCTGGTAATGAGCTTAAAATTCTTTGAATTTTTCCAACTTTTTTTTTTTGATTTCGAACGAAGACTTAAAAGCGACTTTGCTTTGATGCTTTGTCGGGTGAGGTCGATTGTAAATTATTTACGAATAATTCAGGCATGAAGAGAAGAAAACATTTGAATAAGCAAAATAACTTGAAAATGCTAACTGGCGAAGACGACACGAGGACGTTAATTTCACCTTGAAAACTGGAATCAGCGATAATAATTTATTGCTGCTAAAAACTGGAAATTTCACCACACGAACGAATCTTCGAACTTCTCAAAGTTATCAAAAGAATTTGCATTCTTTATGGAAAGATAAATAAGTTGAGTTTGTTCTCTTGTTCCATTTTTGTGAGTCTTTTTTTTTGCCGATTATATAAATTTGTCGTGATTTTTCATGTTGCACATTTCATTATTCGCAAAACATTGCTTGAATCGTGAAAATGTAAATAAATGACTTCATTTAAAGCAATGGCTTTACCGTCTCACACAAACAATTCGAGATGTTGTGAAATCTATTCAAAATATTACAGTAAAACGCGAGATTTCCGTCCACTGACTTATGGTGCGGTGCGCGGCTTCTCTTTTGAGAATGAAAGAAAACGATCTGAGATTTAAATTGCGTAAGAAATAATTGTGATGCAAGGAGAGACTCATTCTCAATAAAGTCAAGACCGATTCCAAGTGTTTGATAAACTTTATGTCCCACGTTTTAATGTTCGTTGTTGTTTGCACTTAGATGACTTTCTTGAGATTTATGGAAACAAAGTTAAAATAAAATTACATCACCTTGCAAACTCATTCGATTTGAATTCATTGCGCATCATTACCTTTATTACTGCAATTCATTCATTCACTCACGATAACATTTAAGAAGATGAAATGAAACCTTTGACAACACGTGAGAAGGTTAAAGCTTAATAGATGCTCATCAAAAATTATTAATTTCTTTCATTATTTTGCTGAACGACAGCGAGACTTCTCAATGATCATTGTCATTTGTAATGGGCGATGACAACGAGTACAGTGAGGCAACAAATCGTTCAAGTTGACCTCATGATGCCCATAAACTCTCGTGATCTTTCTTGGTTAATGGTAAACAACAAAAAATTGCTTCCACCCAACATTTCTCGCTTTCAAATTTCAAATAAATACAAATTGTGCTTTTAATAGGCAAATCACTTTAAGACTCGCTTGTCATTAATTCTCATTGATTGTTAATGTTTTTGGGCGATTTTATTATCAAGCATCAAACACTTTTACTATCACTTTCGATACATTTTAGTGCACATATGTGGTGAGAAACTAGTTTGCATGCCTCGAAGCAAACACTCAAATTAATGTTTTCATTTAGGATAATTTGTAAGTTGGCCCTCGAGATATTTTTCAAATTACCCGCATTTGATCTTGTAAACTTTCTCAATTAACAACTTTCGTTGCTTGTTGAAGATCGCAAACATTGAAAACCGATCAACTGATCGTAATCTTATAAAATTCAGGTTTATCTACAAAATCGGCGACAGTTTCTTTGAAGAGTGACTTTCGCTAGTTTGCGGATTGGAAGCGTTGAAATAAATATCCGAAAAAAGCAAATTCATGTTTCTTTGCACAAGTACCATGAAGGAGTGAAGTAACATAACGAATAAATAATGACCACCTAGGATGAATACAGTTTAAAAGAGAATAAATATTTTAATTCCATATTTGGAATAGCTGAACAAAACATTTCAATTCAATGACTTAAGTCATAAGCAGTGATTAAAATTAAAACTGAACATTAATCTGAATTCAACGAGTTCATAGTTGACTACGACGTAATTTACGGTAAAGCTGAAATTTCTCATGAAGTTCAGCTCAATAAAAACTTTAATGAACTTAAAGTTTAATGTCATCGTCGAGCATTTTATTTCAATTTCGGGAGGAATGAAAGCATTCATTTGTTTAACAAAATTTGAGAAAGTTTTCCTCTTTCTTTTCGAGATTTTACAGAAAAATGTTCTCCAATCGCTAAAGGCAAATTTTCTCAGATATTCAAATGAACTTCTCTTTAATGTTTGCTTTTGAAAACCAAAAACTGATTTCTGTTGATTTTATAGCGATAAAGTTTTAAAGATTATTATTAACTTGTTTCGAAACGAGGCAGATAAAAAAAGCACAACGCAAATTGAATATGATTTACTAATAATTTACATTTCAAAGTATGAATTGAACCATCAATTAGATTAAATAAATAAAAAGAAAAAAGAGAAATGGCAGATGAAAAAACGTGAATGTGATCCAATATAAATTTGAGAAATTAAATTGTAACACGAGAGAAAAAATCTCAAACTGATGAAGACGAAAGAAAAAGAAGACTGAAGTTGATAAATGTTCAACAGCTAATGACACTAATCTAAGCTTGCATAAAACTATTAAGGGAAATGAAATGGAAACTTGTCTAAATTGTATCTCATTTCAATTTTGCTTGCAACTCGTGATCAGTTGTTTCATAGACAGTCAGCTTTAAGTAGCCAAATGCAAATTAATAGAAATTATTGTTGTTGAGTCTGCAAGCTGTCATTAAATTCAATACACAATGAATTGTTGAAGATATTTAGTGAATCAGAAGAAAAGTAGCCGCAATTGTTGCGTAATTGTTTTCACTTTAACAAATCAAAGAAGGAAAATCTTCATTCTAACTTTTGTTTCTGTAATTCAACTAATAACCTTTGACACAACCACCATTAACTTTCTCTGCTTAAGCTTAACTCGATTCAACTTCTCGTTTATCAAATACACTCTATCGAAAGCATTCATTGTAAACGGAAGAAAAATACTGTAAAAGCAGTTCAATAAAACACGATTTTCCCCTTAATCAAAGATTAACTCGATTCCATTAATTGAATCTCATAAATTTTACACTTTGTTTGTCTATATTTATTTGAAAGAACTTCATTGAGGTTCAAGTAAAATCATTTTGTCACGACCATGCAACTTTTCCTTTCTGATTGAATGAGTTTTACTCATTGCATTCACACAGGGCGCTTTATTATCGCTGCGGAAACTGAAAAAAGAAAAGCTTTTAGAAGAAAACAAAACAAAAATCGGATTATCACTGAATTTCAATTGTTTTTATTTCAAAAATGTTGTCAATGCGATTAAAAATTCTCAGATGTGAATGCTTTTCAATTAATCTCAATTAGAGTCTCTCAATTATGAGTCTAAAATATTTCGGAAGCTTCAGTCATGAAAAGTATGCTCGCTGTTGAAGCGATGGAAAAGAAAGCTGTTACTTAGTCTAAACAAACGACTTCATGGCAAACAAATTAATCACATTGTGGGATTTAAATTTGAATGCTATGTTGAAGCATAATTGATAGCATGTGTCCATACATATCTTTTTAATGCGATTTTATTATTCTTTTGAATGAGCTACAATAAAAGTTAATTTACGTCAAAAATTTAAGAGAAATTTTATGCATTTCCCACTCGCTGACACTGATGTCAAAGTGGAGATCACGTGCATAAAGCAGTCATGCTGATCATGCGACGAACAGTTAAATAAAAGTTGAGGAATCATTAAAACATATTTAATTAATTATCTTATTGATGTTCAAGATGATCATTAGTTCCAATTAATTGCACGCTTAGGGATTTCTCGTCTTAACAATCATTTACTTAAAAAAATGAAAAAGCTTATCTAATAAAATTGTTTCTCATAAATATTCATGCAGATATTTATTTTCACTTTCATACGAGACACTTAATTGATTTTCTATGGTATTAGATGAACATGAAATAAAGAAACAAGCGGGTAAGATGCGTTCAACCAATCCTAAGCAATTTGTCATCGATAAATTGATTGCAACTAATTGAATAGATGAAAGTTGAATGGAATCTTGCGTTTTCATGCCCGTTTATGCAATTCTTTAATCGTCAAAGCATATTCATAAATTTTCTTATGAAAACATAACACGCAAAGTTTTTACAATGAACATTTCAAATATTTTCTTATGTAAGCTTTCATTGATCTTTCCAATAAACTTTAATTCATTACGATAATAATAATTATGAGAAAAGAAAATAGAAATGCATTAGAAACTGTCTAAGTTGTTTATTATTATTTATTTTGAGAATTTGAGATTACAAAATTATGCGACAGAAAATCACATTCATGTGTTCCAAATGAAACATAAATTTTAACGATAACGCACGCCGCAATTGATGTAGCGCAGTTAAAAACTTTCACGACAATAAACTCAATGCAATCTACAATTCTGAAGATAATAAGTATCATTAATAACACTCTTTTATATTTACGTGCGTTTAATGTTTAAGTATTAAAGTGGACACTTGTTCTATACGAACTTTAAACTGCTTTGAACATTTAAATAATTTATTAAACTGTAACCGACCCATAAATTTAAGGTCGTTATCGATTTAATAGCCTGAGATAATAATTTCATTGAATTTACCTACAATTATGCGTGGCCCTTTCACAATTTACTTTTATTTAATATCATTACAACGCGTGTTGATCTCAATTTATCTTGCTTAACGAAAAAAATTAACAATTCTTGACATAATTTATGAACATTCATGAATTCTTTAATGAAAGATAAAACGTTAAATCTCCGACAAAATTATATAACTTTTGATCGTTATTTAAATATCTACCTTAAGTCGAAAAGACGGCTTAATTATTTGCTTAATAGCAAATACTCTTCCTATTATCTCAAGTTTTCCTTTCCCTTGTAACAATAAATATTTAAGTAAGACAATAGCTTCGTTTAGGTTTGAATATTACAATATGAAAAAGCATTTTTTATATGAATTTTAATTATTTGTAAAGTCTTAGAAGGAAAGTGAAATAATAAGATGAAAATTGTCACACAATGTAATATCTGTTGAGGCAAGTGTTGAGGTTTCTTTTGTTACTTACTTATGTAAATTTGTAGGTAATGTAATAAGACAAAATTTCATGTTTAAATGTTGATGAGTTTATGTGTTAATTTGTATTTTGTTAAAGCTTGAGAAAACTTTGATCTTGTCTTAAATGGATTCATTCTTAACTTGATTTTTATCATAATTAACAGGTTTAATTGGTCTAGGTTTTTTTGAGAATTGATGCAAATAAATTCCATAAATTAGTTTGGTGCTTTAGTGCTTGATAGCTTAAATAATTTAATCTTAATTTAGAGTGACAACGTCAAGGTGATTTGAAGTATGGAAAATTTCTCTGACAAGTTAAGGATGTCTCTTAGAAAGTCTTTAAGTTCAAAAGTTTACTCATTTACTTCAATCAGTTACAAGATTAATTTGAAGTTCGATTTGGTACGCCCAACTGTTGAACATTTCTCAGAAACTCCTTTTGTGTGTTTTATTTCGAATCTCAGTTCTTCGCAACTTTCTTCGTTTAACATTGAAGTAATGAATATCAGATTTAACTCAATATGAAAACATAATAAGCTTTTAATTAAAGACTTGGTCATTAATCAATCGAGTTTCTTTACACATTCAGCTGAATTTAAACTTAAACTTGATGATTGTAAAGCAAAATATTATTAAAAATTAAGCTTTCTCGATTTAATTTCAGATTTTTTATGTTTTATGATTGAAAATATCTCAAGCCCTTCACATTAATCCTCCATAACTAATGCACCGTTACTTTAAGCCTGAATGATTATAAATCGATGAATTGTTCTGCGATCGTTTTCAAGATCATTCTATATGATTTCAATGCGAACACTTTGATTGCATAAGCATTGCGATCAAAGAGTGACTGAATTAGACATAAAAATATGTATAACTCAATTAAAGTATGTTGATGCTTCAGAAGTTTCAATTTCATGCATGATCACGGTTGAAAGTGAAGCGAAAAAATAATTAAGACATGATACATTAAAAGATAAGTACATGTCGATTGAATTTGATGCATAAATCGTGACTAAAACATTGAATGTTCGTGGTTTTTAATATAATTTTAATGACTGCATCGATGTTCGACTCAAATGTTGATTGAAAGAAAGAGCGTTAGATGTATCTATGAAGTGTGAGGTAATTTCCATTAATTCCAAGAATTCTGCACAAAATTGTCTCGATTTCATAATTCCATCATTTTCATCTCTCGCTTATTCAACACCAAGTGAATGCAAGCGTGGGGAAGTTTTTTGTTTTGTTTTTCTTTTGTTTAATTGAATTCCAAGTTTTCTTTCGATTTTCTAAATCTCTCAAACTTAACATAAAGCATTAACAAAAATTTCAACTCATCGAATAAAGAAACGAGTTTCTAATCCCTCAACCTTATCTTTGATATTTCCCAGTCATCTTTAACATATTTATACATTCGCTTTCAATGCTAATTCAAGATTTCCGACCACCTGACACATAATAATTAAGAACAGTATTTGAATTGCGCATCTTTTCAAGTTTTTAACACTTCAATTCTTAAGATGTTGATTTTCCCGTTCAACATTTACCAATTATTCAATCGGCAATTTTAACATATTTGAGTGCTTCCTGAAATATTTCAAATCAAAAAACTATTCAGAAAAATTTTATTTCTCATCAATATTTATTGAATGCTTTAAAGTGTCTTGTTGACTGCTTAAGTTGATCTTCTTCGCAATCAGAAACTTTAAGTGATATTCTTTGTCTTGATATTTAAGTCAGGTTAAATAACCAAAACGTCAGCAAATATCAAAAGATTTTCCTTGACTCTCTGTAAAGCTGATTCATTAACGTAAAATTTCTGACATTGAAGTAGCGTGAACAAACGATAGTACATACTTAACACGGAGGCTTGTTCCACGTCATGGTGAATGAATTTTGACAATTTTCTTCCATTTTCAAGGATGAATTTTATTGAATTATCATCTCAATAGAGTTCAATACAGTCGGAAATGTGAAATAACATGAATGGACAAGACCTTTCTGACATCTTCTATGTATCTTGTTGTCTTCTTTGAAATAAGTGAGTAGATTTAAAGAGATTATAGTTAAGCCTTTATGCCTGAAAGCATTGAAAAGGGCAGGAAAGTTACAGTGATAAATGAAAAAATGTTTTTGAAGGGATTGCATTATATAATAAATCGCCCGATCGTTTTATCTTGTCTACATCAAGCTCTTAATGTTGCTATTAAACTTTTAATTCGATTAAAGCAATTAAACGGTATGTAGTGGAATTAAGTCAACTTCAGATTATAACAACAGTTTTTTAAAAGCCAAGCCGCTTTTGCTTTCATTATTTTCTCGTGATACTTGTTCAAATCGATCGATGAAAAATCGCTTTAATTAAAGAAGGTCATCATTTAAAGCAATCTCAATAAACTTTATGTTGCTTCAAAAAGGTTTCATAACATCATCTTCAATAAACAAAAAAAAATTAAGATCAACGAGTGCATCTTATTTGAAATATTATGCAAAACGATCGAAAAAATGCCGAGTTGAAGACTATTGAAATGTTGAAACAATCTTTTAACAATCAACAAGTTCATCATCATAACCACCAGAAAAATTTCTTAATTGTAATGCAAAAGCAATTATTAATAATTGTAACAAGTGATTGTGACACATTTCAAATTAAAACCACTACTTTTAAGTCAACAAACTCATTTCTCTTGTCTCCACCATCATGTTTTATGTTATTGATGTACCGAACAATAAATAAATGTTTGGACATCAAACTGGTATAAAAAGAAATTGTTGATATTAAAATGTTTAAAAAGTATTCAATGTGAAAATCTCATTCAGCAATCAACTGTTGATGCCTTGAAAAAATAATAATCGATGACGTACACGTAGGTGGTTGACTTTAAACCTTGTATAAAGTTTTCTATGATTGAAATCATTTAAATGCACATAAGCGAAGATCGAAAGATGATTGGAATGATAAACAATGCAAATAATAAATGCACAGAAATCGATGGAACTTTCTAATGAAAGTAAATTTTCACTTTTATTTTCAGAATTTCCTTCGATGTCGAAAAACCTGAAAATATTTAATTATTATGCTTACATATATGTTAAGGAAAAAGAGAACTTTTCAAAAAACTTATTAAGCATAACAATAGTATTTAAATAAAAACCATGATGATATACTTTTGAGCGCCAAAGCGATATATTGAATTTTAATTACATCTACCTTAGAAAATATAAAACAGTCATTAAAAAAAGTGATTAATTACCATAGTCTATTGAAATCAAGTTGCTGGTTTCTAAAATATACTCAATAGCTGTTTAATTATGTTCATAAATTAACAGCATAATAAAACACATTGCCGCTAAGATTGTGAATTAAATTTTATTAGACTTGTAAATAAATTGTTATTCGAAGAGAGATGGTTGAAAGTTGGAAGATCTTTGCTTTCTTCTTGATCATTTTAAGATTTAATATTCAAATCTCATACAGTTTTCTTCATCTTGACAATTGTTCATTAAATTGTTGATACTAATTAGAAATATTCGTGCTCGAAGCGTTTTCGCCTGTGGTCTTGTCGGTTAAAAACTAATCTAAAGTAGCGAAATGCTATCATTAAAAGTAAGATGAAAGCATCTAATTGAAGGCTTTGATACAATGAAACTCAATTCATCATTCTATTCATCATCTTTTGTTACAAAATAAAGGCAATTTCGTTTTCAAATTTTTAACGGAATTTCTCTAAATTGGATTAACTTTTTTCATTCCTTTTCTTTCGTGTGGAGCTGTGACCATTTATAGATCACATTAAAGTTCTTGTTTGCGTTTCACTTTCATTTCTTTCTTCGTTGTCCGAAAAAGAAGAAAGAAAATACAAAAGCACAACCGAAAGCGAGATCGTGATGTTCATTGAACGTATTTTGTAATGATTCAGATGATATAATTCAAGATATAATTGAAAGTTCATGCTCATGAGATGAAGAACATTCAACATGAGAGAAATTAAAAATGTATCTGTTCAGACGGCTAAGTGACGCTGAGTCACTAACCGGATGAGGTTTACGATTGGCATTTGGCGAAACAAAGGATTAGGATAAAGAATAATCCCCTTTTCTGTCTCCTCCGAATATTAGTCATACTAGCCCATAGAATCATAAAAATCCCTTATCCTAAAATTATCCGTAACAGATGGAATTTTCCATTCCCGAAATCTCTGCAATCTCAGAATTTCAAACATAATTAATCAAACTTTTAAAGCAAATTGTATCCTGCATAAGGAATAAATAAAATGTTCATAAAAACAATTAAACTCAAAGCAATTTAAATAATTGGCGATCCAACCAGGATCCAAAAGTGAATAAAGAAAAAAAAAACCCGGAAAACAAAAATAGTGAGACGTGGAAAGTGAAGTGAAGCGAAAGATCATGAGAGATAGAACGGAAGAAAACCTTCAAGGGTTTTTTGACCGGTATCAACAGCTGGCCAAGGAAATGGAAGCACTAGAGAACCCTCCACTGCAAGCGATGGAAGACTATCTAGAAAAAGAGAAGACGATCAGGCTCCATATAACCGATCAATACCTGAAGGCAGCAAAGACCAGGAACATCACCGCTGAACTCCCTAGACACGAACTTAAAGCATAAGTTGGAACAGTGGATCGGGGTAACATATGCTATGCCGTCATCCCAAAAACTTTGGTATATTAACGAATTTTTCAATAATAATAGGTAATTACAACTGATAAAAAATAATTCAATCAGTAAAAAACTAAAAACTCGAGCTGTAACTAACTCAACACTATAATCTTATTCTTCATTCGTTTAATAGAAATTTGAATCCAAGTTAAAATATCCTTTAAAATAATGAAAATGACTTATTGATTTAAACAATTTTATAAATATATTTTTTATATAGAACTACTTTTAGTTGATCACTGAAGGTATAAACAGTTACTGAGCTGATAAAATTTTCTTACTGCTTTTATACGTTTTTCCTCATTTATGCCACAGTTCTTGGAAATTTCCAGGATCAGATGTTTTTCTTACGGATTTCATACAGCACTATAATTAAAAAGTAATTAAGAATATTTTACACTTTTAAAATATTAAATCAAAAATTAATTAAAAATCTTTTACACTTTTTTCACATTGTAGTTGATGTTAACAACTTGAATGTGAGTTCAGAACTGATTACAAATCTTCTTTTACTTTCTTCTCCTTATTCTAAGTAATTAACTTAGAATATAATTAATTAAAAAGTAATTAAATAGTAATTAACTCTTTCCAGAGAATTCGATAAATTTTTTTAACGGTCGAGATAACTTTCCATCACCAGATGTTGCTGTCGTGTAAATTTCATATCTCTGAAAGTTGAAGTTTTATTTATTATTTTAACACGAGCTAGTTCATGTTTTAAGTTTTAGTCGGAAAGAATTTTATTTCAGTTTGTCGAGGTTTATATGTGAATTGTCAAGGTTACATGAATGATAAGAGTTAAACTCTTTTACTCTCTTCTAACACTATCTAACTTCTTAACAGTAAACTTAGAATTTTAATATCATATTGAGGTTTCTGTCATATTTCATCAATAAACTCCTTCAACTATGTCATATGTTCGCAACCTAATCCTGAACAAATTTTATTAAATTTCAAAAGAAATTTGTATGCATAATTTAAACAAATATTTTTTATAATTGTTACATTGATTTTCGAATCTCGATCTAAGAGATACCAGTAGCAAAATGCAAATTAATAGAAATTGTGATTGTTGTTCATTGAGTTTGTAAGCTGTCATTACATTGAATAAACAATGAGTTATGGACATTCTGAATGAAAATCAAGTAGTTGATGTATAAGGAGCTGGCAATTGCGTAATTGTTTGTTTGTTTCTACTTTCAATTACGGACAATTTCAAACATTGACAGCGTATGGAATTAAAATCTAACATCAACCTATGAACTGAGTATCAAGCAACAACACTTTCACTGAATGTTGCCTTATAGGTAAACATATCTGTGCTTCTGATTGATTTCAGCTTACAAACATAGAAGTTTTAATGGTGATTTAGGTTTCACTTTTATTCGTCTCATGTTTCGACCTCATCAACATGATTTCACTTAATTTAGCTGGCGTTGATAATTTTGGATCTTGACACTGAACTGTCGCGGTTGTCGTGCACATGCTAAAGCAATATTATCTCAAGGAATTATCTTCAAAAGAAAACATCATTAAAAAGCTATTTGAGTTATCAGTTAATCCATTGTCTCTTGCTTTGGAATTTAAAGTATTCACAGGAAATTTTTTATGCGAATTTTTCATTTTCATCAATCTCAATTACAGGTATGAGCGGTGTTCGGCTTAGAAAATTAACAAAATGTCTTTAAAAGTTTGTTGTGAATGACTGAAAAAGAAAGTCAAAACAGCATGTTATGTTGACTTTATTATGTTTTTATTACTGCATCAAACTTTAGAAATTAGTTGCAATATTATGTTGAACATATATTCAAAACATAACTCACCGTTTACAACTTCATGTTGCATAAAGTAAAGAAGTTATTTTCTTCTTCTTTCTATGACTATTTCAGGTTCGGTGTAGATTCAACCGGCTCTAATTTGGCAAACGAAAGTTTTGTACAACAAGTTAAAATTAAGCGGAACGAGATAATAAATAAAGTTAATGATTTCGAATTTCAGATGTGAAGATCATGGAAATTGAGCGGCAAAAATTATTCTTAACATTGACCATTTAAGAGAAACAACATATCGTTATACACCAGCTTTGGACATTCATATAGTGTTTAATTAATTTATTGCACATAGCTATTACCATTTTTTATTCTCTTAACTTTTAGTGGACGAACGGATGGAAAGAAATCGCTGTCATAAATGAATCGTGGTCACAATTAGTGAAAAGAAAATCTTTTATTAAGCCAAAGGTATTCTTCGAATGGAAAAATTTGCATTGACAGCAATAAATCTTGCTTAAAAAGAATTAACATGACAAACAATTAACAATGTATCTCATGTGATAATCGAATGAGAGTCGTAAAAGTAGTTCAGTAATAGAAAGCATGCTAAAAAGCATGAAATTGTTTGTTTTCACACCGTAATTTCTGACATGATACACAAACACATAAACGTAGCATCTATCTAGACAATGGATTTGCTAAGTCGTAAATTTTCTCATTGTTGCAATGTAACATGAAAAAATCGCTTTGTCTTCAGTATTTCTTCATTTGCAAGAAGGTAAGAAAAGAAGAAAAAAACAGAACATGTGTGATTGACTTGAATTTAGAAAGTCGAATGGTGAATGAATGCATTTTGCCGTGAAAAAAATAAATTAAATGATTTATGAGTTATGCTTTCAAGTGTCGTTGACTTATGAATAAATATGAAACCAAAATAATTCTTGAGAAATTACCGTAGTTAAAGTTTAATATTTTGAAGAAAAATTGAACAAATTTTGCCATAAAATTAAAAACGTCAAAAAGAATTTCAAGCTGTAAAAATTCCTTTGTTTTTGAATTTCATCATTTTAGTCATTTTCGTATTTATTTCGGCAAGAATTTAGTCATTCAAATTATGTTCCTTGCTGTTCTTCAAACTTATTCTTAAAGATTCTTTAAGCTTTCTAAAATAAGGAAAGATAAATTAAATAAAATTTTGAAGCGTCTTAATCTAATAATATTCGTCTATAGCATAAATTGTTCCAGATTTGTTCTTGTTCAGATAATTTTTATTTTGATCTTCTGCGAATTCTTTGTATGTTCATAATCATTTTCAGCGTAAGAAAACGACTTGAAAAGAAGCTGAGAAGAAAAACCAGTTTTCAATATTTCGCAGTGAAGAAGCAAATATAAAAAATATTCTACAAAACCGGAGAAAGAAGAGACACATGAAATATTTCATATGTTCACATTCGTTCATGTGTGCTTGAAAGCACATTCCAATGTTTCACAGCAACAAAGAAAACATTCAAATTCAGTGGAACATTCAACGCACTAAATGTTGATGTTTCAAAACATTCCAATGTTTTTAATGCTTTTCCGATGTTTTTTAAACATAAATCACAGCATAAGAGTTTGAAAAGTTTAAAATAAATGTTCTCTAATGTATAACGAGAGAAATGGGTTGACATAGATTTTAATGATAACGTACATGCAAACAGTGATATATTTTCAACAAACTAATTCTTCTTATTGATCTGCAACCATAAAAGATGGAATATTAATTAGAGAAACTGTACAATGCATTGCAATGTCTTGAATTATCATGATGAATTGGCAGCGCATGTGCACCTAATGACGAGAAAAGAATATCACTTCAAGATTTTCTCTGTTGCTAATAGGAAGCTTGAAATTTAAACAGAAATCATTTCTCAAAATATCAGTTTAAAAATAAACAAGTTTTAAATCGTCCCACGCGTTCAAATTCTCGATGTCTTGCTCTTAATGTTATGTAGCTTTTTTTATGATCGCTTAGGTCGGTTTATTTACAATTTGCTACGAATATTAATGACTTTTAAAGAGAACAAGGAAACTTGATAAAAATAAAGTGAGTCGTGAATACATTGACACTGAGCCAGCATGAAGATGATTACAAACAAGGCTTTTACCTTTTTTCAATTAATTGGATTTTGTGGTTTCTTTTTCATACTATAAATAGTTTTCTGTTTGTAGATTCATTAAGCTCTCTTCAATGTGTAGCTTCACACTCAACTGTAGTGTAAAATAATAATTTATTAAGCAAATATTGACCACGCATTCAATAAAATTCCTTGTTGCGCAAGCAAACATGTTCAACCATTACTGATTGACAGAAACGTGCCGATCAATATTTATGCATGCAAGATAAATTATAGCGTCATTCAACGAAATCGAAACTACAGATTTATTATTTTCAAATACACTTTTTAATGAAATAAATATTTATATATGTGCATTACATTTCATCTTGACTTTAAAAGTTGTTAGATTGATATTTACTCTCTACTTAGTTAAGAAACGAGATACTTTAGCGATGTAGTAATTGAACTAATGTAAAAGTAAGTTCAAAATAAATAAAAGGAATCTGCAATTGTTAAGCTAATAGTTCTGATGTTTAATGAGCAATTTATTCACTAACAAAGACAACTTTTCATCCATCAAGCGATTGATTTGTGAACTTTTATGTAAAACTACTCACTCTCATTTAGATCTAACTTCCTGCAATGTACACTCAACAACCTTTCATGCTGTGTTTTAACTTTTAACTCAGCATACATATTTCTGACTTCATGGTGGTCCATTGTCTATCAACGGAGTTGACATGTAGTAGCAAAATAGTCGAGAAAATTTAATCAAAAAACAAGACGGAAATATTATTAACAAGCATTTAACTACGCTACTGCCTTAAACAATTAAAAGAAACATTTTTCGCATAAGATACTTAATGTTGCACAACAAGTTATGAAAAGTTTAGATTGCTAAGACAGAAAACTGAAAGGTAAAGACTTAAAAAATGAAAGCATCTATCAAAAGTTACGCAAATACATTCGATGCCTCCTTTCATCGTAAGAAGTCAACCCGCATTTTGCACTCGTTGATCGTGCAAAGGTACATTAACTACAAATAAATATTTATTTGTTCTTCCGTATGTGTAATAAAAATTCACTTATTAACCAATGAATTTCTGCTAATTCCAAATTTCTTACGATCCAATCCGACTGTGCATAAAAAATTCATTTTAAATCACTGCAAAAACTCATAGAAAGCAATAAGAAATTGTTCAACATGAAAAACATCCATGAAACTTAACAGCTTGTGGGATAATTGAAGTATTAATTATGCTTTGAACGTAATATGTGTAATCAATAGACATTAACTCAGGAACGAAGCTCGTTCAAATATTATTGTGATAAGTTATTCAGTTTATTTATGTAACTTAACATTAAACCTTATCATGTTTATATTTAATTGAAGATGTGTTGAAAGTTCACACGCGTGGGTATCTTCGTAAGTGTCATTTATAAAATTTAAACGTTTTTGCTTTCTCCTTCTTACAAGAAGTAAGTTTTTTGATAAAACGCCATAAAGACGATTAGCGATAATCAAACGATTCGTTACGCTGCTTGAATCATAGATAAACTGCGCATCTTCTGATCTTATGCTGAAGTTGAATTTATAACCGCGCTAGTGAAAGTTCATTTAAGGTTTCATTTTAAACCGTCATCATTTTACTTACACGCAAAGATGCTTTTCGGACAAGATAAAATCATTTTATATTGTTTTACAACTCGAAACAAATTTGTGGTGCGGAATGCTTTATGTTTGCGTTTTATGGTGGAATTTTTCTTGGTTTCATTCAACAATTTTATAGACGTAAATAATTAAAAATAATTATTCGCAAATATAATTTTCTAATGTAAGAGATTATGTTATGATGATTAAAGTTTCAATTATCTAATAGGAGAAAGAAATACTACTCATTCTATATTGTTTCGAAACTTTTTGTTTTATGAAGGAAAATCTTAATAAAAAGTTTGTTTGATTTAAACAGAGTCTATTGGTAAGAAAATTGACGACTCGTCTAAAAGCTTGCCTTAAATTTATGTTTACCGTATAATTTCATATACGTTAACTGTCTACATACATTCTCATGAAATTCAACTTTCATTTTCATTCAAAAGTAATAAGAAATAGAAACACTTTTCCATCTTTAATGAAGATTCATTTCTTCTTTCCGTTGATCTTTTTTGATTTAATGGTCGGTCCCAACTGATGTTTAAATGAAAACTTTGAATACTTTTTGGATACTGGATACATCCTCAATAATTAAGAAATACATTTAAAGATCCATTTCAATCAAAATCTAATAAATCTTCTTTTTTGGAATTGGTAATTTATACCTTCATCTTCTTCCTTTCTAATCAACAGAACTGTATAATAATTTTAGCACATCATAACTCATGTAAATGATTTTCTAGCTCGGAAACGTAAATATGGATATTTAAACCCAAGAAATAAATATTAAATCATCATAAGACATCATCTTGACAGATTTCTTTTCGGCATCCATCAAATGAAACGTGCGTAAGACTCATTCAACATCACCGTTAAACTGAAAGTTTCTTGAGATTACTACAATTGCTTCCCACATAATGTGATTTTAAGCGATGAATTGATTCACTTTTTGTATACATTAACACATGATACTATCTTTATAATAGTTACATTAACAAGTTTATGAATTATTGTTTGCTCCATTTGCTAGTTTGTGAAAGTTCTCTTCATTTTTGAAGCTTCAGTTTTGAAATTTACTTGGAGTAACAGGAAATCACTGCAGAATAAGTCAACTCATATTTAAGAAAGAAAAATAATAAACATGATATTAATTATTTTCCATCAAAACTGAAGACTAATTTAATTTTTTTTCCTATTAGTACATATTTCAATCATCTAAATGAAAATATGAAGGAATTCAATTTTCCTTTCTAATTTTTCCCCCTATTTAGATTCATTCAAGAATGAAATTTCATCCTTACAATATCAAGGAAACGAGTTTGCTTTGCATGACTTGAATACGAATTTTTTCTTCGTATCGATTTTTAAAATTCTTTTCACTTTGTTATGAAACAAATTTCCAAATACAAAAGAAGGCAACTTGGAAATATTTTATTATGCTCTGTAAATAGTGTCGAAATAATAAAACATATGTTGAAATAATTTAAAACACATTCATCTTTAATCGATGATTTATTTGAGCTTGAAATACATAAATTTATAAAAAATTAAACTTTTTTCAAATGATCCCATCTAGTTGATCATTAATAGCAAAAACTAGCACAATATAAACATTTTCATCTTTATTAATCTGTGCCAAAATACTTTTGTCCGAAATGATTTGGCGCAACTGGATTTAATTCCGATGTGAGGATTTTCATATCCGGAAAATGCTGAATGACCATTTGCGCTGCAATTGGTGTACAAAAGAGATTTGAGAGAATAATACATTTCTCAGGAACGCCATGTTCTTTCAGGACATTAACAGCTTGTACGACTGTGTTCCCAGTGCTCATAATTGGGTACATAAGCAGAACTTGTCGTCTCGCAACATCATCGGGGAATCTTGCATAAACAACTTTAGCTTCATGAGTTTCAGCATCTGACTCGACTAAAATTTTTCCTATTCGAATTGATCGGCAGCAATCACGAAGTCCCTGAAATACAAGAAAATAGAAAATAATTTTTAAAGTGAACTTCAAGTCGAAACTTCAAGAAAAAACCTGCTCCATAGCTTCGCCAGATCTAACAATTGACACTCCACAGTTTCCTGATTGATATTTTAAGCCTTCATAAATTCCCCCTATTAGAAATAACATAACATAATTAAATTTTTCTTTCTTTCTTTTTAATTATTTTATTACCTGTAGGCGTTACAACCGAACAATCTGAGTAAGGAAGTTGATTCAAACTTTCTTCTATTACGAGTCGAATTAATCTGTCAGCATAGAATTTGAAGTCACTTCTGTTGGTATTTTTATCTCTTAAAATTGTCTGTAATTCTAAAAAAGAAATAAAAACACGTTCATTTGTGTAACAACCAAAGAAAAAAAAATGTGTTTAGTTTTTCTCACCCTTTATTTGATGATTTGGCAGAAGAATTTTGAAGTTTTTACCGTAATCTGTATCCATTTGATTAGTCTCACTTGCTACTGCATTCATATTATCTTCTGTGCTTCGTGTCATTTCTTTATTTTAATTTTATTAAATTCTTTCAATTTTGTTGTGTTTCTTTAAAATTCGAAAACTGAATTCGAACATACAATTCGAAATGTGGGAAACTTTAATTTCACTTGTAGATGGAGCAACGGTGCATTGTGGGCTTCACAGGTGTAAATGGAAGTCTTCTTTTTTTAATTAAACAGATCCTTCAATAAAGAAAAATATTATATTAATAATCAAAAAATAAAAATCCAAACCAAATGATCTGATGATGAGTCATCAACCAACTTTAATTAATTCAGAAAATTTTTAAAGGCTTTCATTTTAAACTTTCTCGGTGTGTGAAATTATTCACTCTCATTAATATTCCTAAGGGGAAGTTAACCAACTACTTACACCATTCAAAAACATTTCACCGTACAAAGTTAAAGGCTTTGAGGGGAAATAAAAAAGAAAATATTGAACATTCATTAATTATAAGAACTATCTGATATCGTTAAATGAGTTCAGTTTACAGTTTTTCGTCTTACTCTGAGGGTGATCTTTGAGAAAATGAAACTGCTATTTTGGATTATTATGTTGGTAGTCGTGATATCTGGTAAGTTTCATCTTTTGATTTTATCAAGTTGTAGATTCTAATTGAAACATTTTCACAGCTTTCGCAGAAGAAAAAAAATTATGTCCATGGAAACTCTGTCCTGCTGGTAAAGCTTTGAACGATGATTGTGAATGCGGATGCATTCATTCCCTTGCAGATAAAAGCAAAATTGCTAAGATTTTAGCCAAGAATTGAATTCAATAGATATTTAAGTTGTGCTTTATACTATGCTAATTTTAAAGAATGAACAATAAACTATTCCCAATAACTATTTATTCAACTAAAATTGTTTAATTTTTTTTATTTAGGACTCTTGCAAAATTAACAATAAATTTTTTTTTATAATTTTATTCTGCCTAAATAGTCGATTTTGCTGTTCTTTGTCAAAGTTTCATACAACTTGACTATGCAGATAGCTTGATTCTGAAGGGAAAACTTTTCAGACAAGAAATTTCATCACTCAAATTTTTTTAACCATGAAAAGTAAAATAAAAGCTAAAGTGAAATATTCAAATTGTTACTTCAATTTTGGATCAATCGAGACTCAATTTCCAACATGAAATAAAAGTTTTAATACATCTACTTAGACAGTTTATCAAAATGACACTTACTTAATGTTACATGCTATGTATGTGAATTTAGAGATGATCTTTAAGTGTTGATTTTCATTATACCCCACCATATAAAATTCCAGTACAATATTGAGGGGAAGGCATCCTTTTGATTATAAAAGAGTTTTTTAATAAAACTTTTTGCTTAGTTGTCATTGTTTCGTCTTACTAAGAGAAACGCCAACCATAAGCAGCGAAAATGAAACTTCTGATCTTATTTGTTGGAATGATCTTCGTTGCGGCTGGTAAGAAAAAAATTTAATTTGCGTAGAAACAAAATAATTTTGGTTTTTTGACAGCATATGCAAGCCTGCCAAGCAGTCATAATCAAGAAATTATTCTACACGATTGTGCTGTAACTCCATGTACGAATGGACAAAGGTTTGACATAGTCAAATGTCAATGCGTTAGTAAACATGGATTTAGCGCAAATGAAAGAAAAGAAAGGGCAATGAGTAAAGGTAAAAAAAATCGCGAAAGAAAGCGAGAAGAAAGAAGAAAAAGAAAAGCAAGGAGACAAAGAAGAAACTAAAAATGTTCTTATCAAAGAAAAAAACAAAGATTAAAATTTAGGTTGTACATATCTTAAGTATCTTGATTTTTATTTATTAATTTATTAACAATAAAAGTTTTCCGAAATATTGATGAAATATAATAATTTGTTGGTTTTAATTGATGAATAGTTGATTATGTAAAAATTTCTTAATTTCTTACAGATTATATTTCTTCAGAATTTATTTTCTGTTTGACTTTCCACGTCACTTGTTTTCTCGCATCAAGTAGTAACAAGTTTTCAAGATAATTCAACAAAATGAAAAACGTGTCTTAATTTACGTAGACACATCTGTTTTGGTGTTATTGAAAAATGAACAAAGAACGTATTAAATTTGAGGTAAATATCACGTACACCCTTTTTAATTAAAAAGCTTTTGTCAAGTAATTATTTTATTCAAAATTTGATTAAATACAATCTTTTTAAGCAATAAAATAGAGGGTTTCTTATTAACAGGTTTGTGGAAAACTCATGCTAGATCTTATGATGACACATCCTAAGGAGATGAATAAGTCTGATCAAAAGATTCATAAAAACTCCCAATCCAGACTAATAAAGTTACTTAATTTATCACATTCATTATAATCATTATCATGAGAGGACTAAAAGGAAAGCCAAAATACTTGACTGGAAAGAACCAAGGAAAACTTTGTTCTTTTAAGTCTAGTGAACCGATTATAACTTATATGTATGTTTAAATTGAAAGATTGAGAATGAAATAGTGATCTAGGATATTTATAAATCAAAGTATATGCATAATATAGCGAACAGAAAGTAAAGTATCGCAATTTGTTTTAAAAATTATTCTGAAGAAAAAAAATACAGCAAATTGTTGATCTTAAGTTTGTTATTTTTAAATGAAATATTAAATAAGTTTTCGAAATAGCACAAACTCAACACATAAATGAGACTACCAACACTATTAGTAAATACGAAATAATTTCAGCATTTTCAATTATATTTGCAAAAGACTAATAATTCTATTTACTAATTTTCAATTCTGAAATGATCTAGAAAATCTTTTTATGCTTTATTTTCCACCTCATATAAAAAAAAATGAGGGGAAATTACTATGATAGTACATGCCATTTTTAATATTCTGAATGATGACGATAAAAATATTCACGTCATTTATTCTTTTAAGTAGGTATTTAAGCCATTTAATTTTTCTTATAACTGAGCAGGTGTTTTTAATTTTGTTGAATACAATTGAAATTTGTTCATGCATCATATCAATTTTTCGTACCACCTCCTATAATTTAATTTCCATCGTTGAGTAGTTGAGTTTGTTCACCAATATTACAATTATTTTTTACTTTAATTCATTTAGGAATAATCGTTTACCACCAAACTTATATGTATGAGAAATTATTATCGGAAAATAACTTTTAACTCATAACTCCACTCATGATTAGTTTTCGACATGATAAAAATTTAAATAAATGTATAGTTTTCTTTTGAGTTCTACCATTTTCAAGCTTTACGATCTAGTTGAATTAAATTAAATTAAATTCAAGCCTGCTTATGCCTACTCGTATTTAAAATAAAATAAAGACAAAGCAAAAACAGATCTCCCTCCCAACTTTTTTAAAAACATTTCACTTAACTTATACTCATTAATAAAGCGCAATGCAAATGAATAATGCACTTTTTCATTATAAAAAGCAGATACTCGATTCATCCTTTTCAGTCAAGCTTGTACTGTGAAGAATAAAACTTTAAATATGAAGATTATTCTTTTCATATTTACATCATCGATAATAGCTTTAGCTTCAGGTTTCTTTAAATTTCAATATATTTGGCGGAGAATATTAACTATAAAGTAAATTTCTCCTAAACACTAGGTGATCATTTGAAATGTGGAAGAGTGGCGCCAAAGTGTGTCTACAATCAAGATTGTGACATCATTTGCAGTATGGTCACGTATGCTCCAGATTTTATCTGTGGAAAAGATTCAAAGCCTGAAATTCTTGAACATCCAAATGGAGAAACAATGATTTGTTGCATGGATATAAGTGGAAATGGTGAAAATGCAGATTATTCTTTGTTATGAACATAAAGCATTTAATTTATTACAGAACCAGAATGCATACCTTCAACGGACCCTCCAACAAATCCACCAACAGATCCACCAACAGACCCTCCTACTGATCCACCAACAGATCCACCAACGGATCCTCCAACAGACCCTCCCACTGATCCACCAACGGAACCTCCAACAGATCCCCGTAAGAATTTTTGAGTGGTTAATCAATTGTTATTTTTCATATAATTAAATTTATTTATAACTAGCTACCAATCCTCCTTGTACAAATTATCCTGGAAGTGACGAATTCGAAAAAGCTGTTGATGATTTAAAGAAATTAAGAGATGATCTTCAATCTGCTGGATCATCCACATCTGAAATTGACAGTGAAATTGATCTGATTCAAGATGCCATCGATGAACTTGTTAATTATAACTTATTATTAACACTGTATTTAGATGTCACTTTTGTGAGTGAAAGAATCTCATACATCAAAACAAAATTGATAGATTTACAATTTGATGTCGAAGCATTCACAGATGATTTAGAAGCAAACTTTTCATGTGGTGGCAAAGATTGTGGAATGAATCCAAACATTTATTTGCGTGTTACAGATTGTGCTTGTGTATGTCGATTGAATTGCCAAACTTCCCAAGGAGAAATATTCTATTGGAACAAATGTACTTGTGCTCAATTTCAAGAAGGAACAGTCGTTTATGAATGGAGAGATACTATTAATAATCTCATTGACAAGATTTCTGTTATCACAAGTGAATCTGAAGTTGTGAAATCTAAACTCATTACACTTTATGAACTTTATGATGATGCAGAAGCAGTTAGACAGGATATGCAGCGCAATTTCGAAGATCTTGATAAGGATGAATTGAAACAACGAATTGAAGAAATCACAAAACGAATCGATGAAATTACAACAGAAGTCAATACTTACATTACCTCAGAACAAGTTTGTGCAGGAAGCGATTGTCCCGAAAACTACACTCCAGTAAAGGAAACTTGTGAATGTTATACATCTGGAAAAGTTGAAAAACATTTTGAAATTTTAACAAGATTCAACATTCTTGACAAGGAAATCTTCAGTTATAATGGTAAAGATGCTGATGGCGAAATCGATGGATTAAAAGAAAGAGCTATGGCTATTCGAGATCTGTTTGAAACACTGTTCAATTACTTCTATAATAACAGTGAAGCACCTGATGATGCTGCAATTGATGCGCTGATTCAAGAAATCACTGAAAAGGTGGAACAACTCGAAAACGATTTTGCTGATTTTTACGACAAGAATAATCCATCAAGTGAATGTAAATTGGAAGGTCCATGCGAAAGCAACGAAGTTCTCAATAAGGCCAGAAGTATTTGCGCATGTATTCCAGTAGAAAACTATGAAATGCTTCCAGATATTGAGAATGACTTGGAAAGACTAAGAACTGACATAAATGCCCTTGAGGTATCTCAAGACAAAAAGGATATTCTTCTTGAAAACTTAGACAGGTTAGAACAAGGAATACCGGACTTGCATAATTATGTTGACGAGTTCTCTAAAAATCTGGATATGACCTTTGTGCAAGGAAGAACAGATCAACTTGTTGGATGGTATGCGAAACTTAACTCTGATGTTGCTGCAGCTCAAGGAGATAACACAGTCGAAATATGTGATGCATCATGCCCTAATGCCAGATGGAATTATGATGCCGAAGCCTGTTCTTGTACATGTGACGTTCAATTTTGCTTTGAAAGTGAAGAAGTCGTTGACCCTTGGGGTTGTCAATGTGTGGAAAAAACTGATTGCCTTAAGACTTCAGATTCATGCGGCGATGGCGATATATTGGATTATGCTATGTGTGAATGCAAACCAGCGCCTTAAATCAATCTTTGATAACATAAATAAAAGTTGGATAGATTTAATTTGGGAATTATTTTAATGTTTATTTCATAAGTAAAATTAGCAAATAAAATCTAAAGTTAAAGCACAACTTAANAACCTCCAACAGATCCCCGTGAGAACTTTTGAGTGGTTAATTAATATTTTTCTCTTTAATATATAATTAATTTTATTCATAACTAGCTACCAATCCTCCTTGTACAAATTATGCTGGAAGTGACGAATTCGAAAAAGCTGTTGATGATTTAAAGAAATTAAGAGATGATCTTCAATCTGCTGGATCATCCACATCTGAAATTGACAGTGAAATTGATCTGATTCAAGATGCCATCGATGAACTTGTTAATTATTTGAATAATAATTGTGACAATTTAGATGTCACTTTTGTGAGTGAAAGAATCTCATACATCAAAACAAAATTGATAGATTTACAATTTGATGTCGAAGCATTCACAGATGATTTAGAAGCAAACTTTTCATGTGGTGGCAAAGATTGTGGAACGAATCCAAACATTTATTTGCGTGTTACAGATTGTGCTTGTGTGTGTCGATTGGATTGCAATTTATCACAAGGAGAAATATTCTATTGGGGAAAATGTACTTGTACTGATTTCGAAGAAGGAACAGTCGCTTATGGATGGAGAACTACTCTTAATAATCTCATTGACAAGATTTCTGTTATCACAAGTGAATCTGAAGTTGTGAAATCTAAGCTCATTACACTATACGAACTTTTGGATGATGCAAACGCAGTTAGACAGGATATGGAGAGCAATTTCGAAGATCTTGATAAGGATGAATTGAAACAACGAATTGAAGAAATCACAAAACGAATCGATGAAATTACAACAGAAGTCAATACTTACATTACCTCAGAACAAGTTTGTGCAGGAAGCGATTGTCTCGAAAACTACACTCCAGTGAAAGAAGCTTGTGAATGTTATACATCTGTAAAAGTTGAAAAATATTTTGAAATCTTAACTAGATTCAATATTCTTGACAAGGAAATCTTCAGTTATGATGGTAAAGATGTTGATAATGAAATCGATGGATTCAAAGAAAGAGCTATGGCGATTAGAGATCTGTTTGAAACACTGTTCAATTACTTCTATAATAACAGTCAAGCACCTGATGATGCTGCAATTGATGCGATAATTCAAGAAATCACTGAAAAGGTGGAACAACTCGAAAACGATTTTGCTGATTTTTACGACAAGAATAATCCATCAAGTGAATGTAAATTGGAAGGTCCATGCGAAAGCAACGAAGTTCTCAATAAGGCCAGAAGTATTTGCGCATGTATTCCAGTAGAAAACTATGAAATGCTTCCAGATATTGAGAATGACTTGGAAAGACTAAGAACTGATATAAATGCCCTTGAGGTATCTCAAGACAAAAAGGATACACTATTAGAAAACTTAGACAGGTTAGAACAAGGTATACCGGACTTGCATAATTATGTTGACGAGTTCTCTAAAAATCTGGACATGAACTTTGTGCAAGAAAGAACAGATCAACTTGTTGGATGGTATGCAAAACTTAACTCTGATGTTGCTGCAGCTCAAGGAGATAACACAATGGAAATATGTGATGCTTCATGCCCTAATGCCAGATGGTATTATGATTCTGAAGCCTGTTCTTGTACATGTGACGTTCAATTTTGCTTTGAGGATGAAGAAGTCGTTGATCCTTGGGGTTGTCAATGTGTGGAAAAAACTGATTGTCTTAAGACTTCAGATTCGTGTGACGAAGGCGAAATATTGGATTATGCAATGTGTGAATGCAAACCAGCGCCTTGAATCAATCTTTGATAACAATAATAATAGTTGGATAAATATAATTTGGGAATTATTTTAATGTTTGTTTTATAACTAAAATTAGCAAATAAAATCTAAAGTTAAAGCACAACTTAAATAAAAATGTTTCAATTGGACCAAAAATTTAATAAATATTGAGCTTCAATCAAGAATTTTTTTTTTTCTTGTAGATTGTATNATGGTTACATATGCTCCAGATTATATCTGTGGAAAAGATTCAAAGCCTGAAATTCTTGAACATCCAAATGGAGAAACAATGATTTGTTGCATGGATAAAAGTGGAAATGGTGAAAATGTAGATTATTCTCTATTATGAACTCAAAGCATTTAATTTATTACAGAACCAGAATGCATACCTTCAACGGATCCTCCAACAGACCCTCCCACTGATCCACCAACGGAACCTCCAACAGACTCACCAACAGAACCCCCTACTGATCCACCAACAGAACCCCCTACTGATCCACCAACGGAACCTCCAACAGATCCACCTACAGAACCCCCTACTGATCCACCAACAGAACCCCCTACTGATCCACCAACAGAACCCCCTACTGATCCACCAACGGAACCTCCAACAGATCCACCAACAGAACCCCCTACTGATCCACCAACTGATCCACCTACTGACCCTCCAACAGATCCACCAACAGAACCTCCAACAGATCCCCGTAAGAATTTTTGAGTGGTTGATCAATTGTTATTTTTCATATAATTAAATTTATTTATAACTAGCTACCAATCCTCCTTGTACAAATTATCCTGGAAGTGACGAATTCGAAAAAGCTGTTGATGATTTAAAGAAATTAAGAGATGATCTTCAATCTGCTGGATCATCCACATCTGAAATTGACAGTGAAATTGATCTGATTCAAGATGCCATCGATGAACTTGTTAATTATTTGAATAATAATTGTGACAGTTTAGATATCAATTTTGTGAGTGAAAGAATCTCATACATCAAAACAAAATTGATAGATTTACAATTTGATGTCGAAGCATTCACAGATGATTTAGAAGCAAACTTTTCATGTGGTGGCAAGGATTGTGGAATGAATCCAAACATTTATTTGCGTGTTACAGATTGTGCTTGTGTATGTCGATTGAATTGCCAAACTTCCCAAGGAGAAATATTCTATTGGAACAAATGTACTTGTGCTCAATTTCAAGAAGGAACAGTCGTTTATGAATGGAGAGATACTATTAATAATCTCATTGACAAGATTTCTGTTATCACAAGTGAATCTGAAGTTGTGAAATCTAAACTCATTACACTTTATGAACTTTATGATGATGCAGAAGCAGTTAGACAGGATATGCAGCGCAATTTCGAAGATCTTGATAAGGATGAATTGAAACAACGAATTGAAGAAATCACAAAACGAATCGATGAAATTACAACAGAAGTCAATACTTACATTACCTCAGAACAAGTTTGTGCAGGAAGCGATTGTCTCGAAAACTACACTCCAGTGAAAGAAGCTTGTGAATGTTATACATCTGTAAAAGTTGAAAAATATTTTGAAATCTTAACTAGATTCAATATTCTTGACAAGGAAATCTTCAGTTATGATGGTAAAGATGTTGATAATGAAATCGATGGATTCAAAGAAAGAGCTATGGCGATTAGAGATCTGTTTGAAACACTGTTCAATTACTTCTATAATAACAGTCAAGCACCTGATGATGCTGCAATTGATGCGATAATTCAAGAAATCACTGAAAAGGTGGAACAACTCGAAAACGATTTTGCTGATTTTTACGACAAGAATAATCCATCAAGTGAATGTAAATTGGAAGGTCCATGCGAAAGCAACGAAGTTCTCAATAAGGCCAGAAGTATTTGCGCATGTATTCCAGTAGAAAACTATGAAATGCTTCCAGATATTGAGAATGACTTGGAAAGACTAAGAACTGACATAAATGCCCTTGAGGTATCTCAAGACAAAAAGGATATTCTTCTTGAAAACTTAGACAGGTTAGAACAAGGAATACCGGACTTGCATAATTATGTTGACGAGTTCTCTAAAAATCTGGATATGACCTTTGTGCAAGGAAGAACAGATCAACTTGTTGGATGGTATGCGAAACTTAACTCTGATGTTGCTGCAGCTCAAGGAGATAACACAGTCGAAATATGTGATGCATCATGCCCTAATGCCAGATGGAATTATGATGCCGAAGCCTGTTCTTGTACATGTGACGTTCAATTTTGCTTTGAAAGTGAAGAAGTCGTTGACCCTTGGGGTTGTCAATGTGTGGAAAAAACTGATTGCCTTAAGACTTCAGATTCATGCGGCGATGGCGATATATTGGATTATGCAATGTGTGAATGCAAACCAGCGCCTTAAATCAATCTTTGATAACATAAATAAAAGTTGGATAGATTTAATTTGGGAATTATTTTAATGTTTATTTCATAAGTAAAATTAGCAAATAAAATCTAAAGTTAAAGCACAACTTAAATAAGAATGTTTCAATTGAACCAAAAATTTAATAAATATTGAGCTTCAACTGAAAAATTATATTTGGTTTCGGAACGCGTTTTTTGCAGATTTTATATATATTACTGGATGATCCGAAAAATAAGCCAAGAAAATGTATTCAGCTGTCGAGGTGGTATCTTGTTGAGTATATCAAAAATATCAAAAGTCATACTTCGAATTGCTGGTTATTAATTATAGACATTCTTACATTGCTCTTTACATGATTTTTTTTATTCGACAAAAATTTTCAGCTTAAACTTTTCACATTTAGGAAGAAACTTAGTTTCTTTGAAGTTAGAGAATTTCTTTTGAAGCACACATCAAAAAATATGTTGCAAACCAAAATTTGTCAATGTAATAATAAAAAATATATTTACATTGAAGTTTCAAAATTCTTCGTGTTTTACATGAAAATTGATTATTTTCTCTTCATCGTGGTTATATCCTTGAGAATCGTAAAATTTCGATTGGTTTCAACGCAAAAGACTACCTAGTCAAAGTCAATCAGACTAACAGTGCAATGAAAGACTTACATTGTTGCTTGACATATTTGCTACGTATTAAGTTCTAACGAGACATTTTGCATACATCTCATCACGTCTCATTAGACTAAAACAGAAAGCAAAAAAATATGTGTTTCATATGACGACACTATATTGCACATATACTAGCAAATTTAATAAATTAAATATTCTACTAAAGTTTAGTTCATCTGTATTAGATCCAGCTTATTTTTATTATAAAAAGCAGATACACATTTATCCTTTTCAGTTGAACTAGTACTGTGAAGAATAAAACTTTAAATATGAAGATTATTCTTTTCATATTTACATCATCGATAATAGCTTTAGCTTCAGGTCTCTTTAAATTTCAATATATTTCGTGGAGAATATTAACTATTAAGTGAATTTTTCCTTAAAACTAGGTGATCATTTGAAATGTGGAAGAGTAGCGCCAAAGTGTGTCTACAATCAAGATTGTGATATCATTTGCAGCATGGTTACATATGCTCCAGATTATATCTGTGGAAAAGATTCAAAGCCTGAAATTCTTGAACATCCAAATGGAGAAACAATGATTTGTTGCATGGATAAAAGTGGAAATGGTGAAAATGTAGATTATTCTCTATTATGAACTCAAAGCATTTAATTTATTACAGAACCAGAATGCATACCTTCAACGGATCCTCCAACAGACCCTCCCACTGATCCACCAACGGAACCTCCAACAGATCCACCTACAGAACCCCCTACTGATCCACCAACAGAACCCCCTACTGATCCACCAACGGAACCTCCAACAGATCCACCAACGGAACCTCCAACAGATCCACCTACAGAACCCCCTACTGATCCACCAACAGAACCCCCTACTGATCCACCAACGGAACCTCCAACAGATCCACCTACAGAACCCCCTACTGATCCACCAACAGAACCCCCTACTGATCCACCAACAGAACCCCCTACTGATCCACCAACGGAACCTCCAACAGATCCACCAACAGAACCCCCTACTGATCCACCAACTGATCCACCTACTGACCCTCCAACAGATCCACCAACAGAACCTCCAACAGATCCCCGTAAGAATTTTTGAGTGGTTAATCAATTGTTATTTTTCATATAATTAAATTTATTTATAACTAGCTACCAATCCTCCTTGTACAAATTATGCTGGAAGTGACGAATTCGAAAAAGCTGTTGATGATTTAAAGAAATTAAGAGATGATCTTCAATCTGCTGGATCATCCACATCTGAAATTGACAGTGAAATTGATCTGATTCAAGATGCCATCGATGAACTTGTTAATTATTTGAATAATAATTGTGACAATTTAGATGTCACTTTTGTGAGTGAAAGAATCTCATACATCAAAACAAAATTGATAGATTTACAATTTGATGTCGAAGCATTCACAGATGATTTAGAAGCAAACTTTTCATGTGGTGGCAAAGATTGTGGAACGAATCCAAACATTTATTTGCGTGTTACAGATTGTGCTTGTGTGTGTCGATTGGATTGCAATTTATCACAAGGACAAATATTCTATTGGGGAAAATGTACTTGTACTGATTTCGAAGAAGGAACAGTCGCTTATGGATGGAGAACTACTCTTAATAATCTCATTGACAAGATTTCTGTTATCACAAGTGAATCTGAAGTTGTGAAATCTAAACTCATTACACTTTATGAACTTTATGATGATGCAGAAGCAGTTAGACAGGATATGCAGCGCAATTTCGAAGATCTTGATAAGGATGAATTGAAACAACGAATTGAAGAAATCACAAAACGAATCGATGAAATTACAACAGAAGTCAATACTTACATTACCTCAGAACAAGTTTGTGCAGGAAGCGATTGTCCCGAAAACTACACTCCAGTAAAGGAAACTTGTGAATGTTATACATCTGGAAAAGTTGAAAAACATTTTGAAATCTTAACAAGATTCAACATTCTTGACAAGGAAATCTTCAGTTATAATGGTAAAGATGCTGATGGCGAAATCGATGGATTAAAAGAAAGAGCTATGGCTATTCGAGATCTGTTTGAAACACTGTTCAATTACTTCTATAATAACAGTGAAGCACCTGATGATGCTGCAATTGATGCGCTGATTCAAGAAATCACTGAAAAGGTGGAACAACTAGAAAACGATTTTGCTGATTTTTACGACAAGAATAATCCATCAAGTGAATGTAAATTGGAAGGTCCATGCGAAAGCAACGAAGTTCTCAATAAGGNAAAGCACAACTTAAATAAGAATGTTTCAATTGAACCAAAAATTTAATAAATATTGAGCTTCAATCAAGAATTTTTTTTTTTCTTGTAGATTGTATTTATAATAGAAATGAGAAGAAACATTATCAGTAAAAATATTCCTGAAAAGAGTTTAAACATTAGAAGACTTTCTTTCGTATGATTATGATTGACAAGAAAATAAAAAATTTAAAATTAATTTTAATTTATTTTCTCCGATATTTTTTCAGGTTTTAAGAGTCACGTGAAAATATTTATCTGCCTTTGTAAAAATAAGATGAAACGTGTAAAGGTTTTTGAGAAGGTTCTTCGATGAAAATATTATTGTGAGACATAAAATAAAAAGCAAGCATCTGTTTGTCGCTACAAAAATTTTATTTGTTTTTCTTTCACCTTGAAACTATCTACGTCAAGATCTAATGTCACAAGACACACTGTTAGATATCACTAATAAGAGTAGGTAATTGAATATTTATCTATGATTAAGAATACTTAACTTAAATAAAATTGCTACTTTAATTCATCTTATGACATTTTTTAATATGTTAAATATCTGTTTTCTCATCTTATCAGTCTACTCAATTAATGTCAATTAAGCTTAAGTTACAAGTATTGACAAAATACGAATAAGATTTCTTTTTTAAATTTAGTTAAAGACGTTTGTTAACTAAATTAACTTTAATGACTGAAAAGGAAAAGTCCGATTTATTTTTTAATTCTTTTTTGATTAGGTACCTACTTTCATTTTATGATGAGTCAATTTAAACTTTAAATCTCATGAAATGAAATGTTTTTGTGAAATATTTTTAAATTGTTTTAAATTTGAAATTTTCATTGATCAAGTTGGAAACTTTTTCGAAGCTATCTTGTTTTCAATTGATCATCCGAAAAACAAGGCTGCAAAAAGCATTTGATTAAATAAAAACTCATCAACTTCATGTTTCAATAATTGACGTTCATTCATGTTTACATTTACCTCCGTTTTCTTATTGGTGAGCAACAAAATAAATTTAAAAATATTTTATATCACGTCGGTTTCATTGACGTCAATGAAACGTGCAATGAACCTGAAATTCAAATATTAAAAGTTTTTCATTTAATTTTCATAAATTTATTTCATTAAAATGATTAATTAAGAGGAGTTACAAGTTTCGCAGATTCACTTCGAATAGCTTGAATCAGATCAAAATTAACTAAGAAAATAAATCTCAATCCAGATATCTGAAAAAAGAAAACGTTTTGTTGATGAAAAATGATGAAAATTATTTGAATTAAATTATTTTACCTCTATAACGTTGTTATTACTGAGCTTTGATCGCCCTCCTGTAATAACTGGTGCCCCATCAATGAAAATTGGACGTTTTCCTTCATTAACGATAAAAAAGTCGCCATTGCTTCTTAACTTGATCGTTCCTTGCTTTCTCGACACTTTATGTGCTGCACCTTCCAACGCCAAATTAACATCGACAACCAAATCTTTCGAATTTCGTCCAAACGTTATTTCTCTTGATCTCATGAGATATCGAACAGCACGTCCTCGAAGTATAGCCAAAGTTTGATTATCGAATTCTGGTGAAATTCCAATTCCCGTGCAGTTATCCAAAAGAATCGACCATCGTGACAATTCATTTTCAATTGTTCGTATTTCACGCTTATTTTTTCTATCAATGAGAGCCATTTCTATGTCAAGATGCTCATCTCTGTGTTCAGCCATTAATTCATTGTCGTTCATGAGTTCCTCATAGTCAGAAAATGTTGGAAGTCCATCAGGAGATGTCAGTGAAGGAATATTCTGATCGGCAAGTAATGAATATTGTCGCATAAGTTCCCAATGGATCATTAAACTTTTCGGTGTACGCGCGTGATAAAAAACAGTCGCGTTTTTTGTCAACAGATCTTGAAATGTTTCTTCTGTTGGTGACTCAGAACTTTTTATCGTTGCCAGAATTTCTTCTTCACCTTTACTGAATAATGCTTTACTTTGTACTGCTGCAATCATTTCTGGATGAAGATTACGCATTGCTGCAACGGCAATTCGGTTTATTGGTTCATCATACAGCAGAGAATACCAACGACTTGAAAGTTCTTGTGGCGTAAACTTGCATGAGAATTTAACACCACGATGAACTGTTTTGATGTCATTCGTTTGCTGTCAAAATGAGAATTAATTAATAAAGACAGTAAGATTATCATAAACATTTACTACCTGTATACCAATGATCAAAGCTAAATCATCTACTGGCTTCCAACGTCCCAAATCCTTAATTGTCGATCCGTGCTTTAAATTTTTCTTCTTTTTGAGATTTTTCATGGTTTTGTTACGCTTTTCCGGCAATATCTGTTGATGAAGAACAGGAGGTGTAGGAACAGGTGGAACTAAAGCTAAAGTTGGAGGTGCTGATATTGGAGTCTGAGGTTGTGGCGTCAGAGGAGATGGCAAATCAAAGGAACTCCCAGGAAATGATTGTGATTGAGTCCGAATTCGAGTTTGTTGACCAACACTGTATTCCACGATTTCGTCATCAAATCTTTTACGTTTGATTGATCGATTAGAGCTAAAAGAATAATTTAATTAAATGTTTTGACCGTAAAATTTTATAAATATTTCTAATCGTAAAAGGCGCGTCAGAAAGTTGTAAACAAAACAAACCTTCGTCTTTTTCCATCTCCAGCATCCAAACTCGAATTTAAGGAATTTTCCAAGCTGCTGTACATTTTGAGGATATTAGCTGTATCTTTTGGGAGTTGGAAAATGCGTTATTTGATCTCTAAATTAATTATTTTTTAGAAAATGAGCAAATTTCTAGAAACTTCAGCACACCGGCACAATTTTTGTTATGATTGACAGTTTCAATATTAAAAACACAGATGGCGTTAGTAGTTTCTGCTTTTCTAATATCTGCGAATTTAATTCACAAATCATTTATAAATATTTTATTGGCAATAAATTTATGTTTAATACTGTTTTGTACAGTCTAGAAACTCTTTGAATTTCTAATTAAAAATTTTAATTTTGTTATTTTTGGTCACTCTGTCAGTCACTCTCACTTGACTATAGATATTTTTTAACCGGTATTTTTAAGATTTCGGTTAACCTAGTAACCGAAACAAAGAAACTCGG